CTTCTTCATATACTTTCGAAACAACAATCCAGAAGATAAAGCAAGAACTTCTCCAAGGAGATTTAGACTGTATGTGTTCCTGTTCCTGATTTCTTTAACAAAGGATGAGAAGCAAAGTCATCTAAGATAAGAAGACACCTATGAGGTATGCTTCCAATCGTTAAGATTGCAATTTCTTCGAAATGTATTCTATCTCTTTCTGTTTGTTCGGAAGTGTTTCTTCTCTAATATTCTCTGCATTTCCTCATTTGGGTCTTTAAACTTCGAGTTATATACTCATTTATAGCATTGTACTTCAAACTCTTCTTTGGTACTTCTTTATCCAATCTAACAACTCAGAGTCTTTTATACATACTAACTTGAACTTTTTATAATATCTTTGAACGAATTTACGTTTGGTCAAATTGACCAGAAGTACTACAAATGACTACTAACTCATAGAATGTTCTTCTCATCTAGTTCTTGTTGTTGTGCAGCCATTAAGATAAGTGTGAAAGTCTTACCCGACCCAGGCGGTGCGATTAGACCTGTTATACCATTCTGAGCAAAATAAGAACTTGTCATGTATAGGCTTTATCTGAGCATTTTCTAACTTCCTCTTGTTCTTGTTTAAAACATTCTCAAATTTCTTGTCAATGTCAGCAAACTTTTTTTCTAACATATTTTTAGAAAAATTAAAATTTTTATCTTTTAGGAAATCTCTAGCATTTCGCTATCTATATTCGAGACAAGCTTTTCGACAGCAAAACATCTGTCGACCATAAAATCTTACATAGTGTAAACAAGAAAGGTGAATTTGTTCTAAAGTTTCTGTTTCTGGGAATATGACAAGAACCATAAAACATTACAAAGAGCAGTCTTAAAAATTGTCAATGACAGACTTGTTGACAGAGATGACGCCGATTGGAAAGATGAAGTCCAACAAAAGTTCTTAGAATGCAAAGAAGACACATGCGCTGTTCTTGAAGATGAAATAGAAAACAGAATAGAAGAGCTATTAAAGGACAAAGAACTTTTACAATAAATATGGTTGCGCCAAATTTGACATAACTCCACCAGAGAAGAAGAAGAAGAGAGAAAAGAAAGAAAAGAAAGAGTAGAAGAAAAGAAAGTAGAAGAAGAGAAGAAAGAACCAGAGCCAGAGCCAGAGAAAAAGAAAAAAATTTTGACATGTAAAAATAAAATTTTATTTTTAGAACATTCTGGTCAATGTCAATGTTCTCTTCCTCTTTAGGAGCAAACACTGGCTTAGACTCTAAAATCTTTTTACCTAATTTACCTTGAACTTCAACTATCTTAGACTCATAATATTCATAGTCGTCTGCTTTCTTTGGTTCATAAGTATAACAAGTTTGTATGCTTTACCTTCTTTAAGGTTTGAAAACCTTCTGTCAAAATTTTCTTGACTGCTAACAAACCTTCTCATGTCTAAGTCTTCAAAATTTCGCACCATTTTTAGTCACAATAGCAAACTTAACGGGTTCGATGTTCCAAACTTTGTCAAATGAAGACTTTTTCAAAATGGTAGAAGTAAACATTCAAATATATGAATGGGTCTAGTTCTTCTTTGACTTCGTCATGTACTTGTTGACTGAAATATATTTCGTCATCTTTTCTATCGGATAAAAAAATTTTTTTTTAAATTTACTCAGAAAAATTTTTCTTTGTATATACGCCGTTCTGAACATCTAAAAGATTTTTGACATTTGCCAAGAATGTTCGTTTAAGAAGCTGCCATATAACCATATTCTTGACAATACTGTTTAACGAATCGTACAATGACCTTCATCTAAACACTCAAAGTTAGTGCTCATCTATAAACAGTTCATATACACTCTTGTTTGCTTCTAACAATGTTTGTCTTTCTTCGTATGTTGGAATTTGTCTTGGATTGAACTTAGAAATATCTAATGTCATAAAATATGAGAACAAGTGGTTGTAAAAGTTAGGTGTCAAAGTTTCTGCTAAGTCGTCAAAATATTCTGTATCTTGCATATGAGAATCTGACGTTCTGACAACTACATATCTTCTGTCAGAACTTTCTAACTTCATCGGAACAGCGTTTTTTGAAACCATGACGAAGTTTGCAACATTTTCACAAACTCTTTGGTCTTTATATTTTCTTTCAACAACTCCAACTTTGTCTGTTATAAGACTCTTCAAAGCATCTGAGTTCAAAACTTTGTTGTATCTATTACTTTGAAGTTCGTTACATACTATAAGTTTCTATTCTCTATGAAGAGTTAAATTTACCGCAGATGTTTTCTAAGTTTGTCATATAGGGTTCGAATAGCCCTCTAACAGTTTGCATAAGATATCTGTAAAGAAAGTGTTCTTACCAGTTCCTTGTTTTCCAATTATGATGAGAGCAGTTTCATTTTTAGCACTTGGATATTGTAAGATGTTTGCAAACCAAACATAAATATACTCATAAACCTTTTCGTTTCCATTGCATATAATTTCTTTGACATGGTCTAACCAAGCTTCTATAACATTTTCTTTCCATTCTACTTGTTCGTATTTATATCCAGTGAAGATAGAATAGAAGTTTGGAGAAGTGTATAGAACTTTATACCTCGAACTGAAAAATCTTCTAACTTCGACAATAAGATATCCCAAGCATCTAACATCTTCATGCCAACCTGTACGACTTTTATTTTCTTAAGTTTTTGTCTACATTCTTGTTCTGAAACTATTGCGCTCTTGGTTTGTTAAAGACAACATCCCATTCTTTCATGACATAACATTCTGGGGCAGAGTCGACATAAATGACTAAACGTTTCAAATTCTCGACTGCTTTGTTATAGTCTCTAAATGGACACATATTTCTGAACGCTTGGAAGTCATAAAAATCTGAAACGTCTATTCTGTACATTTTTATAAAAATAAAAAAAATATTTTTTTTATTCTTGACTTTGTTCTTGAGCTATTTGTTGCATTTGTTGTTCTTGAGCTATTTGTTGTTGAAGTTGTTCTTGTAATACAATACTTTCACCAGTTGCATCTTCCAATTCGAAACTTTCTGCCGTCATTGACAAAATACATAGGACATAAAAGTTTTACAGGAACAAAGTTTGCGTCAACTAAGGTTAAGTTTATGTTTGCCAAAGTGTTTGAGTTTACTAAAGCTGAAAACTCTGCATTCGAATGAACAATAGGCAAACCAGCAGAGAATGTGTTGTTTATACGCATGAGTATCTTTGGTCATAGTAGTTTCTGTCGATATTCGAATAACACTTTTGAACCTAAGTTTGAAACAATATATAAAATAGGTGTACTTAAAGTCAATGGAACGGATAGACCTTGTATGACACCTTTTCCTGTTATAGGAAACTGTTGGTAGTAAAAACCAGATATAAGTTTTGTATTATAGCTCATATCGTTTATAGTAAACTCAGTCGGACATCCAAACATAATGAAACCTGCTCTAGTTGCAGCACATGTTACATCCGTCCTTAAAGTATTAAATAAGTCAACAAAACCTGTTGGTGGTATATCTGAGTAAGTATCTTCAAAGAAGTATTTTTTACCATTCACAACAACAAAGTCTCTGGTGTCAAAAGAGCAAAACAGGCTTTAGTCGTCATCGTGTTTAAGGTCAGTTTACAATATCGTCCTTGAGGACTTTGTAAGTTTGTTGTTATAGAATTATATGACTCAGGGTTTTTAGTCGTAATAGTATAAACCACTATGTCTTCTGCCATTTACTTAGCAAGTAAATTTTAATGAAATGTTGTGGTCGTCAAATATTTTTATGACGTCTGGGAAACTATATTTTAAGTTCAACGTTTCACCTCCTTTCATAACGTATATCTTGTCAATGACATTATATGAAACACCACAGCAAGCAATGTCGGGTTCTATTTCTTTGATGTTTATATCGTCTGCCTCTGTCAAAAGTTTCAATAGTTCTTTCAAGACTTCATGAGGTGCAATGACATATGAGTTCACTTTTACAGGGTTGTGTTCGACCAAGTTTAACATTATACCCAAAGCCTGACAAATCTTCTCCTGAGTTTTAAGTTTGTCTTTAAGTTGTTGGTAGTCATTTCGAATATCTGCAACAGAACTTAAGTCTCTGCTAACTTCAGGGTATGTTGGTTGTTCTTTTACAGGAACTATTGTTATACCATCTTCGTCTTCGTATGGTTTCCCCACTTCAACATCTCTTTCTTTGACATTGACAACAACACTTTGACTGTTTGTTTGAGTTGGTGAATTTAACTTCACATCTGCCACCGCCATTAAACCTTTTGAAACACTTACGCTTCTATTTTTCGGAAATGACATTTTACTTAGAATAAAAAGATGGACGTATTCGAGTATCTCTTCGAATTGAAGCAGAACAAAGTTTACACACACAAACAATACAAATACATTGACAGAATAGTTCTTTACACAAACAATGGAAAATGTTATAGAATAGCAGTCTTTGCTGAACCAAAATATTTTCATAAAGCAAAGAAAGTTGGTATAACCGAGATGGTGAAAGTTCTTGAAGCAGACAAAAATATAACAACAAAACTTACAGATATTTCTAAAGGTAAGTTTATAATACAATTTTATGTCAAAACTGGCGTACTGTCAATATTTGACGGAGAGAAGTCAGTTCAAGAACAACTTACTGACCTGCTGCCAAAATCTGCTCGATGGAAGCTGTCGTTATGCCAATCTGAGGAGCCCCAGCAGGTTTCATCGAACGAATCTTCAAAAGAGCATCTTCCGTGAAAAGTGCTATTGGTTTTGTAAACTTCTTTGCTTTCAATTCATTTGGACCGTCTCTGTCACCAGTATATTGTATTTGAACTGTACCAACAGTTGAAATACCACCCATAAAGTCTTCTGAGTCAGCAAATGGAATGCCAAGCCAAAAGTTTGAACGGTCTCCATTTGTATATTGAGTTTTTTGACTTCCTGTATGGGTCCATACTTTCACATATGGCATAATAGAACTTTGCATTTCAGGGTTAATGGTTGTTGTGAAGTTGTTGTTAAAGTTCATAGCATCTAATGTCAAGTTGTATGACCTCATATCCTCAACTGTAGAATATTCTTCTCTTGGATAGTATTTGCCATCTATGTTTATATGATATTTAATACCAGGGTTGTAGAAGCAAGAATAGTCATTATAGTTCGTCTGAACAGTACAAACATAGTATCTGCATGTTTCATTGCAGTTGTTAAGGCAATATCTGTTCTTGCACCTGGGTCAGCACTTTGGTTTCCAACTTCACCTGCAAAGTCTTTGACAGATATTTGGTGTATAGGGAACATAAGTGGAACTGCAATATATTTGGCAGCTAAAGCATTTGAAATATCTGGGTCCAACATATAGACTGCAAGTCTGCTTTCTATTTCTTGCATTCAAACTTTTCGCATGTGAACTTAACTGGGTCCCAAGCAGTTCCAGCAGCATTGAAGTAGTAGTTTACTTCAGTGTTGAGGTTTGAGAAACCAAAGTCTAAGTCAACTTTGTCTTTGCAAAATTCGGCGAATGACGTTTGATTTGCTCCCTTTACGTCTGTAAGAGTGAATGGGTCTTGTGTTGGTGCAATGACTAAGTTATTTTTGCTTGGAGTAAGTTCGATAGAAATTTTTCCTGCCCAGTTTGGCAAGTATCTTAAAAACCTGAAGATGAGGAAAGATGACAAAGGAACTCTAAGTTTCAGTTTTACTTTAGTGACAGCATTTCCATCTGAACCAGAAAGGTTAACATAAACTCCTGGAACGTTAGGGTCAAGTCTTCTTATTTTCTCAATAGTTGCATACTGGTCTGTTTGTTCTCTAGCTTGTGGTTGTACTGAGTTTCTCAAAGCGAACCATTCATAGTTTGCCCATGTTACTGTTTGAACTAAGTCAGAGTTAGAATATATCTTATATCCCATGAAAACTTCTGGAGCATATTGGTATCCGACATAGAAAATTCCATTGCAACCTTTCTTGTCAGACAACTTGGCAGAAGGTTTTATTTCAATGTCTTGTTCCACGTATAAGAAAGAGTTGTCAATAGAAATTATATGAAACCTGTCGCAAGCAATATCTACTGTTGTTGAAGAACCTTCTCCAAACTCACCTACGTTTCCATAAGAAACAGCAGTTGTATATTCGTAAGTTCCAGGAACTATTTCTGACCTTCTAATGGCATTGTCGCATTCGTTATACCATTCGGAAACATTTCCATTCATAGCATCCAAAACTGTTGGCGTTATATTCTGAGCGGCGTACATTTCATATGAGTAAAAATATAGAATAGTTGGATTTATATGTCATAATAGAACCCACGTGGACCAAGCTTTACTTTCTTCCTGACTGAGTTTTTAACTCTTCTTTTTCCTTCATTGCCCTCTGCTTGAAGTTGTTGCATCTTTGCATTATGTTCATCTAGTATGTTGCAAATTTCCCATGTCCTTTTTGCCTTTTGGCTCTGGTCGCCCATCTCAGGTAACCTATATCCTAGAAAGAGTTTGTCATAGTTTGTATTTGAGTCTTCGCGTATTGTTTGCATGACTCTTTCCTGAGTTTCCGGTTCAAGCTCTTCAAACAGTGCCTGTCCATATGGAATATGCTCGTTTCCAAATATATGTTTTTGTAGCCATTCTGGTTTTCTTTCCATGTTACCAACTATATCTTTTGTGAATGGGAAAGCTTTTACCCAATCTTTCAGTCTTGCGTCGTTTATTTCTGTAGTTGGTTTTATTTTGTCAAGGAACATGTTTTTCAATACTAACATTTCATTTGGTACTGTCCATTTGAGTTTTCTTAAATATTCATCCCTTCTCGGTTCATTGTCTGCAAAGTAAGTTTTTATGACATTTTGTAAACTTTCGTTTGCAAGGTCATGTACAATAGGTTCTCTTCCTTCTCCCTCCCTAACTTTCTTTCTAAACTCTTCACCAAATATACCATCTCTATGGTTCTTGTAGTTCTTTGAGATAAATGTTCTAGAACGTCAGGTGTTATATTTCCATCAGCCATGTTCATTTCACTGGTCCAAAATATCTGCATGTTTCATATCTTTCAATGGCATTAAAGCCGCGCTTAAAATACCAGCTATATCTTGTTCACCATTGACTTCCATTGCGTCTACAACTTCTTGGAATTGTGGTTGTAAGTTTATGAACCACCTATCCGGGTTAGCTTTATGACCCCATCTCATTGTAGTTCCATCGTCTGCAGAAACAAAAGTAGGTTTGTTTCCATCTTGGTTAGGTTCTGAATGAACTTTAAACAATGTTTCATTTCTATATGTTTTCTTGAAATTTAACCTTTTATCTTCACCGAGTTCATCCGAAGATTGAACGTTAAATGCTCGTAAGTAAAAAGGGTTGTTGTATTTGTGTACATTTTTTTTCAGTTCTTCCATTCTATGCTGAATATTTTCATCTGGTGCTGGAGTCTTTTGTATGTCGGCAAACATTTTTCGATATTCTTCTACTATGTCAGCCGAATTTTTTTTAGACTCTTGGAAATATTCCATATTCTCCGCATACTCTTGTTGAGGGTCAAGATTTTTCGGCTGTTCCAAATCTTCATCTAGTTCTGTGAAGTTAGTTTCCAAAGGAGTGACTTGTTCGTTTCCTTCAGGCTCTTCTAGCTGTTGTTGCTGAACTATTTCTTCCATGTCTGGTTGTATCTGAACTATTTCTTCCTGTGGAGTTTCTTGTACCTCATCTGCTGGCATTTCATATATTCCGAGACCGTTTTTAACAATTTCCCTATCTACGTCATCCGCATTCATAAGCTTTTGTTCTTTCGTTCCGTCTCTATTTTTTACGCGTTTCATGACGAAAGTTGAATTGTCATTTAGCTCTGACATCAAATATCTCGGAGTAAATTCAGTCATGTCATTTGGATGATATGCTATTAAATCATATCCCTTAGCGAGCTTGTATTTTCCAGGTTTGAAATTATATCCCATTTGGTGCTGAGCCATAAAGCTAAATAGGTTCGGGTCAGTATTTCCATCCTTGAACTTTCTAATAGCTTCTTTATATCTGTCACTAAAGTCAACAGTATCTGGGAAACCACACTCTTCTTTAAGCATTTTTAAGAATTCTTGGTTTCCTTGTTCTCTACTTCTTTTATGTCCTTGCTCTGTTTGTGGTTGTTGTTGTGCTGGTTGTGGAGGTGGTTGTTGTGTTGGTTTTGGTGCATGCCTGTGTCTGTGTCCATGTGACGATGTAAATGTTTTAGGTAGTCCTGGTGCAGGTGCTTCTCTTGGAGGGTTTGGTGGTATATAAGTTCCACTAGCTAGTATATAAGTTCCACCAGCTGGTATATAAGTTCCACCAGCTGGCACATATGTTCCATCTGCAGCATAATGTCCTACCTGACTTTTCGTTTTAAGAAAGCATTTACTAGGTCTGTTTTGGTCTGTTGTAACTCTTTTTCTTGACTTTTCACAACAGTTGCTCTAACGGCGTCATAGGCACTTTGAACTGCCTGTCTCGTTGCTGCATCTGTTATTTTCGTCATATTTTGTGCTACTTCTTTTAACTCTTTGTCGAAACCTTCAGACTTCAGTTTCTTTCCAGATGAGAAGTCGTTCACTTGTTTCACCTTACTATGAAGAGCTTCGAAGGCGTTCTTAAAGTCAGCATTTGTTAAAGCTTCATTTGAACTGTCTTCATCCGCTTGTATTTTTGTCCTTATTGACCCTATGAGTTGGGCTGCTTTAGCGTTGGCTTGGGCATCTAACCAGTCATTGTTAGCTTTTATATATTCTGCGCTTTTCATTGCCTTTTGCATGGCTGCGTCGTTATTTTTACTTTCTTGTGCTAAGTTTTCATACTGTACGGTTTGGTTTTGCAACTGTAAAAGTTTTTCTGCCTTTACATTTGCTTCAACTTCTTTTTTATACTCATCGCTATCCATATATGTCTTCAGGGCTTTTTGTTTTATCTCTTCATCTTTCAGTATTTTATATTGAGTAGTATGGTTTTTCAAATTTATGACATCTTGTTCCATTTTTGCTACTTCTGTTGCTTTTTCTGACACTTTTTTCGCATATTCCTCTGTACTTAGTTCTTTCAGTTGTTCTTCTTTCTTCTTTTTCTCTACGTTTAACTCATTGAGTTTCTTTGTGTGTCTGTCATATTCTAGTTTCTTTTCGTTTTCACTTATTTGCTTCTGTATGTCTATGTTTGACTTTTTGACATCTGATATTTGATTTTTGAGTGAACTCAAATTCATTTGACTTTGAGGGTTATAGGCTGTTCCGTCTGCAGCTCCACCATAGCCTGCCATTTTCGCTAAAAGTGCCGCTCTTAAACCTCCACTCTGTGCACCAACAACTCGGTTTAAAAGCATAGGATTGCTTGACATTTGTTGCAACATAGTGGGGTCATTCAGCATTTGTTGTTGCAACTGTTGTTGTGGTGTCAGTTTTACTATTGGATGTTTCAATGCTCTCTTCCTCTTACGTATATTCTTACGTAGCTTACGTGGCATTTTAAGTGAAGTAAAAAACGGTTTTTGACAGATGTTTTGTTGTGACTTCTTCGTAAAGACTTTGTTAAGACTTCTTCGTAAAGACTTTGTCAAGACTTCTTCGTAAAGACTTTGTTGAGATTTCTTCGTAAATGACCCAAAAATATATTTTAGGTGAAGAGGTGAGATTTCACCTCTTTTTTCACCTCATTTCTCACCTCTTGAATTTTCATGAATTTCTTCGTAAAGACTTTGTTAAGACTTCTTCGTAAAGACTTTGTTAAGACTTCTTCGTAAAGACTTTGTTGAGATTTCTTCGTAAATGACCCTAGTAGTATATTTTTGGTGTAAATTTCATGAAAATTCAAGAGGGTGAAAAATTAGGTGAAAAAACAGGTGAAATCTCACCTCTTCACCTAAATTATATTTTTGGTGTAAATTTCATGAAAATTCAAGAGGGTGAAAAATTAGGTGAAAAAACAGGTGAAATCTCACCTCTTCACCTAAAATATATTTTTGTCTGATTTACGCTCATTACGATGAAGTTTTGACAAAGTCTTTACGATGAAGTTTTGACAAAGTCTTTACGATGAAGTCTTGACAAAACATTTACGAAGAAGTCTTGACAAAGTCTTTACGATGAAATCTTGACAAAACATTTACGAAGAAGTCTTGACAAAACATTTACGAAGAAGTCTTGACAAAGTCTTTACGATGAAATCTTGACAAAGTCTTTACGAAGAAGTCTTGACAAAGTCTTTACGATGAAATCTTGACAAAGTCTTTACGATGAAATTCATGAAAATTCAAGAGGTGAAAAATGAGGTGAAAAAACAGGTGAAATCTCACCTCTTCACCTAAAATATATTTTTGTCTGATTTACGCTCATTACGATGAAATCTTGACAAAACATTTACGAAGAAGAAGTCTTGACAAAACATTTACGAAGAAATCTTGACAAAGTCTTTACGATGAAATCTTGACAAAGTCTTTACGATGAAATCTTGACAAAGTCTTTACGATGAAATCTTGACAAAGTCTTTACGAAGAAATCTTGACAAAGTCTTTACGAAGAAATCTTGACAAACCATGAAAACATATATAATTTGTGAAAAGCTCCTGGAAGACCCGTATATAAGAACTTCATTTATGTGGGCTAGAAGGGGCGCAGCCCCTGGAAGCCCACCCCAAGAAAAAAAAGCTTCATTTATACTCATTCATCCTCAGGGCTAGAAGGCACGAAGTGCCTGGGAGCCCCACTCCCTTTCTTTTTTTTTTTTTTTTTTTTTTTTTTTTTTTTTTTTTTTTAATATGTTTAATATTACATATTAAATACATTTATCAACATTAATTATTTTGAATTGTGGTAAAATGATATGTCACATATTTTTTTCTAAAAATTTGTAAAAATGTTTATTTTAATTTATATAATTAAATATTAAAATTTTAAATTTTGAAATAAAATAAATTAAATTCGTCCGTTATCTTTAATTCGCTCGGCGAATGCCGAGCTTACGTACTCATATATTCCTTCTTGTTACAACTCGAACAAGAACATCACCTTTAACATATTATCAAGAAGCCCACTATAAACTTTTCATTTGATGAGTTTTGAATCGCGAGCTTCTTGATAGTCAAACTACGCACCAGCACTACAACTTCTTTCACCCGAACTAATACAAATTTACACATTGGAGCTGCTTTGCTCTGAGAACTCTCATCAATCGATGAGAGTTCTCAGAGCAAAGCAGTTCTAACCGAACTACGCACAAACACTCCAACTTAAAGCAACCAAATCAATACGATTATATACATTGGAACTGCCTTACTCTTATTTCTCTCATCTATTGATGAGAGATCTCAGAATGAGGCAGTTCCAATCGAACTACTCACAGACAGTCCAGCTAACCAAACCGAATCAATACACATATATACATTGGAGCTACTTTGCTCTTATTTCTCTCATCAATTGATGAGAGAACTCAGAGTAAAGCAGTTCCAATCGAACAGACAAGCTAGCACAAGATTACACATTGGAACAGTTTTACTCTGAGAACTCTCATCGATTGATGACAGATCTCAGAGTAAAGCAGTTCCAATCGAACTACACACAAGCACTGCTTCTTACAGCAACCCAATCAATACGCACATATACATTGGAGCTGCCTCACTCTGAGAACTCTCTTCATTTGATGAGAGATCTCAGAGTGAGGCAGCTCCAATCGAACTACATACAGACATTACCGCTAACCATAACCCAATCAATGTACGTATTTACATTGAAGCTACTTTACTATTATTTCTCTCATCAATTGATGAGAGATTTCAAAGTAAAGCAGCTCCAAAAAGAAAGTGAGAAGAAGAAAAAGAAGAAAGAAGAAGAAGAAAGAAAGAGAAGAGAGAGAAAGAGGAAAAGAGAAAAAGAAAAAAGGACATATTAAATATGATATGCTGTTTTTAGTGCCGAGGCGGCGAAGCCGCCGAGGCACGATTTTTTTGGTCTCTTCCTTCCACGTGGTAAGCTTTTTTAAAAGTTTGGACAGGCCTAGAAATACTATATATATGTAGATTGAATTCTTTTATTTTGGCACTTTTTATTTTTTTAATGTTTTTTTTTCTCCAACACTCAGCCCCCAATTCAAATCAAGCATTTACCAACGTAAAATACCGGTATTCCAATCAATAAGAGGACAGTTCTGTCAAGACCCTTCCTGATTTGAAGGAACTTGAAAGAACTGCTCTTTAACCGACTTCAAATAAGAAAATTTCACTCATATTATCATGTTAACATCGAAACTACTGCCATTTAGAGAGCAGTTCTTTCAAGATCTTCGAAGATTTGGAAGATCTTGAAAGAACTACTCTTAAAATGGCAGTAATTACCGTAACTTTCTACTTGATAGTAACAATACCGAAGCTACAGCCATTTAGAGGGCAGTTCTTCCAAGATCTTCCAAATCTTCGAAGATCTTGAAAGAACTACTCTTAAAAATGGCTGTATTGCGAGAGGGTTTGATTTTTCGTTTATTAAAATTGTATTCTATGATATAATTTAATTCAAGATTTGTATTTCTGTTATTTTTGTGATATCATTCAAGTATATATATCAGAATATGCACATAATGATACCACATATACTTAAACTATACGTATTTAAATCTTAGCGATCAATATAATTTTTTTTGTAATATCGAATAAAAGTTTGTTTTCGCATTTCCGTTTTATTTGACTACATGAAGATAAGAATTCTTGAGAACAATTTTAAATAAATTGCCAAATTGAAGAATTCGATATATGATGATATTCACTGATTTCTGCCAAACTTGTAGGAATGAATCCATTTAGAATAAAAACGATTTGTGCATTGGAAGCTCAGAACAAGTTATGTTCATTATCCCAATATGAAGAAAATGCACGTTTAGAAAAAGACGATAACGATTAAATTACAAAATCGATAACGATAACGATTAAATTACAAAATCGATAACAACCCGTCTGAAAACCTAACGTCAATACAGAATCTAATGAATAAGCATAATGAAAAGTTGATTAACAGATACATTTCTATTGGCATTAAAAATATTAAATATTAATGCATTTGCAAATTCCCAAAATAATTTGTTTTAAAATCTAAACATTCGATTTACTCGGATTGTAATATCAGCTATGCCCTAATGCAAGATGATTCTAAGTCGATATGACTATAGCTAAACTTCTAATACTAAATTTATTAAAATTTATTATCTTTCTCTTGTTTGATTTGCTACACTAAAGATTATACTGTTTACTACCGAGTTTTTTGTTAATTTAGAAGATAGTTTCGTAGGAATAGATGCAATTGAACAGAATTGAGGATAATTTATAGTCGATTTTAGAAATGTAAATAAAGAATTTAAATTCAGTCAACAGAAAATAGTGTTTTCAATGACTCTTAATGCAATTAATTAATCCAGAAAAAAAGAATAATTTTTCAACATCAAGATCGAAAAAAATAAGGCTATATCATTATTGCCTGATAACCAACGATTGCTATTTCATAATCCGAATACCATAAAAAATAAAAAATTTGTACACCATTGAAAAAGGGGATGAGCGAGGGCACCTCTGAACTCAATGACTTTTGTTCAGATATGCTCGAAGCCATCCAGGTGGAAGATTCACTGAGTCCTTATATGACAAAATTTCAGGAGTATTGTCAACAAATAAGGGAAAATAAAGTTTTAAATCCACCTAACGAAGCAGTAACAGATAATTTTCTTAATGATTTCTGTGTGACTTTGATAGATACTATCCTAGAAACCTCGTCTAATCATTACTTTTCAACAAATTTAAATTCGATTTTACAACAATTCATCCAACTCTTTCCAATTTACATCACACAAGAAGATTGTCCATTTGCAAGCAGATGTTATAACATGTTTGAAAATTTCGACGCAAATTTCTATAAAAATAATCGTAATCAAACAAGTTTATTTCCTTCAAAGGGAAATACATCATACCTTATAGCTAATATGAATGAATTGTCTTCCTCGAATATTCTCATGGTGTTAAATTCGTATTACAAAGAAGAAACGAAAATAATTATCCCAAACTTCTTCAGAACACTAAATTTCGTTTTGAATTTTAAAGGTAAGTGGAATCCCAAACAGATCGTTACATTGTGTGAAACTGCAGCCAATACTTATATAAAATTTGTTGATATAATCACAAGCGAAGATATCCTGATTCTTAATGAGAACGATATTAAAATCGATATGGCAAATGTCAGCGCGAAAATTAATCCAGGAGAATTAAGGCATCGTATTTCAAAAGCAAATTTTAAATTTTCGATAAAACTAGCGATGTCAGATAAGCCATCCAAGCAATTCTCAGGTGTCAAGAGCATCTGCGAAGATATTTCAAAGCCAGATGCGAAGGAATTATGTAAAATCTTAAAAGATGCTCAATTTGTACCTGAATTACTCAAAAAACTACACTATCAAATTGTTGAGAAGTTCGCACAGATTGTTCTCGTTATGGCATACAACAATTATTTAACAAAAGAGGAAATTACAGAATTATGGAATTTATCTATTCAACAACACTCCCAAACGAATGATTTCTACTTCAAATCCTTACTTAATATATTCTCGTCACTACCAAAAGAAATGATTGACACTTTATGGGATATTTTTCCAACATCTGAATCATTTCCTCTTCCAGCACTCAGATTCTTCCAAAAGATCGCATTAACAGGTACATTAGAACAGAGAAAAGCATTATTCACAGCTCTCGATGCTTATTATCCCAAAATTGAGTCAAATCCAGAAATTAAAAATGATTTAACGGCCGCATTATGCGAAATTCTTCCAAACGATGACAACATGGTTACTACAATACAGAGCAAGTCCTTTGATCTCATCAGAAGCCAGCAAAGAGTCGAATACGCGCTTAGTTTGCTCAAAGCTAGTTCCAAGTATTTATCTCCTGAAAACTCCAGAATTTCCTTTGACCAACTCATTGAAATCATGACAGTCGACAACAACAAGACCATCAACACCCAGTTCTTCGACCTCATCGCCCAAATAATGTATAATTTCAATGAAAATTTACCAGAAAGTGAAGTGAAGTCATTAGAAAATTTATTAAGAAAATTCATCAAAACTAATCCGCTTGAAATCATCGGATTGATCTCCAAAGTCATTGACAAGACCAAATACAAAGTCTTGTCGATCGAAATATTGAGTTATATCTTTGAAAGTTTCTGCAAAGACGTTCCTTCGGATAAAAACACTATTGATTTCATTATTTTCATTTTCAAGAAGATAAATGACAAGTATTACAATGATCCTGGTAACAGTCCATTTTCCAAATGCAACAACAACATCTCTGAGTTCAAAGGTATCAGTTCTCTTTGGAAATTGTGTTTTAAAACGAATAATGACACAATTCCTTTATTTTTATGTCGATTGTATGGGAAATCAAAAGATCATGACAATATTGTTGAATTTGTTAAGAGATGTATGAAGCATCCGAAGCATTTAGGATCATTAATGGCTTTGCTACACATTATTAATCTAATTGAATCGAATAGAGATAAAGAAAGCCTTGGTTTGCAAACAAACAAATTCATTTCACCTTCAAATTTTTGTGATATGAATTTGGTCGGAGACATAAATGCTACTATCAAAGTTAGAAAGGACATCTCTTTTTACGAGATGAAAGAACGTTTGAGTAGAATGATGAGGAACCCTAAAAGTACAATAGAAATCATAAGAGACTCAGAATACATGAATTCTGACAGTTTTTCAACTGATTTTTCTCCTTTGGAGTATTTGATACACGTAAGGAAAGCGGAACATGTTGTTAGCTTTAAAATGCCGAGAGTTGACTATTTTCCAACATTGATATTGACAAGAGAAAAGAAATACGTCAAACAGTTGTTGGATTTAGTAAATTCTGAATCTGATGAAATTTCACAGGCAAGTTTAAGAGTATTGAATGAAATGTGTCCTGACGAAAAGATCAGAAAATCTTTACTAAAGATTGATGATTGGAAACAAGTGTTCGATGAGAAACACAAAGGTTTGTTGATGTACAAATTACACATGTTAGGAAATTTGTTACTGAAAAATGAACATAATTTCGTTGAACAGTTTTTTAAAACTAATGGTCCAACTGAATTATTTATGTTCGTTTTGACAAAATCGAGAAAAGAATTTCCTAATTTCGATAACCTTCGAACTGTTCTGCAGCTCGGCCAATTTGTTTTTTCAATGATTGAGAAACCGGAACAAATGAAAGATTTAATTCAAAATCTCGGCCAATCTCAAGTTGAAAACATTCTTAAATGGTCGAATATCATATTAGAAGAAAAACAGACGAAGGAATCAATAGAAGTTATCGACGCACTATTGACTTTCTTAGTTCATTTCGCAGAATACGGTGAACCTTCCGCTTTCTTGACAGAACAATTCGCATTGTTATTCAAAAAAACAATTTTCCATTCAAAAAATTCAATAAGAAACGGTTTGGTCAATGTCTGCAAATTCATTGATAAAGTGAAACTTGAGAAATTGTTGATAGACGTGTTACCAAGTGCTACGTGTAATGAATGTGCTGAATATTTCTCTTTACTTGATTCTGACAATTTTTCAAACAAAAATTTATTGTTTGACAGTGCGAAAAACATTATTTTGGGGAAATACAATTTCACAGATAAAGACACATTAGAGATCTTGAAGACTTACTCACCGCCTTCCATTTTTACACATCATTTGTTCAAGTTACTTTCGAGTTTAGTTTCAAAAATATATTGTCCAGTTGAAGACATGAAAAATCTTTGTATTTTTTGTATGAACAACATCTTGTTTAATCCTTTGAAGTATTTCGATCCAACTAAAGAGTTCTTCGACTTCGTGTTCTACGCAATCAAACAAGATGTCTCTATTTTGGAGAATATTATGCCTTTTCTCGGTTTTTTGAGTCAAAAAATGCCAGCAGAACAAAATGTGAACCATGAAGTGAGATACAGAGGCATCTACAACCCAGAACACAAGCATTCCCACATATCTACATGTGTTCAACAATTGTATAACATAAAAGAGTTCAGAGACCAAATTTTGATTCCTCATGTAACAGATCCTTTATGGTTTAACGAGTTACAGTACCTTTTCGCACAGTTAATGCTGTTCCCGACAACAGCAATCGATCCAACGGACTTCATAACATCTCTAAATTGGAATTCAAGGACTTTGGAAAATAGATTATGTGATGCAGGAGATTTTTTGTCACTTTTTTTGGAAAGAATCGGAAAAATTGTGCCGCAGTTGAAAGATTTGTATACAGGAAAAGTTTCACATGAAGTTAAAGGAACTAGTCAGCATTTCAAGCAGGAAATTGTTACTGATTTCATTCTTTTCCCTTTGGAAATCAAAGAAAACAAAAATATTTACCAAAGTTTCCAAACTTTCCTTCATCCGGACATTCTAAGTGGTGCTGAACAGTATTTAGCAGAAGGAATAGGTAAAATCGATGCCATTTCGTACTCCAAAGTCACTGTTGCTCCGAAAATCATGATTTTCCAACTGAAAAGATTCGAAACAAATTTGGCAACAGGAGATCGCCAGAAAATTAGCTCCAGATTCAGTTTCCCGAGAACTCTTGATATCTCTAGTATCATGAAAGTTGTCAACCAGCCAGTGATGTATGATTTGATCGGTGTAACTGTTCACGCGGGAAATTTGATGCCTGGTTATTTCTATTCGTACCAAAAATGTGACAATGATGATGATTGGCGAATTTTCAATGACGCGAGAGTTGCTTCTATCTCTAATACAAGGCTTAACCAGTTCTTGAGCCTTGGAGAGACAAACATGAACAATTATTACAACGGGAATTCCGAACAAAGTGAAAGATCAGACACCGCTTATTTGTTGTTTTATCGACAAAAAGAATTTTCTGAAAAAATTTCTGATTCTGATGTTGACCAACAAATTTTAACAAAAATAGTGGCAAATGTACAAAACCTTGTACAAGGAAAGATGATAACCAACAGCTTGTACTTCGATTTCATCTTGGATATTGCGAAAACAACAAACAACGCTCAATTGGCTTTTACTTGTTTGTCAAAACTTTTGAAGTCAATTTTTGATGAACAAAAACTACTTTTATTAATAGAAGAAGTGAGGAATTTGTGCAAATCACATAATGAAGTATATGAAAATGTACTTGGCGAGAAGGATAACTACGAACAATTCCTTCTAAAAGAGAAATCAATAAAAGTAAGACAGAGTTATTCCGAATTCATTTATGAAGCGATTTCCGTGACAAAAAACTCAAAATTTTATTTCGAATTTCTTGAAAGGAATCTTGCGAAATGCGCTGATTACTGGGATAAGCTTGAGTCCTTCTTAGTTCCTTTGATTAAGCTTGCAGAAAAAGATGAAATTGATCATTCAGAGTGGATGAACAAAATCATGAATTTCTTGACATTAAAATTAACTGAAACTTTGCCATCAAGAGGAAGAAACCTAAATTACATACTTAAATCGATAGATCTCAGTCCATTCTTCAAGATCATTGTAACAATCCTTAAACACAATGACATCTGCAGGAATGAATACAGAGGAACTCTTCTTTCTCAAGATTTTTTCAGATCTCTTTTGTCTTCGAAGAAAAACACGCAAGGAATCATCGCAATATGGCTGATGCTCACTGAAACATCACTTCCTAAGTTCATACAGAGCATCACCATCAATAAATCATGGACAAACGATGAACTTGCCGCTTTCTTTATCTTCGGATCCCATGTTTACAAAGAAAATCCAAGTCTTTTGACGTGGAGTCTTGAAAGCACGATTGTCTTTGACATGAACAAACTGAGTGACTTCATAGCAGCTATAAACGACAGGATAACGCGTAATGATCCTAATTTGGAAGCCGCTTTGATGTCGAAGATCGCTTTCATCACTGAACATTGGATTTTATCTCGAGGAGAAAATGTCAGAAGAAACACTTGGACATTATATCGAACAACTTACCAAAACAACTGGTCAGAGACCCAGAGATCGTTGGTAAAGACAATCTGTAAGAAGATGTTCGAAAAACTCCCACAAATGACAGAGATTTCAGTAGCAGTTTCCAATATTCATGAAGCGCCAATTGAAATTTATTTCTCAATTTTGAAATGGTCTGTTCAATTTTCTGACGGTTTTGAATTTGCCATAAAGAATTCGAAATACATAATCAACGCCATGTCAAAGTTCAAAAGCAATGACCAGCTATGCGATAAGTTCATGACATTCGTTATTATGTTTTTGGATGGTGTTGTTCAGCGTGGAGAACCTGCAAAACAGTTTTTCGAAAACGGTTCTTACTCGAGATTTATTGATGTTCTTTTTGAGTCGAAATTCTTTGCTCAACAGTCGAGTTCCTCCAGGGATATCTGCTTGAGAATCATACTGAAGCTTACACCGAATTCATGCTTCTCGAGGTTCATTAAATCATCTGTTTTCGACTCAGCCGTTTCCTATTACATGATGAGCCAATCTCAAGTAAAAGACGACATTTTGAGATTTGTCATGGAAAACATTTCGAAAGAAACGGAGAAGAAAGTGTACAAAACTCTGTTCCACCGGGACTATTTCAAAGGCCATTGCAAAGTCAACTCATCGCACTACTTCAAGCTGTGTACAAATGTAATGAAAGAATATCCTGACTTAGGAGAAAGATTCGTAAGTGAAGGAAATTTTGACATTTTAGTCAAAAATTTGACGCACTTTTTCAAGAAAAACTTAAAGATTGGGAACGAACCGGTCGAGAAGATCCATTTGCTAACAAATGTTGTTGTTGCTGTTGGCTCTCTTTCAAACACATCCAAAGCCAAGAACGAAATGGTCAAGAAACTCAAATCAAGTACAGATTTAATTGCAAATTTGCTCAAAAACGGTTTCTCTTCAAATGATGCGAATTTCTTCTGCGCGGCCTGCAAATTCAGCGAGTCATTGATAGTTATAGAGATGCTGAGCACTGTTCTCTCCAACTGGGACAGTCTTTCTCGAAACATCACGATGGAAACATTGAACACAGCGATGTCTTTGATCAGATTAGTTTCTGTTGTGAATACAAACGACAAAGCGATAAAGATTGTTGTTTCCACGGCCATTCTCTCACAGTTTAAGACGGCCCCACCTTACGCATTCCCTGATATCTGTATAATTCTCAAACCTTTCGTTGACGAAGAATCAATTTACCAAGATTTCCAAAAAATTTTGACAAGAGTCGTAACAAGGCATCCTGACCCTTACTACTTCAGGAAATACGTCAGGGACTACTTGTTCGACTTCATAGAGAAGGGAGAAAAGCCTGAGCCATTCTGCAAAGCGTGTTTGAAACTTGTAAAAGGTGCTTACGCGAATGTTGTCGCAAATAACGAAGGAGCACTGGTTGATTTGAGGAGTTTGATGGAATTCTTGCTGGAATTGTCAAAGAGAACTAAGAAAACTATATCTAACATAGGTTTAACTGATGATCAGAAACAAATTTTGGCTCATTTGATGAGTAAGTCAAAGAATCCGATTGCACCTGATATATTGTATTTACTTACAGCGTTACAAGAATAATGTGTTTGTTTTTTATTATTTTTTTGTTGATTAAAATCTATATTATTGTTAAATTTTTTATACGTTTTAAATGTATTACGAACTACCAAACTCCTTAAATATTAAGAAAATTCCTGTATAACATTTTTTTAACTAGGAATACCTCATGTTCTGATGTTGTAATCCTTTCAAACTATACGAGATTTGATGATTTTCATAACTTGTTTTGGCAAGGTTTATCATTGTATTATCACATTTTATTTGTCTATTGTAGATAGTCTTATTAACATTAATTGACAATACAAATGCTATTGCCATTGCATAACACTCGAGTTATTTCGTTAAATGATGCAGGAACCTATTCAAGATAAAATCTGTGAATTATGCATGATATTTAAGGGTGCACACGAGAGGGTCATGTAAACTTCAGAATATAGAACCTTATTTTTAGGCATTATCTTGGCTACCTATTTAGGCTCGAAAAGCAAAAAATATCAAAAAATACAACTTGACTCCATTATGACCCTTTCATGGAGGTAGTTTTTATCCGCTAGTATTTTCCCTTTGAATCTCTTTACAATTCGAAATCAAATTCAAACCTCAGTAGAAGAAAGGAAGAATCGACTTACTACGGTTGTAATACGAATAAATACATATATTTAATTATTTTTATTTACATAATAATTGTTTGAAGCTCATATTCCATCAAATTTTTAAATAAAAACATTAAAATGTTGAAAATGTTCATATATTTTAATAGGGTTTTGGCACTTTATTGAGGAATTACTACATACATAGTCGAACTGAACTTGATATTTTGAAATTTAAATTATTTATCAAAATTAAAATTTAACTTGAAATTTATAATTATTTAGTCATATTTTGCATAATTCTAAGTTAGGGCTGTACAAGATTTAAAAAAACATTGCCGGGTTACCGTAGAGGCCTAAAAAAATCGCGCCTCGGCGGCAAGCCGCCTCGGCATTAAGAATGCGCATCTAAATTTTTATATGTCCTTCTTTCTTTTATTTTTCCCTTCCCTTTCTTTTCTTTTTCTTTTTTTTTCCCTCCTCTTGCTCTCATTTACCTTTTTTTTCCTTTTCTCATCATTTTTCAAAATTTTAAATTTTTATCAAAAATCTTGCCTATAAAAGCAGACTATGGAACCTTTTAATGCCTCTTAATCAATATTATACAGCATAAAGCATATTAAATGAAAGTAATTACGTATAAATTTATTTTATTATCTTATTTATTAATTCTTTAGCATGTATTGTTTAATATTAACTTTTCTGTACATTAAATATGATATCTCCAAAGTATGAATGCCTTGTAACGAAACGAAAACTTAATTTTATGTTGAATATTTGTCACAAACATTAGATTATTAAAATATATGTTGGATATCCCTTAGTATGAGACTTCATGACTCTTGTAGTCTAACGTGAGCTTTGGATTGCAAGCTCTGTGGTTAACGAACATAAATTAATTGTAAAGTTTTCAAAATTTTTCATCGTTTCTATCAGCATCTATTTTTCCTTTAAAATAATATATTTGTATGAATACAATATTTAGTAATTTTTTATTTCCCATAATTTCATTCAAAATTTCAGAAAAAATTAATTTCTATTCAATATTATTTCAGCTTCAAAACACTTCATTCTTATAGATGTTGATTCACTAAAGTGTGATACTCAATGTCTTATTTCAATGAAAATTGTTCTGCAAATTTATTTCACTTTTGACCTCACTTTTTCCGTAATTCAATTTTTTACTTTTAATATTTTAGATCTTCATAATATCATTTGAAAAATTAACCATATAAAAAATCAAGTTAACAATTCACTTTTTCCGTAATTCAAAAATCAAAAATATAAATAATATATCTTTTTATCATATTATTAATTATATTCTATGAAAAATGAGGTCCGGAAATTTTGCGGATTCCCGTAACTCAATTTTACGGAAAAAGTGCAGTAAACTATTCAAAATACGGAAAAATTGGTGTAAACTAATGATTTTACGGTAAAATCACGGAAAGTCCCGGAAGAATATATGTGCCGATATGAAATTACAAAAATGAATCAAACGCATTTTAAAAGATTGTTCTTGTATTATAAATGCTATTCGCTGATTTATTAGTTGAAGAAAATTACCAAATTTTTGCCGATTTACAAAAAATGATTTACAAAGCATATTTTTATAAGGCTTTAAAAATCTTTAAAATGTGACCGGTGACGGAAATCCATGGTAACCAACCGCGGTTCCCGTTTGGAATGCCATATTCTAAGTAGATTTTGTAAAAAATCAAGAAAGAAAAATTTTAACGTGCTTTATTTTTTCTTTTTTATAATAATACATATTATTATATAATTAACATATTCATAATGTTTCACCCTTTCAAAAATATAATACTCCTCCTCTCAAATAAACGTACATACGGGTGGCCTCTTTTTTCAAAAAATTAAAATTTGAAATTTTGGGCTCAAATATTAGAGATTTTTTTCAACCTTCAACGATATATGTTATATCAGACCTCCTTTCTTTTTGATACTTAACATTGTTCCTAAATCTTAGCCGTTAAGGCTGTTCTGAAAATATTTTTTTTTTCGAAAAAATTCGAAAAAAATTCTTAAAATTCAAAAATCCCTTAATTCCTGAGGATTTTGGAAAAAAGTTTTTACATGAACATGTGTATATTATATGAAGTATATTGATAAGGTAAAAATCAAATTTTATTGCATATTCATCGAGAAAATAAACTAACGAATCCCTCAAAATTGAGAGGGTAATCCTCCTCCTCTCAAATAAACGTACATACGGGTGCACCCTTAATCACAAATTTCGGATAACATTATAAATAGCATATGGTTTTTAACTATATAACTAATAATATGTCGCTCGATTAACAACTTTTTTCAGATTTGAATTTACAAAAAATGCTCTTTTTCACGTTCTGACACAAAAATCAGATAGGAATTTGTACACTTCAAAAATCTATTGAAAAAGTCAATAGGATTAAAAGAAAATTGAATTGAAAAAATAAGGTGAGATTGAATCTGAAAAAATAAACTTACATTAATGTCGGTCAATTTTATTGATATTTTGGATGAGAAATGAAATTATATGATGGTGGTTACAAAAATTATCAACTCATAATTTTTGATAAGATAGAAAAATATCATAATTTAGGTAAATAATCATCACTGATAGTTTTTTTTTCGGAAAAGAAATGACAACCTCAGAATATTTCATCAAATCATTTTATCAATTTTATGAATGAAAACCCAAAAATAAGGGCTGAATATATCTATATGTAATTCTTCTCAAAAATTCAAATTGAATTGAATTTATACTGTTATGTCTTTATGCTATTGACTTAATGGTGAGTGCCGATGTAGAAAAACGATCAAAAAAATTGATTTTGATATTGAATTATTGTTATCACCTAAGTTAATAGGAGTGAATGTACGTATTGAGTTTAAGGATTTTTCTCGGGTTTGGCAAAAAAATGATTATATTCCCAATTTCAACTTTATATTTGGAATGGCTGAGTATCTAGATTTTTTAATTTTCCTGACCTTATGTATCTGATATTTCCAATCGTACTTGTTCCAATTGAAAAGTCACTTTTCATGACGGTTTCTTGACTAATCTGATAATTATATCCGTAAAACATATGAAACTTGATGATATCTCATATCTTACTTTACTAAAAAAGTGACTCATCAAATTTGTGAAATGAGCTCTGAGAATGAGAAATTTGTTTTTATGTTACCATCTCTTTTAACAGAAGGATTAATGGAGGATGACTCAGAAAATTACTCATTCGTAACATTCGCTCGTCCCCAGATCTCAGAAGCAACAAAAATTATTATTGATACAATTGGCAAAGATTCCTCCAATGTATCGACTACATCTAAAAAGCGAGTTAAAGTGTTAATGGAATTTTTCGCTGTTGCGTTATCTCTTAACATAGAATATTGCAAATTTATGGAAATAGCTGTTAATTATTACGAGCAATGGCTTGAAGATTCCTCATTATATGGAGATATCAAGCGTCAAAACAAATATATGCGCCGTATTATCAAGCAGCTTTCCCAACCATTCGCAATGCGCGAACCACGAAATTCCACTACATTCCAGCAGCAGTTTTTACCACTTTTGATGAGAATCCTTACCATTTATGATACATTCATTGTCAACCGTGGTAAAGAGTTCGAATTAGATACCTGGATCGTTTTATTAAATACAGTTATCGGTATCACGGATTACGTCATTAAATTCTCACTCGCTCCTCTTTGCCCAGAAGATAAGATCTCAGAATTCCGTCAGAAGGCCGTCAACCTTGTTTTTAACACCATTTTATTCTCCGGATTTGAAGATGCTACACATTGGGAACGTGTTGTTAAATACTGCCACAGATGGAGTAACAACAACGATTTCATCACAGTTTGGGGAGTTCGTACGAACGAACTCTGGAAATACTTCAACCTCATCACATTTAAGCTCCCAGTTGAAGATATTCCAATCAAACAAGGTGTCTTTTCCGAAACGAAGAAGATTTCGGACAAGGTCGCTTCAGATTTCTTCCATCATGTCGTTACATGTCTCGATTATTCTCAAATTACAGATAAGCCAGAGCTCTTGCTTACAGTTGCCAAGGCTATCTCCGAGGCCAAGGACACAGCCATCAAAGTTGCTGAGCAGACCTCTAAAACAATCGAGATCCACCGCTATCCAGCTTATTCTTTCCTCAAGCTCTTCGGCAAATTCCTTACATGCGCTCCAGTCTTATCAGAGGCTTATGATCAAGCCATTTCAATCAACGTTATCACAATTCTCCATATTATCTCAAAGTTCGAATTCCACGAAGCAGATTCCCTTATTCCACGCTTCATTGCCTACATAACACAGCACGCTAACGAAAACCACGCTTCCGTAATACTTTCCTTCCTTTCCCAGGCCACAATCGCATATACTAACTGTGGCTCTGTTATTCCATACGTTTCCTCCATCGCATTGCATCTCCTTGCCATTGTCCAGATCGCTAAGCAGACAGACAGCCAACTCACAGAAAATATTGTTTCACTTTTCATCTCTGCTGCTAACTCTACTGGCAAGGGAATGGGCGCAATCGAGAGCGCATACGATCACCTACGTACTGTCTGCCCAAGTATCACAGATCGCTACAGATTACTCACTTCATGCTCTACTACCGGAATTGACATCATCGTGGCACTCAAGGAGTACTGCAAGAAGGAGAAGTTCAACCAGTACGTAACACCAAACAACTATACATTCATCTGCTCATTAATTGCCTTAATTGCTTCAATCATCAGAAACGATCCAACAGTTATCGATATCGTCATTCGTAACGGCCTCATCCAAACAATCCTCCAGAACGTTGGATCAATCGATTCTAACAAGCCAAACTTCGACCGAATCGTATTACAGACACTTTTGATGGTTTACGAGGTCATCGAATGGGCTCCAAGTGCTTTCCACCTCCAGGAGAACTCCAACGCCCTCTTCGAATTCATTTCCATCATCAACTCTACAATACTCGGAGGAAGATCTCAACGTTCCAATACTTCCCTCATCTCCATCTCTCCAGACAAGGGCGCTCTCGGAAGTGCCAAGTCAAGCAAATCCGACAAACACCGTCAAAACCACATTTCGTATCTTGTCTCCTCAATTCAAGCGAGACTCGCACTCCATTCCTCACCAATCGAGCATATTACACGCAAGTTCTGCAGCAGCCACATGTTCTGCGAGCAGACAATCATCGATCACCTCAAGATCAAAGATCCGATAATACATTACGTTACAGTTGGCTCGAACACCCTTATCTCGTTCATCGAGACCAAGGAGTGCAAGGACCCACTCGCCTTCTTCGCACGCGGACCATTCGGAAAGGCCGCATACATGATAGAAGACGATTACTCGAACGGAAAGGCTCCAGAGCTCTCCGACGAGATCCAGCCAACCAAGTTACCGAAGGCCGAAGCGATCAAACCAGTCCCACTCGAGCTTTACGGCGAGGAACCGAAGAATGTTCCATATCTCAGCCAGGCAGAGCTTACATCTGTCGACGACAACCTCAGGAAGGTCTACGGCGAGGAGTTCTCCCGGTGGACTGACTGGGACAAGCACGCCTACTACGTTCCGTTCAATTACAAGGCTCCATACCAGAGATTGCGAATTGTCGACTTCCTTACAACATTCGGCATCTTGGATATCGAGAACAAGAACGTCGTAAGGCCACAGGTAGACGTTGCTGCAGTCGATGCTGTTAAGAAGAAGTTCGATCAAGCGGATAACGCTCCAATTGTTCCAATTCCAATCATCCACTTCATGGCCGGCGATCTCGACTTGGAGTACAAGCAGGAGAAGACAAGAATGACTCCATTGTTGCTCAGCTTCCTCAAGGAAATCGGCGAACCAATTGAATTATCCGCTGAAGCAAGCGAATTCTACAAATTACCAGCAGTCAACACAACAGTACCAACTGTTCCATTCTTAACTGCTTTCGCTACATTCTTTACACCAGGAATGGGTGCAACACCTCACGACTCCGAAAAAATCCACAATTTGCAGAAAGATGCTCCAATTAAGATAATCTTCAACGAATCTGGCTTCGAGTTGAATATACCAAAGGACGATAAGGCTTCATCGTTCTTGATCGTTGTCAAACCGCTTTTCAGCGGTCTTTACCAAGTTGACATTGTCAACTCTCCACCGGATATCCTCTCTCCATTCACCTACACACAGGTTCTTAACGCTAAGAGCCTCTCAATCAACTTAACTCTCGCCTTAGAATTACTTATCCACGACATCCAGAAGCAGATCTGCCCATCTACACCAGACGCAAGAGGAAAGATCATCAGAGAGTTATGCCCCAAGGACAAGAAGTATCCAGAATTGGCTGCTCTCGCTCCTGGAATGTTCGATTAATCTCTTTATTTTCTTTTCTTATTTTTTTTATATAATGGCAAGTGAATTTTTACTTAATCTGATATTTTTAAGTAAATATAAAATATTGATTTTATAATAAGGGTTTCGTTTTGCTAAAATTGTCACTTTTATAGCATATTTGTTTTTGGATGTTTTGCGAAACCAAAAAAAAACTATGATATACAATGTGTGTGTAAAGAAAATACTTTATTTACTAGTTAAAAAATCATTTGGTATTGATCAAGTTTTTTTTTCTGGATAAGATATTATATGGATAATTGGATAGAAAATACAATTATATAATCTTGTACCTGGTTTAATTAAGCTAATTGTCATCAGAAACTTGTAATTTTTATGAATTTCAGATTTTCTTTTCATTACTGCTTTTCTTAATAGGTCAAGTTCTTATTTACGTTATAAAGTATGATATTTACAAATATCAAGTTATCATGTTTTTTGAGAAATTATGAGAAACAAACAAAAATGAAAAAGATAGGAATAGCAATGAATAGTGATGTGGGTATAGAAAATGTAAGAGATATGAATGCAAAGCAATCAGTATTTAGGATATTGACCATAGATTTCGAAAAAAAAATGCTGCATATTGAGCGAAAACTATGATTATATTATAAGGCTGTCATTTAAAGCATAATGAAACTATTCCCTTTTCATTTTAATCGAATAAGATAGTAAAGATTTTTGAATTAGCTAGAAACTGATGAGATGTTTTCACAAATCAGATTTTTAATCTCTATAATGCATAATTCACTCAATATCTCAATTTTGATATTGCGAGATATTTTTGCTATCGGTTTCGCAATTTTGACACAATAGCAAGAGGGTTCTATAAGCATTATTATCAACGTAGAATCTGAATATCATATCAGAAAATGTCGCAAAACTGACATTTACCCGACCAAATAGCAAAAATAATTGAATACTTTTCGCAAAAACTTTAAAAATCGATAAAAATATGAAATATAGATATTAAAGAGACTTTTTATATAATATTCATATAGATTTTCCAAAAATATGATACCGCAAAATTAAAAAAGTGACGTCTTGAGTGGAGTCAAAGGTCGAAATTGCTAGCTAAATGTTTTTTTAGCGAAATTGCGTATTGTACGTTTTTTTCGCAAAACGAAACCCTTATTTATAATTATTAAAATTACAAAAAAATATTTTTGATTTTTTAAGAATTAACGAATTCCTCATGCATTTTTATCTCTTAGTTCTTCGTGCTGATAATAGATTGATTACTTATTTAAGCTCATTTGTCTCAAATATAAATAATTTTTCACGATTTTTGACTTAAGAATAAGTGGTTAAAATATATTATTGTACTTCCAGAGTATAGATCATTCACATAAGAAAACTAATGAATAATGAAATCTCATCAAAATTTAGATTAAATTTGATTTGTAAGAGTTTATTTCGATAATACGATGTATTTAGGAACTAAAGAACTCTATTTAAGTAAAGGTACTTCGGATCTAGATCCCTTGATGATTTTGGCCTGAAATTTTGTATATAAGGTATACATATAAATATAAGAACATGTGCAAAGTCTCACAGATTTCACATGATTAATCGTACGGAAATAATATTAAACGCATTCAAATGCTTGGAGATTTCAAAGAATTCAATAACATCGAGGTTAATAACTTTCAGGACGAAGACATATCGTATGTTTCTGATTTCCCAATTACCCATCATTGCGGATTTATTTCATTCCTTCCCATTCTAATTTTCATTTTTTCATTACTTTTATGCGTAATGGCTCCTTCTCCAGCCCAACAAATCATTCAATCCGATAAATTATCATTCAATAAAGATGCTAAATTTTCCGCAATCGAAAGCTACGTATCAAATGTTAAACCAATGAGCGAATACATGAAAGTATCATTCAGATTCGATGAAGTATTAAATCGATCTGTTACTGCATCAGGAAAGGTTGCAATCAAATGCAAGAAATACGGCAAAGTCGTTCACGAATACAATCAAGATTTCAAAGAGCTAAATTTGGTCGCTTCTCCTATAAATTGGTCGACTAATTCGATTGAAGTATATCACAACAGAAGGATCAACTATGATTCGATCAATATTAACTTTGTTTTCTACTCCGAAAAGCCAATTACAGAAACATTCACCCTTATTTGGGAATCCAGTGATCCTAACTTTATTCTCGTTTACGCGATTACCAAGGTCATGGCATCGGCTTCTTTCCTTTGTTTCTTTGTCATTTTCGTGGCAAAAAGCTTTACTTCACTCCACGCTACAACCATCCGAAAACTGACTGCAGGACTATTGTTCTTCTCGATTTTCATTTTTGATCCACTATCTGTCATTGATCTTTTCCAGATTTTCCCATTCCATCTTCCAACTAACTCTTTTCGCATATTATACTTCGGATACTTCATGTTCTACACTATCGCAATCTTCTCATTCATTGGTTTCGACAGAGAACAAGCTTCAGTACCAAGAATGGCCGTTTCAATCGTAATTCCAATCATTTTGACATCAATTACGGCCGTATTAGACTTACAAAAAATAGATACATCTAAAGTATCTATTATGAGCTACGATTTATCAACAGGAAACGAATTTACAATTTATTATCTAATAATCTACGCAGTTTACCTTATTACGTTCATTACTTCCATTGTTCTTGCTAAAGTATCAATAACACCCAAGCTTGAAGACGAAGAAAGCAAGGAAGTCGAGCCACATCCACAAACAGATCGTTTTAACTACTACTGCGTTGCTACGATGCCATTTGCACTTGCATTCCTTCCATTCTACGTATCACCACGAAATATCCCTTATATCCATGGAACAACCGTCGAATTGATGCTCCCTATTATTCTCGCAATCATGTTCGGACTTATCATGGATCGCGCGCACACACCAACTGACGGACTCCAGTCTGGTTACGTCCAGGTCGGCGATGAAGAAGTTGACGAAGATAATCCTATTGGAATCGAAGCTGACCCGAACACACTCACTATTCCTGATACAGAGGAACCATAATAGTATTTATATTATTTTATTTAAAGCAGATTGTTTATTTTAGATAATTTTTCAATTTTTTTATTCATTTTATTTACAAAAATTTAGGCCTGGACAAAATCGAAAAAAACATTACCGTGCGGTAAAATGGGGTCAAAAAATCGCGCCTCGGCGGCTCCGCCGCCTCGGCACTATGAAATGCGCATAATATTTATTATGTTCTTTTTTCTTCTTCTCCTTTTTCTTTCCCTCTTCCTCTTCTTTTCCTTCTTTCCTTGTCTTTCTCTTTTTCCATCAATGTCTAAGATCTTCGAATTTGATTATTGGAAAAGCATCGATTTCAGATAATGAATGCCTTTCTCACATTCAATATACGAGGATCCTGGTTGAAACGTTCTCAAAAAGCCTGAAATGGTTCTTCTCAGATCACTCAATGCTGGGCAGGTAGCCATTTCAGGCTTAGGCAGAATCTTCTGTTATTCTAATATTTAAATATTTCCGATATATACTATGTATCTATATAAACGAATGTTAAAAATCATCAAGGGATTTTTTGATATGAAATATTAAATTTTAACATATCAGCTTCAATGCAAGAATACCTTAGTTTTTTTATGTAGCTTACAACTATGCTATTCATTTTAAAAACAACCAAAATTTTTTTAATGCAAATTATGCCGAACTTAATTTCAACATAACAATCTGAAATTTATAGGAATAGTAGTACTTATAGTATACTTTATATATGCCGGAAATCAGACATGTATTACTCATATTCGGAGATTTTTCCCGATGAACATTAGTGAAGGAAAAAAAATTCACTAGAAAATAACGTACAAACTTCCGTAGTACCTTTATTTAAGGGTGCACCCGTATGTACGTTTATTTGAGAGGAGGAGGATTACCCTCTCAATTTTGAGGGATTCGTTAGTTTATTTTCTCGATGAATATGCAATAAAATTTGATTTTTACCTTATCAATATACTTCATATAATATACACATGTTCATGTAAAAACTTTTTTCCAAAATCCTCAGGAATTAAGGGATTTTTGAATTTTAAGAATTTTTTTCGAATTTTTTCGAAAAAAAAAATATTTTCAGAACAGCCTTAACGGCTAAGATTTAGGAACAATGTTAAGTATCAAAAAGAAAGGAGGTCTGATATAGACAACATATATCGTTGAAGGTTGAAAAAATCTCTAATATTTGAGCCCAAAATTTCAAATTTTAATTTTTTGAAAAAAGAGGCCACCCGTATGTACGTTTATTTGAGAGGAGGAGGATTATATTTTTGAAAGGGTGAAACATTATGAATATGTTAATTATATAATAATATGTATTATTATAAAAAAGAAAAAATAAAGCACGTTAAAATTTTTCTTTCTTGATTTTTTACAAAATCTACTTAGAATTATGCAAAATATGACTAAATAATTATAAATTTCAAGTTAAATTTTAATTTTGATAAATAATTTAAATTTCAAAATATCAAGTTCAGTTCGACTATGTATGTAGTAATTCCTCAATAAAGTGCCAAAAACCTATTAAAATATATGAACATTTTCAACATTTTAATGTTTTTATTTAAAAATTTGTTGGAATATGAGCTTCAAACAATTATTATGTAAATAAAAATAATTAAATATATGTATTTATTCGTATTACAACCGTAGTAAGTCGATTCTTCCTTTCTTCTACTGAGATTTGAATTTGATTTCGAATTGTAAAGAGATTCAAAGGGAAAATACTAGCGGATAAAAACTAACTCCATGAAAGGGTCATAATGGAGTCAAGTTGTATTTTTTGATATTTTTTGCTTTTCGAGCCTAAATAGGTAGCCAAGATAATGCCTAAAAATAAGGTTCTAAATTCTGAAGTTTACATGATCCTCTCGTGTGCACCCTTAAGTTGTTTTAATTTCCCAAAAAAATCTTGAAATAGAAAAAATAATTTGAACTTTCTAGAATTTTTCATTAAAATTATGAAATTTGAATTTTTTTGGAGTTTCATCATTACAAAAACTAATCATAATAGTCAAGTTATCCATTCGACATTTCAAATCTCACTTTTATTTAAATTTCACATGTGAAAAAAATTCAAAAAATGAAAGAAGGAATGGATTGGGATTTGAAACAACTGAAACCAGTTGAAAATACTCCAGCAGAAGAGAATTCAGCAATTGTAGCTGATGCTTGGAAGTCTAAACAAGTGACTCATGTATTAATATGCTTCCTTATTACTGCAATTGTTTTGATTTCGATTTCATTTGTTGGTCCACCTTCTTCTATTAAATCATCATCTACTTCCAAATTACCAGTGTATGCTGGAAGTGGTCCTTTTGATATGAAACTCGCTGTAACAAAAGTTTCACCATTTAATCAAAAAATTTCAGTTTTCGTTCGTTTTCTTACCAGTGAAGCTATGTACGATTATGCAAAACCATTTGTAAATAGTGGAAAGATGCTTTTCACTCCAAAAGTACAAAACAAATCCCTTCCAACTCGAATTATGAAATTTTCGAATCTTACATTCGACATATATAGCAGAAAATATGTTGAACTATTCGAAGAAAACATGATTTATTTCGATGAATTTGATTTAGTGACATCTTTTGAAAAAGGTTGCGAATCTTGCGTCGAAATGGAGTATGCAACAGTTTATACATCAGTTTCGTCAACATTTTATGATATATGGACTCGACTTGCATTTACTATTGCTCTTTCAATAATTTTATTTAGAAGTTCAACATATAATTTTATTTCGACTCTCCCTTACAAGACAAACACTTACTTATTGCTTTTCATCGTAATTTTAGCTAATAATCCATTGCATATACTCAGTTTCTCTTTTTTGAGCCAATATTTCTATTTATATGATAAAATTATAGAAATCGTTGAGCAGTCGTTTATTATCTACTATTCACTTTGGATTATTCAGACACTTACTGATTCTCAAATTTCTGCTTCTTTCTTTGGAATGATTTCAATTTCGATCTTAGGCTTTAATTTATACAATAACTACTACCCCGAAATAGTTATTGGATCAGGAAATACTATTACCCCTGAGATGGAACTCGGTTTATATACAGGAGCCATTTTATTGGTTGGATTAGTACTTTCTTTCTTCATAACAACTGATTTACCAGATCTACAAGAGCGCAGCAGGAGATTAGTTTACTTTGCAACCATTTTTATTACAAGAATTCCATTTTATTTAGCAATCTTCGTTCCAAAGAAATTCCTACCGAACCAAACATCTTTGGTATTAAAATATCTTTCAAATAACTTGTTTGCAGCGTTAATGCTTTTCATAAACCTCAAATTACCTTGGAAAGCACTTAATTCTTACGTTGATCCTTCAGAACAGCCAGATGGAATAGAAGAGTTGCAGCCACAAGAACTAGCAGCTTAATTTCTTTATTTTGTTTTGTTATTTTTGTTATATTGAATAAATTGTTTGGAATTTTTAAATTTTTAGTCAAAATTGAAGAACCAAAACAATTTACAAATGTAATTTTATGAAAAACATTTGAAAAATTTAAATAATATTTTTATTAAAATAAAATACAAACAAAAGAGTAAGATTACTTTGGTTCTCGTTCAGAATCATAGAAAACCTTTTCTAAGTATCGTGCAAATGCTTCATCATCGATTTCATTTGAAACAAATTGAGTTGTATTTGGATTGTTCTTGTATAAGGCCTTGCATATGTATACAGTAAGTATGTGCTTACAAAATGGAGATGTGTGATTTAACAAAGTGTTGTTTTTGAACGCTTGGCAGGAACAATGAAAAGCTTTTGGAGAAATAATAATATAATTTGCACTGCTTTTGGATGAACTCACAGTCCATAGCTCTCTGTGAGTAGTTCGAGCGAAATTTTTTGTAATACTCTCTTTTGTTAAAATATTTTTTGTACTTTTCACCAGTTTATCACCACATATTGTAGAAAGGAAGATCCATAGATCTGGTGTCAATCCTTTTTCTTCAATATCTTGCATCAAACTTAAAAATCCAGCATGACATATATCCATTTGTCACTTTTTACTTCCTTACTTCCTCTCAAAAGTGACTAAAAATAAGTTTTCTCAGTGGGATTTTAGAGAATTACAAGTAACTATGAGACATTCCATACATAACATAATAGCATCAAAGGACAAAAAGATAAGAAATGAAAATGTCTCTTTTTCTATCTTTGATGTGAGATTCATTAAATGTATTAAATTAATATGAACTAACACAATATATAGTTCCTGTTTATTAATAAAGTCTTATAGGATAGCATAACAACGCTCTGTTATAATAGAATTTGTGAATAAATTTGATTATGTTAATTTTAAATCTGGCAGAAGGAAAATAAGGAACAACTAAAACACCACAATAGTTGTGAACCAAAATATTTCTAAAAATCTTATAAAAATCTTTATTCATAAAATAAAATATCAAACAAATCAAAAAATATCTCTAAAAAACATTAATTTGTAATCTAAAACTCTCATAATCTAATGATAAATCCAATCTTCAAAACTGAATTTTCAAATAATGAGATTATCAACATCCCAAGTGAACAAATCAAATGAAAACATTTCCAATGAAGACATCGTATAAGTTGGGACTGCTCCAAGATTCTTAAGTGTCTCCTGGTAATTACGAGTATTATTTGTGACCAAGATCGAAGCCATTCCTGCTTCGTTGGCTGCCTTAATTCCATATGGTGAATCTTCAATTACTAAGGCTTCCTTTGGATCTACTTCAGGATACTTTTCGCAAGCCTTAAGATAAATATCTGGGGCAGGCTTTCCATTGATAACTTCATTTCCGCACACATATGATCCGATCATATTATAAACATCCATGTGGGCTTGGATCTTTTTCTTGAAGTTGCTCGCACGAGATGAGGTAGCGATTGCCATTGGAATGCCCTTATCATAAAATTTAGTTATCAGTTTTTTAGCTCCTGGCATCATAACTGTACTGTTCCAGCAATTTTCCAATAATTTTGTACGTTTTCTGATGAAATTATCTAGATTTGTATTAATATTGTAATAATCAACGATTGCTTTGCAAGTATCGTGAGCGTTCTTACCTACAAGTTGTGCATTAATAGTGGCATCGAGTTCATGTCCGACCATTTGCTCATTCGCCCAGCTGTAGATACCCTCGGTATCAAGTATGGTTCCATCATTATCGAAAATAATTAATTTAATTAAATGCGGCCATTTCTTCTTCTGGGTCATTTGCAAGAAGTTTAAAATTGATGATCGTTATCAATTGAAAAAACTTTTGATAAGAAAATTGGCCAATGTCATGATATTGCTCGAAAATATCCATCTACTTATGGAGAATAAAAAGGGAGCACAATTATAGAGAAAAAAAATTTTCATTGTTTTTGATTGATTGGGAACGAAAAAAAATTCAATGAGATTTCCATAATTCCGCAAATATAGTTTGTAATGATGTCTTGAATAAAACTAAGGCAAATTTATCCACTCAATTATTTCATTTTCTTTTTGGCCAAAAGTTTGTTTACAAACCGATTTCTTCTGAATCTACCGTAATTTTAGAGATTTGTGTCAGGCTGATGCTAAATATCATATTTTGTTGATTTGAGTTGATCGAATCCCATCAACGAATCATAATTTTAACATTTTATTTCAAAAACATTAAATAAGGCTTAGTATCTTTATGTCTTATTTCATCTATGCAGACGAATATCATTTTTTATTTCTATTCTCACAATTCTGAGAAATGTAATCAAAACAAAACTATATGAAACCTTTCGCGAATAAATCGCAAGACTCATAAAAAAGAAAGACAGATCTCTATATAATTACTAAAACATTTTAACAATAAATAAAATTATATTAAGAATACAAGAAAACATAACTTAAGAAAGGCTTGCCAACTCATTTTGAGCCTTTTCAAACTCAACTTCAACCATTTTATTTTGTCTTGATAATAATCTATTTTGTTCTGCGGCAACATCATAAAGTTGCTCGAGAGATTTGATTCCTACATTCTTTCTCACTTCTTTAGATGCCAAATCCTTGAGGAGTTCAAGAATTTCTGATTTTCTGTCGCTATATTCTTTCAAATCATATAATTCTTTAGTTAAGGCAGCGCACTTATCGGAAAGTTCTTGCTGACTCGTCCACTCTTCTTCCATTTTAACTGTGAGCGCCATAACTTCTTCAGACATTGAATTTGATCTCAAAATCTGACTTTTTGTCTCATTTATCTTTCGAGTCAATTCAGTCACAAGCTGTTTCTTTTTACCTACAGATCTCGCATCATTTGCTTCAATTTCTTTGAAAACTCGTGGAAAATCTTTATTTTCATTTTGTATTTCTTCAAGACGTTTTCGTAAATCTGCTATTACTTTATTATTCTCATCTATTTCCTTAATGACTTGTGTTAAAGCGTCTTCTTTATATGCTTGAACTGTCAAATTTGATTTTTGCAATTCTATGTTCCAATTTTGAAGTTCAACAATAACAGATGCGAGATTCGATTCATTTACAGTAATTTCAGCGGTAGTACCATCTAATTTTGCTTGATTTCTTCTCAATTCTAACATTTTTAACGAATTATCCATTTCTAAATTCTTTATTTCGTCTATTTTCTTAGTAATGTTCTGCTTCCTTATTGGATTGTTCGTTCGCAAATTTTGTAACTCTGTCTCTAAGTCTTCAATTGTTATGTAATATGACGGCACTTTTGTTAAAGATTTGGATATACTTTCGTATTTGAGAACTATAATCTCCAGTTGATCGACAACAGGTGTTAAATCTTTTAATTTTTGAGAAACTGAGTTAAGTTGTGATTGAGTTCTGTCAAATTGATAGTTAGCAGCTTCCATTTTCTCTATTTCGTTCATGAGGGCTTGTTCACCTTCTTCTAAGTTGTTATCATGAAGATCATAGCTTTTTTTATCTGGAACAAGCTTTTTAACATTTTTAACATCAAGCGAAAGATTTTGTATTTCTAATAAATTCTTTTGTTCCTCTTCGAGAAAGTCATCTCGCATTTTTTCGTATTCAGATTGTAATAAAATCAAAATATTGTTCTTTTGAGTCTCATTTTCAATCTTATCTCGAAGGTCATCGTTTTTCTTTTCTGCTTCTGCTATTTTTTTCTTTATAGCTTGAGCATTTCTTTCCTTCAACTCAGTCATTTTGAAAATAGAGGAGATACTAAAATTGACATGTAAAATAAAATTTTTTATGCCACGTAAAATAGAACAAAAATCAGATTCGTTTTCATACACGATTTGAACCGCTTCTTTCAAAATTATGCAATTATTTTAAGAAGAATCTGCGGGGATGATTCCTCGTCATAATTATTGGGCATTGATATTCAACAAATAAAATCAAAATCTATTATCAAGTTAAATGTTGCAATGTTTGTATTCCATCTTCAATATTTTTGACCACTTGCAGCAAAAAATATGATAGACAACAATATTGAATTCAATAAATATTTTTCATTCGATAATTGCTATTTGCATTCCCGATCAGAAGCAGAATGAATGTAATTGAATGAGTTTTTAAGTATGTATCTATCATATCTTAATCATTTTCATTCAATTGAGTTGATTGAATTAGATTCATTTCTGATTTCGCATCATGTTAATAAATGCAATGTAATATCGAATTAAAATAGTTCCTGATCCAAAAATATCAATGATCTCGAAAATTTTTCTAGGCATGAAAGCATTGAAAGCTCTTAAACTTTTCAAAATATAAGTTGATTCAATCATAGAATATCTTCTTCAGAAAAATATATTCTATGAAAACTCGTATTTAATTTTTCATATTCTTTTAATAGTACTTATTGTATTCGTTATGATAGTTTATTTCTGTAAATTTATAATAATTATTCAATTGCATAAGTTGTTTTATTTGAATCAATATACAACCCATATCATTTCATCACCAACGTATTGTATACATGCTGTTCAATTTTGAATTGTTTGTTATTCTATAATCTATCAATAAATTGAGTAAAATCACAAATTTTTATAATTTGACTGAGTTCACAATCAAGATAGTTGAACAATTACTGTAGTGCGTTCCTACTGATGGTGTGGAATGTGAAATGACAAAACCTGTAATTTTTTCAAAGTAATTGTGATATTATGAGTGAAATTCTTATCATCTTGGCCATTGTCTGCTCTTAATATACTTGAATAGAACTCATCGCATTTGCCATTTCAATGCAAATTCAAATTTTGGACATTATATTTGAGAGGAGGTTTATTTGCGAAATCATCATGAAAAATGATCATTATAAATGCTTATCATGGCATAAAATCGGCTTAAATAATACAATAAATGTAGACATGCAATCATATAAATGATTTAATGAACAAATATCATAATTTGCATATATAGCAAAGAATAGAAGCAACACATCTGTCGAATTAGTATGTAAACAATATAAAAACTATAATACTCAACGAAAATATTAAAAATCCATTACAAATTTTAAAAATATATTTTTTCTTTTAATAATGAATATCAATGATGAATATGTAATAAACTAGGATTAACTACTCATTTTGTTCGTGTCATTTTATTCAATATCCTTATCCAGAGAATATTTAAGAATCGCGATCAATGAAAAGGAAATTTATATGATTTATATATTTATTTCAATATGTATGTAATTTTGGTATACTTCGATTAAATTAATTCATCAGATGGCAAAGCTTTCAATGATTTTAATTTGATCAATAAATATGTATTGGCGTGAGTTGAAGTTCTTTCACTTCTATGTATACGATGCCTAAAAAGCTCGCATTATACCCTGAAATGGACTGTGTATCGAGATATGAAGATTGAAAGGGAAAAATTCAATTGAAATTGAAAAGATTGCAACCCTATAAATTTGATTTGTTGTATAGTAATTTGATATGAAGTTCATATGCCTGCATTATGAAATAATGTATCTTATAAGCATTTACTTTTGAATTATATTCAGAAAAATTCAATCATGTTTGCAAACAACAAATAATTTTTTAAGAAAATAAACATTACAAATAAAAATTAGTGGAAGTTAAGAAGTAGTGTTAAGTCACTTGGATCAATGAACTCTGTATTTGCAGGCTTTGGAGCAAGTGGTTCGATCTTTGGTCTCATATTTTGCAATCTCTTTATACTCTTGAGTTTCATCTCGAATGCGGAGTCGTTGAGAAGTGGGAATATAACATCCCAGTTCTCTGCATACCAGCAGAGCAAAGCTGATCTGTTGCGTCTAGCAAGTCTATCGAGTTTAAGGGCATATCTTCCCATGACTATTTTTGCAAGGCTTGTTAAAATGGCAATTGTTACATGAGTGCCAAAATACTTATCAATAAAAGTTGAGACTTGGTCAACTTTTGAGCCATTATCTTTCATCCTCTTCTGGACCTTTTCATAGTCTCTAATACTTTGTGGTGTACGGGTCTTCTGGTGCTGGACTGGCATTTGGAAGGAATAGAAGTACATCTCTGGTGAGTACATTTCTAAAAATGAATAATATTTTTGTTCTGAATTGATTTTCAATAACACATTGAATAATGTAAATCATCAGAGTAAAAATGATTTTATAGAGAACTATTAGTTAAGTTAAAATGACCAAAAATGCAGTTTCAAATTCATATACATTCAATCTTCAGAAAAAATTCTGAAGCATAAATTGATTTTGAGAAAAACCTTCCTCTGAAATCAAAACATATATAGTAATGTTTGAGAAGACGAAATAATTAAAGTTATGAAATTTTCCAAATCGAAATTATTCGAATTCAATTGACTCGATCATTGAAATTCAGATACTTAATTTCATCACTCAATCTTTTATATGAAATAATGATTTTCCCTTAATGCCTGTATTTCATATAATGAGTAAATGTTGAGAAAATGAAAATTACTGTCGAAATTCATGAATTGAGATATGATTTGAATGAATTTGCGAATTCTATTCAGCTCAGCAATTCTATTACTATCATTTGATTTTTTTAGAAATCGGGCAGAATTTTCATAGAGAATTTTCATTAAAATTTAGTGGGGAGAATGTATGCGGACGTGCAAACATTGGGATAATCTTTTACATAATGTAACTTTTGTGAATCGAATTCAAACAAACATCTATTTTTTCTCAAAAAATAAAAAAAATTGAATTAAGATTTATGATAGAAAAAACAATAAACAATTTATTTTCTCTCTGAATTCTACCACAATATAATTATATCAATGTTGTAGCTTATAAGGAGTTATATCATTTCAGCCATTTTTATAGTTTCTTGAAAATTGAATCTTGATTTCGAATGCTTTTGGTATTATACCTATTTGTATATATGCATAATGATGTAAAAATGTTTACATATTATATAGTTATGAATATAAGTGGCTGGATACTTATACAATTGAACTTTTTATGGTGATTTTTCGTAACTCAAATTCTTTAATAATTAATGCTCAACCCTCCATGATCAACAATAGTTTCGATGAATATAATACGATCTTCTCATTAAAATGAAAGGACTTTTCAATAAAATCAATATGATTTCAATTTAAAATGAAAAATACGGGTGTGACATGAATAATCAGCTTATTATTGCATTTTTTAATGGGGAAATTAGATTTGAATTCCTGAATTTCTTAGAGTTATTTTTATTAATAAATGCTCTATATGATATGTTTAGGAACTTCCTTTCGATCAACAATAAAAGCAATTCAATGACCGCATATTCAATTTTATATTCGTAAATCAAATCCCATATTTTAGCTGCCCTTCATAATGATCATTTAAATATATCAATGTTTTGTTTTACTATTTTTTACAGTTTCTATTTCAAATAAAAATTATGCTTTCTTTCAAATGTAAAAGATTTATATTCAAATTTTCGTCTGAAATAAAAAGATAGATAATAATGAAATTCATCCATTCCATAACCTATCGATGAATTACAATTTTTTAATTCAAAATAGTCATTTTTTGAATTATCGAATATTCAACTGCTAATAGCTAAATTTTGATATTTCTTATTTTAAGGGGCGAATTTCGGACTAAGATACGGTGCATAAGTTTTAAGAGATATTACCACAGGCAATTTTTTAAAAATACAGCCACACCCATAAATTGCCATTCGTTTGCTATATTTAGCCATATTTTGGTATTTAGATCTTGAACAAAGATAAACATGCTTTGAACAAAGATAGAAATATAGTTATTTTCTCATGAAGACTTGTAAAAAATCAGAGAATATTAGATCAATTTTAAATTATTTTTTTATTAACTTGTTACTCACATCAACAGAATGGAAATGATCAATTAATCAATTCTTTATTGTTCAATTAAAAAAAATTCAATTCAAATGATAACTTCAATAAAAACAGACATACTCATTGCCCAAGGAGAGTTTTATAATGAGGATTAAAACGAATTGAATTAAATTTGACACTTTTTATTGAAATTATTTATCTCAAAAGTGTCAACAATTTATAAAACATTCGAATCTGGAATTTTATGGTCATTTGGGATGTTCTCTATCAATGCAAGAGCTATAATAAAAACTAACATTTATATACTATTTATTTATTATATTAAAACAAAAGGATATTAAAAGTTATTTTTCACTTTTTGCTCTTTAGTCACTTCACTTTTAATCCTTTTTCTCTATTTTCTTTTTTGGTGACAATACTCTGAATGTATAACCAACTGCTATAAGTGCGAACTCCAATAGGAAAGGTCCAAACTTTGTTCTCTTCAAGAAATAGAAGTAAGGACTCAACCAAAGCAAATCCCATCCAGCTCCTTGGTACAAATTCATTGATTGGGTGTAAACACAGTCCAAGATTGTCGCGACCTTCGTTCCAACAGTGCTCTCGAGTAGAGGGGAGAAGAGTTTGAACCTGATCGAGTCGACAAAAGCGTTGGAGAAAACAACCATCGCGTAGACATAATATCCAGGATAAAAACCGTGCCAAAACGCGGAAAACATGTAAGTACAGAACTTTGCAACGGTATTCGAGCCACCGATGGAAAGAACTCTGACGTGGATGAATTCTTTGAGGAAGAAATGAACAGAATGGTTCCATTCATTAACTAATCCGCCAAGTTGTCTTTGGGTGTAGTAAAACTCAGGACGGAAGGATCTGCAGTACTGGATATCGTATGTTTGTACTCTCTGTGCTCCCTGGCATGCTAAGGCTGCTTCGCCGCCGAGCCAAGCAAATCGATATCTCGATGTATGGAAATAAGAGTAAAGAATGGCAATTACTACTTGTAAAAAGTACGAGCGTTCGTAAAATTTGTCTTCTAGAATCATTTTTGTTGGAAATACTTTAATGCAAATTGCATAAAAGAATCCATTAAGTAAACTGAGTAAGAATGGCTTGAGACCTGCTTTAATGTCATTGGAAACTTCTTCTGGTGTTGATTTCATTTCAAGTATCTCTTTAAATGCGGAAAATGGAACAATAGGGCCTGAATATAGGCCAGAATAGCTAAATAAGTAAACAAAGAAATCAAAAATGGGTGGAGGTGATGACAATGCCATCTTCTTCCAATTTTCACGTTTGAGTTCCTTACGACCATCAAATACGTTGAAAGTTGTCATGATTAAACGCAAAGCTGAGAACATAATCAAGCCGGAAAGGTCAGAAGTCCAATCACCAATTGTGTTAAGACGTGTGTAGTGGATGTAGAAGATTTCTGCTATCGGAATTAAAGCACCAACGAGAATGAATGGATTTGGAAGAAAAAACGTAAGATAAACAATCAAGTCGCCTATAAATACTATCAAAAAGCTTGGCCCATATAAGGCATAGCAAAGAGCTAAGCCGCATATCAAATGAAATAATTTTCTATGTAAAGGATTTTGTAATTTTCTTGACACTATGCCGTGTGGATAGCCTGCAACAACTCCAACAGTTAGAAAAGCATTATGGATAGCTGCCTTTCCAACCATTTTTTATTTATTTGAATTTTTATAAATTGCCACTTTTTTTCTCTCGGATTAATTTTGAAATCCAAATAAAGATCTGAAATAAATATGGCAAACTTGATTTAAAAATGATAAATTTATTCTATAAAAACAGAAATTTATTCACAAAATATGTCTAAATCTGATGCTTTCCTTTCTTGGTGAATGTCTTCCTAACAAATCTATTGATATTTCTCATTCCAAGCTTCCTTGCGATAATGATCGTCACAATAATTAAAGCGATTGGTAATCCACATATGAAAAGTACGAATCCAGTAGAATACGATTGTTTCTTATTGGGATTCATATCTATTTTCGCATTAAAGTCTTGTTTGCTTGTATCTTTTTCATTATTTTCGTATCCTAGCTGATTCTTCTTTGAATCATCAATTACAATATGATTCATTGGCTGAGATGATTCAATCTTATCCTTTTCATTAGCTTTGTGCTGTACTTTCTTCTGATTCGAAACTTCTTTGCACCAAAACTTGCAATTGAACTTTGCAGATGATAGTATAAGTTCTGCTGTTGCTGAAACAGAAGAATCAAAGTCAGAATCAACTCTAATATTAGATAAACTAATAATTTTTGAATTAATATCTTGAATAAACGAAGAAGATGTATTAGCTGTATTTCCTTTGAGTTCCAAGTTAGATATCATAATATTATCATTATTTTCTGAGAAAATAACTCCTCCAGTTGGAGCAAAATTTGACAAAAAGTGGCACGCATCAAAGTTAATTAGAGATTCCTTTATAAACGAAACTCCTCCTCTCTTTGTACTGTTGTTGTTTGAGAATTTCGAATGTGTGGCTGTAATTGATGATCCCAAACTCCCAAGACAGCTGCTTTCCAAAGCAAAATTCTGAGAAAAGGTAGATGATGAAATTATTGAGGAAGAATTAACAAAATACATAGCTCCATTCAAGGCTGAGTTCTCTACAAATGAAATATTCTTGATTTCTGACGAATTTGCGTTGAAAACGTTGAAAATAGATTGACTTTGTTGAATTCTTGGATTTGGAACGCAATGATTCATAACAAATGAGGAATCTTCAATCAAGAAGTTACTGTTGTTGATATATATTGGACAAATGTCATTAATTTCGAAATTAATTTTTGATAAATTTACTTTTGTATTATTTTGGATTAGAACTCCAGCAAATGAATACGAGCTGACTGAAGCATAAGATACATTCATATTACTGATATTTGCTTCGTTTAAATCTAGTAATTTAAATAATCCTCCGTTTTGGATTGAAAAGTTGAAAAATCTGAATGAATCAACAGTTATTTTGCCTCCAGTCTGATCTATTGCATAATTAACCGTATTTGATTCGATTATTTTTGAATTATAAATTTCAATATTTCCATTTTCGTTTGAAACGGAAAGAATGAAATTGGTAAACGTTGATTTGTCAATGTCGATATGATCCATGTTAATATTCGACTCAAAACAAGAGAAAACTTGATCTTTCGAATCTTGTTGTAAAATTTTGAGAAAATTCAAATTAATCGAAGAATTGTGAGAATGAACGATCATTCCTGTATTTTTCATAAGTGTTGAATCGGAAATTCGAAGAATAGAAATTTTCTCGAGATAAGAAAAAGAATTGAACATGTTTGATGTAATAGAGCAGTTAGCTATCTGTATTTCTGACTGATGACATGCAGATATGAAGTATTTTTTGATTCTATTATTCAAAATTTCATCTTCCACGAAACTTACCTTAGATTTGATAAAATGAGCAAATGTGAACAAATCTAAGCGTGTAAACTTTGTATTTTCGATGATTACTTCTGAATTTTGTGAAAAAATAACTGGAAGATCGCCTGAATTACAATTTCTGAAGACAGTATCAGCAAAATACGTGTTAGAGTTGTCTAATCTTATTAACGTCATATTATTTAGAAAGTTGTTGTTAAATTCACACTTCATTAAACCAACTTTAGCATTTTCCGCATGAAGAATTGGTGAATGGAAGTTTTCGAAGATAAAATTGTTTAAATCTATAGAAATATTTGATAATTTTAATGTAAAATCATATTTAATATCATTGTTGTTAAATTGTATATTTGTAGGCTCACCAATCAAAGTAAGATTGCTTTTATTCAAGCCTGATACAAAATTTAGAAAATTTATTGCATCTTGCCCTTGTAGTTTTGGATCTTTAATTCTAATAAAGTCACCATCATGAATTTGAGAGGCAATTGCAGAGATACCGCAACCCTTAGAGGTTAAGCATGTATTAGATGAATCTGAAGATATTCTAAAATATAATTTTCTTGAACAAATAAAGGAGAAAAAAAGAGAAAGCATTGTCAGATTTTTAGAGAATTATTCAAACTTGATTAAGTTATGTTTATAGTTAATTAAAAAATTTTCACACGAACAAGGTTTCGTAGCTCAGTAGGTAGTGCGTAGTGCTCATAACGCTAAGGTCTTGGGTTCGGGCCCCAGCGGAACCATTTTTTATTTTTAACATTCCCCAGAAGTTTAATATTGATCCACCATTAAATGAGCTCCTACAATTATTAAACGAATAACATAAGCTAAGAAACTTTTTGCCTGCTTCCCAAAACGGAATGGCACTATTTGATGTAATTTCAATGAATATACAGTTGTTTAAGAAACGTTCATTATTTATTGACGCTGTTGTAACATTTTTACTAGAAATAGAACTCTATTTTGGAGAATTTTCGTAAAATTAAATCCCAATGTCATTAGAAGATTGATTAAAGTGTAAATTCTTCAGTTTAAATGTGGTTTCTGGTACTACTTTCTGAAAGTTGTAATCAAAATTCATTGTTTTCAGCAAAAATATCAGAAAATATAACATTTTCAAAGAAAAAAATGTGAAATTTTTTGTGATTTTGACAATTTCGACAGCCTTATTTTAGAAACATGTAAAATATGAATATAATAACTTTTTATTCAATTTATTTAGTACTGGAATGGAACTTTTCCAGTTGCGTTAGCCTTACCAACAAGAACGTTGTAGGCAGCATTCAATGTAACTTGAGTTCTATCGTAACCAATAATATGAGTTGGGAAATCGAAAGCCATTACTTCGTATGGGTCTGTAATCGAGACACTAATTGTATTCTTATTTGCCTGTGTAACATTACCAATTAACCACTGTTGTTTTCTGTAATATTGAGCTCTGTTTGGAACAAGGACAACAGTATCGACTTTTGAAGCGAGATCTTTAGCCTGAGCGATATCTTCTAATGTAGTGTTATAATCGAATTTATAAACTTGTAAATTTGGAATATCATTCTTAAGAATGTCCGAAAGAGTCTTTGTTATCAATGTAGTTTCAGTTACACCTTCTATAACAGCGACTTTCTTTGTTGTATCGAGTGGAATGAGCTTGTTTGTGTCCTTTGCAAGAGTTGAAGCCAATTGTGCAACTCTCTGTGCCTCTTTCTTATCACTCTCGACATCAGCTGATGAAGGATCTGTAGCAGGAAGCATAGCAAGCTTGGTTTTGATGATTCTTAATGCGGCTTGATCAATAATTTTTTCTGGAATTATGTTCTTCTGGACTTGTTCGACAATATATGCAATAACTGAGTAGTATGGATCAGTTCCAACTATATCGCCGCCGCAATCGCAAATTAAATCAATTCCGGATTTAATTGCTGTTGCAATGGATTCGTTGAGGTCTTCCTGCTTGATGGCTTTCATCTGCATACTATCTGTAATAAGAATTCCGTCGTATTTAAGTTGGTTACGTGCGAAATCGACGCATTTCTTGGATTGTGTGCAGGCTGACTCATTATCAATTGGTGTAATAAGGTGGCCGACCATAATTGAATCTACGCCAGATTTAACGGCTTGCTGGAATGGTGGAATATCAATTTCAAGTAATTGGGTCATATTATGGTCAATAGAGGGTAAAGCTTTATGAGAATCAACTGATGTAGCGCCATGACCTGGGAAGTGCTTAGATGTTGTCAAAATTCCGGCTTCGTGATGGCCTTGTATGTAATAGTCGACAAATTTGGAAACATTCTCTGGATTATCGCCGAAAGAGCGGTCACCGATGATTGGGTTCTTAGGGTTGCTGTTTACATCAGATGTTGGAGCGTGGTTCATGTTGACACCAGCAGCACGAAGTTCGGTAGCCATTAACTTAGAGATATTCTTAGCAATATCAAGACTGTCAGTAGCGGCAAGGGACATAGCTCCTGGGAAGACAGTGCAATTCTTGTACATTCTAAGGATTGAGCCCGCTTCTTGGTCGATTGAAATGAAGGCTGGAATTCCGAACTCTTTCATTGAATATTCTTGAAGAGATTTGGAGTATGCAGCTGTTTCTTCAATCGTTCCAAGGTTTCTACCCATCAAAATAAAATTACCAAGTTTGTATTTTTTAAGAATTGCTTTATCACTATCTGTAAGAGTAAGTCCTGAAAGGTCCATTAAGAATAACTGGCCAACTTTTTGTTCAAGTGTAAATTTGGATAATATTTTTTGTGCTCTGCTATTTATGCTGTTTTCGTTAACAATAGTTCTCCAGATAGAAATACTACCTAATATGACGCAAATCAAAACACCAACAATGGTGGTTACGGCTTGCGGATTGACTTTTCGAACCATGTAATTTTTAATTTTTTCAGTACCATCGACAGATTCGCTCTCATAAATTATTATTATAATGGTGATAATTATATATAATTTCAAAATGGCATCTGAAATATGGATTGAAATCGCCTCAACTCATATAAATAATTTTCATAAATTAATTTCTAACATTTATTATATATATTTGATGATTCATTAATATTTAATATGATTTTATTATAATTTTACTGCTTAAATTTTCCAAAAAAAATCTAAAATGGTTGAAAATATTGAGATTTTCAACAAATTTTTTCAATATTTTTGGATTTTTGAATTTTTTTTGGAAATCAAAAAAGATGAATTCTTAATAGGAACCAATAAAAATGCTTTGCTGAATATGAAATTGACGTAATTGTAAAATTCATAACTTTTTCTTTCGATTTGCTGAGAAGTTATGTATAAATATCATACACATTGAACATACATAACTAAGTAATATTATCTACAATTCGAAATCTAACATTTCATCTAAAATTCCTCCGGAATTTGTTAAAAAAGTATCATCCATTTACGCAATGCTTGCGAATCATTCAAAAAGACAAATGTAATATATGTCCTGCTATGAAGATCCAATAAGTTTTAACAATCATATAATAATATTCAAAATCATATATATTTGGGAGATAAATAGATGTAATTTATAAAAACTAGAAGACAATAAAACAATTTAAATATAACAAAATAAAGATCTGCCTATTCAAAATGTGCCTGTATTCCAAGTAGTCGTAGTACTACCAAGACTATTTCTCATTGAAAATCCAGTAACAGGGGTTTCGATTTGAGAAACACGCAATGGTTTAGCATTCATCTGAATTGTACTTTCGATTGTTGAATTTTTAAGTTGACTTCTAACATTAGAAACACCAAGCATTGAAACAGATGCAATTCTAGAGTATGTGCCAAATGTGCTTTTCCATGTATTAGTTTGACTAGGCATGAATTCAAACTTAGCATCATCGAAGCGAGCAGCAGCAGCGAATGACATAGGAACAGGCTGTGGGATTGTTGATAAAGGCGGAATTGTGATTTCTGTAGAAGCACCAGGTCTTGTAGCTGTTTCAATTTGAGTTCTCAAAGTCTGGGTAAATTGAAGATTTTTAGGTCCCGCAATACCGAATGACCCAACAGAAGGGCCAAAGGATGATTTGATGTATGGTTGCAGTGAGCTTGAACCTGATGATGACTGTACCGGAGTGGATCCGGTACTGGAGTCGTAAGATCTGCGTAACGCAGATGGCCTTAATGTTGTTTCTAGAGGTGCGTTTCTTGCAAGAAAGTATCCGCCTCCACCGGCAGGCTCATCTTTCATAGAATTTTTTTGTGCAATTTGTTGGAGAAGCTCTTCTTGGTATGCTTGTTGTCTCTTTCTATTATATTCTCGAGAATTTATTGTTTCTCTTCCAGCCCATAGATGATCACGATTGACATCTTCGCGATACATCAGAGGTAAAAAAACGAATTTACTTTTTTTTTGATTTTGAATAGTTTACAAAAATTTAAATTCTCATATTTTCCATATTCAATCATAAAGTACTCACAAAATCTAGATTGAGAGGCGGTCAATGACTTTTGAGGGGAAATTAACGCATGGAATTTAATATTATTTAGGTTGATATTCTTGCTTATTATTTCATAAAAAAATCTTAAAAATTTCAATATGAAAATTGAAAGCGATTCAAAAAAATTGCTAACATGTAAATTTTAATATCCTATGCATAATTTCATATTTTGAACATTTTTTTTGTTTAAAACTTAAAATTTTGCGAATTTAATATAATTTATAAAATATAATACGTATATATATTTAAAATACACTAAATTTAATTGTTAATTGACGTTTTTGGGAATGAATTTTATCAAAACATGCCTGAATCCGAAAATTTGAAAGAACGAATTACACAATCATATATGTAGAATTCAAAATACAAACTTAAAGATTGTATACGTTTAAAATTATTCAGATTGTGTTTGATTTCCACTCATTCTGTTTCTTTTGAACTCTAACACTAACATTTCATGATGATTACATGATCCATTTATACATGGTTGAATTGTTCCAGATTCTACCAGAAAATCAATCCAAATTTCTCAATGCATTCATGTTGATTGGACAAAATTTAAAATTTATCAGCCTGTTTCCAGAGAAACTCATATATTCCCTAATGAAATGTAATTTTTGCTACATTTATTTCAATCAAATTTCAAAAAATTGACTGCAGAGCTTGAAAAGGTGATGAATCATGTTGTTATTAGATGTACATATTAGATTTACTATTTCCAAAAAAATGCTCAAATTTGAATAGTTTTAGAAAATTTGGAATTACACTCCTTACATTATATATAATTAAATGTTTAAATTTTATTTATTTTTCCCTTTTAATTTTATAACGTGCTCTATCAAAACTAACCTCTCAATTGAAGGCCACAAAATCTAAGTAGTGAGGGTACACAAATTTTGTATGGAGTACGGTTCAATTTTTGAGAGCCTCACTACTTAGATTTTGTGACTACCTTATATGAATCACTGATATTCTTTGAATCTAACCAACATGTACTTTCGATGGGCACTCTGTACTCTCTAATTATACAAAATTACTTTATAATCTCAAGATTCATTTCTTTAGAAAGCTCAATATTAAACTAATCTAATAATGTTTATAGAGCTTACTTAGATATCGTATGAAATCTTGGCTTAAATGCTTGACCTATTAGAATTTGATGAATTTTGATTGAATAAAACATAAATCAATAATGAGTTATCAAGAAGCATATGGATGCATAGTCTATATATTGGCATTAAGATTGATTATGGTTTTCTATGTTTAAATGAAGAATTGAACTTATTATGAAGTTTATGTATATATTTGAAGAAATATAACTGCATGTCGAATAATTGCTGATTGAAATCATGACAAATATAATATGTAAAAGTATGTTATCAATAAGAAAGGATTTAGATCTCAAAATGTTGATTTTGGTTAATTTAATTTCAAAATCGAGAGAGATGTACATGTAAATAATACGGTTGGTGAAAATGAGTGGTAATACGATATATTCTTAATGAAGAGATTGCGTCGAAATGAATTATCATAAAATATAAAAATAAAAAAATAAAATATTCATGTTAAATGTGGGGATAAAGCATTTTAAATAACATCTAGATAAAAACATTTTGAATTAAAATATCGGAATGATTTGATAGAATTCAAAAATTTGAATTTATATTTTGAATTTTCTAATTAGATTATTATCAGTATCAAAGTACTAATCATTATATAAATAGTCGACTAATTAAATTTTGTAATTTTCAGAGGCATTCAATTTAAATTGAATTTACGTTCTCACATCCTCAAAAAATTATAGAAATTGATATGCTGTATCTATTACTATTCATATATAACATCATAATTCAATTTCAGAAGAAAGATTTACTTTCGAGAGTTTAATAGAAATATTGAATATATGTATCAAAATTCGCTTTCAATTTTTTTCAAATCCGAAATTCTTTAGATATTACATTATAGTATCAATTTATATATAAATTTTAAATTTCTCTTGACCATTTATTTTCAATATGTATTTGTGTTGCCGAACAATTATAAACTTTAATCTACTATATTAGGTTATTTGATTTTATCATTTTTAAAAATTTTCCTTTGAAAGTTTTCAATTTTTGCAACTCCTGTTGAAATAAGTATTATTTCATTCGTTTAATAATTTTTTCCTTTTCATATTCAAACAATTTTTCTTAAATTGAAAACCCAATTATTGGAAAATTATCCTAAATCATATTTACAATTATTTTTCCTGAAATAATTTTGTTTTTTCAAATCAATTTTCGTTAAATCTTAATATATACATATTTACTAGTATAATATATGTCACTTTTATATGTGTTTCGATTCTCAATTTAATTGAGACAATTGAGAAGAATTGAATACTTAAGGGCCTCTTTTAAATGTTCGGCTATTTTATCAATTTTTACAAATGCTCTCCCAACAAGTTCAAACCCAATGGACAGAAAAGAATCGTCGTACACTCTGGTTCGTAATGAACAAGACCAAATCAATGCTTAAAATCGATGTCAAGCCAACTATTGCTCAAGCTTTCTACATCTTACAAACATACTTTAGGCAAACACCAGAAAACGAGATCAAAATTCTCTCGCTTGCTGCAGCTTCACTTGCTATCTCTACAAAGCTCAAAGAGCACTACTTATCCATCCAAAACATTTTACAGGCCTTAATCAGAGTTTGCGCTTCTATTCCTACATCAGCCACAAGATCTCTTATCAACGGATTCGAATATTCCTCTACATTCTACCCAACAGATGCCGAAGTTGAAATTGTTAAGTCTGCTGAAATCGAACTCATGTCTGCTCTTAACTTCCAATTTGATATCGAGCTCCCATTCCAATACCTCGACGAATGGGAAGACGAGATCAAGGAGCACATCCCAGTTGAGAAGCAGCCATCCTTCATCCAGAAGTGCCAACTCGACGTTTGCCTTATCCTCTGCAGCGAATCCTGCGTTGATGTCCCAGCTGAAGTTGCTGCCGCAGCTGCAATTGACGATGTCTTCGCTAAGGAGCTTCAAAAGGATTCTACTTTCGACAAGAAGATATCCGCTAAGTACGGAAATGGCGTTTACAACGTTGCTCTCGAATGCATCCACAAGGAAAGTGCACTTACAGCTCAGCGCGCTTGAAATTGTGATTTTGTTTGTTTATTTATTGTTTGATTTTAAATTTTGTTTGTATGTATTTTATTAATTATCAATAATTGTTTTTCAACTCGATCTCTTAAAACGATGAGAATTCTGAAAGATTCGTCAATTCCTTTTTTCGTAAATATCATTAGATTCCTCAAGCCATTATGGAATATTTAAGATTCTCTTGTGTAAAGCCCGATTCTACGCATAGATCTAATTACAATGAATATAATCTATCTGATTAAGGCCTTTATCTTGCTATATTGTTGCATGCTAAGTTCGGTCAACGATAGAAATTGAGTGGAAATTAATCGTCGAGGAAGTGTGATTATGTAAAGTAAAAAAATGTTGTGGGATTTTTAATATTATATATTATTTTATAATAAAAATTTTTTGAGTCATTTTAAGAAGCACATATAATTTTTTGAATTTAAAAATTAAAGTAGTGTCAAACGAATTTATCACTTAATTTAATACTCAGATTTCTTAAAATTAATGAAAAAAGGTTTTCTGAGAACTTTTGAGAATGGTTTTCAAATTCCATTATTGAAAATATATAGGTATTGTATGAAATTCAAACTCTATATTTATTAAAATTCTAAATTTTTAATAAAATAACTTTTCAGAGGAATATGATTTTGAATGGTTGATGAATAAGTATAAAAATGTCTACGATTTTAAGGAGGGAATTGTTCCTTATGAGGAATACATCATAACTATATACCTCATAAGGAACAATTCCCTCTTGATAGCTGGGAAACTTTCTCTGAATAACTTATCATTTGGAGAAAGTTCCCCAGCTATCTATTAGGAACTAAAGGCTATGAGGCACTAATATATAATCAGTGCCTCATAGCCTTTAGTTTCCTATTAAAAACGAGAAAACTTGTTCGAAATGATAAACAATTTCGAACAAGTTTTCTCATTTTAAGGAGGGAATTGTTCCTTATGAGGTATACATCATAACTATATACCTCATAAGGAACAATTCCCTCTTGATATCCTGGATATTTTTGAATATATTTTTTTAATTAAAGTTCTCAAAAGTATTATCAAAAGTGATTTTTTAAAAATATCTCCAATTAATTAACTAATTAAAAGTATTATATTTTTAAAATTAAATAGTTTTTCAATTTTTTTGAAGGAATTGAGATACTTCCCACGACAACAAAATTGAGAGGTTTACATTATGACTGATCTTAGCATGCAACAATATCATATATTCTTTGGCCAATACTATAATATTCTTGGGCTATTTGTTCTATTCGTTTGAGTTCAAATCATATTTTTTTCGATTTATGCTGAAAACATTAAGATAATCATGTAGTTATATGGAATAATTTGCTTTATATCATAAAATATGTCTATATATTATGTTTGTTTCATGTCAACAATTTTTTATAGATTTTTTTTTATCATCAATTATCGTCTTTGATGCAGGAACTCTCAGGAATATTGTCTAAATTCGGTCCTGGAGTTGCCTACGGAACAGACACTATTCAATCATTAATTAATGGTGTCGCAGACGTTGATTATTCAGCACTAATTCGTGCATTTCCAACTTTAGTAAATCCATCAACAGATTCTAGGCATTATCCAAACGACGAATTTCTAGAATTAGATCAAATACGTGAAAATATTCTCCAAAATATTGAATATTTTCTCGAAGTTGAAGATCCTCAGTATCCTTCAATACAAAATGAGGTTTTACCAGAAATAGAAGCACCAATTCACGTTATATATAATATATTTTTACCAATAATCGAAAAAATTACAACAACTAACCCAGAACCAATTCTCAAAGTCTTGAATCAATTATCTTCAATGTTATCGAAGTCAAGTTTCGAAGAAAATTGGGACCTTCCACTTATTACTAATAGGTTATTACTGTGGATGTCTTCAATCATCGAAAAATCTGATTGTCCCCCAGAAGTTGTAAAGAAAATCATCGAATTATGGGTACAAATCATTGAATCAACTCATAGATCAGAGTACATTATTAGACTAGCTCAATGCTGGTTTAAGAACCCCAATGTTTCTATTGATTACGATATTTCAAATTTATTAAAGTTAATTAAGAAAAATTATCGCATGACAACTTTCGCAGACTATGCCATTACGAATACAAACAAGCTTTATCTTCACGAAATCATGCCAGAATCGACATCTAAACCTACATCGTTAAAAGAAGTTAGACAACGCAGAATAGCTGCCTGGAAAGGATTTTTATATGTTGCTGAACCAACGACAGGTCTTACAAAGTTCGGAACTGGCATTTTAGGTACAGTTTTTGCATCAAATGAAAGATCTTCAGGTGTTTGCATTAACTGCGATATACATTCAATCTGCGTATGTAACAATCATCTTTTACTCGGTTTCCAAGGCCAAGCAAAGGGAACAATTGATGTTATGAGTATAGAATCACTAGAAAGACTCGGCCAATTAGAATGCGATACGCCAATCCCACAAGGACCATTTACAGCTGCTGGAGATATGCTTTACATTATTTCAAAGTCAATTCTTTATTGTTATGAGAAACATGGAATGAAAATCACCTTAAAATCACAAAAAGGCCTCATCAGACCAGAGAGAGAATTTTTCCCAGTCGCATTACCAAGAGATTACGAGAAATACGTCTCTTTAATAACAGATGGTTTAGTTATTGGAATTGTCTTCGCTCCATATTTAATTGGCAACAACGAGAACCCATTATACCACCAGTACAATATAAGCACAGGTGAATTAATGCTTACAGATTCACTTTTACAGGAAAATTTATCATCTCTTTATGTTGCAGTTGATATTGAAGGCAATACTATCATCGAAGCTCCATATTGGGACACAGTTTTTGTTTCTAACCTATCTCCTGTATACAAATTCCTTCAAGATTACACTTTGGACAAAATTGAGCTTCCAAGCGGAAATATTCCACTCCAAATGATGAATGCCATACTTCCTCTTTTAGCTTCTCGCGTTTCCTTGAAGCTAATGGACTTATCTCAGATTTTTGCCATTCAAAATACAGATATCGTTTTTGATCTCATAGATTTGATGAAAGAAGATGAAAGATATAATGTTTTCGCCGACGCAGCCGTCTCAATCATTGCGATTTTCGAATACCAGGCCTCGGAATACCATACATATGATGTTCAAGACATAATGGACATATTGGAATTGAAGAACGTCAGTTCCATATCACGTATAAACTTTATGAAAGCGTTTGTCAGAGGTTTTAAGAAGAATTTCCTCATGACTACGTCAGATTGTCTAAAAATCATAGAAATTCTGACACCATATGAAGTTTCAATGATATTCTCTGACGGTTTTCATGATATTTATGGGTTTTTATTGGCAATTTTAAATGAACCAGGAGAAAGAGTTTTAGAGTACTTAAAGAACAACTTATCAACACAGTATTCCTTCCTTAATGCGATGACATTCTCTTTACTTCGTGGAGCTTTAGTAGATTACGTCATATCTCCATCTGCTGCAGTTCCTCTCTTCAAATGCATTAAAAATGCAAATCCATATGTGCTTCCAACACTTCTAGCTCCAATTCTTCCATTATTGAACCAAATGCTCGAAGAAGATGCAATTGTTGCAGTTGTATTTCCTCAATTATCAACAATTTTGGCTTCTTTGGAAGGTCTATGCTCAGCAAATCACTTGGCTAAGTACGCTAAGAAGCATTTCGAAAGCAGAGTTTCAAATCATTTTATTGAAACAACAGTTATCGATGAATCGCCACATCCATACGAAAATAATTCGAGCTACATCCATCCATATCATTTCCCAGGCGCTGTTCGAATAACAATTAGTTTTGACCCACAAACAAGTACAGAAGAAGATTGCGACTTTTTACAGATCTTTTCTGATATCGATTGCCAGGAACCGATCTGTCCAAAACTCAGTGGACCATACTCCAAATGGGAAAATATAATTGTTAACTCTCAACGCTTAATTTTCAAATTTACATCTGATCCTTCTTTGAATGATTATGGCTACAAGGCCTACATATCCGTAAAATCATTCTCAACGACATTGGCCTACAAATCACCCCAGATTTTCTATGATTTGAGCCGTGCGATATTTTTGATGTTATTAAATGTCTCGAAGAGGTATGATTCACCTCCGGAAGGCTTCAGTCCAGAGACTTTTTCATTTCCAAGAGGTCTCCAACCTGTTCCGTTCACTAAACAAGACGCTAAAGAAATTGTTATGAAAATTTGCAAGAAATTCAACCAAAAACACGAAGAATGGGTTGATGAGATTATTGCCATGCTCGATCCAATCTCCTGTTTCCCTATTGCTTATACATATCTCAATTATATTTACGAAAATTGCACAGAAGACGATGGAGACATATACTATCTGTTGAACCTTGCTTCAATGCATCCAACAGTTGCAGAAGAATTGCACCACGATATCACAGAAATGTTTAGCGAAATTGGAGCACTTTTGATGCAGAATACTTTAGGATTACAAGGTGAAATGTACAATTTCCTGTTTTCTGCCCTTAAAACTTCGAAAGGACAAAAGTTTGCCATTACTTCTTTCAAAGAAGCTGGAATTCTTTGCGAAAACAACAATCCAACCTTCGAAGTTATCCTACAAGCAGCTACAAAGATCCAGATTTGTTTATCTATCATTGGACCTCATATTCTCGAAGAAATTCCAGATGTTGTTCCAAAATTCTTAGCAGCATATCGAAATATCATCATATCGGTATCAGCACCATCAATATTATCCCTTAATGAGAAGATACCATTGATATTTACTGAAATTGCTAAGACAAATAAAATTGATTCTCCATTCTTCAAATGCGTAAGAGATAACTTAGCTCTTGTTACTCCAACATCACCAACAAACACAAATCCGTTCGTTTTGTTCGCTCTTCTCATTACTTTGAACCTTGAATCAACTCCAGATAATAATGATTTTGTTTTATCAGTAATTTTGCTGTCATTGCACTTCAACACGACACAAATAATTCCTTTGATACAACAAATCCTTAAGAAGTTCACTCTGGCAACTTCTATCGTTGAAAAACCGGAAATTGTCGGAATTTTGGAGTCAATTGGCAAAGGATTTCAATTTAATGTATTCGAATCGACAGAACACGAGTTATTTGATGTCGGTCCATCATTTTCTTTCGCGAGAGCCACAATTGTCAGAAGAATTCTCGATGAAAAGAAGATCAACCAACTTGTAGACATAATAAACAAACACGATAAAGCCGCAAGTCTCGGAGCATTGTTAGTTTTGAGTTGCTGTAGTTTTCCACCTCACATTAACCAACAAGTTCGAATTAAATCGACAGGACAACAATCCACGATTTGTTCGATGGATTACTTGGAATATAGGTTCCGGAATGAGGATGGATTTTCATTTTCTCTGCCTGCTTTCGATGTTTCGTCGTTCGAATTCACTGAAATTCCTTTTGTTCCAATAATGCCGAAGAGAATCGGTCACGTTTCTCAAGAATTGATCGACGCTTTACTCGATTGCACTGAACAGGATGACATAGAGTCTAAATTCGCTAGATCTGCCCTTGCAGAACTATCTTATAACACTCCACTTCCATTAGATTTGTCAGAATCATTCAGTCTATCGGCCAATTCAACAACCGTTAATAGCCAGAACGAATTGTCCGATGATTCTGATATTAAAATCGAGAATTTGGCAAATAATGAAAATAATGATCTCCGAAACTCCCAAAAATTCGATATCAAATCTGAAAATAGCATGGACAGATTCGAGAGAAGCGTAATCAAGTCAGAAAGTACTGAAAGATTTGAGAACATTTACAAATTAATGATGAAGAAGAGCGGAATCAAGTTAGAACTAAGGCATTTCTGCGAAGGAGACACATACGTTTGCAATAAGAGCATCCCATGCTTCAGTGTTAAATGTATGCCGAATATGACAATTGGATATTGCAGTGGAAAGGCCAAAACGACATTCCAATCATTTAAAGTCAATATAACTAATGAAGGAATGATCAATTTGCCGGCGGCTGTCTCTCAAACTGTTGTTAAATTAGAAAGTGACAATATAATCATCGGATTCTTTGGCCAATACAAACAATTGTTCATACAATCGGGAGATATTTTCGTTATGCCACCTGTTTTCTTATCAATCATGGAAGATCCTTGTCCATTTGTTGTATCTCAAAAAGAACCTCAAGATTTCAATCCAAATCCGAAAATCCATGCATTCCTCATGAAGAGAATCCTTCCTGTTTCATCTGTTTTCAGCCACGTCGTTGCAAATAACCAATTATACTCATTATTCTTAGACGAACTTAGATTTAATGGAGTTTCTCCATCACAGACCCATTTCCTCCCTGAAATCTCTAACAAATCTAAGTTTACTTACCTGGAATTCAATTTATCAGCTGATTCCATCAAAGTTTGCGTTCATCCGAATACAATGAGAGCTGTAAGAATATACGAATACACAATAGAGAAACCAGTGATCACGAAAACTTTCGGACTTTACATAAGTATTGAAAAGTCGATCGTTTTCCTCACAAATTGTGGTCAAATAATTGAAGACTCTGTTTTCAAGATAAACATCAATTCTCCAATTACCGTTGGCTTTGAAATGAAATGCGCGGAAAAATTAAAGGTAAATACAGGTTTCGCTCCATTTATTTACGATATTAAGAAACCAAAAGAGTTCAACAACCTAAAGAACTTCAAATCGACCATGAACTCCGATTGCATTCCATATTCCTTCGAGCCAGTCTTCCAAGGCAAGATTCCTTTCGAATTACAAACAGTTAACGGCGAAAGCCAACACAAAAGCGAGGTAGAATTCGAAAGGCCATGTATATTAACAGCTGCGGACATTGATGCCAAGTTATACCACAGATCAGCTGTATTTACTCAAATTCCAAACACAGACAAAGCATCTGTTCGTTTATTCAACGCCAGGAGCCAAACCCGGATATCTCTCGACCTTCCAATGCGTTACATTTACTCTTTGGCCGATTGCATCGAGCCATTAAATGTTTTCGCAGCCTATGAACGCATGCAAAGGACATTAAAGCCATATTTGAGTCCTTCCCTTTTCTTCCAGCCAACGGAGATGATGCAGAAAGGCCTTACAATGCTTACAACCGATTTACAACAAGATTTCTTTTCGAACAGGATGAAACAAGAAAACATGTTGATTTATATCCTGTCCGTGATGCAGAACATCGACCAATTCGATGACGACATCAAACTAGAAAAGGTTGTAATCCAAGCAGCAACTATTTTAGGCGTTGACGATTTCACCTCTTTGTGTTGTGAAACATTAAGTCCAATTTTCGCTCATGTTTCTGTCAAAAAACAGAAAATTTTCAGAAATTTAGTTCAAAAAAGTATCAAAAGTTTATTATTTGACAGAAAATTGGAACTTGTTGTTTGCAGCAACAGACACAACGATGTATTAGTAGAGATAGAAAGGAGAAATGCCGATGCTATCTACGTGAAATTCTCCGACAACAATTTGAATTTGCCATTAATTGCAAATTCATACAACCAAGAATATGTATTATGTTATGAACATCAGAATGAAATTTCGCAAATGACAATGCTTGGTGACATGTTCACCATTACTAATTTGTCACCAGAAAGCATTGCATTTCTTGAAATTTATCCAATACAAATGGACAAATTCGAAGAAAACCATTATTTCAGATTGAGTTTGCAATTGATTTCTTTTGTTATCAGTCATTGCGAGAGATTGAACTTAAAGAACATCTTGCACGAACTGATCTTCATTCCTTTGTTCGAGCGCTGCATGTCCCGCAAATTGTTGTTGTTTGGAAACATAATTTCCGAATGGTTCCTTCGAATTATTTCTCTGAATTTGTTGACAGACGAATACAAAGAGAAATACGCAAAACTAATTAACTTGGAAACACTTTTGTTAATAAGGGATTCCAAATTAGCAATTAGTTTATGCATATTTAGCTTGTACGTCTATGTAGGAAGCGGAAAGAACGAACACCAAATCAGAGAAAGACTCGTAAACATAATAGAACCATTCTTAGAAAAACAAAATGAAAATACAGCGGCTGCTAAATTGTTCAGAAGAATCGCAGCTGATTTCATGTCACCTTTTGCTGTTTCACCTTCGATGTTCCCATTTTTAAGACAGGTGAGACCACCTCTAATCACAAGTTTCTCATTTGAAGCTTTGATCAAATCCCGCAAATACCAAAAGAAGTTTTCTTTCGTTCCTGATTTAGAAGACAAGAAACCACAAACTTCTGTGATAAATTTGCAGGATAATTCGAGGGTTTACGTGCAATTGAGCGAAGAAAACATTCAGCCAGGAAAGATTAAGTTCGGAAGAGATGAAATAACTAATTCCGGATTTATTGAATTGGATGACGAAGAAGAAGAAATCGAGTTTTCAATACAAAGAGATGAAGTGACATCAAATTTGGTCGCAGAAGTTTACACGGAAAAAGAAAATGAACACCCGAGTTATTCATCATTTTTGAAGATATTTACTATCTACAAAGAACTCAAAGACCAATGGACATCAAAGGATGAAGCAATGGCAACTGCTTTGGCAACTTGTTTGATGGAAAACGAGAATTTGCTGATTTTTGATGACAGTTATTTCTCCAAATTTTTCCCAACAGTTTCCGTTGAATCTTCTCGATTTAGAGTTTCTCTTTTGATGCTGTTAATTAAGTCATCAGCCCCAGCAAATCCTGATTTCCCGATGACTCCTGGTTTCTCACATTATCTTCCTTTTCTTTCGAGTATTTCGATGCCACACGACGATTTAATGGCCAAACAACAAGTCTGCGGATATGTCCCGATTTCCATTGTTTCTCTCACGAATTTCTACGTAAGAGCTGCTCAACAATTCGCTACTTACGGAGTATTCCCAGGAGAAAACTTCATCAGGGACATTCAGTTGCTAAATATCAAAGATTTGGCAACGATTTTGAGAGTCGTCAGACAAGCGAAAGACGACATTTTCGAACAGCCTTTGTTCACTGATGAATCCGCTTTGATTCCACGATCAAACGCCACAAGTTTGGACGAGTTGATTGCATTCCTTGGATTTGGATTCCACATGATGATGAATGCGAGTGCAGGAAGAAGTTTGCCGTTGCCTGTTTCCGCTGTTGTAATTCGTTACGCGTTTGGAGGACAGATAATTAATGATGACTTCTTCGATATAGATCCGGAATTCGCACAAGCAGAGCCGACAAAGGCTGCAATCAATGAGAGATTGGAGCCAATCATGCCGCAGTTGAGAGCAATCAGATGCGGTGTACAAATGGCACAAGGACCAAGAAAAGTATTCGATGTAAATAACCCAATTTTCCCATGGTTAGTTCAGATTTTACCATTGACATTCCCAAGAATTGTCAAGGATAAGTGTTCGCCAATGATCATTCCTAAACTAAGAGAAGAAATGTTTATCAAGAAAGTTTCATTGTTAGATGAAGATGAAGACAAAGAAAAAACTATTTTGGATATTCTCCAAAAGTTGTTGTAATTTAATATTTTTTTATTTATTTGTTATAATTTAAAGTAAACAAAAAGAAGTTATATATCTTTTGTTAAATAAACAGATACAACTTTCAGATTGCTCAGATTTATTAATCATAATCAATATAATGTATATTTAAATTATTTATCTTGATTATGATTAATTTAATTTGAAGTTCTATGAATTTAAACTCATTAACTTTTGTTCTAATTAATGATGAAGATAATGATATAACTCTGTTTGTCATAAAGAATTGTTCCAATCAGAAGAAGTATATATCCTAAAATAACATCGTAGCAATAGAAAACATACATATGATTCTTGAAGAATAAAAGTAAACCAACAGGAACAACAGCAACTATCAATTCTGTCCTTGTAAATATATCATTTTGTTTCTCCAATTGCTTCGAATAACTCGTTCATGAAATTATCTCTGAAATCTCTAAAACCACAAACTAACATATAGAACAATATCATGCATGTTAGACCTGGCCAAAAAATTCCTAAGAACTTTAAACTATCTTTGTTCGTCAATGATATTCTTTCTGTTCTGCATCTAACATCTTCTTCATTTGGAGGAGGAATAAGTTCAATAAAGAAAGTAAATAAGCATAGAATTGGGAAGAAAATGACACCAAAAAGTGCTGGCATCCAAAACTCACTAATACAATTATTAACTAATGATCTTCCGATTGTTTTAATGATAGCATATGAGATAATGAACGATATGCACATTCCACAACTCAAGACTTCTGATGTTCTTGGGACTTGTAAGTTCCATATATTTTAAACCGATATCCTAGCTAGAGATTGGCCAATTCATGCCCTACTTAGTGATTGAAATGTTAATTTCTCATTGATGTTGTAAAATTAATTGATATCAATATTCCATTAATCATGAAATTAAAGGAATATATCATGGTTAATTTGTTATGAGCTCTAACTTATGCATTCATTTCTTTTTTTTTTAAAAACTCATATCAAACAGGATTAATGTGTTTTTATGATCTATAAGCACATGTATACTTATTTGGTATAAAAATGAAATTGGAATGTAGAATCAAATCAACAATTTCCTTGAATGACTTACTTTTTATAAGCTCAAAGTTAAATTCAGAATTTCCTCTCTAAATGGATACATATTCATGCAACAAATTAATTTGACATAGCAATTCTATGTCCAAAAATTGAAAAGTCCCGCCAAAAAACAGGAAAAAATAATTGTATTTACATTCGATTTCTAATACTTCTATATCATAAAAAATTTGTAAGCACATAGAAAATGATTCATTCATTTTTCCTTACAAAATTTTATTAACTGTACAAAAACTTACGCACGTATCAAGTAGATTAAAATATTCATTAATTATTTTATTTTTGAATGAGCTCAATACGTTTCTTGTTAACTAATTGAGAAGTTTGCATACCTTAGATGCAAAACCCGGTTGATCATAAAGCGGTCGCCGAAAACATCCAAGTGTATCTCCAGAACCACACTTTTATAAAAGTGTTCTCCTTAACAGATGTCTGCAAGATTCTTGATCAATCTGAAATAGATGTGATTCAAGCAACACAATTTCTCACAGAATGCAAGGCGAAATTCAAATCAATAGAAATATTCAAGATCATCCAGCATCTTAAAGTCGTTTTAAGTTCCGATTTTACAAAAACAGCTGAATTATTATCGATAGTTTTCAAATCATTAAAATCACCAGTGTTAAAATCGATTTATCAATCATACCACGAGCTATTATCCACCAACCATGCCCATACAACTGAAATCAGTAGGCTAAACGAACAAATAACAATTTTGAAAAATACAATTGCACAAAACCGTTCCGAAATCGCTCATCAACAGGGTGAACAGACAGGATTTATTGGCAATCTTGCACAAAAAGATGACGAAATCGCCCAATTAAAGGCTCAATTATCAGCCAAAGATAAAGAAAGCGATGAACTGAGAGACAAGATCGACGAGCTCTTCCCACAGGTCCAGAAGAAGACAAAGGACATTACAACACTTAAAAATATGGTTAAAAAGCGGGATTTAACCATTAAAAAACAAAAAGAAGAAATTAACGAATACAGAACTAAACTTGGATTACCGATCGAAGAAGAGAAACCCGAAGAGAAGCAAGATGATGCAATTGATGAGGAAAAAAAGAAGAAAATGGCAGCATTAAAAGCTAAAAAAGCAAAATTAGCTTCTAACAAGCAGAAACAGCAACAAGAGAATACAGAAAACCAAGATCGACAACAATTAGAGAATAAAGGTGAAAACCAAATAAGTTTTGCTGTTCCAAAAATTGATAATCCGAAGAAATCTCCAAATAAAGCCGAACTACCTAATTCAAGTAGACGAAGACCAGATGAACAACAAGAGGAACGACCACCTGATCGTCCTCCTGATACAGGAAACAAAAATAACGCAGATTCATTAAAAAAAGCGTTAGAGCCGCCGACAACTGATTCAGCTCTCTCGGCGGCGAATACAAATGAAAAAGAAGAGCAAAAGAAACAAGAATCAGTCAAAATTTCACCGCCAGAAACTGAAAAATTAAATAATACAGTTAAACAAGAAAATAACGGCCAAAAAACCGACCAAAATCCACCAAAAAGGCCAGAATTCATCAAAGAAATAGAAATCAAGGAAGAAAACAAAGAAAATAATATTGAAAATCTTCCATTATCAGTAAGAGACTCAAGACCACTCAGTTCAAAGTCAACAAGGCTCACAGAACAAAAAGTTCCATCTCAACCTCCACAGCCGCTGCCAAAAGAAGAATTCAAAGAAAATCCTGAGAAAGGAATATGGTTAATGCCACCTCCTCTGCCTCCAAAGCCTCAAATTCCATCACAGCCACCGCCTATACCTTCAAATCCCGTGAAAAGCATTGATTCTCTCGAGATTGAAGAGATGCATGAAAATTATCAGCCAGTTACATGGACATTGATCGGAAATACGTCGGCAGTTGTATCACAGAACCCGAAGAACTTCGTAGATCCTTCCGTTATCCATCAAGTTCAGTTTGGAGAACAAAATATTCCATCTCAACCGACAAAACTTGCCAATTCCCTTCCAAAGCTTCGTCAATCATCCGTATCATCACAACAGCAGAAGCCCCCTCCACCTCCGACCCAATTATCCAGTCTTCCTAAGCCAAATAATAATTCTAACCTTCCAAAGCTCCACAACACTTCTCTGACCTCCCAATTAAAGAATTCCGGAACAGCCAGATACGATATCTCCTTCCTTAAGCCACAGGAACCAGATCCCCCCTCTCAACCTCAAATGCAACTTGTTTCCACCCAAGAAACAGCACCAGAGATCAACCAACCACCTCAACAGCGGAATATAGAGGAAGACCCATTCGTCATTGAGCTCAAAAAGTACAAACGCTCTATGACAGACTTCGATAAGATATATTCATGCATGAAGAGGGCAGTTAAAGAGAAAGACCTCGATGAAATTAAGTGGTGTGTTGAAGGCGGATACATGGAAGTCAAAGATGACGTTGGAAATACTCCATTATTAAATGCCGCTTACAAAGGTGATCTTCCGATGGTTTCTACGCTTGTAGATTGCGGGGCAAACATTATGGCAACAAATAATAATAAGTGGAGTGCGTTATATTGGGCCGTTATGAATAATTCGATGTCAATAATCAAATACGTATGTAGTCATAGTTCATTTGACATCAATATCAAGAATAATGTTGGAGATACTGCTCTACACCTTGCTTGCAACATTGGAAGACTCGACGTTGTATCATTTCTCTGTAGATTACCAAAAATTAACGTTGAAGCCAAAAACAATGAAGGAAAAACTCCAATGATGGTCGTAAAGGATTTAAAAGCGATTGGATTTTGGGATAAGAAGAAATTCAAAGAAATTCTGAAAGATAGCGGTGCAAAGAGTTAATTTTATTATATTTTTTGTTATTTGTTATTTATTATAATGATAAATATTATGTTTCTCATGATTTTTTATAACAATTTTTTTAATAAAACATTAAAGGTAAAAATAATCCAAAAAATCTCCAATTTCTACCCACTAAACATGTGTATTTTATTTCCTTTTTACATCCAAAAGCTCCAACTTCTTGTTTAATTTCGGTGAGATATCCGAAAAATTCTATTTGATCAATATCTGGACCATAACCGAAGGTATCTTTGCATGTGGACTGAATAGATTTGAATTTAAAACATCTTACTTCGGTTTTATCAGTTCTGAACGGAAATCGTTTCGTTTGGAGTTGTGTCATATTTGGGGAATATTCTTGGTATCCAAAATACATATTTCCATCAATGCTGACTTCAGCACCAAATTGAAGAGGCCTGCAGCTCCAATTTAATGTTGTTAATTCAAAAGATTCAATGGTAAGCGAATGAAACGGGAAGCATACAGAAAAATGTCCACTCGGCTTAGTTGCAACCCAATATGAATCAGTTGAATAATTAAAGTCAAAAGCGTTTTCAATTCGATTAGAACCTATATGATCTGATTCTTGTAGAGCAAAGTATTTTGGATATAAGAGCCTATATGTGTCAAACAAATAGTGCAAAATTCCATTTTTTGGCGAATAGCCAAAGTACAAACTAAGGTTTGCAGTTTTTTACACTGAAAATATAAGGTTCCATTTACAAATCGATATCTTACGGGTTCGCAGAGACAATCATAAATGCCATTACTTGCCAAATTCTCATATACCTGGTTGAAGCAAGGACCATATTTGGAGGAAAATCTTGAACCAACTCGATAATTTATTTTATGAGTCTCTAGATTACTTCTTCCTAGAACCATTAACAAAGATTGATCATACCAGAGGACACAAAGCTAGTTAGCAATAAGTTTCTGGGAAACTACCAAGGCACTTCATATTTACCTCATTTTCTAATTTTATTAAATATTTCAGACTATATGCATGGAAATACCTTTTACTTCAGTGAATTTGATATATTTTTTTATTACAAAGTAGAAAAAAAAATTTTTAAAATTTTTTATCATTTTTTTAAGAATAAAACCACAATATAATAGACAAACATATTTCTCGTTCTCTTAACATCGGACAGGTGACTAATTTTACATTTTCGCATGCTAAATGTCCATCAGGTTTTTCTACTTGAGTCAGTTTACCAAAAAACTCAACTTGATTTATATCTGGACCAAAGGAACATGTGGATTGGATTGATTGAAATTTGAAGCATCTAACATCAATATTGTTAAAATCAAATGTAAAATGGGCTGTCTCGTCTGCACCCATAGTATAGCTATAATTTTGTTGTCCCAAATAACTATCTCCATCCATGCCAACTTTAATCGAAAACTTAGAAGGTCTACACGTCCCAGATGTAGTCGTAATTTCAAAAGATTCAACAGTGAATGAGTGATATTTCAAACAAATCGAAATGAAGCCATTTGGATTACTTGAAATCCAATATGAGTCTGAATTATAATCAAAGTCAAAAGCGTTATCAATTCTAAAAGAACCTCCATGATCTGATTCTTGAAGTGTGAGACATTGAGGGTAAAAGAGCTTATATGTGTCATACAAATAATGCAAGGTTCCGTTTTTTGGCGAATAGCCAAAATACAGATTTCGCTTAAAAGTTTTTCATATGAACAAAAATGAATTTAATTGAATTAAATTACACCACATAATGTTAAACATATGAAACACTGGAAGTCACGATTCTTTTGATTTTGATTTCGGATCAGGATATTCAAAAATTGAATGATTACATAAATTTGACAGCTAAACCCAGAAAAACCATATTTTCGCACTCTCAATGTGACAAATAAAATAACTTATTATGAACCTAGTTCATAATAGTTAAATTTAATAAAATTCGTAAATTTTTATTGATCGGTACCATTAAAAATGATTGTCTAGGAGTTTCTTCTGATACTAATGGTTTGCAAATACACAACTAATAGTTTGGAAATTGGAAAAGCTTTCCCTCAACAAGCTTATGGTATATGGAAAAAGAAAATATGATATTATCAACGAATTATGGCAAGGAACCTCAAGACAACTTTCTAAAAGGACTAAATGATTTTGTTAATTAATCAGAAACAATTAAATTGTTTCTCAATGATATTATTTCTATCAATGACTTCATTTTAACTTATTTTATGATACTTGATATCTTTATTTATCTATTTTTGATCAGTTGAAGTGATAACACTCAAAATATTAGGTGATTTGCAATTGAAGAATATAAACTAGAATAAAAATTGCCAAGAAATGAATATATTACTCTTATGGAATATGTATTTCATTTTGTAGTGTTATCATCAATATACATTCATTCAATCACCGTGGAAAAGAAGTAAAGTGACAATTAGTTTGAATTCAAAATCTCTTAATATTAAAGTGTTTAAAAAGCTCTCAAATAAGCATTTTCAAGAAGGATTAGACCGTGCTCCTTCGATGCTTAAACCAAAACAAGTCACTTCATTTTATCAAACAGTTCTTGCTCATTTCCAGAAAGGAGAAATACCATTTGAAATAGGTGATTCAATTCTTAAGACTATATACAAATGTTTGAAAGTAAAAGAAAATATACCTCCATTTATTGAAGGTCAATTTGCAAATATCATGGCAACAAATAATAATAAGTTGAGTGCGCTATATTGGGCAGTTATGAAAACGGCTTTAATTACATATCTCCATTATCAGCCGGAATTAGGTTTCTCCATTCAAAAATCACGTTCAGCAACCACCAAACTCTCAAAACTTCACCAAAAAAGGGGTATGTTATCATTTCTCTGTAGATTACCAAAAATTAATGTTGAAGGCAAAAACAGTGAAGGGAAAACTCCAATGATGGTCGTAAAGGATTCAAAAGCGATCGGATTTTGGGATAAGAAGAAATCCAAAGAAGTTCTCAAAGACAGCGGAGCAAAGAGTTAATTTTATTATATTTTTTGTTATTTGTTATTTATTATTTATTATAATGATAAATATTATGTTTCTCATGATTTTTAAAAAGATTTTTTATCGGCATAACATTAAAGGTAAAAACAATACAGAAGGTATCCAATTTCCACCCACTAAACATGTGATCTTTATTTCCTTTTTACACCCAAGAGCTTCATGATTAATTTCTGTGAGATTTCCAAAAAATTCGACTTGATCAATATCCGGACCATAATTGTAGGAATTTTCACATGTGGAATGAATTGATTTGAATTTAAAACACCTTACTTCAGTTTTATTAGTTTCGAACAAAAATTGTCTCGTTTCTAGTCGCATCATATTTGCGAAATATTCTTGGTATCCAAAATAATTATTTCCATCAGTACTAACTTCAATACCAAATTGAAGAGGCCTGCAGCTCCAATTTGTTGCGGTTATTTCAAATGATTCAATTGTAAGCGAATGAAACGGGAAACATACAGAAAAATATCCGGCTATCTTAGTTGCTACCCAATATGATTCAGCTGAATAATCAAAATCAAAAGCTTTTTCAATTGTATGAGGACCTATATGATCTGATTCTCGTAGAACTAAGTATTTGGGATATAAGAACGTATATGTGTCAAACAAATAATGCAAAATTCCATTTTTTGGCGAATAGCCAAAGTACAAACTGGAGTTAGCAGTTTTTTACAGTTACAGATCCAGTTCTTACGGGCGTGCATACATATACATTGCTCGCTAAATTCTCTTAAATTTTGTTGAAGCAAAGCCCCTATTTGGAGTTATTATCCACCTCGATATTTTTGTTTATGATTCTCTATACTAGGGGCATAAATTGAGACGTGAAAAATTAATTAAACTCATTTTCCTTCGTACAGTTTCTAATTCAAATTTTTGATAGAAGTTCTCTCAATACTGAGAAAGAATAAACGAGAAGGAGACTTTACATAGGAAAATGTGTTTAAACGTAAACATAATTTCCTTTAATGACTTAATTTTAACCCAAGTTATGACATTTGATATCTTTACATATCCTTTTTTGCTCGACGGAGGTGATAACACTCAAAATATTATAGATGATATGTGATTAAAGATTTAAACCAGGATTAAAATTACCAAGAAATGAATATATTACTGGTATAGGATATACATTTCATTTAGTAGTGTTATCATCAAAATACATTCATTCAATCGCTATGGAAAAGAAGTAAAAAGATTTTGAATTCAAACGAATTGTCACATTTTCAAAAATGAGTGAAGAATCTCTTAATATTAAAGTGTTTAAAAAGCTCTCAAATAAGCATTTTCAAGAAGGATTAGACCGTGCTCCTTCGATGCTTAAACCAAAACAAGTCACTTCATTTTATCAAACAGTTCTTGCTCATTTCCAGAAAGGAGAAATACCATTTGAAATAGGTGATTCAATTCTTAAGACTATATACAAATGTTTGAAAGTAAAAGAAAATATACCTCCATTTATTGAAGGTCAATTTGCAGCTTTATTACCATTAAAACAAACCAATTTACTTCCAACAGTCTTTGATATATTCCATGTAATAATTTCTTCCGATCCAACTATTGTAGATGAAACATTTTCACAAATAATGCCAACATTAATCAAATTCGATGCAAAGAAATCATTAACACTCATCGCACTATACTGCCAGCAATTCAGTGAAATAGATAATCCATGGCCAATGGTTGATTTGCTTATTCAAGAAGCAGCAAATTTCAATCAGCCTCAAATAGCTTCAGATTACATTTCTCTCTTATCATTTTTGAACAAGCGATTCATAGAATACAGAAATGGCCGTGCGCAGCATTGCTGGAACCAAGTTATGTCGATGTTAAACACAACAGACAAAAAGACGATTGTTTCATGTTACGGAGGCCTCTGTGCCATTGCTGATGGCTTTACAGGAGGCACTTTCCAGATAGAATTAATTGCTACCCACCTTTTGATACCTGAAATTCAAGATCCAGCACTTTCTCTCCTTAATTTCGCAACTCTCAACGAAAAAGATGCCGGAAACAAGAAGTTAATACAATCCCTGATGCAAATAGCTGAAAAGAATGTTCGTGCGTCCCTAGTTTTGATGAAACTCGCATATAATTCAAACTCAGCGTCCACAGCGATCTTTTCTACACCGGGATGGATGCAGAAACCATTACCAACGATGATTGATACACTTAGAATCTTCCTTGTCATACTTCGACATAAAAATATCAGAGAATCCGTTGCAGAAAGCACGAACTTCGTTGATTTCCTCAAAAGCATCATCTCATTGGATAAACCAGGCGTTGTTCCTATTGCTTGTACAATAATTCGAAGAGTTCCACTGTCAAAAGATTTAATTACTCAAATGTCGTATTCCGGGTTCTTAGATTCCTTCTATAATGCACCAGATGAGAATGATGATGGTCTTACACAGCATTCCAAGCTCCTTTTGACTGATACTATTTGCAGAGTGACTTTTGTCAAAGATTACGTTCTAATGTGCGACAAAATCAACAATATTATAGTATCTAATGGTGAATTTGCAGATGCAGCAGCTCTTGTTGCTATAAGACTCTGCAAATATCCGAAATGCAAGGCTAGAATGAAAGAACTCAAATTAGATCAGCATTTCAAGAAAGTTGAAGGAGGTGGAAAGATGGCATCAACTGCAAAGAAGTTCTTGAAGGCAATTAATGGCTCTGAAGAATAATATTTGTAATTTTTTGTTTTGTAACAAACGAGTTTTAAATAAAATTTATATTTTGTGTTTTGTTTACTTACAGTTGTTTTAACTTACAAACTCTTTAAATTAATTTTTGGATAAAAATACCAATAGAAATCATGAATTTTATTAATACCAAATATCTTATATTAACCAATTAAAGATATTTGTTCAACTTAAAATCCTTAACTCTAAGTCTGGATGAAGATTTATAAATAAACGTGCACTTTTGATGAATGAAAAGCATATTTATCTGCAATGGATTCAGAATTTGCTGATAGATGGCTACAAATCCTTTTCTTTATCACCAAATGTCAATCGCAATATAAGCAGTCAAGCTCATTCTTTAATATCAGAGAATATCGATCTAATATTTGCAAAAATTCCAGATAATTTCAAAGATACTACACTATTTAAGCTCGCAATTTGCATGATTGATCAGAAATTCCCAATCGAATTCAACAATTTACAGCGAATTTTAGATTATATTTCAAAAGAAATGCCAATTTCAAATTTTTCACGTCAACTTTACGAAAAAAGTAAAATGCCCGAGATAGATAAACTAGGTGCTCTTATTGTTGAATACTACATTCGAGTAAAATTCGATCCAAACTGGAAGAAAAGTCTTCGAAATAACTACTCTCTTATCGACATTGAATCTGCATTACTAAATTGGATAAACAATAACATACACAAGAATCTTGTACCTCCAGGCTTATCCTTTACAGAGATAGTAGGAAGTGGCCAATTCTGTGCTGCTTTCTTTGCAAAATACAGAAGAAGTATCATCATGTTAAAAAAAGTTAAATTCGGAAAAAATTTAACTACAATAGATAAAATAAACAATTGGAAAGAGCTTGAAGTTGCGCTAAATACATATAGAGTTAAGAAACCAATTATGCCTGAAATAGAAAATAGAATTTGCATGATTTGCTTTGTAATTGACTTTTATTCCGCAGTCAAAGAAAAAGAAGTTGAAGATGTTGTTGAACTTCAAGAACCAATGTTTTTAACAACCAAAAATGATTTTCAGATCTCAGAAACAAATGCTCTTGAATTTGGGGAATCAAATACTGAGAATTCAGAATCAATTAAAGCTGACAAATCTAAATCAAACAATCAAGCTTTTTCTGAAAAATTTCATCTTGAAATACCAAGTAATTTTGAAAGAATTAATACAAATTCAACTTCAAATACATATATTAAACAAACAACATCACAAAATAGCACAAACAATCAAATAAACACAGATAATTTTCAGTTTCAATTCCTCAAAATTCCTCATTTAACATCAACAAAACAAAGTAATTCTCCACAACCAGAAAGTTCGAAATCAAAACCAATTGCTGATAATAAAAACACACAAAATTTTGACAATATTTCTGATGATAAACAAAATGAAACAAAAGAAAATAATGAAATATTTGATGAATCAAAACAAAAACAGACTAAAATCAATGATGAATCAAATCAAAGGCAGATTAATATGAATGATGAATCAAATCAAAGACAGACTAATATGAATTATGATAAATTCACAACTAATAATGATAAACCACAACATAAACAGAAAGAAAAATCAAATCAATTAGGAGCAAGTTCTAATAATAAAACAGATGACGCAAGGTTTGAATATTTGAAGAAAGGAAAACATAGTAAAAAGTTGACAATTGACCTAAATCAATCTTTGCAGAATGTAGAGATGACTGAAGTTGCTACAAATACAGACAGTACAAGAAAATATGATAATGATAAACAAACTTATTATAATGATGAAAAACCAAAGAAAAAGACTCTTCGTAATTTCATTGATGAACAAGACAACAGAAGAAAGATTCCAGAAAGAGTTCCTTTGAGATTAATGAGAGAGGATGATGATTCTCCAAGAGTTGATTTAGACAAAATAGCAAAACAAAAATGGATGCAATCAATTCCTAAAACAGAATTCGAATTTACACCAACGCATCAAATTGTTGTTGATCCTTCTAAGAAAGATAACAAAGCATCTTTTACTTCTTCTGTTGTAGTTGCACCTCCTATTGACAAAGCAAAGAAAACAAAGAACATTTCTTTTGTTCCAAAAGATTTCTTTGAAGAAGATTCATTTGATACATTTGTAAATTCAATTGTTGACAAAATCAAAGATAGACAAAACGAATTAGCTTTGATTCAACAAGAGAATATCAATGAAAATGTTCAACCAACTCCAAATATATACAGACCAAGAGTTTTCTATGAAAGTTCTTCTGAAAGTGATGATGATTCTAAAGATCCTCTTTTCGATTTAGATAAATTAGTTTCAAAACCAGAAAACGCTCCAATTTATCAAAAGATTTCAAAAGAGAAAGAAGAAAAACTTTTATCAAATGTAAGAAGATTAAGCTCCAATTCATATTTAATTTCGAAATCTTCAAAGCCAAAGAACTTTGAAAAATACAACAATCCTAAAATAAACATTCCACAACAACCAGAAAAGAAGCAACAAATTATTAATAAAGAAGAAAAATCCAAATCAGAAGATATAATAAAGAAAGAACAATCATCTAAAGAAATTATTAATAAAGAAGAGAAAATCAAATCAGAAGTATCTAAAGAAAATAAAACTAAAATATTAGAAATAGAAAACAAAGAAGAAAAGAAACCAGTACAGATATCAAATAGTGAAGATTCATCTGAAGTTTCCTTTGATGAAACTCCTACAAGAATTAATAATAAATTAAGTGATTCTGAAAGTGATAATAATGAAGATACAATGCAACTTTCATTGACTTTACCTTTGACATCTACACAAGAAATAGAGAAAAACAAACAAGCAAAGATGAAAGAATCATCAAGCGAAAGTCATCAAAATAATAATGAAGTAATGTCACCAATCTCAAAAACAGCTTCATTATTATCGCCTATATCGAAACCGGCATCATTGAGCTTCTCAAATGATTCCTATTCTGACATTCAAAATAAGAAGGAACAAAAAGAAGTCGAATCTCCAATAAAAGAAGAACCAACTCTTAATGAAGAAGAAATATTAAAGAACCAGACATGGGAAGAAGATAAATCAGGAGATAATATCGTTACTTTTGAATATCCAGCACTTTATCAGAATCAAAACTCAATTGCTCCATTGATTCCTGAAGAAAGTCCAAGAATTTCAACAAATAATGCTTTTCCAAAAGAAGAAGTTAAACAACAAATTCATAATGAAAACCCAGAAAAAGAGAAGAAGAAAATTACTAAATCAGGAATTCCTGTTAGAAAAGAAATTCCAAAGAAAACAGAAGAAGAAAAAGAAGAACAAGCAAATGATATTCTTGAAGAACTTGATAATTATGCTCAACCAGATTATAAACATCCTCCTCATATTGAACAAAGAAAACCTAAACCAAAAGAAAATGAACCACAAAAGGAAATCGAAAATGCAGAGTTAAAAGTTACTAATTTCCAAGCCAAGTTACAAAAACCAACTTCTGAAGAAAAACCAAAACAAATTACTTCTACAAAAGAAGTACCAAAAACTAATAATAATATTGTTGATGAAAAAGCAAATAAGAAACCAGAGAAACCTCCACAAATACAGGTAAATAACAATACAAAGATCGATGCTCCACAAAAGAATAATATTATTACTCCTTCTGAAGTTAAAGATATATTAATTCCTGCACTTCTTTCACCAATATTCAAAAATGAGCAAAATTCATCAAATTCATCAAAATTGGAAGAAAACAGACCTCCACCAATCTTATCATCATTCTCAAAGAACAATGACGATGATGACATTATTATTCAGAGTGTTTCATCAAGTTCTTCTATGGAAGTTGCTATGACTCCAACAGGAACAACACAAAACAAATTAAAACTAGAACCATTAAGAGCCAGTGTTGATCCTAAAGCTTCAACAGATAGAAGAGTTAGTTTCTTGCCAGAGTTCTGTCATCCAATGACAAGAACTCAGTGGCTTGAAGATCTGAAGAATCAGAAAAAGCTAAAGAGACTAGCTAGAGCTGCAGCACCAAAATCAAGAACAAGAGATCAATATCCTCCAAAAGCAGAAATTCCTAAAACTGCAAACAGCAAAAAATCTCTTCTTCCTGACGCAAAACCACCAGGAGAGAGAATGAAATCAAGTATGAAGAAAGTAAAACATAGCCATGAAGATGATGACATTCTTAATTCAACACAAACATTAACATTGTCCGATGTCGGACTATTATAATATAATTATATTGTATTTTATTTGTTATATATTGTAAATATGTTATATATTAGTAACTGAACTATTCATTAGAGTTTTGCATGAATAATTCCTGAATTATCAATTTAATTCTAATTCAATGCAAATATATATATAGTTTTCAATTCATGTTTCATCCTTTATAACTAAACTTCCAAGAATTGTTATCTTGAAACCAATAATCTATGAATACAAAGAATAATTTAAAGTATTCGAGTTTTCATTGAAGAATTGAAGATATATATGAACAAAATATCTGATAAAGCATTCACTTGATACCATTTTCAATAGATCTTGAAGAATTTTGAAAGAATTATTTATAATTTTATTAAAAAAAGAAGAGAAAATAATATGCAAAGCTAAGTAATAGTTTAATAGACGAAAAATAAAGTCAAATAGGAATGAAGAAATAAAATAAAGTCAAAGAACCAATTATAATTAGTTCTAAAAAAATAAAACAATAAATAAATAAAACACAACAACAACAATTAATAATTAATTGTCTTTCAATAGTTCTGGTGGTGGAATTAAGTCAATGTGAGGCAATTCTTTCGCTGATCTCCTTGAAGAGTTTGCTTCTTTCATTGATCCAATGACAGAAAGCAATTTATCCTTGTCTCCGCAGATAGAATCGATCATTTGTTTGGTCGTCCTCTGCTTCCTTGCGTTCGACTTCCTCTCTTCAATTACGTCGTGGTCGACGAATTTGTTGACGTCGAAATAAATTGGTTTGATTTCTGGATGAGGAAGGATGAAAGAGTCCATTCCGTTGAATGGGCAGGCGTTATCAAGCATGTCGACAATCTCTGTGTGTCCTCTAACTGTTGCAATGGAAAGTGCATCGTATTTCTCGTTGACACAGACTTTTGCACCTGATCTCAACAAAATATCGACAATTTCGACGTTTCCATGTGCTGCTGCGTAGTTCATGGCTGTCATACCTGCATCGTCGAGGACATCGCAGCCTTTGTCAGTTCCATACATAAGAATCTGGAAAAGAATTGGATTTCCGACAATTGCAGCCGCGTGCAATGGAGTAAATAATCTCTCGTTGTAGGCAGAGTCCATTCCACCGGAAATTGTCCATTCTAGAGTCTGGTCAATATCTTCATTTTGAACAGCTTTAATGATATCGATAGGATCGCTGTTGATAAACTTGTGGTTGCAGTATTTGTCTTGGATGAACTGAATACGCTCTTGTTGGCTTGAATTTGGATTAATCTTCTTCGATTTGTCCAAATTGAACTCGAGAACTCTGTTTGCGCGCGATGATCCAACAGCTTCCATTGTAAGGCGTTGGTATCTGTCGAGAGTGTCCAAAGTCAAATTCTTGACTCGAGAAATCTTCAATGGGAGGCCACGGTGTATGCCAGCGCATGCGTCGCACAGAGAGATACCCGTATTCAAGGAGACCCATGAAGCGTTTGTTTGGCCGCAATCAGCACATACCAAAGAACTGATTTCTTCTTCGATGATATCGTCACTGAACTGGCTGCTGAACTTATCGCTGGATCCGGTGAGGATTGGAGCATCACTTGCCAGCGGGAACGTTCCAGATTCTGTTGAATTAAGGTTAATGCCATTAGTGTGCTTTAACATGACGGAACATGAGCTGTAACGTCTGATTCCGCGGCCCTGAGGCTTCTGGTTGTTGTTGTTGTTGTTAAGTTCTGTGAAGATATTATTTTGGATAACTGCAAGCCAATGTTTCATGTCCCATTCGGTAAGCGCTTGGAATGTATAAGACCTTTCCTTTGTCTGTATCGTGAAACAGTGAGGACGGGCCGCATTTGGATCGGGTCTTACTGAAGAGTAGAGCAAAGAAATATCCTGTGGCTTCCTATCGATATCTTCGACACTCTTACTGTATGTAAGGATGCAGTTAGAGATAATAAAGAAGCGCCTCTTCCAAGATACGGCCAACCTTCCGCATTTCTTCCAGAGATAGCCTTGCATGTTACGGGATTGAGTTCCTGGGAAAGGATTACGCATATGCTCCCAGAATCCTGGGAGAGATCCAGTTAAAATCTGTTTCGATTTTGCAGTCGACGAAGCGAGTTCGCTGAATCGGCGAGTAAACTCTGAAATGCGGGCAGAACATTTATCTATTGATGACTTAGAGCAGTCAATACTACCAAGAACAAATTTCATGGGATCGCAAACTGAACTAATGAAATTAGTCAACTGTGTGTTAGTAAATGTAAAAAATAGCGCAAAAGAAAGCATAAAATACGATTCCCTTTCATTTAAAAGCAAATGAGGGGTAAAAGTTAATTTATATCTTTCTTTTTACGCCAGAAAATATACATACTATTGAAGGTATCAAGATTTGGAATTGAAGTTCGATATTTTCCATTTTGCTTGTGTAGTCGAAATAGGAAATTGCATTTTGAGCGTGAGCATCAATTAAAGGATCTTCGCTTGATGGTTTATCGATATCTTTTGCAGATAATGCTACATACTTTTCTTGGGAAGCCCTGTATGCATCATGAATTTTCTTATGATCATCATGGAATTTTTGGAGTTGAGCGAAATCTTTATTAACAAAATTAGTTATATCCTGTATTATTTGGTTTTTCAATGTATCGAAATGGCATTGAAATCCACCGTTGATAATATCTAAAATACCTTTAAGCGAAGAATATGAATCGTCGTGCGTGATTATATCCATTTCCGATAAACATCTTGCTATTTCTTCGAATGTTGAACCAATTTTATTACCAAGTTGGCAGTATGTATCTAAGTGATTTGTAATAATTCCCATAAGCTTGTTAATTTGCATAATATTTCTGAATCTCCTTTCCTGCTCAAGAAGATGGACAGGATCTTCGATGATATATGGGAGGCATTCGTCTGGGACACGAAAAATATCACCCATTGACGAAAATTTTTTTTGAATGATATTTATTTTTTTCAGAATGAAAATCTTCGATGAAACCAAATAGGTGAGATATCACTTGATAATTATTTTCGAACCAAATTTCAAGTTTATTGTATTTAGAAATTTCTCTCCACTTTTTGCGAAATTGAAGGTCTAAAAAGTGTTCTGTTCCCAAGGTTCATTCAATTTTGGAATGATTTAGATAATTAATACAATGCGACAAACTATAAATCCTTTCAAAGACCGATATTCAAAATCATATTCAAATATCGATTTAGGGATTTTGAGAGGTCAGACAAATCTAAATATTTCGTTCATGCAATAAATCATATTCCTATCGCAACAAAACGCATAATGACACGCTTATCGTCTAATCTTGCCGATTTGCATTTGATAAAGATTACGTAAATGAAAATTTACTTAATCTACTCATCAAATGTGCATAGATGTGCACTCAAGATTTCCGATGTAGCATCTAAACACATCCAATTACAATTAAGATTTGTCAAATTTATTGAGGTTTGAAAAATATCATATGAACATTAGTATTACTTTTGACGCATATAATTAGTGAAAATCAGCCTTCAAAAGGATTGATTACACTAACTCAATTTTCATAACTTTAATCATTGTTATTCGTTTTTCAAATCAGGAGGAATATAATTAAAATTTAATAAATCGAATAAATATAGAATTTTAGAAGGTTAATAAATCATTATTGAGATTGATTTCATTCGAGGTGAGTCAAGAGTGCAGTGAAATCCCATATTAGATATAACAAATGTGCCGGTACAAACAATTGACTTAATTCTTTGAAATTCTGCTCCTCAAATGTAACATTTCTACATTATTAAAGAAACAACCTGATTCTTGATTTATGATAAAGCAGCCACTTTTGAGATGACACTTCTCATGACATCTACTATTCAAAACCAAAAGATGAACTATTTTAGTCGTTTTTGAATTTTAATTTTATTATTTCTCTTCTAACAGCGTTTTGGAAGACGCATAACAATTACATGGAGTTTGTTATAAGATACAGCCTCATAAGAGCAGCGATGCATGGCGAAAATTTCGGGAGAAAAATAATTTATGCAAAAGTGACAATTTTTGAATAAAAAAATGAGCGCTCCATCGAGCACGATTGCCAAAAAGAAACGCGAGTTAGAAGCTCTTGAACTGGAGATTAAACGTGCTAAAGGTGTTGCTTTCAAGTTAATGAATGCTCCACAAGAATATCAAGCACCAAATGGTCAAACAGTTGGCGATCTCGAAAAGGAACTTCAATCTATTCGCAAGGTATTACATATTCCTGAAGATGATTCTGAAACAGATCTTATTGAATTGCTCAATGATAAAATTTCTCGTAGAACTGAAGCATACGAGGGATTGAAGAACGAAATCGCTGAAATGAAAGAAAAGATTGGCAAAAAACAGTCTGTTGCTGACGATCTTCAACAACAAATTGACGAACAATTGAGAATTCAAGAAAAAGCTCGCAAAAAGAACAGAATGAATTCTGATATCAATTTACCAGAAATACCATTTGGCAAAAATGATGTTACCGAGCCAATTGTCGATAATCTTTCTAAATATAAAATCGAATTAGGTAAATTGAAAGCAGATTTTGATAAGATCAAGCTTGATATTACTGCATACTTTGATAATTACAAGAAACAATTTAATAATCAGATTAAAGATGAAATGGAAAAAAGAAGAAAACAAATTTTAGAAAAACGACAGATATGTCTCGAATTACAAAAGCATGCACAAGAACTCGAAGAGCAGCATAATAAACTACAGCAAGAATTACAAAATTACCAGATTAATCCAACAGATGAAAACGATGGCACAGATATGCCAACGCAATCACCAGAAGAAGCTCAGAAAGAGTTTGATGATCACATCAGGAGCTTCGTTGACGTATTCGACAAGTTCAAAGACACTCATACTGATCATTGCGAAGATTTATTGAAAGAATTTAATTTGAAAGTCGACAATTTGGAACCAAAAACCATCGAATTACATGATAAGCTTAGTAAATTAGGTGAAAAAGTACAACAATCTAAGGCAGTTGATCAAACCGTTGTTAGAGACCAAGCAAACAATTTAATGAGAGATTTCTTGAAGACATTATGGATGAAGGAGAGACTGAAATTGATTCTCAACGAAATGGAGCCAAAATTAAAAGAACAAGCAGATAAATTCGAAGAACAAATCGCAAAAGAAAAAGAAATGACAGGAAAAGTTATCTACGAAAATCTTACGATCAATGAAATCAGAAAACTTATCATCCTGTTCATTAAAGAAAATGCTCAAATTAACCTTGCAAATGAAGCTATGCAGAACGACTACAAGGAGAAAACAAGAGAACTTGGCTTACTTTCTAGTCCGAAATAATTATTTTGCGCGTTGTTTTTCAAAAAATTTATTATTTTTTTATTTGTTTTTAATTTTTTACCAAATAAACTCTTTCCATAATATTTAACTAATTGTAGTATTTATAAGATTTGATTAAGATAGTGAAATTATTTTTATTTTAATCCAATTTATTCAAAGATTATCTACCAAGTATAACAGATTACCATCTACCCTATTATAAAATATCCTAAAGATTTCTTAATCAAACTTATTATTCAATTGAAAATTATCCTCAGAACACACAGTTTTATATGTAAGACTTAATTTATTTGGCTGTTTCTCAATTTAGAACTAAGTTTACTTTAAAAAGTTCTAACATGCACCAAATTTGCATTATTTTGCAAATTTTTAACTTATACTTGTAAAATACGAAAAAGTTATTTGAATAATTACATTTTAATGCTTAAAATATGAATGGAACAAGAACATTTCTTTTCATTAAGACAAATTCATTACCGAATTTGCCTAAATACCAATTATATGTCATAATTGACTGATGGGTTAAATTAAATGCTACAAATATGACCATAAATACAGTTAGAATGGATGGAGCACATAAAAAGTAGACAATATATAATAAAATCTCAATCAAATAATGAGGTGATGTGCATTTCCTAAAAAGAAGTCCTTCTGGAATTGTGTATTTCTTTAATCCTGCAAGAACCCAATGCACATAAAATTGAGCAACATTTAAAGCAATAATAACACCAAACCAAACTATTGGTTGAGATATTTCTGATTTAGAAGATTGTGCTAGTGTGAATGGGACCATAATATAGAAAAGCAATCCTGCGAGTAAATTTATGATGTTCATTTGGCGAGAAGAAAAGTTTGTTATAAATAAGGACTCGAGAAGTCTTCTAAATGAATGAATAAACAAAAATATATTAACAAAATGCGGTGGCCATCTAATGATATATGTGATAAAGAAAACTATACAAGAAAACGAATAAAACATAATCCAACCTAATTTATTATCTATACTAATTATAAACTTCTGAGGAACTTCTAGTTTTCCAAATCTTGTAAATTGGTCCCATTTTGGAATGAATAATTTCATTAGATAAACGAAAAGAGCTATTATCCATAGAGCTCCAAGAATATATGTTAGGTTTTCCAGTCCCCAATTATATAAATTTAGGATCAATGTAATAATCGATTGCGACATTTTTTTATAAAATGGCAAAGTTTAGTTAAAATGAAGCTCAAACAATGCATCTACTAACGAAAAATTATTCGGAGAGGTTCTAGGTATAAAACTTGATTTAGTTCCGAATTTTTAAACGGCTACGAAAATATTGGGTTATGCGTGGGGCTCAGAAGCAAGACCTCCTAAAACAGAATACTATGGATGGTCTTATTGCAGCCACATCAACTCATGGATTCATGATTTTTGAGATTTCGAAGAAAACTTACCGACTTGAAGAATTATTTGAGCGGAATATGAAAAGAAGTCTATTTATTAGTATGGCAAAACAACTAATAAACAGAGAAAGGCATCAAAATCTTATTAGTAATCAAAAATTGCTTCACAATTTAAACATATACAATCTATTATTACAAAAATCTATATTTGACTACTGGAGACAAAGAAGGAAATGGATCTTATTTACAAGAAAGATCAAAACAAATGTTCAATTGAAAATATTTCAACTTGCAAGATTACAACTTCCAAAAATCTATAGAGAAATTTATAGATCGAACTGGGCCTCGTTATCATTAGAGCTATTAAGACATACAAGAATTCAAAAATGCCAAGATTTGCATGATTCACGAGCTAATAAATTAATTCTTCAAAAATACATACATCAATGGCATGAAAATGCAGTAACATCCGCACAAAACAAAGCATCTATTATATTAAAGTGGGAAGAATTGTACAAGAAACTACACAAGCGACAAATTAAATCTAATTTCAGATTGAAAGCATACGAAAATGAACAAAGAAGAAAGTGGAAACTTCTTATTAACGGAAAGAAAGTATCAAAGATACTGCTAGTTTACAATCAGTTTGTTACAAAGCAAAATTGGAAATATTTTGCCAGACAATTAGCATTCCAGCAGAGATTAAATGCAGTCAAAGCAGCTCATGATAGACTTGAGAGAATCAAGAAATGGAAGGAATTGTCTCACAAGTATAAATCTAATTTGCAGACACAAACATTGATAAAAGAATCTAATCACATTAAATACAAGAGACTCTTCAAATATTTCATCAGAGAAACACTTCACAACGAAAAATTAAATGATTTGAGACTTGCTAAAGACAAGATAAATGAAATAAGAGAAAAGAGAAGCAACAAAGAACTACAGAGAAATATGCTCTATTTATGGAATGAAAGGGCTATGATACATAGAGTAACAATGACAAAACTTAAGTCTTCATTTAACAAAGCATATAACATCATTGCAAGAAGTGCCAAAAATAGAGCAGCTGAAATGATTCAAAAATCATTTAGATCTTATATGATAAGAAGAGAATCAAACTTGTCATTATTGCAGAAGATGTTCATGGGCTGGAGACATCTTATTCCAAATATTACAGACAGATTAGTTAGCGATTTCCCAGATATGATTTTAATATTAGAAAAACCTAAAATTTTGGAGTTTAATGTGAAAATTCCTGACACCAACAAGTTATCTGTTTTCAAAGAGATGTCAACAGTTCTTAGAACAGAAAAAGAGATCCTTCTTGATGAAATTGCAAATGATTCAACTAAATTAATTAAATTTTCATTTGATCCAAATCTGAAACAGCATAAAGTCTTAGAAAACTTAATGAACTACTATCAAAATAAGAATGATATCATTTCAAGTTTCGCAAATTCTATTTCGACTTTAATTAATATTAATCTTTCAGATAATTTTGCAAATCAAGTTTCAATTTCTCATTTAAATGATATAAATAAGATTGAAACAAAACTATTTGTTGATGATATCCAAATGTATAACTTTGATCCAAAATTGAATGATATCAAGTTAGAAAATACACCTCTTGAATTCTTTTATCAAGCAAATCCATCATATGAAGATGATATTAACTTTGTAGCATTGAATGCTACAAAAAGTTTTGCAAATGTCAACAAAAATTTCCAAAAAGAAACAAAATCAATTTTACCTTTTTACAAAAAGATTTCGATCCCATTAAATGTTTCATTCACAAAACACTACTCAAACATGTTGTCACTTGATATGAACCTGAAATATACTGCTTTACCAAGCTTTAAACCAATAAAATGTCTCACATTTGAGAAAATTCCAAAACAAGATGTCAATGATGATTTTACTTATGATGCAACAAGTCATATCAATCTTTCGTTAGATTTTGCCAAAAGAATTGATATGAAACCAATAAATTCATTTTCAATAGAAGAAATCGAGCTTTGTCCAGATGACATCCCTGAAGAAGCTGCTTCAAAGATCAACTTTGATTCAGTATTCAATTCACTTTTATCAACAAAATTCATTAACATTTCTCCTACTCCAATCCTTCCAACCCCTGAATTTCCAGAAGAATTCTTTGATGAGATGATTGAAGACTCAATCAACTCAATATGTTATACCAAAATGGATCCACTTTATGATCTTCATTTCTCAAAATTTCAAAAACAGCAAATTGATGATGATTTTTATGTGGACCTTCCACTTTTTATTCCAGAGTATCTTGTTCCATTACACAAATCATTATCTTTTCTTGCTCAAAATCAAATTCCATCCCCTGATTTCGATGAAATTTCAAATGATTATTCTAATAATTTAACTTTGAGTTTATCCGATACCAAGATCGATTTACAGCAAATTTTCAATGTTTGCAAAGAAATGAGAGATAGAATTGAAGATGAATCCATGATAATTAGTCAGAAGTACTTGCTTAACATTAATGATGTTGTTTCTAATTATGTAACTAACAACTTTACAAAATTGATATCAATATCAAATTTGTTCTCGACTAAAATACCAAAACAGAAGCTCGAAAACATCTACTCAATTCAAGATACTTGTCTCAACAATGCAATACAAGACAGAAATTCGTTGAATTGGTATGTAAAAGATAAATTTATACCAATAATCAGTGAAAATGATGAAATTTATGAATTACCTGAATTTGAACCGAAGTTTACAATGAATTTAGGTTTCAATTCGATTTCTGATAGGAAAGATCTTAACAATCTTTATGAAGATCAAGTTAATTCAATAATGCATGATATTAAAGATCTTGATTATTGTTATCTTCAGTTGAACAACTCAAACCTGGCATCGTTTACGTTCTTCGATTTCTTTCAGCTTTTCAACTTGGAACAGATTGATTTACAACTATCATTAGATGCTATGGAAGAGGAAAAGAACGTTCTTAATAATATCTCTCATCCTGAAAATCCACATCAGCATCCAAATGATAAAGAAGAATTATATGATCTAGAATTAGAATTTAATTTGGCAGAAGATCAATTTAATTTGCAGAATTTCGAGAATCATGGCTTTGAATTCTATGAAGACATGATTCAAGAATTGAAGTATCCACTCGAATTTAATTTATATGATATTACTAATTTGAAATATCAAGAATTCAATATCCAGAGAATAGATCTGATACATGAAAATGATTTGGAATTTATAAATCATTACGATATCGAAAAAGATCTCTCAGATCTACTGCATTTTATCAATGCAAATGAACTTATACATTTACAGTTCAGCAAATCAAAAGAAATAGAATTTCCATCATATGATATTGAGCTTGATCTTAAAGATGTTGATATACCAATTCGTTCTGACTTCATTGGAACAAAAGAGATACCAAAACAAGATTATCCATCATATGACATTGATGTTTCACTCAAACATGTATCGCAAACAACTGCAAATCCAATATTTGCTTTATCAAATGACAAATATTTCAATTTCGATAATCCTGAAATTGATTTACAGATAAATCTCGAAGAAGTAATCAAAGTTGATATTAATTCATTGAATAGTATTTCTAAAGTTGAAACATATCAAATATTAACTCCATCATTTGATGTTAATTTGAATTACCATCTTGATGATTTCATAGCAAATACGCTTGATTTATTCGAGAAGATTGCAATTCCTTATCAACAAGTATCAGTTGAAATTCTTCCAGATTTCAATAATATTGCTAACATTTTAAGCATCAAAAACTTGTTTGAATTAAAGAGTGTAGAAATTCCTGAAATTAATCCAGATACAGATTACGAAATTAAATTTGATTTAGATTTGATTTCCATTCCAAAATTTGCCGAAAACGAAATCATTTTGTTAGAAAAATCTGATGAAATTGACAATTACTCCATTAAATTGAATTTTAACAATTTAAAGAGCAATATAATTCGGCCATTGACTTTCTTTACAAATCAAGCAATACCAGAAATAGATTTTCCAAATTATAGCATTGAATTGCCTGAAATTGATATCAAATTGCCTTATCTTTCTTATACTAAGGAGATTGTTAAGTTACAAGAGATACCAGAGAACATCTTCGATATCAAATTATCACATCTTGCAATTCCTTTCAATAGGCATCAAGGAAATATTATTAACTTTGAACTTAACAAAATTAAACCACAAGAAATCAATGATGTTTATAATTTGGAATTAACATTTGGTAATGAAATAGCATTCATAAAAGAATTTCCATTTGTTCATGATTACATTCCAAAGAGGAACAAATATTTCATCAAATATAATGTTACAATGCCTTCTTTCGACTTCATCGGTATTCCAAAGTTTACTTTTGAGTTTTATCCTAAATCAAAAGATATTTTATCATTATTAGATGAAAAAGCACTTAGTGAACTCAGTTTTCAATTCAATATTGATGATTTACATCAGAAGAATCAATCATTAATCATTTATGAGAAAAGTAAAATCAAAGAAAATCATATTAATTACGATGATTTATATGAATTCAATGATCCAAAATTGATGCAAAGATTGAATAATGCTTTTGAAGTTCTCCAACCTAAACAGATACCAGAATTTTCTGTGAATTCTAATGTATATTCTTTGCGTTTAATTAAGTTGGGTGTTAATCTCAGGAGAGTATTAAGACCACTAAATAATATGAAAATTTTCGGATTTTCAGAATGGAAAGATATTATTCCAAAGTTTGAAAACTCATTTGATGAATTTATTATTGATAATGTTAATGATATTATTGAAAAAGCAATTAAAGACATTACTCTTCCAGAAAAAGAAGATCAGCTGCAAGAAGAAGAATCTACACCAAATATTATCATTCCTATTAACGATGAAGAGTCGGTGTTTGATATCTATGCAGCGCTAGAAAGTTCATCTCCAACAGCTGCTCAAAACAAATTCAATAAAGAGGAAGACGAAGAAGAGTCATTGATTTCCCAAGTCGATATCATTAACGATGAGTTATATGAAGCAGAGGAAGAAAATTATTCTCTTCATATGGATGAAAATAAATCAAGAGATATCAGTTATGTGTCTGAGGAAGAATCTCTTAACATTACAGAAGACGAAATTATTAAGGAAGAAGAAGATTTCAACAGTGAGATCGACTCTCTTTTAGACACAAGTAATCTTAATGATACAACTTATGATGATAGTAATTATCTTAATGTTACTGGTGATCATATCAATGTTTCAAGTCCTAATATATCTAATTCTCTCCTTCTTCAAGATGATAATGATTCAATGAATGCAGAATCTGATGAAAGTCCAATTTATGTAATTAATCAATCAAATGAAGCGAAAACAGAGGATAAAACTAAATCAGAAAGTGAAGAAGATTTCTCACTTCACACAATTGAAAATGAAAATAAGGAATCAAGTCTTCATTTTGAAGAAGATGAAGAATCTTTGCCCATTGACGATAAAGATAATGAAAAGATTGAAAAGGAGTATGGTGAATTAAGTTCGATATTAGATTTCGATGAAGATGATAAAGCAAAGCCAGATGAAGAGAGCCTTAATAAGTTTGCCGAGGAAAGCATCGAATCTATTGATGGCCTATCATCTATCGACTTTGATAATACTTTAGAACCAAAAAGTAGTTTCATTGATCAAGCAATTTCAGACATATTCAGCAATTCAGAAGTATCAAAATCTAAACCTGATTTTGTTTTTGAGTCAGATGATGAGACACAAGAAGCATCTCAGAAAGAGTCACCCGTTAAACAAAAGAAAGGTAATAAAGTTAATGAAACAGATGATTCTATCTTCTCCTTCATCAAAAGCGAAGTTGAATATGTATCGCATCTTGAAGAAGAAGAGGAAGATCAAATAGAAGAAGGAGAAATAAGAGAATTCGATCCAAACGAATCTCTTGAACAACTCAATAGCCCGAGTTTGCTTACGAATGACATTCAAGCAGATAATCTTCTGAAAGAAATAGTTGAGGATTGTATTAATGAATTTTACAACAATCTTGATAATACACTTCTAAATCCAAGTACGACTTACTTAAATAGGAGTTTTACTATGGAATTATCAAGATTATGTCGAGTTTCAGTTGTAAGAAGGCTTGAAGAGATCCAATTTAGGGAACGTGATGAAAAAAGAGTGAATTGGAATCTCAACTTTTAATCATATTATTTTTGTTTGTTTTTATAATAAATGTTTGTATTTATGCTTAATAATAAGGAAATTATTATGTACTTTTACATTATGCGAAAAGGAATCAGGTGTCACTATCGGATAGTTGATTTAATTTTTGGTAGTGAATCTGTGATTAAATTTTTCTGTTATTTCCCTTACTGATAACAGAATCCTACATAGCTTAGGAATATTTTAACTCATATATTATTTCAATTAACTATATACATCAATGCAACTGCTTTTCAAATGGTTTCACAATGAAACACCTTGATTTTTAATTTCATATTTTGAATTTTCCCTTCTTGTTGATTTTTATTGAAATAAATAGTCATGTAATAGTATGTCCATATGAATAACAATGATACCAGATCAACAAAAATAATTTCATTTATTTTTTTCTTTCGCTGTATGAAATCTCTCATAGGAGAACTATGGGATATGGCGAAAATGGGACGTTTGCAGAACGTAGATCTGCTTCTTGGACAAAAGCTCCAAGACTTACATACGGAAATGCAAAAACATCCTGAAGAAATCCCAGAAGATATGGAAAATCTTTTTCTTCAATTAATTACATTCAATAACAGACATATTTCAACTATAAATGCACACTTTATTGGACTTTGCATTGTTCTTTATTACCAAAGTCTCAAAAAAGCAACATATTGGACAGTTTTACCTGCATTTCAAGAAGAAGTTCTTAAACAAAATATTCCAGCTATAGTAATTTTCGGTATATTCACTCGTCATCTCTGTGATTCGTTCAAATCTAAACTTCCTCCTTCAATTACATATTTATTGCAAGTCACAACTGAAGAATTGCAGCCATATATATGCCAATTTTTCAGAAGAGTAATTAAAGGATCCGGATCTTTCCTCAAATCATCAGTTCAAGACATTTTTGGTTTTGTTTTTCGCGGAGCATCATCAACGAACGAAGATTTACGTATAGAAGCAGTTAAAACATTACCATGTCTCATGTCATGTGCTCAAATTCCTCGTAAAAAGCTTCTACCTATTGTTGGCCTTTCATTATCAAGCCAATCTCGTGCTTTACGTGATGCATCAGCAAAAGCACTTGCCAAACTGATGTATCTTTCATGCCAAGACCAAAAAGAGGAAGTAATTAACTCAGATACTTATTTCAATATTGCTTTCAAGATTTTACTTCAATTTATGCAAAACGAGAAGAACATACCAACACTTGTAATCTCTCTATACACATTCTTACGTTATTTCCAGCCAATTGAGATTGTAAAGAGATATCGAGTTTTTGCAAAACTTGCATTGTCAATTTCCGCCTTAAACATCTCATTTCCATCATTATGCATGATGTCACGTGCAATATTCCAGTCAGTTCTCTCTTTAACAGGTTCAACCGCCGGAATTTACTTGAATCACTATTTAGTTGACAAACTCGACCCAGAATCACTTACACCCGCAAGATCCGTTGTCATCATTGATTCCCTCATCAATTTCGACGCTTCCTCGAAAGTTCTCGCCAAAGCAGCGAAAGCTTTTTATCCTCTTTTGACTTCGCAAAGAAATGATGTCAAAAGATTGGTCACTTCATTTTTCGCAAGACTTGGAACAAAAGAACCGAAAGCTGCGCAGATATTACTCGACTCCTTCATGAAGTGGGTCTCTTCAAATGATGCAAAACCGTCTGACATCAGCGGTTTTTCGAATGGAGCTGCGATGTTACTTTTGACGAGTAATTTGAGTGAAGAGACATACAGCAAAATCATTGATGTTTCTTTGTCATGGCTGAAGAACGTGAAGAGCTTTGATTCACCGAGAATTCCTGCTGCTTTTCTCTTCATTTCGAGCATAATGAACAAAAACAATAGTTTTGTAAATGAAGAAAAAATTGCACAAATATTTAGTTTCTTGCAGAAATACACAAAGAATTTCTCAAGAAATTCAAATACAAAACAAATTCTAAAATTTGTGTCAATTTTTATTTTACAAATCTGCCAAAAACCGCCGTCAAATTACGATTTATTGCAGCCAGTCATTAAGCAGTTTACTCAAATCGTAATACAGAACGAGCAGATCATATCAAGCCCTTGTTTACTCGCGTTCCTCGCCTACACGAAGAAATCTAAATATCTATGGAAAGATGACCAAAATCTGCCAACTCAAATTTGCCAAATTTTGACAAGTAATTTTGTCAGAAATTTCCAAATGACAGACGATGAAATGGACTACGGCTTGGACAAGTACGAGTACGACCTCGACCAGTCAAACATACTTTACAATTGCAGTTTGCCACTTCACATGACCAACAAAATTGATCAATACGCTGATTCGATCTACAGCTATTTGATTTCTCCGTCGAAAACATTCAGAAGGAACCAGCTCTGCCAGGAAATACTACATGATTTCGGAGCATGGCCATCTCTCTGCAATCCTAAGGGAAGAAAACAAATAATTGACCAGATTTACGTCATACATCCAAGAGATGCAAATTCTGCTCATCAAAAATTGTCACTTTTGAATTCAATTTTTGTCAAAAAAGTGACAGATGGTATACCAAAAGATTGCTTGAATAGTTTGCTTGGCACGAATACATTTGGTGTTAAAAGAGTCATCAGACTTTTAGCAAAAACATGCGCTGAATATGTCTCATGTTTTCCAAACACTTTACCTGTTTTAGTTGATTTCCTCGAGAAACCAAAGACTCCTTCCCAGTTTGCTTCTTTGGTAATTGCTGAACTCGATTTCAGCCAAGAGAAAGATGATTCTTTAGCCATCAGATCACTTCTTATTCTCCACAGATTGTTGTTTATTTCCCCTGATTCTGAAGGTTGTTTCGCTTTGTATAAATTAGTCAAGAAACATTTGATTCCTGATGATTTCATCGGTCAAACAACTTCATTAATTGAACAGCTAATTTACTCAGATTGCTCACGATCTCCATCCGTTCTTTATTACCTTTCAAACGCTCTTTTCGAACTCAAAAATGAAAACATTGAAAAAAGTGACGAAAATGAAAAAAGTGACAAAATCTCAATTGATTCCAAGTTAATTTCCAGAATATCGAGGTGTTTGTTAGATTATGCAAACAACAGGAATTTGGCCAAACTCTTGGCACTTCAGATAATGAGATTACTTGAAAATGTTGATGATTACATGGAAAGTTTAATTAATGTTTCTAAAATCACTTCACCTTTACAAACATTAATTAACAGATTCCACTTTTCAGCAGGTATTGATGATGTTCCTCTTTTGTTCATGGTATTGCAGCAATCCTCTTCCAAAGAGATGTTCAACCGTATCGTTAAAATTTTCGAGAAATACCCTGATGTCAAGAGATGGACAGATTTGTGTAAAAGAATTGTAATTATTGGATGCGTTCCTCCATTTGAAAGAAAGGGAGATATAAGGATTGCACCTACAATTGATGTTCTTCTTTGTGCAATAACAATAGCTGAAAAGCTTGTCCACAAGATCCGTGAAACATTCCCTAACAACATGACTTGTGTTGATGATGTTGTTTCAATCGCTTTCAATTCAATAAGAATGAATGAACGATTATTTGACACAATTTGTTTCAATACGATGACTAATGTTATTTACAACTTTTCATCGGTAAGAAACAAAGAATGTTTCCTTCTCGAATTGTACACAAGCCAATTCGTTCCTTCCCTTAAATACGCAACAGATGGATGCCATGATTCTAAAACATCAAGTGACTTTTGTTTGGCGTATTTGACATTTTTGATGGAATCAAGGAGTCCTTTCTTAGGTGAAGCAACTTCGACATTGACAGAAGGTTTGTCGAAGATCGGATACACCAATGAGTCTATTGCTGTTTTCTGCAGAATTTTAGGTCGTTTGTTTACTTTATTGGAAAAGAAAGATGAAAATTTGACAAAATTATTTGATTCTGCGTCATCGACGATTTTCGATGAAATTTTCAGACAAAAGAGGAAAATTTCAGAACTTGGCGATGAAATGCAGTTCGTTATTGCCAAATTTATCGAGAGAACTAAAGATTTCAACACGAAAAGAGCATTAGTTCTTGTTCTTCTTGAAGAACTCCACAAGAACTGTTGCGCAATGACATTGAACACTTTGACAACTTTGTTTGAAAGTGTCGGAGCAGGAAAACCAGCTTTAGAGTTTGCCCTTTCAACTCTCTGCAGCTCAGAGCTCATTTCCATTGAGAGGAAAGCCGCAGAATCACAGGATTTGGACAACGACAAGAGAGAAGACGACGAAGACATCGATACAGCCACTTTTTGGATTGTTCCTCCAAGAAAAATGCCAGCGGTTGCAAGATTTTTGACAGCGGCAGCAAATTTGATTCCTTCTCCAGTTACAGAAGAATTCGTTTTGTCTTGGAAGATAGTGCTAAGACTCAGCTTAGTTGGAACACTATGCTATCCAGCACTCGCGAGATTGATCATGTCAAGTACTGTTGATTTGTTGAATGAATTCGCTGCTCCACTTTTGATCGAAGTAATTTCAAGAGACAAAAGTGAGAAAAGTGACGCTTTCATTCGCTTGTTAATTGAAAAGACACCTAAAGAGACAATCTCCAAGATGTTCGTCAGTGTTGTATCATGCAAGCAGACACTATCAAGAAGGCTTTCCGTCATCAAAACAATGATGATAAACAAAGCTGTTCCTGATGAAAAATCTTTACAAACAATTTCGGATGTTGTATCGGCAGCCATGTTCCCAGATGGATTGACATTCTTGGGATCGTTACTTGCTGATAAGAGAACAGCGAAATACGCATTGGCAATGCTCAAATTGGGTTGCGCAGAAGCGATATCTGTTGAAGTCAACAATAGTATTATGTACGCGCCAAGAATAATGAACTTCTTGAGATTAGCGTACTCATCTATTGACGATCTACAGATCAAATCTAAGTTCGGAACAGCAATTGCAGAAATTGCTCTTCAATTTGTTGAAAAAAGTGCACAAATGAAGGAAAGAAAGGCAGTTGTTGCTCCTGCATGCGCTTTATTGCAGTTCGTAGACGAGAATTCCGCTAAAGAAGCTTTCGAAAAGGCCGAAAAGAAAGTTGTTATTGAATGTTTGACACCTCCGCGCCATGCTGTAGCAATCGCACTGAAATCGTTCGGTGACTTGAGGTCTAGAAAGAGCTCGAGTAATGCTGGTGGCGGCTGGATTTCATTGGACGTCGGTTCTTCGTCGGATGAATCAGATAATTCGGAAGAAGATTGAAGATTATGATATTATGATATTATATTTGTTGTAGAGCTATAAATGTAAATGTTGATTTTTAAAAATCTTTATGATGCAATAATTTGGTTTATCAAGGTATTCATCGAAATTGTAATCGATGTGGACGATAATTCAGATTATCAAAAAAGGAATACGAAATACGATTTAATTTGTAAAAACATTTAGTTGGATTTCATATCCAAAATTTGAAAGGTTGAAATTTATTTTTAACCCTAAAAATATCTAGCATTTTATATTTTCTAATTGATTTTAATAAAAATAACGCAAAATCAGATCTGGAAAAATCGATTAAAATTAAAACTGTGTGAAATCGAGAGAGGGTCAAAGTTGCTATTTGTCACTTTTCCACAAGAATATAATGGGGAAAAAGTTATCATATAGTTGATCTCATTCACTGAGGTGAGAGATGCATGTAGTGTAATGGGATAAACAGTGGGATTGCTGCTCTAAGTCCTAGCTTCGAGACACATTGGCTTAATTTTTCTCCTTTTTATTGACGTAAACTATTCAATTTTTGTGTTCTCCATTCAAATTTCAGAATTTTTTTTTGCAGATTTCACGCTACATTCGAAGTTACCTTTTGTAACAACCACCACTGCCTACGAAAGACGAAAGTGTGTCACGATTTCACCCGGAAATCCGACGGTTGTTTAAGAGTATGCACTTTTGTCACCTACTCGTGTGAAATCGAGTGCGGGACAAATTTGCCAAGTGTCACTTTTCAATAACCTTAAATTACACTTTTCTAATTTTTAAAAATAACCTTAAATTATATTTGAAGAAATTATGTCTATGATATATGTTTTATGCTAGAATCTTGGAGTTTTCATGCACTACACAAGAGCTCCAAGGTTCCAAGAGTGAATGCTCAATAGCAATTATAGAGATGTACCTTTTCAAAATGACTTTTACTGATTAAATTTAATCAATAGAAGACATTTTGAAAGGTACCTCTACAATTAGATATACAAGAGATTCAAAGCTTCATTTCAGATAGATTTGAAACTTTGAAACTCTTGGTAGATTTTGAGTGAATGCTGACAATCATCTTTGAGAAGGTTTTCTTTAAGAAAACCTTCTCAAAGAGGTTTCTCAGGAGCCCTGAGGCTCCCTTTCGTAATGATTGGGAGCCTTGGGGCTCCTGAGACGAAGAATGGCTTCGCCGAATCTTTGATCAGCAGAGGCCAAATGAAAAGGCCTCTGCTGATGGATTCTCAGGAGCCCTGAGGCTCCCTTTCGTAATGATTGGGAGCCTTGGGGCTCCTGCAGCAGAGTATCGCTCCGCTCCATTAATTGTTTGTCCTGTTCCCGTGTGAAATCTCGTAAGTCAAATAATTTTGATCAATAAGACAGAAAAATTTTATCGTTGGTAAAATAAAAATCCGAGACCTTTGACAAAAAAAATTGAAAAAAAAATTCCGAGAACCTTAATCTTCGTTTATTAATTGGAAAATCATATTTGGAATCATATTCTGATTTTATATTCCAAATATTATTGAACAAAATTTTTAGCAGGTTGGCGCCAATTTTGATTACAGCTCCTCTCAAAAAAATTGTGGGTAGATAGTTACTTCATTTTTCTTAATGCAAATTTTCGTTAAGACACTCACAGGCAAGCACATCACACTCGAGGTCGAGCCAACAGACCGTATCGAGGACGTCAAGGCCAAGATCCAGGATAAGGAAGGTATCCCACCAGATCAGCAGCGTCTCATCTTCGCCGGCAAGCAGCTTGAAGATGGCAACACACTCCAGGATTACTCCATCCAGAAGGATTCCACCCTTCACCTCGTTCTTCGTCTTCGTGGTGGTATGCAGATTTTCGTCAAGACCCTTACAGGCAAGCACATCACCCTTGAAGTCGAGCCAACAGACAGAATTGAAGATGTCAAGGCCAAGATCCAAGACAAGGAAGGTATCCCACCAGATCAGCAGCGTCTCATCTTCGCAGGCAAGCAGCTCGAAGATGGCAACACACTCCAGGACTACTCCATCCAGAAGGATTCCATCCTTCGTTGTGGCTTCTAAATTCTTCGACGAATTTACGAATAACTAAACTTTAGCTAATATTGCTATATACGATCTTTTTTTCAATATCATTGATTATTACTCTATAAGAAGTTTAAATCAATTTATTGTAATTGGAAAATTTCATTGAATAAAGAACTTTTTCTCTAAATTTGTTACTTAAATCTTCTATTTACGTAGTTTATTGGATGTTAGTTTGAATCGCTTTGGATATCCTTGAACATTGCTTCATTGAATCATGAAATTCTATTATTTACATTATAGTTATTGATCGTTTTGTATATTATCCTAGAAATAGCATACTTTTGAATAGTGCATACCTAAATCCAACATGAGATAATTTTGATAAATTTTAAAAAATAGTTTTCAAGGCTTCTAATCTAATTTATTTTAAAATCCCATCAGAGTATATCATATCTACATTAAGATTTTCATCAAGATCTTTGACCTAATTTTTTTCATTGAAAATTGAAATACTGTGTTTGGTTTTCCTTTTGGTGAATGTCTACCCAAGTCCCAACTGGTGATGAAAAGAAGGAGATCATTGAGGATCTTCCAGTTCAGAAGATCCGCCTTACAATCACATCTTCTAAGCTTCCAAATCTTCAGAGAGTTGTCGGCAATCTTATGGGCAAGCTAAAGAAGGGCAATCTTGAAGTTCGCGGCCCAATCCCAATGCCACGCCGCCGCCTGCGCATCACCACACGCCGTGCACCATGCGGTAACGGTACAGAAACCTATGACCACTTCGAACTTAGAATCTACAAGCGCGTCATCGATTTCCAGGGTACAGCCGAAGCTGTCAAGCAGGTTACACAAATCGCTCTTGAACCAGACGTTCATGTCGAAGTTTCCGTTATCACTGAGTAAATCTCTCTAGAATTTCCATATTAAATATAAACTGAATATTTATTACGTGCAGGATTTTTTAACACCCTTCGTGGCCCTATTGTCTCTGTGTTTTGCAAACCAAAATATTACTTCATCGGTTAATTATTAATTAGATCATCATAAAACAAAGGAAACTCTTTTCCTTCAGTAAGATATTGCTATTTACTTACATAATGGCATCTAACTTCAATGAACAGTATTTTGGAAAAATTATATAAAAAGTACCAATTATTGCTTAATAATTTTTGCTGAATTCAATTTTATTATTCGTTTGTTTATAGAATAAGTAAAATTATCCAACCAGTCATAATTCGTTATTATAAAAATTCTAACCTCAGGTGGCTACGCTTGCCCTTCGGGCAAGCATGCCACCTTAGGCAAAATAAACATATAAAAGTGTTTATTCAACTAAATTTAAGATTTCTAAGATTATTACGTAAAATATAAGATAAACTTTTAGTATGGACGAATTAATTTAGAGGATAGCTAATTTGATTTAATTATTCACAATATATAGCGCATCTATCGGCGCGCAGCGAAGCCGTAATAAGCTGAAAATCATCCGATTAGATAATGAATCTGTCTCGAAAAATCAAGTTCGGTAAAAAAGGAGAATAAAAAATAAAATACAACTCATTTCAGAAACAAACGAACAAATATTATCCCTTTGATAGTTTTGTTCGTTTAAGTTCTGTATAATATAATAATTAATTAAATATATGTAGGCTTCATTTTAGCATACGCATTTATATTAGAATTTCAAAGATAAGATGTATTTAGAATTTAAGCGTTAACGCGTGGGCGGATTTCAACCTGATCAGCAAGGAGGATGCGGCCACCTGTTGGTGTAGCAAGTGGTGTCTGGCAGTTCTTGCAGAAGACGGGGACATTAGAATGAGAGAAAGCTGTTGTGAGGCCTGTGCAGGATGGGCAGCGGAGGGAGAGGAACTCAGAACGTGGGTTTGGAACGAGTGTCTTCTTCTTGTTTGTGTGGGCCTCTTGCTCAACGGATGGGTGGAGAATGTCGACGTCGAGGGTTGTCATTCGAAAAGGCCGGCCAAAGCTTTACGTATCGTCTCGCTCCAAAACGAAAAACCATCGAAAATATAATATTCGTAATAAGCATGTTGTATATAGTAGAGTTTATCCGTTTGATCGAAACAGTTTTTGTTGGTTTTTAATTTTTTTATTAGATTTTGCTTAGAGATCTTTATTAAGACTAAACTGTGATGTAATATTTATATGAAAACTAGTTCCAGTTAGTGGTTGTAATAGTACAGTGGAATTGTTATCATTCTGATTTTGCTGAAATATTAGTAGCAAAATCACCATATCATATTAACGACCAATTAAACATACTAAAACTATTTCTATTGATCAACTTTGGAAAGGGTTCCTTTGAAGGAAATTTCAAATTTAAAAAATATGAAACATGAAATGAAATTTTGTAAAGGGATTTAGTTTATTTTAAATGGTATAGATTCTAATATTTATAATATATTCTTATTAATTCGACTTTCTCTGTAAGAAGCACTCAACAATATTCTTCTGAATAAGTTCATGAATTGGTGCAAGAGACTCTGATAAATTCCTCTTGAGTTTATGGTGAGCTATGATCTTTTCTTCAATAAATGCCCTTTGAGATTCATTCCTGATGAATCTATTTGCACCATTTGACTTGGGATCATATTCAATGATGAATTCATGAATTTCCTGATGTCGCAGAAATCTTGTGGATAAAATCCTTTTTCAGTTAAAATCGAATCTGAGACTTCATGAGCAAGGAAATTGTCAATGTCATTTTGATCATCAGAAGCATTGAGCATGGCAATATTAAACCTCTCTTGACTCTTTGATAATTTTCCTAATTCTATCGCCTCTTTAATTATCCTTTCATTCTCTTCTTTTCGTTTTGATTTATCGGGATTTGTTTGATGATTCTTCAATAAATCAACAATCGATTTTTGTTGATTTTCATTGAAACCAATTGCTGCTGAAATCATTGATTGTTTTTCAACAGGATTTGGAGAATGCTGGGCGGATGCCTTGTTTGAAGTTTCTTTTGATGATGGGGTGTTAGGAATAGAATCATGACTAAGAGCAAAGTTATCTGTTGGCTTATTAAGAACAAATATATCATCCGAAGAAGAGGAAGATGATAATGATTTGTCTGAAAGTTTGATTGGTTTTTGTTTTTCTACTTGCTTATCCTACACAGTATTCTGAGGTGGTATATATTTTGGAATATCTTGATGAGGTGGATTTGGTGGAATGTTTTTAGGAGGTACATATGGTGGAATGTTTTTAGGAGGTACATATGGTGGAATGTTTTTAGGAGGTACATATGGTGGAATGTTTTTAGGAGGTACATATGGTGGAATGTTTTTAGGAGGTACATATGGTGGAATGTTTTTAGGAGGTACATATGGTGGAATGTTTTTAGGAGGTACATATGGTGGAATGTTTTTAGGAGGTACATATGGTGGAATGTTTTTAGGAGGTACATATGGTGGAATGTCTTTATGTTCCTGTTCTTCAGGTTGAATAACAGGTGGAATACTATCTTCATCGAGATTATTTGTCTGTTGAACTGGTTCTGGAGGTGTTAATTGCTTTGGTCTTGACATAAGGATATCGATAGCAATGTTAGTACGAATTTCTTTTCCGATTCCATGAGATTCGAAGTCACAATTTGCATGAGTAGAAATTCTTGCTTGTTCTTTTGCAATTTCAACAGAAATTGACTCAATAATTCTATCAATTTCATTCATTTTAATCTGTGGAAGGCCAAATTCTGGGAGTCTGGTTAACTTTGAGTAAATCATTTGCTTATTAAGTGGTGTCAAAGCTCTAATTAAGTTTTGTTGGTGAGCATTAAGTTCAAAGATCTTATTACCAACATAGGTTTTTTGATCTTCATACTTAATATAACTTTCCGCTGACTCTGATTTCATGTTCATTTCAATGATTATGTCTTTGATTTCATCAAAATCATCTTTCAAAAAGTTATGACCCATAAGCTCATCATTTGAAATTGTAGCAACAAAACTGTCGATATCAAATTGCGCATCATATGCATTAACAATGTTCTGAATAATTGCAAGTTGATTTGGTTTAATTCTGTTTTGCGTAAGACCATTCGAACAAATTCTTTCAGATTCGAATTGTCTTTCTGATGGTGTTCCTTTTATTTGATGCATTTGAAGGGAGTTGAATATGAATTCGAATTGTTCATCGCGTAAACCGAGGAGATATGCAAGTTTTTGACTGTTTTGGAACAAAAATACTCCAATAACAGACGAATTTTGTTGTTCTTCAAGGATTTCTCCTGAGGCATCAATAATTTTTCTAATAAGATATTCAGAAATCCAATTATTGAAGTCTCGATTGACTTTCGCTCTAAGATCACTTGAACTAATTACAGATAATAATGAACCTGAAATTGCATCATGATAGTCATCTGATTTTGATTCATTAATTCTTTCTTGAACAAAATTGTTTTGCTCTTGAGAAAGTTCATTGCGAACTTTGTATGATTCAATTCCTATTTTAGCTCTGAAACCAACTTGCATGGCTAAGGAGAGATCATTTCCTTTATATTTATCTGGAACTTTTGATGGATCTATTGAATTATCTCTGAGTTCGGCTATCAATTCGATTCCATTCTTAGACATGGATTCTTCAATTGTCTCCCTCTTTGAGTTAGATAAAGAATAATCATGAATGCTTCTTGTTATGAGTAATTTCTTGATATGGAATTCACTCTTCTCAGATAATTCAATTGCTTTTTCTACTTTGCCTTCAGATGCAAAGATTTCTTGAGCAAATTCATCGCATATTGGACAAATTTCTTCATAAATCTCTTCGATATTCTTGATGGCAAACTGTAAATCGTAGTTTGTATCATGCTCTTTGAGTGATGCTTTAATGCCGCATTTTTCAAGGATATCACCATTTGCATGAATTGAATCAACCAGGTACTTCAATGAAGGATAGTTTTGAAGATATTCTGCGATGGAGAATAGCCTTGAAATTATTTCATTTATGAGGAAAGAATACTGGTTAAAGTTCGAAAGTATCATTTGGAAGTATTGAATAATAAGGAGGAAATCGGTCTTAATTATAACTGAGAATATAGGTGGTACTTCAAACTTGATCGAAGTTGTAATTTCTGTTATAAATAGAAGTAGTCTTATGATTTCCTTTAATGATTCCGCCAAATGATTGATATCTTTTTTGACTTCAGTTACTTGATCATTTGATTTCTCAAGAATTTCTTGAGCAGCATGGAAGAATACAATTGAATCCTTATATCCGTTGTGAACGGCCTCAAGAAGATCATTGATGTATTGGCGATCATATGTTCCTGCTGGAGGAGGATTATGAATGAAAGACTTAATAATCTTCATTGAATTTTGCGTTTTACGTATAAGTTCATCATGTTTTCCTTCCATCTGTTTGAAAATGAATTCGATCGATTTGGTTGTATTAGAGAATTCATATGTTCCTTGCATGATATAAAGTTGTGCTGTGATCCTGTAATACAGAGGGAAATGAGTGAAAATAAATGAATATTTTTCAAGTAATAAAACAATTGGCTGCGTTTTTTCATCATGATGAAGAACAGCTGATATTGCATTCAATGCCACACCGATATTGTAATTTTGCTCAATGCACGGGATGATTGTCTTTGGCGAATCAGGATTCACGGACTTTGGAATCTTTGATTCACAGTCAATAATGATTTTCATGCATAATTGTATGATGTATTGAGAAAATGCTTCATTTTGAGGAACATGTTGAATGACATGAGATAAAATTTGGACAATCATCTCCTTTTCTTGGAAGAACAGGACGCCATTCTTAACTGCAAGAATCGAAAGGAGCTTCTTCAATGAAACAATAACTACTGGATCATAATTTGCAGTACATTGAGCAAGTAAAAGGCTGATGCTTGTTACAGCAACATACTTCCTAAAGCAAGAGTTATCTTTGCTTGCTTGAAGAATATTGACTGAATGATTGAAGTTTGAATAGCTAAAGTAAACATTTGAGCGATGGTTAATGTATAAAGCTCTCATTTCTTCATCTTTTTCATTATTAATAAGATTTGTGAATTGTCCTAAATGGAAATTGCAAAGCTGGGTTATCTTTGGGAATAATTTGATAACTTCGTCAATTGCTTTTTCAGTATCCAACAAATCTAAAACAAGTCTTTCTGTAACCTCGAAGAATTTCTCTTCTTTCTTTGGTTCTTCTTTGGGACTTGGTTTTGGACTTGGTGTCTTAGGCTTAATTTCGGTCGGTTTTAATTCGGTAACTTTATTTTCGTTTACAGGTGTCTGTGGTTTTGGTTTTTGCTCATGTTCATGGGTTTGAAGCTTCGCCTGATTTTGGATTGGCTGATTTATTGGTTGAACTTCGCGTTCTGGAGTTTGTGCTTGTGATTTCTTTTCGTGTTGAGCTGGTGGAATCTGTATTTTGTTTTCGATTGGTGCTTGAATTTGTGGTTGTTTTTCGTATTGAGCTGGTTGAGTTTGCATTTTGTTTTCAGCTGGTGCTTGAATTTGTGGTTGTTTTTGAAATTGTGCAGGAGGAATTTGTATTTTATTTTCGTGTTCAGGAGTTCGGATTGGTGGTGGTCTTTCGTATTGTGCTGGTGGAATCTGTATTTTGTTTTCGACTGGTGTTTGAATTGGTGATTGCTTTTGGTTTTGTGCTGGCTGGATATATGTCTTGTTTTCAGGTAACGGTGCTTCAATTTGTGGTTGTTTTTGGTATTGATTTGGAGTTTGAGGTTTTTGTGCTGGAATTGTTAAACTGTTTTCATATTCTTGGCTGCTTCCAATCGAGTCTTCATCGAATGAAACATCGTTACTTAGCTTTGGTTGAAATATTAATTTGACTATTGTATCTTCAACTGTTTTAAGACGACTATTGAAACTATTCAAAAGACCGTTAAGTTCCTGGAAGTTTTTAGTCAATCTTTTCGCTGAAATGTAGTTGTATGGTGGAGGAATTTGTTGAATAACAGCAACTAATGCGGATTGGAGAGGAGAGACAATCAATTCCACATCATTATAAGCTTTCCTTATTTCTTCGATTGTGATTCTTAAATCTCCTTTGAAGTGCATGACATTAATCGATTTGTTTGTGATAATATTGAAGCGAATAAGAAGCTCATCTAACACTTTCTGAATCATTGCAAATGAATCTGGTTTGTTCTCGGCTGTAAGGATTGAAACATAAGCGATTGTTGACAGAATTGTTAATAATTTATTAAGATATTCCGCGAAATCATTGAACTCTTTATGCTCAAATATTGGACTAAATTTTGAGATTATTGTATTACGAAGGTCCTGATATTGTTTTGTAAGCCTTTGAATGATTTCAAATGCTTGAGTGTAAATTTTTTCATACTCAATTTGTAAATCTTTGACTTGATGGAGGTCTTTCTTTACAGTTTCACAAAATGTATTGCAGAGAGCGCATAATTTCGTTGTAGCATCCAGAATATCTTTGAATTTTTCGTATGTTCTTTTAAGACCACACTCTAATGGTAAAATTGAAATTTCGATATCGGCAAAGTGATTTAAATTGAACATTTGTTGAAGAAATTCGAGAGTTTTTTTATTTGCAAGATTAACTTCGCCTTCTGAAATTTTATTTGTAAAGTAGTCAGATAAGAGTCGATTCATATCGTAAATAAATTGTTCGAGATCTTGAAATGATCCTAATAAGAGATGGTAGTATAAGGTAATTGCCGAACATGAATTAACGATTTGAATGGTTTTATTTGAAGTATTTTTACTTGTTGGCAGACCAAAAACTGTTGCATAACTTGTAAAGAGTTCGGCAAATAATCCCGAATTTATATTGCTTACTTCACTACTCCATTTTTGTCTTTCTACGATTTTTTCAACAATTTTAAATCCAAAAATCATTGAACTTAGCTGAAATGAAGACTTTTCAACGTTAATGCCAGAATTTTTTATTGCAAGGATGATTTGGTTGGCTAGTTCTTGCGAATCTATTGGCATTATAGTTTTACTTCAATATTTGAAATAAACTATTCAATTTCTTCGCATAAAAATTTGTATTGAATTCTCTCAAAAGGTATAAATAAAATTCTATCAATTTTTTTTCAATCGCATGATTATTATTTATTTATTGATTCTTATAATATTTTTGTTAATCTTTTTACAGTTGTCATTCTATTTTTAAACTTTTAAATCATTTAAAAAATTGCATCTTATCAATGTTGATACTTAATTATATTTGAGTGTATAAGAATTAAATCTCAAGCTCCAAAAATGTGATTAAATATTCCCATCAACTTGTTCATACATCGAAATCGAATAAGAAATCATATATATTCTTCAATTGTTATTCATTTTTGCGGATATTCAATAATCTTTTCCAACTTGGTGAATCATAAAATTAAAATAAACTTTTACGAACTAAATTGATCAGAATATTCATACACAAGTCATATCTGTTCAATTATTACCTAATACATTGTAATAGGTGATTTTCTGAAATGAGAGTTTCAAAAATATATTATTTCTAGCCATAACTAGGATTGTATAACTTATTTATAACTACATTATTTGTCCGATGATTTATTAATTATTCATCAGTGAGTTTTGGATAATTTGAATTTTTTCATTGAAAGGTTCTCCATTTTTATCATCATTCTGTAAGTGTTAAACGAATAGAGCTCTAATCTGTAGCTCCTCTATCTATTTTTGTTTCAAATTAAAATTGAAAGGTTTTCCAAGATAGATATCCACCAATATGATGATTTCTGTGTATACACGCAGATTGGTGCAGATTGAGGGAAAAAAGCTTTAAGGTTAATTTTAAAATAAAAATTACAGAACACTAGGGTTGTTAGATTCCCGATAGGGTTGTACAAACTGGCACAATTTTGCGGGCCGCCTGCCAGGAGCTGGCACGCGGCCAAAATCAAAAAAGTGGCCAAAAATCGGGCCTCGTGGCGTGGAAAGGATGTCGCCCTTCGGGCTCCACCCTTTCCACGCCACTCGGCCTATGACCACAATTATATAATATGCTCATTATTATTTTTTCTTCTTTTTCCCTTTTCCCTTCCTTTTTTTCTAGTTTTGGAAAGGAAAAAGTAAAAAATTTAATAATTAATTTTATTACTATGAAAATATACTTTTTAGCTTATATTGTAAGCTGTGAGAGTTTTAAGTGATGGAAGATATAAATCAAATTTGAAATTCAACAAATCTTGTTATGATTAAGTTGAATATTGTACTCTAATTAAGAGTTTTCAGTTATGAACTCAGGTATTATATAATAAAAGTATAACTCAAGATAATAAAGAGGTTTTTAAAATGTAGATCTGAAAATCAAACTACCATGTTTGATATGATTAAGTTGAATAATGTTATTTTATTAAATGGTTCAAATCTGTGAAATCGGCAATTACAAATTAAAGGCGTAGTTCAAAAAATTAAAGAGATTTTAAAAATTTAATATCAGAATTAAACTAAAAAAAGGATTTAGTTATTTCAGTAATTATCAGAAAAGGTTAAAAAGATAGGGTAAGTAATGAGACTTGAGTGAGATGTGAGAAATCATATGTAAATAATTAGATATCTGATGAGTAAGGTAGTAATGAGAGTTAAGATCTGGTTAGTAAGGTAGTAATGAGAGTTAAGATCTGGTTAGTAAGGTAGTAATGAGAGTTAAGATCTGGTTAGTAAGGTAGTAATGAGAGTTAAGATCTGGTTAGTAAGGTAGTAATGAGAGTTAAGATCTGGTTAGTAAGGTAGTAATGAGAGTTAAGATCTGGTTAGTAAGGTAGTAATGAGAGTTAAGATCTGGTTAGTAAGGTAGTAATGAGAGTTAAGATCTGGTTAGTAAGGTAGTAATGAGAGTTAAGATCTGGTTAGTAAGGTAGTAATGAGAGTTAAGATCTGGTTAGTAAGGTAGTAATGAGAGTTAAGATCTGGTTAGTAAGGTAGTAATGAGAGTTAAGATCTGGTTAGTAAGGTAGTAATGAGAGTTAAGATCTGGTTAGTAAGGTAGTAATGAGAGTTAAGATCTGGTTAGTAAGGTAGTAATGAGAGTTAAGATCTGGTTAGTAAGGTAGTAATGAGAGATCTGCGGGCAGTAATGATACATCTATGAGTACATAACTAAAACCTGAGTTCTATGAGCGAAATCTGAGAGCTAAAAGCCGAGAGATCTAAGGTAAGTAATGAGAGAAGAGAATTTGAAATTTTACAAAATACGTTTACTCATACAAAATAATTCGCATTCTTTTATAACGAATCTCAATGCCAATTAATACATAAAACAGATTTTAGCAATCAATTGCAAGATTTAGAAAGATTTTATTTATAATCTCAGCCAAATTAACAAATATTTTATTGATTTCGTAAAAAATAGCAATAAAACATAAAAATATGACATTCTATTTTTCCAAAAAAATTTCAAAAATCATTTTTTAACATGATATTTATATTTTTTAATTTTTTTTTTAAATTTTGAATTTTTTTTTGGAATTTTCAACCATGTCAAAAGTCGGGATCTACAAATGTATTCTCTTTGACATAGGATAAAAACATCCTTTCTTATAATTTCATTGTAAAATAAAATTTTCTTAAATTTATTGAATCCAAACTCAACTTTGCAACATTTTATTATCATAAAAACTAAGAAACATCAGGTAAACTTCAATTTGGAGAGCTTAAAATCATATCTAAATTGAAAAATAAGGGGAAAAAAATTGTAAAAAAAATCTCATTAGATGGGGCAAAAAGTGACTTTTTTAATGTGTTTTTTAAAAAAATCGTGCCAGCTGGCCAAAAAAGGTGTGCCAGCAGGCGTGCCAGTTTGTACAACCCTAATTCCCGACGATAGGTGTCATGGAAGATTTGCCTGGTGTCATCATAGTGTCTTTAAATCAAAAATTTTATTTTGGAGTTAGTTTTATTGATTTTTCAATAAAAAACATTTCTAAAACAAGAAAATTAAACGATAAAATATTTATATTTTATATAAGGATCTTATATATTTAAAATAAATATCATTTTATTTTTTTCATTGGTGTCTGTCAAACCATAATACACTATTCAAAAATTCAATGTGTCTTGCGGTTTCAAAAGACACCTTCAAATTGAACGATAGCACAGACACTATTGAATTTTACCCATTTTATTTAGTTTTTACCCTTTTTATTTTTAAGAATTAATGACTGAAACAGCCGTTTTGCTATGACCTCAATCACTTTTATTTATTATTTTAAATATTATTTAATTTTATTATTTGAATAGGCCAACTTATATTGAGAAGCTCAATTTGAGACCACTTAATACATTGAAATATCATAAATATTGAAATATTAAAAAGTGTATTTCAAAATATTGAAATTATAAAAATTTATAATACTGAAATTGAGACAAATTAATAAATTCAATGTGTTTTTTTTTGAAATAACTCTCAAATATTATTTTTTTGTTTATTTAATGATGAATAAATATGATTGCTTTAGTCAATCATAAAAACTAATTTAAGTTTAAAATAATGAAAGGATAATTTGATCGTTTTTTAAAATACAATTATTTTTGATGATTTGCTAGAATCTTTGAAAAGAATATAATATAAGTTCTATTTTTGTAAAATTTATCCAAATCATGTATTACATAAATTACGATTAAAACGATGAAAGAACCAAAAAGTGTGTTTTGTGTTTTGTTGTTGTGTGTTGGATGCGGGATCCTGTTATTTCCGAAATCGACAAAAAATTTGGAAATTTAATTTCCGAAATCGAAATTATATTAATGTTTTTAATATTCTTATATCAAAAGGATTAAAGTTCATTAAGAGAAAAACAATTCTTCTTCTTCAATCTATTGGCGCATTTATTTCTACACGCCAATAAGGAAGGGAAAATTATAAGACACCATGGTGTCTTCAAAACGCTAATTTTTGATATTTTTAACAACCCTACATAACACAATTACTATTACTATGATATACAAGAAATTTCGTCAATGGCATATAGTGGCTGTTCTTGCTACACTCTCAGCAGTATTATTTCAACTAATTTCAAGCTTTAAATATCCTATAAATTTGACAATTCAAGATAAAGGTTTTTTATCTATTATAGGATATGGGAAAATGCATGTTGAAGATAATATATTCATGCCTTCAAACAAAATTGAAGTAGTTTCATCAACACCATTTCTTCCGAATAGTATTCCTCAGACGAAATACACAACATCTCAATTTGTAAGAGGCAATAGCGATGCTGGCTATTGTCCCGGCCATTATAATTTCGATGATACGAAATTATTGGAATTGCATGATGTCGTTTTTACAACTGAATGTGTGATCATCCAAAAAAATGGTTACCACTTATTTAAGCGTGCTTGCCATCCAAGGTACTGGGGAATTGGCCAACCATATCATACGCCCGATTTCGAATATCCAATCTTTCAAAAAGCGATATGCGTTGGGCATCAGCATACAAGCGATTGGGGACATTGGAGTTTAGAAGCTTTACCCGCAATTATTGCCCTTCCTGAAGAAATTTTGTATACATCCGTTATTGTTGTACCAGTACTCAATGATTTTGTGGTTGAAAACTTGAGGGAATTTGGTGTTGATCCAGCACAGATTTACGCATCGCTTAATGGCCGAGTTGGCGCAAAAGTTCTATACACAGTTAATTCATTATGGTGTGGAGACTTAAATCGGAAACTCTTGTTGAATATGAGAAGAATAGTTGCTGAAAAGTATGATTTGGATAAGATCAACCCTACTAGATATATCATAACTAACAGGAAAAAGAATTATTCAAGATATTTCGGAAACTTTGAAGAATTGTTTGCAAAATGCAAGGAAGAATTCCCAACTATTCCATGGCAGCGCTTTCAATACTTTGACACGTTTTCTGAACAGGTGAAATACTTCAATTCTATTAAATTTATTTTTGCAATACATGGTTCGATGCTTACTAACATACTCTACATGCAAGAAGACACAATAGTTGTAGAGCTGCAGTTGGAAAACTGGTTGCTGTCATTTATTAATATTGCACAAATGACGGGAAAGATACATATTAGCGGAAGAGATACTACAATAGATTTTAGATCGCATGAGCCGCAAACAGCGAATATACCTTATTGTATTAAATTAATCAAGGCAGGATTGCAGAAAACACCTTTCTTGCCCGATGGAACAAAAATACAATAAACTCATATTAGATTTTTGAGTCAACTCATACAATTAATTCTATAGGTTTCTCTCAAAATGGAGTCAAGTTCTGACTCACCCACGTTACAGAAATTTTAATTTAAATTACTTAAAAATTGTCTATATATGCGATAATGCAACCTTATAAATACTATATATTTTTGAATTGTCAGTAGTCATGCTTTCAAAAAGTGAAAAAGAATTGCATTTGATCAATTCCATAGAAATAGAATTGCAAAAACAATGATCCTCACTTTTGTGAAGTGAAATTTTCTATAGATAATTCACATGAAAGAAATCATGATTTTTTTTCCTAAAAATATCAAATTTACAAAGATTTAAAAAAATTAAAACTTAGATTATGATTTGGTGTGCTTTGGTTAAAATCAATTTGCAAGAAAAGAAATGAAATGAAACAAAATTTGATAATATTTTTATCAATTTAAAAAAAAAATGAATGAATTCTATAATAATTGAAAATAGCATTTATTCTGGCTTGTATAATCCGTTTTGTTCTATATAATTAATAACTTCATGAGGAACTAATCCATTAATTGGAGCGCCCTCAGCTAAAAGTCCGCGTACAAATGTAGATGAAACTTCTGAAAGGATATTTTCATTCATTTCATAAAAATTATCGAGTTTATGTTCACCTTGTAAATATGGAACTTCTTCTATAAGATTATCTAATGATTCTTGTCTTCTTGCAATAATAATACCGTAATCGTGAAGAATCTTTAAGCAGTCTGCCTCTTCCCAGCATGGTTGATTCCATCTTTGGACAAAATCGATTCCACAGACAACAAAAACACGGCAATCTGGGAATTTTTCGCTAATATGCTGTAATGTTACAACTACACGGCTCCATGTTTTCTGTAAAGTTTCATATGGTTCAACATCAATCCAATTATTGCCTAAATTGAAAAGTCCACACATGGCTGCACGATGATGAGCTTCGGCGAGACCGGATTTCTCCTTATATCCGCCATGTGTTGGAATGAAAAATCCTTTGACTACTTGATATCCTTCTTTTTCTATTCTTTTTCGTGCCATTGAAAGTAAATATGCATGACCATTTGTTGGTGGGTTGAATGAACCAAACATCGCAAGAACGCACTTCTTAGACATTTTTTCCGCGAAAAAAGTGAAATAAAATGGGTCAGTTCGCGCCCGTAAACATCCTTTGAAGTCGTGTCAGAGTTCCTGTCCAATGGCTAATGAATATAATAATATTTGCCAATGAATATGACTCTCTGTTGAAAGAATTGGATTTTTTAATAGGCTCTTGCTGAAATCAATATCGAAGAACTCATTTTTGGTGTTAAATGCTTAGAATTTGGTATCTCTATTACCAGTTGTTACAATCTTGCCAATGATTTTGTTTCTATCCCGTGATTTAAGTTTTGAAAAAAATATTACCGAATAAATGTGTATTTAAGAGCAAATATCGACTTTGATCCCATTATTGTTATTTAGTGATGTGAATAGTATGAGTTTTCCTTATAATAATTGTTCTAACCCATTCAACCTTTTAAAAATAAGAGTTTTAATTAGAAAACACTTATTATTTGTATTTAATAGTTATAAACTATTCTTCATGACTATGCAAAAGGTGACATTTATTTTTTAATGTCAAATGATTATTTCAAAAACGTTTTAACAGATGTTTCATATTTCTTAAGATTCACTGGTGCCACTGCTGGCGATATAAAAGGCAATGAATTGGATCATTTGACTCTTTGGGCTCAAGAGGAAATATTAAAATTAAAATGTATTCACAAATCAGACAATATTCCTAGTATGGACATAGTAAATATATATAATAAGTGGAAATTCCAAGATAAAGAAGATTTCCATTTCCAAAAATATTTAATTTTGGATCAAAAATTGACGAAATCAGGAGTTCCTTATTTAAAAATGCAGCTTGCAAACACAAGTGAAATATTCAATCTTAATTTTCCTCAATATCTCCAAGCAAATTTCCAAAATGTCTTTCAAAAAGGAAGAATTATTTCAATGTCTCTTTTTAAAGCATTTTCAAATTTTGCTGCGATGCCACAAGCATTTGTTGTTGAATTAAATGATAATGAAGAAGATATGAATCTAGTTAACTATCTTTTAAATGGAGAATTCGCTGATAGAAATGATAAATTTGAAATTGTCGAGAAAAATGATACTGGATTTTTAATTCGAAGAGAATCAGTTGAATTTCAATTGTTTATTCCAAGTACACACAAGGCAATGAGAAGTTTACTTAATAGCGGCGAATTTGTTGTGATTACGAATGTCTTTAGAGTTGATGAACCAAGTGGTTTATATTTCACAATTGACAGTACGTCACTTTTCTTTAGATTACCAGTAAAACCATCAGAATCAAAGTATTTCAGGTGCTCACTACGAGGACAGATAGTTTCCATTGAAACTTCTGTTGATTACGCTGGAGAATTTGGAGGAAGTAAAATGACAATCAAAAACGTTGAAAATGGTGATTTTTTGATTGTTACTTTTTCAAATTTCATTTCTTCATTGATGAAAGATTATGTAATGAAATGTAGAATTGGTCATCATATATGGATGTTTGGTTTATCATGGAAAGAACTTGCTGATTATGATTTTGATGCTGAAAGTTGTTTATATAATTTAGATTTAACTCCTTCATTTTATTTTTCACAACAAAAGGTTCCAATATCATTGAAAAGACTTTCGTTGTCTACAACTCCTGAAATTGTTGAAGTTATTGTTTTAGATGCTCATTTCTTCCCTGTCAATGTTCATTCAAATTGTAATTGTGTTTTGTCTGAATTTAATGAATGTCCTTATTGTATGAATAGTATTAGTACAAATACAAAACAAAAGCTGTTATTTATTCTTGATATTGATGATGGAACAGATCAAATAAAAGTAGCAGGAATTTGCGAAGATCTTGAAATATGTCATATTACTTATGAAGATTATGAATTGATGTCAATGACGGAAAGAGATGTTATTGATAGTGTTAAAAAAGAAAGAGAAGAAATTGCAATTCAAGAAAATAATAGAGCTGAAAATGATGATAAAGCAAAATCCGAAAAACATCAAAAGAGAATTGATGATATGGTAAATACTCTTTCTAGATTTGGTGTTACTATTGAAAGAGCACAAGTTGAAAGTGATTTAGAAGTCGAAGATGAAAGTACTCAAAACGAAATGGCAAGAAGAATGCAAATGTTATTTATCAGCCAAAGAAGTCAACAAGTGATAAATGATAACATTGTTAATTCTGGAAGAAGGAAATATGAAGAATATCAAGAAAACTGGAGAAAGAAATTAAATGAACTTATTGGCCAAACATTTGTATTTGGTTTATCAAGACAGCAATTTAATGATTTTGGTCCTGAAGCAAAACTAATTGAGTTTAGGATCAATTATGCTGTTAAACCAAGAACAAAGATGTCTATAGCACAACTAATATCTTCATTAAATTCTAATAATCGCGTGGCAATTCCACAACTTGATTTAATGTTTTCAGAAGCTAAAAAGAAAAATTAAATGATATGAAAATGCTACAATTTGCTTTTAGAAGCAAAACTTAACTGAACACAACGAGTTTTAATCTTTTAAGCTGAAATAATATAAATATGTATGTATATTGACATTTTTAATTTTAACTCATTGAATTCTATTGAATAATTATCATAAAAATCATCAAAACTAGCAAAATTAGAGCATTTCTTAGTAAATCGAGCTACAGTTTACACTTTTAAAAATTAAAAATATTATTCAAATTTTTCTCGGGGATATATGAATCTGATTAAAACGAGATTTTATGCTCACACCAACTGATAATATCATTCAAAAGATTATAATAAAGTTTAAAAATAATTTTTGAAGATTGAAATCTTGATTTAAAAAAAATTGGATTATAATTTAAGTACTAAAAACAATGAATTTAAAAACCACAAAAAAGTAATTTTCTCCAAAGAGAAAAAAAAAATAATTAAAATTAAATTTGAAGTCCTGTTGATTTTTGTCCGCGCTTAAGAACGAGTATTGGAGGCTGTTCAACAGTTCCTATTGACAGCTCCTTTAGTTTCTGAGAAACAGCGATCATGTCTTCAGAGACTGGTTCGTTGTCGCTTTGTCTTCCGATTGTTAAAACTCCTTTCGATGTTTTAATTGCAGACGGAAGATGCGATTGCGGGGACTTTGTTTGGAATTCCAGACCTTGTGTTTGCATCGAAGCAACTGGAGCGTGGTTTGGAGGGACAATTGATATTCCACTTGAGTTCAATAGTCTTTGTTGTGGAGTATATGTCTGCTGGGGTTGAAAAACCTTCTTTGGAGTGGAAATCGAAATTCCACTTTGCTCTTGAAGAATTTGTTTGGCAAAAGGTTCCGGACGATCTTCTTCTGATGGATGTGGCCGGAATGCTTCGTAATTCGGTCGCATTGGTGCAGAATTTGGAGAAATTTGGGCAAATTTTGGATCAATTTGCGGTGGAATTTGATAAGGATAAGCATATGGATAGGCATAAGGGTAAGGATATGGGTATGGATAAGGATATGGATAAGGGAAATGATTATTTTGAAATTGACTTAAATTTGCGTTTCGATCTGGAGTATTTTGATTCGAATGCCTCTGTGGGTTAATAACAGTTGCAACGAATTGTGTTGGTTCAATATTTTTCGGTACATCTACAACAATTCCGAATTTTTCACCCATTTCGCGTTTACTTCCTGGGTTAAGTGTTACTCTCTGCATATCCATGGCCAATTCTTCTGTTTTAATGCCATCGTCATCGTTCTCTTGCTTCTCTGGGAAGATTCCTTCAGGAACTGGTGGCAATGATGGAATTTTCCCTTGAGGTAAGCTATCTAGCAGTGGATCTTTGACAACAACTTTCCTTTTAATGCCACCTATATCAACTACTGTTGTTTGAAACTTTTGTTTTTCAAATCTTCTTGCAATTTTGCGATCATACTCTGCTTGGTGTTGTTCGAATCTCTGCTTTTCTTGAGTACTGAGTTTTTCTGCTAATTTCCTTGCGCGCTGAGGATCAATTTGATATAATGTTAAAATATTGCTATAAGCAGGGTCCATATACTTATCATCCAAAAAATCATCTTCTTCAAAGCTCATATAATTATAAAGCTCTGATGAAGGCTTCTTAGATTCCATTTTCTAAAACTTTGAAATTTGAATTGAGAAAAAAAAAGATTCTGATTTCTCTTTCCAAAATTTTACAATATCAAATTTGAGCATTGATAGCATAGATAACTACAATGTATCTATTCCAACTATTTTTTAAAGAATTTCAGATTCAAAAACAACTTTTAGTATCAGATGTCGTGGATGTTATTCTCTTTTTTTCATTATGAAAATCTCGATGTAAGTTTCGCGATATTCGCACCAATGAAGCATTTTGGTCGCTATTGTGAGTGTTTTAAATAGGGAACAAATAAAAATCAAATTCATATTCGAAATCATTGAGATCATTGTTATCCACATCTGTAATATTATAATGAGTTCTGAAAATATTTCCTATTGAATAATTCTGATATCAATAAATTTTTAATGTCTGACCAGGACATTCAAATAGACAAATACAGTAAATTAAGAAGTACCTATGAATACTACATAGGTTTATATAATGCCTTATATCAGTTAAAAACGGAAAATGAAGAAGAATTAAACTCAATTTACAAAATGATCAAAGCAAGCCTGATTGATTCAAAGAAATTTCCTCCTAAGAAGATTATAAAAGATATTTTATACATCATCCCATATAACATCCGCTATACAGAGTCATATTTGAAACTTGCCAAAAATATATATGATAATTATCATATTACAGAAGTCGAAAATGTCGAATATGCTCCAGATCAACTGTTTTATAAAGAATATGGGATTAAATTAGACAAGTCTACTGATTACGAAAAAATTAAATCAGAAAATCTAAATATTTCATCAGAAAATCCTATTTACAGATCAATTATGTATAACGACAAAGAAAAATTCATTTCATTCACTGAAATAGAAGGATTTGATAAAAATCAAGAACTTAAAAGCGATTTACACCCATATTTATACAGAAAATGCTCATTACTTGAATTATGTTGTTGCTACGGGGCAGTTGATTGTTTCAAGTTTTTAAGAACGAAATTTAACTCAGAAATAACTCAAACATGTCTTCAATTATCATTTATAGGCGGAAATCAAGAGATCATGAGTGAATGTTTGAAATATCAAAAGCCAAATGAATATTCTATGCAATATGCAATTATTTCACACAACATTGATTTTGTTACATACTTGATGAATGAATACAATATGGAAATTGATTTTGATTATTGCGGAATATATAATAATCTTGAATCATTTTTAGTTTATTTTGATCAAACTAATGATATTAGCAAATGCTTTGTTCATTCATCAATTTTTAATATTCCTTCTCTTTGCGAATACTTCCTTTCAGTTGGTGCAAATATCAATGAAACAGATGAAGAAGGAAGAACCGCTCTTCATTATGCAGTAAGAAATAATTATGAAGAAACAACCAAATTTCTGATTTCACATGGTGCAAATATCAATGAAAAAGATTCATTCGGAAATACCGTTCTTCTTTATGCAGCAGAATTTCAATATAAAGAAATAGCTGAACTTCTTATATTAAATGGCGCAAATATCAAAGAAAAAAATCGTTATGGACAGTCAGCTCTTTGTTTTACTGTGGCTTATAATACTAAAGAAATAGTTGAACTTCTTATTTCACTTGGTGCAAATATCAATGAAAAATATGAAGATGGATTCACTGCTCTATGTTTTGCAACGATCTATGGTAATAAAGAAACTCTCGAGCTTCTTATTTCACATGGTGCAAATATCAATGAAAAAGATAACTTTGGAAGAACTGCTCTTCATTTTGCAGCAGAAAATAATAGAAAAGACATTGTCGAGCTTCTTATCTCACATGGTGCAAATATCAATGAAAAAGATCGATATGGAAGACCAGCTCTTCATTTTGCAGCAGAAAATAATAGAAAAGAAATAATCGAGCTTCTTATTTCACATGGTGCAAATATCAATGAAAAAGATAACTTTGGAAGAACTACTCTTCATTTTACAGAACATTATTATAGAAAAGAAATAATGGAACTTTTTATTTCGCATGGTGCAAATATCAATGAAAAAGATCAATACTACAGCATGCGTTATTTAGATATATAGTTTTTTTTTCCAAAATTATTGAGGCATTATGAGTTAAATTGAAGGATTAGGATTCATTTTAACCCCTGTAAATTGAATTGCCACTATGATTCATTCAATTAAAAATGTTACTATGTTATGCTAGATACTGCGAAATATTTTTGATAACTTATAAAAAAGTGTAAAACTTCTGAATGCACAATAATATATTATTTGGATACTGCATATAGTCACAAATATTATCGCCACTCAAAAAATCATGATTTCAATTTTTCTCGAAAACTAGCCTTGAAATGCGTATTTTTTTTACTAAACATATGCATTATATTATATGCTAATGGACTTTTTAAACACCTAAATATATCCTTCTAAAGTTCTATCAATTACATTGAGAGTGAGGAAAATCTAAAATTCATTACGATAATTTTGAATAGTTTACAAAAATTTAAAAATGAAAAATCTAAAATCTCTTTGTTACGGTACAAACTTATGGATATACTATGTCTTTTGTATATTTACAATCGTAGGGCTATCAATTTTTAAGCCAAAATCATCTTCTTCGACAGAAAATTCAGAAAATAATATTCGAACATTTACAAACATCAATACAACTCTTCCAACTAGTGATTGGCAGCCTGTTGAAATCGCTTGCATGTCAAGATCGAAAATTAATGATATAATTTATCTAAATTCACAGAAAGATTCCATCAAAATATTTAGTAACTCATCTGAATCGAACAATTTTAGCGTTGTTTATGAAGCTCATTTTGAAGGAAAGGCGATTTTCAATGTTTTAGCTTACGATTATTACAAAACTGGCTATAATGACTTAATTCTTACATATCAAGAACAAAATTTGCATCCATATTACTATAATGTTGGAATTTTGAAGAATAATAAAGGAGAACTTTCAAAAGAATTAATACAGCTAAATATACAGACATTACAAGTTCCATTCCCAGTAAATGGTGATGATGGAACTCCAAAGCTTATATTTGTACCACAAAACTCAGAAAATGCAAAGCTTTACTATAATGATTCATTTTCCAAAGAAACTACCCTTCCAAGCTACAAATCACTTGCTGTAGCTAAGTTAAATGGTAGTAAATACCACTATATTTCGCTAATTGGCGAAGAAAGATCAATGAATATCCAGATATCAGATGATCAATATAAAGAACTTCAAACCTTTGAAGTCCCTGATTATTCAACATCACTGACTATTGCTGACTTTAATCGTAATGGAGAACTTGATATTCTAGTGTCTGTTTCTCCAAAATACGATTCTCCTTATTTTTGTATCTATTTTGGAACCAATGGAAAGTTTGTAGGAGATAAACAATGTTCATCAATTGGATCCAATATCAAAATTAAGCCAACAAAGTTTATTTGTCAAAATTGTGAAATTTTTGACCATATTTCCATCGCAGATCTCGATTTAGATGGTAGGCCTGATATCATTGCAACAACTACATACGGAACATCCATATTTTTGAACCAGTTCTGCCGTGGTTGCCAAGGAGGAGAATTATTTTTCACAGAATTCATGACAATCCCTGGAAAAGGAGGTATTTACAATGATGGATTCTCAGGAAACTATGATATTGTCACAGAAAACGGCTATTTCAAGGGAAATCTCACGAAAAATGAAATGTTTTTGATAATTAATTCTCTTGATGATGTTTGTCTTGAAAATTGCAAGGGAGAAAGACATCCAAACCCACAGCCGCTAACAACTATAACATATGGAGCTACTACAAACATAGTTTACACTGATAAATTCGGTCAAAGACACAAATCTATCGGAGTTACCCGACCAACTATAGATATGCAAACTCCACAGTTAATATTCGGTTTTGGTGAGAAATTACATTATATTCAAGAAGTTGCGATTTCTTCAAGAAATACTAGAAATTTGACATGGGTTTTACCGAATTCTTTGGTTTACGCGACACAGAAAGGCCAATACAAGGTCATGATTGGCTACAAAACCAATGCTTATCCTGTAATTTGCAGTTGTACTGCTTTGTTATTGGTTTTGGGATTCTTTGTTGCTTATTATACAGAGAAAGAGAACCAGGAAGACAGAAAGGAAGCTGCCAAGATGCTTCCTATGTTTTAATATAGAATTTATTTTTAAATTTGTAATAAATGTATATATAATTCTAATGATATAAGCTTTTTTACTAAAATCATATGTTATCTTTCTTTGATTCCTTCATTCATAGAATAAACTGAAAATTATTTTTATTATACAAGTTGTTACTCTTTGGGTGAGTTATATTTCTCATTGAATATTGATTTGTGTACTGGGTGGCCGCTTTCATTAAATATTGCCTTGTATATCAGGATTATTCGCAATTATTTTTCATGAACAGAAGTTTGTATCTGAATATAACGCTGTATAATCATTTTTGGAATAATGTTAGTGTATTGATTCCTAATGCAAGATAAATATTATATATCTCAAAAAAATTCATGAAGCATAAACAAAAATTAAGAAATATAAGTCAAAACTACATGATTTTATTCAAACATACTTACTGAAAGCTTCTCCGAACTGAGCGATGATATTAGGAACATCATCTTCGCGCGGATATAAAAGAGGAACATGGTTAAGGTATAAAATAAAGTTTTCTCTAACAAGCATTTCAACTAAGTCAAAATCTGTCAGAGATTGCAAAATAATTTCTAAATAAGGCAAAATCACTTGGAAAGGAGGTCTTGAATGATACAGATAGTTCAATATTGGCAGTATTATATTAGTTATTTTCTGGTTTTCTATATTTTTCAAGAAGAATATTCCAATAGCCAAAGCAGTATTAAAATCTACCTTCTTCAATGAACATTCTAGTGATTTCGATATCATTTCATCATAATTCAAATTGATTTTTGTCTTAATAAGAGTCTTTACACAATCCAAATTCTTCTTTTGGTTATTTTCCATGAAAATCAAGCATAATGAGATGAATTTGGTTGCATTGAGGTTATTATACTCATTTAGACAGTGAATTATGAACTCAAACACATTCTCGTGTTTCGTATTTTCATAACATTTCACAGCGTTCTCGAAAATGTTGTTTCTGTATTTTTCTGGTGTTTCTAACTTCTTTAGTATCTCAAATACTGTATCAATTACGGTTTCATTTCTTGAAAGAAACATCTCAGAAATTAAATACCAAAAGTCACTTTTTTCAACAATTTTTTTGGTCGATTCGAATTGGCAAGCGCAGTTAAGTATTTCTGCTGAAGCCAATCCAGGATGAGATTTCTTCATTTGGTCAGTAAATGTGTCCAATATCTCTTTAATTAATGTTTCGTTTGACATCCATTTATCTGATTTAATTATTTGGAGGCAATTAAGGATTTTTGCTTCATCACCGAACTCATTCAGTCTTTTTACGAACCTCATTGACCTTATCATGCATTTTAAGCACTCAAAACTGCAAAATGAGATCTGAATAATTTCTTTGACCATTCCGAACCTATTCATGTATGCTGTTATCATCAGGGGCACGAATTTGTCATCCACGAGGTCAAATACGTAATTTATTGTCTCCAATGAGTCGAGGGCATCGATTAAATCGATTAATTGAGGATTTTGAGAAACTCCTGGGTAAATTATCTTATAAATGAACTCCATTTTATTGGTAATGCCAAAAGAAAGGCGTCTTATAACAGAGATAACGTATTCAGGATCTTCATTGAAAATTGTCAAAACCGAAAACGCAATTTTGTCAGAATTTTTTCTGTCAATGTCGATCATCATGTCTATTGCTCTTTTTGCGACATCTTCTGTATCGCTGTTGACGACCATTTGAACTACTTTGTCTACTATGTCACTTGTACACAAATTACCGTCTAAAATAGTCTCAAGAAGAATGGGAGATTTTGATCCAAAAGGTGATACTTTTTTGAATTTTTCCAATGTTTTTTCTGAAGGAGATTTTTTGGACTTCACTTTTTCTAGGATATCCAAATGTTCTTTCTGTGTCTTCTTGACATAGCTGAGATACTCTTCTTTGTTGACTCCTGTCATTAAAACTGTTCCTGACTCTAAAATTTGCCTGATTTCGCGAAATGTTGGTCGCTTTTTAGGATTTGAGTCCCAACAACGCTGCATCAGTTTAATGAACTCTGGTGGTTGGTCGTCTGGTGGTGTTGGCCGCAAATTTTCTGAAATGACTAAATTTGCGTATTGCATCTGTCTCATTCCTGTATAAGGGTTCTTTGAGGTTGCTATGACCCATAGTGTTATGCCAAAAGCATATACATCAACTGATTCGTCGTATTGGACGCCGTGTTGAAGTAATTCTGGAGCAATCCACTGCATTGTGCCTAAATCACCTGATTTCTTTCCAGAAAATGGTCTGGACAAGCCAAAATCACATAATACACCTCTTTCGTTTTCATCTATAAGGATATTCAGTGGTTTAAAATCTCGATGCATTAAACCAAGCGCGTGAAGGTATTCCATGCCTCTGGCTGAGTCTAACATGATTCTAAGTCTAAATATAGGTGTCCCTTTAGTAGTTAAAGGACCATTTCCAATGATATATTCTGTAAAACTTCCATTTGGAATTAAATTAGTTACAATGCAAAATGGAGGTGTAACTGTGACACCTATCAGTCTAATAGTATTCGGATGGTTCAGTTTCATCAATGCGTCGATTTCTCGCTTCATAAAAATAATTCTTCGAGCGTAGAGCTGGCTGGCCTTCATTTCTTTGACAGCGACAAGCTCGTTGGTAGATTTGAGTCTGGCTAAGTGTACTGAAGCGTAACCACCAGAGCCGATATTTTCTTTGATTATTGTCCATTCTGAATGTTTAATAACGTAGGAATTCTTAGATAAATCTTCATTGAACTGTGGCTGCTGCAAACAAGACTGAATCTGCGATAATTTAATTATAAATTGATCTTTGTATCTAATTGGGCAACTCTTGATTTGCGTTGAGAGTAGGGTGTGAACTTTGATCAAATCTTGACAGAATGCAAATGCTAGAGATTCTCTGAACTCAAAGGAAGTAAACATCATTGTTTCGGAGCAATCTTGCCATACTTGCCATAATTTCATCATAACTTCGTATGGGTGATGAAGATGATACTGTATGAAATAAGAAAGCCAACGCGTTTCGGATAAAACTGAGCAAAATCCTAAAAGTGAAGCGCAAGCTTTAGAAAATTCGTAACATTTTGATGCTTGGTATTGTGTTATATTTGTATTTGTGATTTTGTTAAATCTGTCTAAGAAATCATAAAGTTGGATTGAAATAACTTGAATTGAGTTGCAACAATACGTTACAATCTTAAAGGCTCGATCCAGCTTATCATATGTTTGTTGAAAGAAGTGCACCCATTTGATTTTCTCAATGGGGATATCATTCATAAAAAATCTGAAATAAAATAATCTCTTTGTCCTTTCACAAGACTTATCTCCACATTGTATATGCAACATTTCAGATACTTTTAAGAGGTTTTAATAATTTTTCATAATTTCACCAAAAAATATTCGTTAGGAGCAGTGTTTTTCCAAAGAAAATAAGATCTCTTGATTGATCAGATTGCAAATTTATCCTCAGATTTGATTGTTGTACTAAACATTTGTCAATTTTTGTGCTCAATTGAAAATTAACGTGCATTATCTCAAATGCGGACTAAAAAGAGGTCTCAGAAGCTGACACTGAGGCCAAATGTTCTTAACCCTACATTTACACTCCCTTCAGTTAATGAGATACGTTCCGCACTGAAAACTGATATAAATTCTCGTTCAAGTGATCAATTACAGGCAATCTTTTTATGGCTGATGTTAAATAAAAAGGTAACTCACTTAATAGAATCTACCACAGAACTAGAAGAACTTGCGAAACTTGCAGAATACAAAATTCTACAGAAAAATGACGTTTTATTCTATGAAGGAGATGACTCAGAAGGATGGTATGTAATGTTTACAGGCACAACAGATGTTATTATTCGTCTGTTCCTTGTTGCAGAAGATTGTTTATTTGATTCTGATGAAACTGACAGCACTGAATTCGCTCCTTTGATGTCTAAGATGGATTTAGATATACAGCATGATAAATTACAGAGAGTTAAAGTCAATGTAGCTGGTGATGTATTCGCATACCATTCATATATTCCTGACGAAACAGGAAAATCTGAAATTGATGGTAAAAGACATGCAACTATTGTTTGTTCGTCAGATTATGCAGAACTCGTATATTTTCCTACATCATCATTTGAGAAATATGCACTAATTAAACAGAAAGACCTTTATCAGAAACATTGCGAAAATTTAAAGCGTGTTTTCCCAAGAATTCGTGACGATCAAGTAGAACACTTATCACTACTCTCTGAGGTAATGAATATTCCTGCTCATACTACGATTACAAGTGAAAAATGTTTTGGTCGTTACATATATATCATAAAAAGTGGTACAATAGCCAGATATCGAGTTGTAGATTTCTCAGATCTTAGCTTTAGAACTATAAGCGCACCATTTGAAACGCTACAACTGCATTTTCCTGATGGAATGCATCCAGTTCATACAGATAACCTTGTTGAAGGCAGTGTATTCCTTGATCCATCTGTCCATACGCTTACAGGTAATGAATTTAACATCAAAACTAAAACAGATGTAGTTCTTATCGCTTTAGATATTGATTATTTCAAAATTATCGTCGGAACTTTCGAATTAGAGCGTGTTCGACAAGAAATCAAGTCAACCCTAACAGATGACCAGGTTAGAAAGATCTGGGTTGATTCAGAAAAGAAAAGACTTTGGGAAAAATTCAAAACTCGAACTGCCGGAGAAGCAAAGAGAGAAATCAAAGGAGAGAACGACTTCAAGACAGGATATGTCGTAGCAAGGAAAGCAGATTGTCCTTCTGCTTTACCTGCATTTAGACCAAGAATTGTGAAGCCTTACGCGCCAAGCCACCTTGCAAAGACGAAGGACTTTTCAGAGCCTATGGTATATTAATATTATTCTATAATGTTTGTAAATACTTTCTATCTAAATTTTTAATTTTTTCAATAATTAAAGCATATTCAAGAAAAAGGATCTCCAATTGCTTATAATTCTTTTCATATTTGTTGGCAATATTCGGTTAAGTTATTTTGCATGATAAATTTCGAAATTTTTAAACTTTGATCTGTAGCTCTTTGGAAATGCTGAGAGATAGAATGTAATATTGGCACTTTCACTTAGGGTGATTAACAAATCTCAATTATACGCATACTTATCAATATTGCATCTGATATATTTTCTTTAACATAGGAAGTTAGGTTTTCGCATAAAAGCATTTGATAGTTAATATGTTTTTAGACCTCATACTATCTCAAATGCTTTGATATACTCAAAGTACAAAAGGAAATCAATCTTTACACACATAAATTTTTAGCTGAATCTATTTTTATTGCATGCACCTTTTGCTCTATCTTAATGAGCTTGTTTCGGAAAATCCGATTATGCACTCAAATAGCGACTTGAGAAATAGATTGTCACTTTTCAAAATTTTATGTCAAATTTTTTGAGATTGAGATTGAGCAAATATGGTTTTCAATTTAAGCGATGCGATTTCAGCATCTAAAGCTGCAAATCGCATCCCACTGTGTGCAGCATCATCTGTGGATCAATGTGAAGGCGAGCCTCAGATTTTGCACTATGTAGTCACTGATATAACGCTCGACGTTTATGAGTCAGAGACAAATAAACTGCGACAAAGTGAATATTGGATCAATCTCATACAGATAGAATATAAATTAAATCAAATTACTTTGACTTTTGAAAAAGATGAACTAATAATCAACAGCTCTAGGGCTGAAATCATATTTTACGCAGTAGGACATATAATGAAACAGATTTCAACGAAAGATCAATTCGATAACTTTGGATTTGGCCAAACCAAATTCAGTACTGTATTAAATACAAATTACGCAGCAGTATACAGATTTACTCAGCATGCAAATCTTAAAAAGCAAGAAATTCCTCCGAAATTACTCGATAAAATTTCAAAACTTGCTCAATACGGGGAAACAACACTAAATTTGCAAGATTTCATGCAATACACAGAATTTCTACCAAATGTATTTGAAATATTGCCACTTATTCGGACATTATCTACATTGAAAATTTCAAATCCAAGAAATATTCCAAATTTAGAGACATATTTTGCATATTTATCTAAAATAAAACGATTCGAGATAACAGGCAAATCAGGAAATACAATAATTCCTGCTCTTTCCCAGTTTTTATCCATGAAAAAACTACAAATACAGTCAATCTCTTTAGAAAACACGGAAATGACACTAGATGAAGTCAAGAAGTTCGGTAAGATATGCAAAAGTCTTAAAATTACATCACTTGGGCTTCATAATATCACTGAAGATTCAGAATCATCGGATTACCTTGTTACAAAGTTTCTTTCTCCACAACTTACGAAGAACTTAACTGTTTTAGACTTCTCAGGAACAAAAAAACTCGATGTTTCACGTGTTTTACCTCGAATTCCCTCAATTTTTGCTTTAAACCTTTCAAACATCGATACAGAAATATCCGAAATCTTTGAACTGATGTCCAACTCTCCTCTTCCCCATTTAAAGTATTTAGATATCAGTCAGAATCCCTCGAAAAAACCAATTTCTTTCATTTCTAAGTTGCCACAAAACTTGTTTTCTATTTTTGCAGATTTTGTGAACTGGGAAAATGACACTTTTTTAGTTTTTATGCAGTACATGATAGGAAAGAATCCAATAAAAGGATTGAAACTATCTGTATCTCATGCAAACTGCGAAAACAAAATTTGGCAACAAATTTTTTCAATGATGAAAGAAACATCAACGAATAACTTGTCAGGACTGATTTGGGACAATAATCCATTAAGTAGTTCTTTGTTTGTATTCTTACAAAAGCAGGTTTTGCTGAGTTATTTAAGTCTTTGTTTTTGTTTCGATGAAAAATGTCAAAATTTTGTCCAAAATTTGGCAAATTTTGTTGCAATTTCTCCTTCTCTGCTTTTCTTAAAGATCAGAGGAGACAAACAACAAAAAGTAATTGGCCAGAACTGCGGACAATTGATCAGATCCGTTTTGAAATCGAATTTGATCCATTTTGACATTTCTGACAATAAAATTTCTGACACAGGAATTTACAATTTACAAAATTTAGTTTGTAATAACGAAACGTTAGAATTACTTATGTTTGATGGATCATCACCATCCAATGTTAATAGCTATCTTGATTTGCTTAGAAAATGCTCACAGGCAAGTTCGAAATTGTTGATTTCTTTTCCTTCAGATGATTTGGATTCTTTATATAATTGGATGAAAATTTCAAAAGAAGAAAAAAGTGAAATAATGAATTTATATAAACAAAAGGTCTATTTGAAAGAGGAGAATTCTTTTCCAATACCTAAAGATAGTCCCTTCATGAAACCTTTCAACTGTTTCAAGTATTACTATAAAAGTAATTTCCCTCAAATTTTATCAAATGAACAAATTGATTTAATCAAAAAAGTGACACAACCAAATATTTCAATACCCGAAAAAATACCAGAGAAAAAGAAAATACCAATAACACCACATAGAGCTAGTTATTACGGGGAAAGTGAAAAGATGATGAAATTGTCACTTTCTGATAGAAGATTCGCGATGACTCCTCAACCATCGTTCAAAAAGAAGAATCCTTTTGTTTCCTCATCGAGCTCTAATAGATTCTTTGATTCTCCTGTTGCTCAATCTTCTGATTCCTCCAAACAAGTCTCATTTAAATTGAATTTGAGTGATTCTTCAAAAATTGAAGAGCAATTGTATGAATCGAATTCTGTGGAGTCGAAGCAATCCGATGTATTTGATATGGTAGATCAGCCTGAAGACAATAAAGAGAAAAAAGAAGAAATTGAAGAAAGAATTGAAATTTTCAGAAGATCTTCTTTTGAAGAAACTGAACAAAAGTGTGAGGAAACGATTGCTGGAAGAGATGAAAATGGAAATATACTCCCTCTACGTCCAAAGCATCGAAAGAGAAAATCTAAGAATAAAGTTGTTTGAATTTATTTATGCTATATATGATAAATGATTTTTTGTTTTAGAGTTCCCGAAAAAAATTTTTAATACAGACAGTTTAGATATGGAATTCTACTAGAGAATATGTTGCATATATAGGGAAGAATATGCTGATTTGTTATAATGGCATCTGACCCAATTCTATAGAAATTAATAATAAGGAAACGTAAGATTAAAAAAAAATATAAAAAAGAAGAGAGAATTTTGATAGTCTTTTTTTACTTTTTTTTCAACTCTAAAATAACCCTTTATAATATGTAGAATATTTATAAATGCTATTATACGATATCATTTTTAGCTCCTACAGATTTCACATAGAATTTTTACATTGATTGTTGTAAAAGAGAGTTGTGTAAATTCATTAAAGGCATTTGCTTTTTTATAACCTGCAATAGATTTAAGATATACAATTATGCGTGGAGTTTTTCAATTAATATCATTTGAATATTTATTAGCTCTAATAGAGATAAATCAAATGACTTGTTGATGATACCCAAATGAGTGTAGTAGATTCATTATCGGTCTATGTCTCTTAATTATCTCCAGCTGAAATATTTATCTTTGTTATTTTTTCATCACTGGATGAGAAGTTGCATTGGCAGAGAAAATCCATGATATTTTCCAAAACAAAATTACAATAGATTCGGAATTCCACAAAAATGAGCGATTTGGCTACCAATGTTGAAAACTTTACATTTTTGCAAATATCAAAAATGTTACTGTACAGTTAGATTATAAAATCAATTTGTATAAAATTCTTGCATAGTTATAAAATAGAATGTTTAGAAAAGCACAAGGAGTGAAATAGCTTGAGGGAATGTTCTGTAAGTAATGTTGCATTAACTTTTCAATCAAGTTTATTTGCATAGAATGTTATAGGAGACTCTTTATTTTGTCTTGTTTGAAATAAGAATTTCTGCAATTTCTTTGTTATTATTTTTTGTTGCTATATGAAGAGGGGTATATCCATCTTTGTCTTTAGCATTGATATCTGCGCCATTTGAAATAAGAATTTCTGCAGTCTCTTTGCTATTATTTTTGGATGCTAGATGAAGAGGGGTACACTTTACATCGTCTTTAGCATTGATATCTGCACCATTTGAAATAAGAATTTCTGCCGTTTCTTTGCTATTATTCTTGGATGCTAGATGAAGAGGAGTATATCCTTTGCAAGCTTTAGCATTGATATCTGCTCCATTTGAAATAAGAATTTCTGCTTTTTCTTTACAATTATGCAAGGCTGCTATATGAAGAGGGGTCTGTCCATTTATAGTTTTAGCATTGATATCTGCTCCGTTTGAAATAAGAATTTCTGCTGTTTTTTCTATATTATTCATGGATGCTATATGAAGGGGGGTCTGTCCATTGTCATCTTTAGCATTGATTTCTGCACCATTTAAAATAAGGATTTCTGCCGTTTCTTCGCTATAATCGCTGGCTGCTATATGAAGAGGGGTGGATCCATATTCCGTTTTAGCATTGATATCTGCACCATTTGAAATAAGAATTTCCGCCATTTCTTTACAATTATGCATGGCTGCATGATAAAGAGGAGTCCATCCATCGTTGTCTTTAGCATTGAAATCTGCTCCATTTGAAATAAGAATTTCTGCACTCTCTTTGCTATTATTCATGGTTGCTAGATGAAGAAGAGTAGATCCGGATTTTGTTTTAGCATTTATATCTGCACCATTTGAAATAAGAACTTCTGCTGTTTCGTTACAATTATTTTTGGATGCTATTTGAAGAGGTGTATATCCATCGTTGTCTTTAGCATTGATATCTGCTCCATTCGAAATAAGAATTTCTGCAGTCTCTTTGCTATTATTTTTGGATGCTAGATGAAGAGGGGTACACTTTACATCGTCTTTAGCATTGATATCTGCACCATTTGAAATAAGAATTTCTGCCAATTCTATTTTGTTATTATCTATAATGTATTTTTGTTGTGAATATCCGTTGAACAATGAGAATCTTCAATTTGATGAAAACTTTCTTCACAGTTTTCATTAAGTACTATGTTGTATTCTTTGTAGAAAAAGTAACAAAAAACTGTGCAGATTTTGTTGACGTGATTTAGATGGTATTCGTCAACAATTTTTTTGGCCAACGCTAAATATGACTTCACGTAGCGATTGTTATAAATCAAAATAAAGGATATATCAGTAACAATTTCATCAGGCGGAATTTGATAAGAGTGAATCAGGTTTTGTTTGATTTTTTTGTAAATTTCGTTTAATTTTTCTTCGTCATTTGTTTTCAGCCTGTATAAAGCATTGTAGACATCAATATATCCTGTAAAAATCTCCATCAATTTGGCATAATGAGTTTGGTTAATTTCTCCCTTGGACATCAACCAAAAATTTTCAAAAAGATTAGTCAAAATTTGAGCTCAAAAAATTTTCAAAAAGATTAGTCAAAAAAAAATAGCACGATGCATATAAGAAATGAAAAATATTGATTTGGTTCGGTTCTTTATATGTTCCGACCGACCACGTAAAAGTTCTCAATTTATGTCAACTTCATGACATCCTGCAGCGATATAGACTTACTATTTCCCGATACTTCCGTAGACAATATAGTAAAAGAGTAGTAGATGAAGCTATCATCTGCTGGTTCATGAGTACTTAAATCAACAAAATTTTCGAAATGATTGAGTTTTAAGGCTGCACTTACGCCCATCTGACTTTGATTCAAATTTTTGACAACTGGCGTGAAGCGTCATTGAAAATTAACCTTAAACGTCTGAATTGAAAGCCATGTCATAGGGGCGTAAGTGCACCCTTAAAATCCGAGAATTTTGCAAAAACTCAAAAATCAACAAAATGATAAATATGTAATTTTTGCGGTTTTCTAAATTAGATAAGTTGTTATGTTTCAAACCGTGAAAACATGAAAATTCATCAAATTATATGAATACAAAATCAGATAGTTTGTAAAGATTTTAACTTAAAGAGTAGTTGAGTACTATTTGTGATGATATTTAAAGGATGTATGAATACTTTTACAAAAAATATTTACATATTTTGAACGTAAAAAGGAAAGAAATTTAAAACAATCGTAAGTTAAAGGTTTTAAATAGAAACAAAATCCGAAATATAGATAATATTAAAATAAAACAAATATATCAAAAGAAATTATAATGAAATGTAAGGAAAACTGTAAAATATTACTGCAAAGTGTCAATGAAAAGCTGCCAAAACGAGATTAGATTCAATGTATTTGCCCATGATAAAATATCTTCTTTTTCTGCATAAGCGATGTAATCATCATGGTTGCTCTTCTTTCTGACTCCTTCCTTTGAGATCTTGTAGCCCAAAGAACCTCCATCTTTACGTCTTATGAGCAAATAATCTGGTTCCTTTTTCGTAGCAGGTATGAACGAAGAAATCGTGCCTGGTATGTCGAGCTCTCCGATCAAGTCGCGCATTGTGTTGTTGTTGTAATATTTAAGGACAAAACCGTCGATTGCGAAACAACGGTCTTTTTTGGTCTTGAAGAGGCCACCGATCTTTTTCAACATGCCTTTCTTTTCATACTCTGGAGGAGATGAAAAATGAGTAAAAGTGAAAAATATTGGAATCGGTTTCTTGTTAATTTCGTCGTAAAGCTTCATTTTGTGGTTGTCTGGGATATTGGAATACTTGCACAAATCTAAAAATCGAGGTAATGGTAATTTGCCATTTGGAATATTATATCCCGAAGCAATAAGTAAAGTTTTTGCCATTGCTATCACGGAAGCAAGGTCATAGTTATATTCAGGGTTGCATGTACAATATGCCGATGCAAAACAGTCAAAAATAATTTGTATTTGTTGAGGATTATCTGGAAAAGCAATTCTTGATAAACAATAATATGTCGACTTAGAAAGTATGGTGTATTCGTGTGATATTGATGAAAAGAAATAGAAAAGAAATGTCCTAACGTCGAATGGAAAATCAGGTCCGAAAACGAGTTTTGTCATAGCAATTGGTGATACGCCTTCATTATAAAACAGGAATGGTCCAAGTGCTGATGCATCATCCAAGTTGTTATTAACTTCAATTGATTTTTTCACCATTTCTAGAGGATTTTTGTTAAAGTTTGAAGCAAACCCTTTCAAATGCTTAAACTTCGGAATATCAATTGGAATAAGTTCCTCTTCAACTTCTGGGACTCCGCCATTCCAACTCTGTATTTCAGCCTCCGATGATTCAGACATTTGATTTTTCTGGCACTTTTAATTTTCAAATAAAAATTTATTGTGATCGTTCAAAAAATTTCAATTGAAAAAGTCCTATCTAAAATCGAAACAAATTATATACTTACAAAGAGGAGTCATATTTTAAAAACGTTATTTGAAATTTTTCTATGACGCAAATTAACGTAATTGACGATTATTTTGGAACAACAATGGGTAGTTGCTTTTTCAGTATGGTACTTAGTATTCTTTAATTCATGAAAAAATTCTTGAAAATCTTTCAAGTTCGCGAAAATTCTGAGAATTCACCTGAAAGAGAAACATCACGACCAAAGAAATCCTAATATTCTAGGATTGTATGATCTTCTATACTTTCGAAATGAGTTTGTAGAGATATGTAATCGAATATATACCAACTATAGGTGTGTTAGGTACTTGCATTATGTGATGTGAGTAAAATTACTTTTGGAAATTATTCGAGTATGGAAATCTGAGATTTCATTGAGAAAGATATTTTCCATAAACCAATCATTATCAGAGAGAAACTTGGAATTGATTAAAAATATCCTAAATATATCTATTCTCTTATACATGCTGCTCCGTTGGAGTTTCAGACAGTAATCTTATCGGTTTCGATTCTATTTGGAGATTTAATCAAAAAATGTTTGAGTTTTCATGATTCATTATCTATGTTTGTTTGAAGTATCACTGTATAATTATAGCATTTCCTTCAAAAAAATTCAAATTCGAAAAATTAATTGATAATCAAAAAATTTAGAATTGATACTGTACTTCTGGCTTGCAAAACTCCAATGAGAAATCACCAGCAAAAATAAGGCCTTTCATCTGTCACCTTTGTCAAGTCAAATTGTCAGTTTTCTCGGAATGTCTCGTTCTCAAATTACTGAAACAAAAATGAATATAAAAAAACTGGTTGTCAAATCTCTTGAAGAAGTCGAAATACCAGATGTGATGAAGCCATCATATGAAATTGCCGAGTTAATTTGGAATTTAACAATTGAAAATTTACAAGCTACAGCAGACACTATTCAAGAATCCATGAAGAAAAACAAATACATTACCAAGGATTTTGTATCTCATGCTATTTCCAATATTTCTTTAATTCAAATACAATCCAGCAGTTTATACCGTAGCTTTGCTAAGATTTTTCATATTAAAATACCTGAATTTTTTATTGATAATGAGGTAACCACAATCATTAGTGAAGATAACATTACAGAGTTTCAAAACCATTTTAATCGTCAACACCAATCTAGAGTTCAGAATTTCATTAATAAATACTTCCCAGATTCAATAGCATATGGTGCAATTAATATTTTTAAGTTCCTGCTTTTGAATAGAGCAGAAATTAAAGCAGAATATTGCAAGCATGCAATCATTGGCGGTAATCTCGAAATCATTAAAATTATTTGTCAAAAAGGCTTCAGTTTCCATGATTATTTCAGTGTAGCAATTAAATTTCATCGAAACGATATTGCAGATTTTATTCTTGAAAACTATGGAGCATATTTCATGAATGTCGCTGATTGTTTGAGATTCTATAACTATAAGGCGGCAATTTTTATGTATGCAAACAAATGTCCAATAGATTATCAATCAAATCCTTTTAATTGCGTTCTTGCAACATCAATATTACTAGACGATTATTATACAACGAATTATTTTGTAGAAAATAAAGCAAATTTAAATGAACTTCTTATAACTGCTCAACCATCAAATCTCGTTTCTCTAAATTTGTTTTTGGTTGCATTATTGAAGAATAACACAGAAATAATTAAACTACTTCTTACTAATGGTGCAGTTATTACTAAAAAGATCATGCTTGCGCAGCAAGAAATAGAAACAGCACTTACAATTGCAGTCAGAAATCAAAACATTGAAATTGTTAATTTACTCTTATCAAATGGAGTTATTGCTGATTGTAAGGTACTCAATAATAATGAAATGTTATGGAGGAATGAATTTTTCTCAGATTTCTTTGAGCAATCTATCGATTTTGGAGAAGAAAGAAGTATTTTAAATGCACGATTATTTAAAAGAAATTTTTCCGAAATACATCGAATGATCCCAAGTTATTTGAGCGAGAGTGATTCATACTATGAGGATCTAGATAGTGAATACGTTCAAATGGCATACTCTAGTGATATGGAGGAATACGAAGAAGAAGATTATGCATTTGAGGAAGAAGAGGATCTTTCTGACCAGGATCTTTCTGACCAAATGCTTGAAAAAATCATTAATAAAAGATTGAGCATTTTCAATTATTCCAAAATTAATCCATTGATTATTGCTATTGCTTTAGAAAATGCTGAAATCATTAAACTTCTAATTGAATATGGTGCAGATGTTAATGGTTCTTTAACGATGGATAGTGATAAAATAACACCGTTAATCTTTGCAATTCAGACTTGCACCAAAGCGAAATATAATGTTGTTGCTCAACTCTTATCTTGTGGCGCTAATCCAAATCTTCTTTGCGGTAAAACACCAATCCAAGAATCACTAATCAACAAAAATGACAAATCAATCGCAATGTTACTTCTTGATCACGATGCAAATGCAAATTATTTTAATCCATTTAAAGATTCGCCTCTAATTCTCGCTATGAAGCATAAATTTGAAGATTTAGTATTAGCAATGCTCAAAAAGGGAACTAATCCAAACTATTTTACTAAGGATTATGATACTCCTTTAGAATTTGCTAAATCACATAAATTAAAAGTATCTTACGATGCCTTACTTCAATTTGGGGCAAACCCTAACGTAAGAGAAGCATATGTAAAGTGAAAATTAAGATGAGCCAAAATTTAAATAGTATCGATTATTTTACTAATGTGCAAATTGTCTGCACTTTCATAAATTTTAACACGCACTCAATTTTGAATACTTCATGATCATAAACAAGAATAATTCAAAAATCAAATTTGAAAAAAAAAATTTACTCTCTAAACCTATTTTTTACCTTAGGGGACGTTTCCCCGATCTTTTCCACCAGAATCAGCCATCCTAAGTAAATTTTGAGGGCGTGATGTTTTTACTGAACAAGGAAGTTCCTCCTATTGAAATAAAGCTCAGAATTTTCTTAACGTACATAAAATCTTTATATTTTTACAAAATGTGCGGAAGATTCGCATTAAATAGAGCATTGACACAACTTCTTGCAAATGTTAATGCAAGACGCATACAAGAGAATGGGTTCCAGTTCAACCCATCAAATAATATTTCTCCTACAAATCCAGCACCAATTCTTGCAAATCAAATCATTCAGCTTCTGAAATGGGGCATTCAGACTGGCTCTCAACCTCTAATCAATGCTAGAAGTGAAACAGTTGTTGAGAAATTTAATAAGGATATAATGACAAGAAGATGCGTCATCCCTGCCGATGGATATTTCGAGTGGAACAAGCAGAGCCAACCATACTTCTTCCATAAGAGAAATAATGAGTTATTATTCCTTGCAGGATTTTACACACAACATAACGAGTTTGTTATATTGACACGCGACTCAGTTAATGATATCAAGAAAGTACATCCAAGAATGCCAATCATTCTTTCTCAAGATGAGATCGCATTATGGGAATCTCCAAAATTCGAGTATTTCCTCAAATGCAATCCACCACAAATTTACTTCTATCCTGTTTCCAGAGAAGCTCTTCGCCCAGGTTATACAGGAGCTGATTGTGTTAAGCCAATTAACGGATCAAAGCAACAACTAACAATGATGGATATGTTCAAATCTGTGAAAAAGGATAAACCCGATCTGAAGACTATGCTTGTCAAGGCATGATCGTATTTATTTGTTTCCATCCTATAAAAAAAATTCATGTTTTATCACTTTTTGAAATGTTATTTTTCGTATCAGAAACTTTTTAGTACACATATAATGGAGTCAATTTATAAAACTACCTTTCAAATTTTTTCTTCCTCTCAAAATTTTAAATAAGAGTTTAAAATTTTGAAAAAAACGAAACTCTCATCTTTAACTAATTTGTCAATAAACCTATATGAAAAAATTTCTGAACCCAAGAAGAATTGAATATGCGGAATAAATTTCACACACAAATTTCAAATAACTCGTAATCCCTGTTCCCTTCTTTCAACTAAACATAGTAATATTATACTAAAAATTTCTCAAAACACGTTTTGAGATTTATTTTTCAATTTATTTCTCTCAATTTTCTGGTGTTATTAAAATGGATGATATCTTTTTTGACCGCGAGCGATTTAATGAAATAAGTCGAGAGACCGTAGCACACTTTGACGCAGCTCCTGAGTTATCACCACGTACCAAAGAAGATTTAATATCTCTTTATGGCTGTCCAAAAGTTAGTGTCAAAAATCCTGATGATATTAGACCTCCATCTCCATCAGAATCGATAACAAATACTCAAGAGTACCTCAAAAAACTTGCAAAAGAAGGCTTTGTACATGGAGGTGATACAGATGCTTTTGATAGAGAGATGATGAGACGAAAAAACGAAGGTTTACTTAAAAGCAAGAGAACTAATCAACAAGAAGAAATGGAAAAATCAGATATTTCTTCATTAGTTACACAAGAACCTTATCTTCAATATTGGCTTAACACAGACACTGTTCAATCCATTGTTTCGGAGATAAACAGACTTCCACTTCGCGAATTACATACTAATTTCATTCTCGTTAGTCGATTTTACAATGAATTCACCGCATTTGTAAGAAAAGCTAAAGCAAGACAAACAACTAAAAAGCTTTCCGATAAACTTCTTAAGAAGCAGATGTATGATTTCGTTATGGAAGCCAGAAAACTACGAAAGATCATTTTTGAGAATGCGATCAAAATGAATTCGATTAAAACAGAAGATTTATCATCAGACTTACGTAAAGAGTTTGCAGATGCAATATCTACAGTTGAAGTCAAGAAAGAAGAAGAAAAACCGAAGTTTTTCACAACATTTAAAAAAGTTACCGGAGAAAATGAATTTATATTCTTATCTCATGCACATTCGACCATGGATACATTCCCTGACTCATACGAGATGCAAGACAACACGTTTTATCCAAACGAACTCAAAGCAACAGAACAAAAATTACTTTCTTCTCTAGAAAACTTCCAGAGCGTTGGAATGGAGTTTGTTAAGAAGAACCCAAGAGCTGCATCCCAAAATTCTATCCCAGTCATCGTAAAACCTCAGACAAGAAAAATAAATATCATAAATAACTTCAAACCCCTTCCAAAAGCCGTAACTCCCGATTTACCAAAGAAAGATCCTCTCAAGGATATCGATCGCGTTCAATTCTACTGGCAACATGAAGATCCATTACCGAGTCGCCCTTTAGGCTCATCCACGAAGTTTTTCAATGCATTCAATGACATTTCGGATATTTATTTTGAGAGGAAAGAGGTCGAACCAGAAGAAAATCCGTTTCCTCACCTCCAAGTCAAAGATTATGTTCCTCCTACACCGAAATCTCCAATTTCAGAGACCAATTCATCATCAGCTGTTGTTGTTGGCCAGACATTGATCACAGACTCCATCTGGAATACGTCACAAATGGCTGAAGAGTCAAATCAAACGAAATCCAAACAAAATCCGAAGAAATCTAATAAGAAAGATGCAAAAGAAGAGGAAGATATGATCATTGATGGTATATCTGTGAAGAATCTGCTTGGTGCTCAACAAGCAATGAATCTTTCTCCAACATTTAAGTATTTGATGACGCATTCAATCATTGGATCATCAGAAACTAAAGTTGATGGAATTGAAGATTCTATACCTGCTGTTAAGAAGCTTGATGATGTTTTGAAACGCCTTGGATACACTTCTTTCCAAAAATTAGATTTATTCAAAAAATATTCAGTCAGTGCAGGCGATATGGCAAAGATTGCAGACACAATTTCGTTCTGGGAGAATGTAGCACTCATGGCTGAGAAGTATGAATACGCCTACAAAGAGTTGAAAAATTATATTAATATTAACTTGGCATTTGATGAAACGATTGGTAAATCTGCTAAACTAGAGCCATTGAAGCAATCCTACAAAGCTGCAGCTGATAATTTAGAAAGCGCTGGTCAAAATCTCCTTAATTTGTGTGGAGATATCGCTTATGTCAGAAAATACTCTTATCATGACCTTATATAACATCGCAAAGATAAACTTGTCACAATGGAACATCATGCACTTGAATCTATCAAATAATTTCTTTTTGTTTATTAATAAAGTATTTCTTTTGTTTGTATTATTTTAATTGCATTAAGATATTTTTAAATTCCTAACTAAAATACATCTAAATTCTTTTTTATCCAAACCATGATTAATTTCCTCAACGAAATTATTCCTGCACAGTGGAGTATTATATTTATTTCATCCTAAGAAGATTGAAACGAACTCGTATCTGTTTACTTCTTCGTTTTCAACATTATCTTTGAGATTAAATGAGATTTATTCATAAAAAAGCTGTAAAATAGTTATAACTTGACAAATTAGGCTATATATTTGCCTATACTCTAGTACAAAATCGATTCCTTATGATCAAAAATAAATTTTTGGCTGACAACATATTATTTATACTAAATTTTCATATGAAATTGCCATAAATTGAGGGATAAATACAGATATTTCGTGTTAGAAAGCATTGTAATGAAAGTAAATTAAACATTTTAAATTTCTTTATAAAATACAAAATATGTATAGCGACAATTAGTCATAAATTTCATTCTATATTCTTATTCGTGTGTATCTTGGTTTTTCTTTGGAAAATTTAGATATCAACATAATTTTCTCTGAAATTTTCTATGAAATCATATGGATTTGTACTAAATTACACGTAAAGAGCCTAATACACAAAAAATTGGAAATTTATTCTTCGGCCTTTTCCAATTTTTCTCTTTCTTCGACAGGAATAACAACAGTTTTGTGCAAAACAGAGATTGTTGATGTGAAAGATGGGAAGCAGATGTATCCTGCAACAATAGCAACAGCAGTTACGTAAATAAGTGCTAAAAGATTGAAAAGATCCGTTCCATCTGTGTAATATGTGAACATGAAAAATAGATCATCACCAAATGTTGCTCCTACGAACATTTGGAAGAATCTGAAAAATGATCTACTGATATCTGAAACAAATCCGAAGAAGAATGAGCCAAAGAACATCAATCCGACAACAAGAGGTGAAAGACCAATAATAATAGTGATAATCTGCATCATAACAACTCTAATAATTCTAATCAACTGATACAAACGCGGAGTGTAGATAAACCAACGACAGGCAACAACATATGTTGAAAGGAATGCAAATGCGAAGTAAATAAGCATTTGGTAGGAAGGATATTGTGTCATTCTTTGAGATTGGATTAAACAGAAGATTGAACATGAAAAGAGAAGAGCTTCTGTAAGTAGATGCAATGGATTCCAAAATCCAAGTGAAAAATGGAGCTGATCGTATAAAGTAAGGTCTTTGTAAATTGAATCTGTTGAATGCCATTGATTATGCTGCTTAATATGACGATAAAAGTATATAGCAAGGTATACTGTACCAATAAATGAAAGAACACAAAGAGATATTGTGTTTCTTTGTAAAATTAACGATTGTGGTATTTGTGTATTAGGAAGTAAGTCAGAAGGGAAGTCAGCAGTTATCTTTCTATGCATTGATAAACTTCTTGATCTCGTAGTTCGTTTGATTGATGGTGTTGTTGATTTAGAGTTTGATTTTATAAAAGAAGCGGATTTCTTTTCTTCGTTTCTGTATAAATATTTTCTATTTGGATTGGGTGTTGAAGTAATCGATCTGTACGAGCTTGTTGATGACTTTGGTTTCTCAGTAATGATTTCCATGAAAGTTTCTGGGCATCTGTCTCTTGTTACGATAGGAGCTGATGTGTAAGTATAGCTACCATCATTTGGCATGATTATAGAAGCTACATGCCATTTTGTGCAGCCTGGAATTGAAGAATGCGGAGAAACTGAATAAAAATCTGTAGAAAGCTTAAATGTTGAAATGTGATGAAAAGTTCCTAAGTGAATATCAAAATCTAAATAAGAATTTGAAGTTCCATTTTTCCAGTCAACTTCAAATCGATATGGATCGTATTCATTGACAAGATATAATTGCATAAATGATCTGGTAATCAAATTTTCGAGATTATCTTTAAATTGATCGACAAAATCGGTAATATCGCTAATTTTTGAATAGGGAGCAAATATATTGTGATCTGGACAAAGATTTGTCGTAAATGCGTCTCTTGCTAAAAACGTATACTTGATTGTAGGGAGAATAACTCTAATGTAAATATTAAATAAAATTAATACGTCCAAAATATGAATTATCATGAGCCATGGCGGTCTATAGTATTGCTTCCATGTAGTAAAAGGTGATTCGACTGAAGCCCATTTCCTTTCAGGTACTTTGTGAAGCACAAATCGGAAGGAAAGAGGCATTTTTATGCAAATTATTTAATCATTATTTACGTTCCATGTGTACTCATTTGATATATTAAACTATAATAATAAAACCTGATTCAAAATTTGACAAATATAAAACCTATCGTTTTGAAAGAGTTTAGTCGGCAGAAATTTGATAAGTATAACCCCACTCTCTTTCTTTAGGTGAAAAAAAGTGTTTCTGCCTTATCTGATCATTTAAACGGAATTCATCCTCGTTACATATATGAAATAATGATATACTAGGGACTTTAGAATATTAACATTGCAAAAATTCAATTGTTCGCTGTTCAAACCATCATGTCTTGCTTTAAAGTTGATGCTTTTATTTTTTCGAAGCGCTATGACAGTAGCAACCTTACATATTACCAATGAAAACCTAAGTACTATTTCGGCATAATAAATTTAAATTAATATTGAAACAATATAATATTATGCATACTCTCGGGTGATAAAATCACAAATATCTTAGCCTACCTTCCGTTTAATTATGAGATACAGATCTAAAATTCCTTACTCTGCATCAATTGTCACTTACTGATAAAAATACTATGATGAGAAGTCTAAATGCGCGAGTTTAATACACAATTTATTCAGATTTATTATCGAAATGCAAATAATAATTCATATCTTGAGCTTACCAGTGAATAAAATCATGATACTATTGATTAATTTTTTAAATTTTACTATAAACTCTAAACAGATTAAACAAATCCTTAATTTGAACATGAAAAATTTTTATATTACTAACAATAATTGGTTATCTATATATAATTATATACAGCATCTGATAGTAAACTATGAATGATTTAAAATTTTGGAAAATAAGCTTCTTTTCTATATCATTGAAAAATAATTATTTGATTCTGTTATTTAATTGACATATTTTAGTATAAAAATTATAGAATAACAAAAATAAAAATGTTTTAGCGATTTAGAACCCAATAAAAATGCTTGTTTTCTCTCTAAATTATAAATTTTCAAAATTTTTAACCTCGTTTTTCCAAAAAAAAATCGAGAATTGAAAAAAACGTTTTAATTTTCTTGAAAATTGCATAGGCACTTTCTAAAATAGAAAAAATTTGGAAAAATTCACCAAAGAGAACTCCATTCCAGGTGTCCAAGACAATTGCTTTCAGTCAAAAGAGCCTCGAAAATTTTAAATATTGTTATCGATTTTCATCAATCACTTAATATCGATTGTTTACAGTCAATGACATCAAATGTTATTAAATTCTAATATATTTGAACATACTATAAATCTTTTTTGAAACCTATCAAAATTTCGCGGAATTTAACAATACTCAAGCTATCACACACAGCTATTATTATCGCAATCTCATTGTAAGAAGAAATGATTAATAAAATCTAAGATATAACGATTTATTTACCCATTTCCAAAAATATTTTTAATTATCAATCCTTATTTGTGCATATTTTATATGCACATTTAACAAGAAAAACGAAAAAGTGTTTTCCCCAAAAATCCCTGAAAGTAGCCTAATTATTAACGTAAATACCCCTATATTTTGTCCTGTTATTTCCGGGTAACGTCATTTAATTTACTTTTTTAACATCGAATTTTACTCTTTATGAGTGATATCCTTCGTTTGATTTCATAATACAATAAAATACTTTCTTTAACAAGTTAGATATCGATATCATCAAAATTCATATAATATTTCGAAATCAAACTAAAGTCATTCAATATGTCCAAACACACTATTACAATGCTTCACATACAAAGTATAACGGGCATGTTATTGGTCGATATATTTTCTCTATTTGCTCTGGATAAGTGTACTCTAAATTATCCGATAACTATATAACAATCCTCAAATAAAGCCAATAAGATTTGATTAGATCTCTGTTTGAAAATTTTTATTTATATAATTTGATATGAAATTTTTATAAAGGCATCAATCTGGCTTGAGAATTATATATAAATACTAAAGAATTAGAGAAAAATTATGATTCAAAATGAAATATAAGTAATAGGATTCTATGTGGCATAATGTATCATTTTAAACATCGAAAGAATAGACTTATATGTATGAGGCATCATGGTCTTGAATTTCGGAAATTTAAATAAAAATGTTCTGTCTCAACTTAAATACTAATTTAGTTTTTAATTAAATCAACATATAAAGTCGATATATTCCGTTATTCTGCAAAATATTGAAAAATGAAATGAATAATAATGAAAAAATGTAGTATATTTTTGACAAAACAACTTATAATTAAATTTAAGGTGCTAAATAGTAGAAAAGTTGTAAGAAAATATGAAAATAATAATCGAATGAGTATAAAATTAAACAAGTTTTTACATTCGACGATAACGATAATTCATTTTTCAGATTCAGTTTTCTGAAAGCGGTATTTTCAATCAACTACATCATTTTATATATAAATGTAATCCAGCTTTTGATTGATACAATCGAAAGCAATTGAAAAGCATCCTGAAAACTACGCCGTTGAGAGAAAAAGACGATACCGATAATTTGATTTTTCCTTAGAAAATTGTGTTGCTTTCAATATTTTTGACAGTGGAAATTATGACTTAGTTGCTGTAAATATTCATTTCGGACTAATTTTAATTTTATCCTTATCTATCAAATATCCAATAATATAACTTTTTTTTACATAATTATTTTGAAAAAAATTATTTTACGATTTGATTTATGGAATGTGCTACATGACTTTGTGTCAAGAAATAACTAGTATTTCATTAATATGGTTGTGCTTTTATCCATATGAAATATTTCGATATAACAATTTTTGATTTATCGCCAAAAATGCTCGAGAATTTGATTTTGGTTTTATTCATTGGGTGGAAAAGGTAAATATATATTTATTAATAAAATTTAATTATAACGCTTTTTCTGGTTTTGACAGTAGTATATGTTGATGGGTTTTGTGACTTTTTTTGTAAACGTAAGAATTCATACAATATCGAGCGATTTTGTATCATTTTTTAACATATGAAGTAAAAAATATATGATTCTTACGGTTTTTATTCTTACGTTTTTGAATAAATCAAGATTTAAAAAATTTTCAAAATTGTAAGACATTTACACTCAGCCCATACATAACGAAATAAAAATTTTTTTAAAAAATAAACTTTAAAAATTCATGTCTTACATTTTTGAATAATTTATTTTTTAATTCGTAAGAAATGAGTGAATCTAAATTCGTGACTGTGAATCAATTAATGGATAAACTTTCACCAATTCTCACCCAGGTTAAACAAGTAGACGTTTATTTTGATGATTGCGTACAAAGTTTATTTTATAAAGGTAAGTTTAATATTAAACCTATTGCTTTTGCATTTGATGGTAAATTAATCGAAAATTCAAAAATTTGGGAATTAATTCCGGATATTGAATTTATAACAAATATTAAGGATAAATGTTTAAACAACAAAACCACCTCACTAAAGTTCTTTGTAGATTAATGATTAAAACTGAGGAAAAGAATTTAACGGGTTTAAATATCATCCGTGTAAAATTTTAGAACTTGGTAACGAAAAACTTCAGAAAAAATTAAACGATAGACTATCAAAAGATAAAGTTGAAAGAGTAAATAAACTCGCTAAAGGTAATGGTAATGATGAAGAAGAATTTGATGAGTTCAACATAGAACTTTAAGAAACTAATGATTATTTGAATTTATGAAATCAATTATTTGATTATTCTTTCTTCAATCTCTTCTATTCTTTTTGTTAAATCATCAATTTTCATTAATGAGGTGATTCTTGATTGAGGAATAGATTTCAAACTAACCACCCTTTTATTTTTGAAATTTTGAATCCATCAACTTTAAACATTTTATTCAATTTACATGTTGTCAATTCTTCAAATAATTTTTTATTATTAGCATAATAGTCATTAAATTCTTCAACAGATGAAAAAATTTTTATTTCAGTTGGTTTAACAACGTTTATTTTTTGTTGAACATTTTCACTTTCATTTATTTCTTCCTCCTCTGTTTCATTTATTTTTAAAATCGGTTTCATTTATCATTAAATAAAAATTAGAATATAAGTGATGAAATATATTTTTTAATTAATAATATTAAATCAGAAATGGCGGCAGGATTCTTTAAAAAATTATGGGATGGAATTAAGAAAGCTGCGGGTTGGGTTTATAAAAAGATTATTAAACCCGTTGCAAACTTTTTGGCACCAGTAGCGAAAACGGCAGGAACTATCATAGGTGGAGTATTAGGTACTAAAGCAGGTAATCCGGCGATGGGAGCACAAGCAGGTAACGCAGTTGGTGGAATTGCTGAAGGAATACTTAATAAAATAGGAGGTAGATAGTGGAAAAATAAATAAATATTATTTTTATCTTAGTATCGGTGTAGTCTTTGATAAACTTTTTCTCCTTTATTTAAAACTTCTCTTATTGGGGCAGCTTTTGGTGTTATTGATTCAGCAACGTCACTAATTGCTTCTTTATTCTTAAATATCCAATTTGCCCCTTCTTCAATGTTTCCCAAACTTTACTCGCTCCTCTTTTTACTTTATCCCACAGTTTCTTAAATATACCTGCAGCCATAGTTGATTATTTCATTAAAATTAAAAATTCATTTTCATCTTTTAATTTTGATTTTTTATTTATTAATAAATGACGACTAACTATTTGGTGCCAAACACTAAACCGATTAATGGAAATGTGTTTCATTCATTCGAAAAGATAAATGAAATATTCGCAAAGAATGACGGTAGAAGATATTATAGAGAACTTGAAAGTTCATGCTATGACTCTGATGCTCCATATTTTGATGATAAACAAACTCATTTAAGAATTACAAATCCGGCTCATGATGTGAACCAATTAGGTGACACATATATTAAACGCAAAGTTAAAGCAACTCTAGTTTCAAATAAAGCTTTCACATGTGATGCCGCTTTTAAATGCATGCGTTTATTCGTTGGTTACAAATCATCAAATCAAAGCTTTAAACAATTAGAAGTAGAAACCGAAAGAGGTGATGCCGGTTATCTTCAGATGGATTGCGCCCGTGAATCTTTCGCATTTGCAACATATAAACCAAAATCAGAAAGGAAAGTTAAAAAGTTTGTTCATTCGTTATATAATAATGTTCAAAAATATGATAACTCAGTATGTGGTAAATATATTGACCCTTCAGAAGTTTTCAAGAAAGCAAATGAAGAAGTTGATGTCACTTTTGATATGATTATTCCGGTAAATGATTTGTTAGCATTTCAGGCGTTCGATGATTATCCTAAATCATTTGGTGATATCATTCTTAAATATTATGTTTTCAGGGATACTTTAGTATTTTGTCAGGTTGACCCGTTAAGAGTTGCTGATTTACAAAATTACGTTTATGAAAAGATAACTGATGAAAATTATGAAAAGATTATGAATCATGTTTATAAATATGATCGCAAATTCCAACAAATCGGACTTCCTGCCAAATTAATTACAAGCTTAGCCGCTACATCTGCTGACGCAACAGTTGATGACGTTATTATTTCATGCACAAAGATGGAAGTTTTAGAGGATAAATGCATTACACCAGGATACGGTTTAATTGAAGAATCAGTTAAAGCAATACCACGTTTATTCAGTAAGGAAGATCCATTCATGATTCCAGCTCAACATATTGACGTTCGTTCACTAAATGGAGGTTGCATCACTCCTGAAGGTATCAGCTCAGATTTCTCATACGCTCTTCATAATGTTACAGATGTTGTGTTAGCATTTCCGAAGAATGCAATGCAAAGAACAGTTTTAGAAAATCCAATGCTTCGAGGTCTTCAGGTCACTATAGATTCCAGAAACTTCCCCGATCAAGCGATGACCACAGTGGGCGACATATTCTTTACACGTATGCTTCAAGCTTCTGATTTAGATGGAGTGAATGAATGCACAGAAGAATACGAGGACTCATTAACTAGACCACTGAATGCAGATGATGGCACGCCATTAGCTAGAACATGGAAAGACCAAACTTCATTCTTATGCACTATTCCAGTTCAACGTGATGGAGCGGGTATATTCTTTGATGGATTAGAAACTTTCAACTCACAAGTTACAGTACAAGTGAAAGCTTATCCAATCATTCAGGGTGAAAATGACACTTACTGTTCAAAGGTGACAAATCCTCCTCAGGTTTGGTTTACTAGGACTACATATTGGACATGGACACCGGATGAAGGTTTGAAATATCATCCAACAGGTACACCACCACAGTATAGAAGTTCATATGATGAAATATTGATGAATAGAAATGTTTAAAATTATAAATTTATTTTTGATTAAATGGATTTAAATTCATCCACTCCTTATGAAGAATTAGCAGGAGTATATAATACATACATAGATGATATGATTAATGAAGCATTGAGTGATAATAAAATGCTCTATCTAAGGAAAAATTAATGAAAATTCCATATTCTGAATGTTACTTAAATTCAATCACTGCAGCAATTGGTAAACAAAATAAAGGTAAAACATTAACGATATTAAAACAAATTATCATTATTGCTAACACTTCCCCCTATTCACATGTGTTAATTTATATCAACCGTTCAGGTTCACCTTCAGATGATACATTTGAATCTTTAAAGCATTTAATCAAAATTCCAATTATTTATTTATCACAAGAAGAAGCAGAAGATTATTTAAAAAACTTTTTAATGTATAAAGAATTATATAATACAATCAAGAAGCAAGGATTAGAGGATAAAATTATTGATAAACAACGGGATGAATTATTTGAAACACTTTCTATTTCAAATTTTGATAGAGAATTTTTGCATTCACTCATTTTTCTAGATGATGCAGTGAAATCAAAACTAATAACAAATGAGAAATCATATTTTAATCAGTTATTAACTCAATGTCGACACATTCAGTGTTCATTCTTCATGGCTGTTCAATACTTCAAAGCATTAAGCACAAACATTAAATCAAATCTATCAACCCTTTTCATTTTCAGTGGGTTTAGTCGTCAACAGTTGAACGTTATGCTTTATCAAGTGAATTTACCAATGAGCATTAATGAACTTTACACACAATATCAGCAATTAGGTGAACATGGAAAAATAATAGTTGATTTAAATAAAGGAGGTGTTAAATTTGATTAACTTTTTATAATTAATTTTTATTTTTTATTTATAATTAAACATGACAGAAATAGCAAATCTTCTACAGGTTCCATTAAAACAAGGGACAAACAAAAAGGGTGCATATAATAGAACTATGAAAGTTCCTGATGGAATGAAAGAATTAGTTCATATTGTTGCTGGTCTTCAAAAAGATGTTAAACAAATGAGAAACGTTTTAACATTACCAGAAGCTCAAGCATATGCCAAACGTCAAGGTCCAAATTGGGAAGCACACGAAGCAGACATTACGGGTCCAAATGGAAAACCTGATGGTATAAATGAAGTTTTCGTTACTGATGGTCAAGGTAATATTAAAGTCATAAATGGTTATAAATTAACTATAACTGATTATCCTAAACGTAAAGCATATAATGAACGTTATCCTATGCAATTTGATGAAAATGGAAAAGCTGTTAAACAATACATTGGAGAAGGTGAAAATGGTCCAATTAATTCATACCGTTATAATCCATATTCTTATTTCAATGAAGAATTAAATGCTATTGAAGAGGGACCGGATGGATTACCACAATATTCTAACAAGTTTGATGGTCAATATGCAAATATTAGACCTGAAATTTCAGCTAAGAAATTCTTTAAAGTTGCTTTATTCGATCCAGTTTTCGCAAATGTTAAAGATGAACTTAAACAGCAATTCCAACCAATTATAGTAGCAAGAATTGCATCAGGTGCTTTATCTCAAGCATTCAAAGATTTAATTAAGAAACCATTATATCAGCAACGTGGTTTAACTTATGATTTAGTTAAGGAATCAGATAAAAGAAAATTTGAGAAATCAGATGATTATAAGAATGCAATTAATGAATATATTAGGTCTATTAATTACAATGAACCAGCTAAAAATCATCTTCAAGAACAAATACAGGGAATAATAGATTCAAAACTTCCAGCAAAATAAAAGTTTAAATATATTTTTTTATTCGATTATAAATGAGAAGACGTTTCACTAGTCAAAAGAACACTAACGCAAAAGCAGAGATTACGGTTAGTTATCACGTAAATGATGATAAATCACGAATTATTCAAAATGTTAAAGTTAATGTTAGCCCTGAATTAACAAGGTCAGCAACTCAACCAAATTTATTAACTCATAACTTACCGAAAAAGGAGGAGGAGCAAAATAAAGAAGATGGAGACCCAATCATTTTATCTGAACCCGGTAAAGAACCTGTTGAAATTCCCACTTATCCAACATACCCAGCACCACTTGATAACCCATATAAAATAGACATTAATTCTGAATTAATGAAAATTTACCGTGATATAATAATTAATAATTATGATTCAATAATAAATTTAATTGATCAATCCGGTTTAATTATTTTACCTTATGAATCATTAATTCACATTATCGCCATTCTTTGTGATGTTCAAGATTCAGACGTTAAGATTCAATTTTTCATAGATGATGAGGTTTCATGCTGCGGAACAGTTGCAAAAATAAATCCTATAAAGGATATTAGCACAATTAAGATATCAAAGAACGGAACAACAACTGAACTTCATTTAACATATAATGATATTTATAATAAAATAGTTGATGAATATAAAATATCACTTGAAAAATTCTTTGTTAAGGCTATTTAATATTCAAGCATTAACATTATCGAATAATAATCCTTTGAATCATAATCAATAATAATTGACCTTTCACCAGTTTCTATCGTTTGTTTTATTTCTTTTTGTTCCCCACTATCCGGATCGGTCATTGTAATTGTTTTTGTTATAGTATCAGCTTTATCTTTAACTTCAATCTTTTTTCCATCGGGATATTTAAACCAAAATTCCAAAAATTCGATATTGTCAATCTGTTCATATTTTAATCTATCAATTACATTTTTAATACCATCTGAAAATCTTATGAAATGGTCATTATATGGGTTTGATTGAACTAAATTTGAATGAAGTGAAATATAACCTGTTGATGAATATGACACTGACTCATATTTTCTGAAAACACTAAAATTTATAACATGAATGAATTTCTTATTCGTTGAATTTATGAATTCTTGAGGTAATCTTATTCTAGTTTTATTTATCACTGGAAAATAACGCTTTACCATATTTTTAATCGTAATAAAAATGTCAATTATCAATATTATTTCGAATAATAACTGTGAATTAAATTTAACAGTTAGCGGAATTTATAATGTTACTCTCGTTTCTGTGAGTGGTAAATTTAATCCCATTCTTTTAGACCCTTCAGATTATATATCATTTATTAAAGATGACTATGAGCCGCCATAGCGGCGGGTCGTAGACCATGAAAAAACGTATGATATGTATATAAATAATGTGATAGCGAAATGGGATATTAACATGATTTTAAGTTATTTAAATGAATCATTTATCGTATGGTATGAAGAAAATTTTAAATCAAAACCTGATAAACTTTTTGAACTTGATGAAATAAATAACCTTATTAAATTCCCGCTGAAAATTAAATTTTGTACTCCTCATCTTCGTTCATTGTTGGGGATATTAAATTTTGAAAAAGATGTTGGGGATGTTTTGTATTCTGACACTGGTTCCAATTTCATTTTAATCAAATGTGATAAAGTTAATACCCCAATGAGATTTTTCGCATCAAACATTAGACCCTAACTCTTACCCATCAATACAAAACATTTTATCCATCAACTTAAACACATTTTCTTTATCATATCCGTTTCAATTATCCGGGAATTCATTTATTCTTCATTCAAAAGATTTATCAAATATTAAATTTAGAATAACTGACCTATTTGATTGTGATTTAGAATTTATGAATGAAATATTATGGCAATTTCAAATAGAGAAAATAGCTGATGAGATAACGGATTAAATATTTATTTTTAAATCGTAATAAATGATTAAACAACAACAACCACAACAACTTAAGGCGCAAAGCACCCAGGTCCTTCAGACCATTACATACGCCACATATGCATATAATTCAAAGAGGGCAGAACAAACGCAAAGGTTGAAATATGGAGATTTGGAGATAGTATTGAAAAATGACCATTTCGAATTCGTTTGCAAAGGTGGTGCAGTGATATCAAATATAAAAGAAATTTTATTTATGAATTCAAAAATTAAAGGAATAACGGATGATATAACATCAATTCCACCAGAAGAACAAAGATATTACGCATTAAATGCATTTCCTAAAGTTTTGAAGATTGGAAGATTTAATTTAAATGAGGAATTCATAGAAGGTTTCCTAAATGACATAATGAAGAAGGCAGATAAGGAATACGTTAATACTGAATTAATGAAGAAGGCAAATTTGGTTTATGTTGATGAAAAAGATAATGAAATTAAAGAAAAGGTTGAATGGTATCATGAATGGACATTGGAGACTTTTAAAGTTAAAGCTGATACAGAATGGGTTTCAGGATGTTTAGACCTTAAAGCAGATAAAACTTATGTTAATACTGAATTAATGAAGAAGGCAGATAAGGAATACGTTAATACTGAATTAAATAAGAAGGTAGATAAGGAAAAAGTTATTTCATTCATTAATACTGAGTTAGCAAAGAAAGCTGATATATCATTTGTTAATGAAGAAATAAAACAATCAGAGGTCTATTTTACTCCACCATTTTTAAATTTTATGAAATCATCAGATAAAACATTTCAATCTATTGAATGGTTATGTTTCGATGGAGTGACCACGTATTTATTTTATACAACTGGAGTGCTTTATTATTTTAAAACAAATGATTTTAAAAACTATGAATCATTTACTCCATCTGTTTTGAATCCTGATACACGAGAGTCAATCATTAATCCAAGAATTTTATATGTTGAATATAATAACGGTAAATTTATGGGAATGATAACGATTGGAGATGATTTTTGCCCTTGTTATTCATTCAATTGTATCCAATGGTTCAAATGTAATTTAAATCAAGATGCTAAATTTAAATATCTAAATAAACCTATTAGATGCGTTAATAATAAATGGGTACTAATTTATGAAGTCAATCAAATTTTCATTAGTGAGGATGGGATAAATTATTATATGTTTAGTATGATGTCATCAGATTTGGAAATTAATTATACAAGTAAATGGTATTACATTAACAGCATGTATTTTATCCTACAAAATGATAAAATTTATAGATCATATTCAATACCATTTGGTCGTTTTGAACAAATTTTTCAAGCTGATGGAGACATTGAAGCTTTATGTTATGCTTCAAATGTTTGTGTTCTTGTTTCAGGTGGTATGGTCTATTCATATCCTGTAAGTTATAACAGACATATTTATTTATCACAGGATTTTTCAGAGGATCCAGAGAAAACACCAAGTTGGGAATTGGTTTATTCATTCACTCCAAAATATACTCGAAATTATAGATTTACAAATTTATTTTATATTGATGGGTATTTCATTGCTTTTGGATGTGGTGATTTAGTAAATATCAGTAGTGATGGAAGAAATTGGTCTGAAATCACAAAATTTCAAGATGTTAGAAAAGCAATTTTCAAAAATAATACGTTAATATTGATGACAAGACCAATTTTAATTTCTCACCCAGTTTCAATATTATATAATAAATTCAATATTCATAATGGATTAAATACAATTCTTGAGATGATTTACCCCATTGGTTCAATATATACATCAATGAATTCAACAAATCCAGCTGATGTATTCGGTTTCGGTACATGGCAACAAATAACCTATCGTTTCCTCTATTGTGCTAACTCTTCAAAACAAACAGGAGGCTCAAAGAAAATTTTAGAAGCAAACCTTCCACCGCATAAGCACACAGGAACTACAAACTTTTCTGGCGACCATATCCACTCATTAAAAGACCACCCATTATACAACTCAGACTATGAAGCTGGCTATGACGTTTTATCTCCAGCTTATAACCATTCAACAAAAAAGACTTTTCGACCAACTGAACCAGGAGGTAATCATTCACACACTTTCACAACAAATCCAACAGGCTCGGGTGAAGATTATATGCCACCTTATATGACAGTTTATGCATGGTACCGCGTTCAATGAACGCTCAATGTTTGTTTCACAAACTTTAGAACGGCATAATTTAAATTTTTATTTTAGTATAAATGGATACCCCACAAGCTCAAAATTTACCACGAATCATAACAAGGGAGGAAATGATAAAAATGATGCAAGAACTAATTAAAAACAACAAACCACGAAAACCAAGAAGATGCGGTTATGCAGTAATGATGGAAAGAAGAACCCAGAAGGGTTCGGCGTCTCGAAGAGACGTTGTCGAAGAGGAATAAAAATTAAATTTGGATAGAGTTTAAAAATTCATCTTTATTAAATTCATCTCTTCCAATCAATTTATTTATTCTATTAAATTCTTTTATTTTTGCTTCACTCAGTTTAAGGATTGAACGGTAAGTTTCTAACTTTTCGATTATTTCCTTCTTCTCTTTATCGTTTTCAATTACTTTAGTTTTATGGGCATCAGCCCCGCCGCATTGCGGCTTCTTTTTGTAATAGCATATTTTTGATTTAATTCTGTTTAGTTTCTTTTTATATTCATTGTCTGGACTCTGAATCTTAATTGAATCAGGACTCTTGGCTGCTTTGTTGTCACTCATTTCTTACGAAATAAAAAAAATTAAATATTATTTAAATATAATGGAGTAATAAAATAAATCGGAATTTCTATTAATTTATTGTCAACTTCAACTAATGCATTGCCGTTAATATATCTAACAAATTCAGCTATTGTGTCAAATCTTCGTCTTCTTTTTGTCATTGATTTATCAGTTTTTCCATAATCGAGATGAATCAAAACTTTATCCCCCTGTTTAAAATTCATGAGCCCCGAATTAATTTGTTCACGTTTAACATCATTTAACCTTTCCATTTGCTTTCTAATATATTCCCATTCTTTTGAAATATCATTTTTCATTTCCACTGGTTTCATGTTTATAGTTCTATGCCATGTATTATTGTAATAATATACTAACTGCTGTATGATGGAGTCATGATTTCCATCCCAGTATATCTGACCGTTAACCCCTAACGCATCTCTAAGAGTTCTCATTACCGCATCAACTATTTTATTATGAAACGTATATGGAGAAGATGAGAAGTAAAAATTAATTTGTGGGAAATAATGAGTCATAGCTGCCTGAAATCCTTTATCACCATCACCCCTTATATTATCTACTCTTTCATGATCTAGTAAGTATTGAATAGCTCTTCTTGTTTCCTGTTCTGTTTTCCCTTTCACTTGAATGCAATATAAATATCTAGTGTTAATGTTAATGGCAAATAAATAAGTAACGTTTCCTTTTGAATATTCTAAATGATCTATTTCGTATGAATATGGATATGGTGCAAATGAAGGGCGACTAAATTTTTCCTTTAACAGTTGAATTTTCGGGTCAATTGGTTTATTTAATATCTTGAAATCCTTTTTAAAATCTTTTTGCTTCTTTAATGTTTGAAATGGATATAATAAAGTGAATGATGAAGAATTAACTGAAGGAGGAGGAGGTTTTGGTATTGCAAGTGGTTTAATTTTATCTGCTTTGATTTTGGATGATGAAGTTTTAGTTGTTGATTTTCCTTTCATTAATTCTGGATGTATTCTATTCATTTGTTTTAAATATGCTGTATATAAAGGTTTGATATACTTTCCCGCTTCGAGTTTATGTTGAAGGATGAATTCCAAAAGTTGATCTTCATTTAAAAGTCGGGCTGAATATGGTTTAACTAATGAATCATAAATTAAAGCTTGTGCATCATTTATGGTCTGAAGGACCTGGGCGTTTTGCACCTTTGGTTTTTGCGGCTCAGGATTATATAATTTATATAATTCATCAATATCTTCTTCTGTTAATACTTTATTTTTGAAATCTTTCAATTGTTTAAGTTGTGATTTTGTTTTTCCCTTTGTATATTTATTATTTTTAATTTTGTCTTTAATTTCAGAAATTATTTTATCATGATATTTCAAAATTTCATTTTTATAATATGGATAATAATAATCCATATCATCACCTGTTATATTTTTATTATGTTTTTGGAGATATGATTTTAATTCATAATAATTAAGAAAATTTTGATTAAGTACTAAATCATCAATTAAATTTTCTAAATCTGCGTTATCCATTTATATAAAAATAAAATAAATGTTTTAAGGGTGCCCACCTCTTTGAATTATAGTATCAAAACATTATTTACATATTGAATCGCATCATTAACGGTTCCTCCTTCTAAAACGGTATCAAATGGTGGAGTCCAGATTTCCTGATGATGATCATAAAATCCAGCAAAATTAACCGTATTATTAGGTAAAATATGAATCTCAGCGGTATATCTTCTATCTAAATTTGGATGCCTTATATGTATACCATTACTGCCCGGATAAAATCTCAAACCTTGATTTTGTTGACGCATCAAATTATTGAAATTTCTTTCTTCAGGGGTGAATGTTCTTCTCCGTTGACGTGTGGTGGTGGTGGTGGTCGTTGTTGCTGCTGTTGATGCTGTGGTGGGATTTGAAAAATTCGTTGCGGTTGATTATTTGGAATCTGAAAGTTAAAACCATTTGGTATAAATCTATTCGGTTCCTTTTGTCTCTTCTGTGGCATTTTATTAAAAATAAAATTTTAAATTCATGACTCAACCCCTACGTTTTTAAATTGTTAAATAAATGGCATACAACATCCATTTTCACAACATACAGCCTTAGTGTGTGCTCCTGTTAATGCAGTCTTACCGATTGTTAAGCGAGTCATTGACCCGTTTTTAAGTTGTAAATTAATATTCTGACCATCAAATATCACTTTATCATTTATTATATCCAAATAATTTTTAGGTGTTAATTGTTTATTTTGCCTTAAACTAACACCTTTCATTTTTTGTGCAATCTTTTTAAAATCACTTCCATCAATTGAACCGTTGAATGAAGTATAACATTTAGGACATAACGCCACCATGTTATCACCTTGTTTCTCAATTGCTAAACCCAATAATTTTTTCTCATGTGCTTTTTCTTCAGCTTTATTATTTAATTTAGGTTTAAATTTCTCATCAAAACAGAAGAAATCAAATGGTGCGAATTTGAAAATGTTTTTATCATAAAATTGTTTATCGGTAACAATTGCTTGAAATGCTTGAGTGTTAGGAAGATTTGGGTCGCCAGCGATTGCCCAATAAGATGAATCGGTATCACCTTCAATGAAATGAAAACGTTTAACATCCATGCATTTATACATAAAATCATAAATGAAAACTAAATACCAGTATTTTGCGTTATCTAAAGTGAAGAATGCCTCTTGTAAACATGTATCACATCTATAAAATCTATCTTTGAGCATCACTTGATACGTATCCTCTCCTATTTCTCTTATGTTTTTAAACTTATTTGACATACATGCAACGTGTGCCTTCTGTGCATTCATTATTTTAGTCTTTGCGTAATTTTGTGTATTCATTGCATCGTAACCATATGATCCATTAAGTGAAATTTTGCAAAATAAACTTTTCCCTTTATTTCCTTCTAATTCAGCCTTTTGTCTTTCGTTCATAAATTCGTTCGCAAATTCATTAAAACAGGTGTTTTTCGTAAATGTTAAAATTGATTGAATGTCATCGATGATAAAATGAAATCTGTCTATTAGATACCAAAGATAATAAGAAGAAAATGGTTGATATTGGTTGTGTGTTGATGCTAACTGAGTTAATTTCCTCTGTTTCTGGTCAACTGGTAGATTGTTTGATTTCATGTAATTATACATAAAACTGCCAATTGTTTTTTCATCTGTGATAATATCTAAGTTTCTTATTATCGGTAAAAAGTTTATGTAATCATTAATGTATTTTTCATCAATGTGACCCTTTACTTCAGCCACGAATAAAGTATTTTTCTTCTTAATTATTCCCAGTGCTTTTGCTTTCTTTGTTGCTGTATCACAAATGATAACACCATTCAATCTTCCCGGCATATACATTTTATGGTCAGTATATTGAATGAAATCATGAGGATTAGATGAAAATGATGAAGGATATAATGAATTAAAGTCAACACCAACGAAATGAGTCATAATGTTGGTGGTGTCCTCATTTGATACAGTTTTAGTTTCTGGACTATATGAAAGTTTATTAATGTGCGTGATTCCTTTAAGATTAACACGATGTTGAACATTTGATAGACCACCAGTAATTCCATTACGGAGAATGTGATAAGCTTCAACTGAATCTAAAGTCATTGGTAAATTATTTTTTAATGCATAATTTCTTAAATTGATTCTTAAACGTTGAACATCTTCATCTTTATTTGATTTTACGACATTGCAATAACAACACATTAACTGACAATTTTCTTTGGTGTGTGGTTTTTCATTATTGATTCTATCCAATGTTGGTTTATTTGCATATGTAAACGCTTTACCACACATTTTGCATTTAGATGAAAGGATTAAATCGTGATAGTATTGAAAATCATCCATTGAAACATTATTTTTAGTATCTCTTTCTGCTTTTTCATCTTGTTTCTTATATGATTCAATTTTATATTTCCAATACTTTTTCGTTAATTCAAAACTTGATTCTATCTCTTCCTCAGGATATTTTTCATTAGGATTAAAGTCTTTATATGCTAAAGCGTAACGAATCATTGAAGCATTCGATGATAAAGAAAGATTATGAAGCATGTCAATTTTATAAACAAATGTTTCTTCAATAATTTTATCAATTGGGTCAATCATAATTTCAACATCTTTATTGCAATAATGAATAAAATATTCTAATCTATTCTTAAAGTTTTTAGCATCATTGAGATATATTTGGTAATCACTATCTGATATAGTTTCTTGGGTTAATGCTGAATAAAATGAATCTTTCGTGAATGGTTCCACTTTATATAATTCTTCTTCGTAATTTTCCCACGTGATGAATTGATAAGGGAAAAAGGATTTAACACGTGATTTATTGTTTCCGAAATCTTGAGTGAATTGGTCTAATGTCCCACCCGCTATATAATTTCTGATGTCAATAAATCTCAATTCATCTGGAACGTTTGTTTTCTTTACAATGATTTGCTTAAATTGTGAAGATGAACCCAGCATTGATTTTATTTTCCATTTTGCAGTGTTTAAATCACGAAGAATTAAATTTAAATCAAACTTTCCCGAATTAAAACCTATGATATTCACTTTATTGAATTCCTCATCTAGAAGTTCTTTAAATGCTTCCTTCTGTTTTTCATTTAATGTATGGACAAAGTCCCCGCCGTTTGCGGCTTCATTAATTCATTGTATTGACTCATATTTGATTTAGCAACTAATGAAACAGGTTGAAAATAAAAACTCAATCCAGTCAGAAATAAAAGAATCACTCGAAGTTAAGCAAAAATTCCTCGTATACGTTTTATCATTTAATTTAACCGTTGATGATACCATGAATGGTTTTAAGTAAGCGTTCAAAGTTGCACACTCAGAAAGTTGTAATTCTTCTTTAGTCTCTAATGTTTCGAAGTCAAAAGTAATATATATCTTGTCGGTTGATAATATTCCTGCAAATTATGAGCTAATAACCACTGATATATCTTCTGTTTCGTAATATGTGGTGCATATGGTTGCTGTGTCTTTTGCAACTGAACGTCTTGAATTAATCTCCCATTATTTTCTTTACATTTCTCACAATGCTTTAAAAATCTTCTTTGGTTTTTCCTTTCTGGATCATCACGGATAGAATAAACTTCTTCTTTACAATATGGACAAACTTTATAGCCGGTGAGTGCTTCAACGTCTGTTATTCTGTCAGCGTGAAGTTTTCCACATGAATCTGTGTTAATAAAATATTTACTGTTTCAAATTCTGGATCTATCATTATTGATTCCACTAATGGAAAGTCTACCTTATTTATGTCCACGTCTTCTGGTTGAGGATCACAATAATAGAAATCAATATTAACATTTAACTCGCTAATCTCTCACTTTCTGATGAAATGTTAAACCCTTCATATGCATCTATTACTTCATTTAAATAGCTCCTACGAGTTTTAGGATTAACACCATCAGGAATGTTATATAGAGCGTTTAAATAACCTTCTACCTTCTGCTCTAATTTGATTATCATTCATTTTAGCTGTTCCGTTTTTGTTCATTTATGTAAGAATAAAAAATTAAAAAAATAAATAAAAAATAAGTTATTTTTAAAGCCCATAAAATGAATTGAACACATAAATTTTTATCATCTGCAACGTGACAAATACATTTTAATTTACTCAAGAATGCGTACCCTGATACATTAAATCTAATTCCTGTCTTATTTAATTTCACAACTTTGAAAAGGAATGTATGAATAGCTATAAATGATGAGAAGATGTTTTATGGGTTGCTTCCATTTTTTTCTGAAATAAATGAATAAATATAATGTTTATAAGTTTTCATATCTTTTATGTTCTTAATAACGAAAGGTATAGACCTTTCAACTTCGTCTTCCTTCGGTGCTGTTCTTTCATATGAAACATTATTGGTATCTTCAATAATGAAACCACAATCACACAAATTTTTTATATGTTCCAATTGTTTCTTTTGATATTTTATCTAACAAATCAAAAACTTTATCAACACCTGTGCATTTATTTAAATAATAATTTGTGTAAATATCATGATCTTCTTTCTTAATCGTATTAGTTGCATATGTCACGTTTTTAAGAGCTTTTTTGAATTTCTCAGAATCGAGAGGGGGTGAAAGTAAGATACAAGGGTATTCTTCATTATCAATAAATTGTAACTTATGTTTACGTATAAATTTAGTACCTTCTCTGAAAGTGTTTCGTCTATTTCACCATCTAATAAATTTTGTGTTGATTCTGAGACATAATTTTTATATCTTTCTTCATGAGATTCTGAACTTCTGATTCTGAAGCTGGGATATTCATTAAATCCGCTACTTCATTTTCATTATATTTTTTCAACTTCTCTTAATTCCTTAATTTTTTCATCTATTTCATCTCTTATTTTTTTCAGTCTTTCAATTTCATTGTATTCATCATCTTTAATCCGTTCTTCATAATATTCAGGGAAAACATCAGGTTCTTTAGGTTTTTCTTCTTCAGATGTAGGATATAAGAAATTTATAACATCATCTTTATTCATTTTTCCATCATAATCTAAATCATTTAATAACTCGGCAAATTTTTGACAATTTCTTAAATAATATTTTATTACTTCATAACCCACTCCTCTAATATATCCTTTATTTCCTCGTTTGTGAATCCTAATTTTTTAACGTTGTTAGTTTTGACGCTCATTTCTTACGAATTAAAAAATAAATTATTCAAAAATGTAAGACATGAATTTTTAAAGTTTATTTTTTAAAAAAATTTGACAAATGTAAAATATGATTTGAATAAGTATTCAAAATATTCGGTGAAATTTTTAAAATGTTAATATTAGTAGTTTCTGAAATAATTTTGCTAAGTGAACTGATATTCCGATAATTTTAATTTTCAATATAATTTGGTTATTCAACTAATATCTAGATAATTGTATTGAATTGTTATACGATCTGTTCGTCTCAATTATTGAAAAAATTTGAATGTATTTGGATCAAACTTACTGCACTCAATTTTTTTTTGTGATAACTATATCATTTTTAAATAATGATTCTTATATCATTGTTTGCTCAAAAAGCAGTATGCGACAATGCCGTGTACGCTGATATCCTCAACGAAAAGGGATTTGACATAGCTACCCTTAGTGGAGAAGGGTATCCAAGAATCAGAGATTTCATGGCTAAAGATATGTTCGGAAATTACTCTCTCAGGCAATTGATTCTCGATTCAATAAACTTATTCAATGACCCCGAAAATGAAAAAACCACAGCTGATGATCTTGAAAAAATTTATCATGACATAATTCGCTACTATACAGATAATGCTACAGAAATCAAGGACTTATTACCACAAGAAGCTTGGGAAAACAAGCGTGTTAACCTTGTTTCCATGACATTCCCACACTTCGCTCCATTCCTTAAGGAAAAGGGCTACAATACATCAGAAATCCAAAAATGCATCGACAACGTTAAGGATAAGAAGGGAACATGCCAGTACAAGGATATTGCCCGCCTTCTTAAGTTATCTCCAGAGTTCTACTTCAACATTTCAGACAAGGTTGGTAAAGTTATGACCGGTGATGCCTTCAAGATTCAAGATGTCGCTACAACAATTTACCTTAACACTTCCAATATTACAGATGTTATCAAAGATGTCCCATCCATTTTCAAGAAGGGCCGTGCCAACGTTGCTGAAATGGGCCAAATTGCTTTCAGCGCTTTCAAGCTCGCTCAAGGCTTCTATAACTCATCCAAGACCTTCCTCGGTAAGGCCATGCATTCCGCTCTTCAGCCATACGTTTCACTTCTCCCACGCTCAGTCAAGGAAATGAGACAAAGCATCGAATTACTTGTCCAGGGCTACGAAAGCTTAATCAAGGATCCAAAGTTCACAGAGAAGGAATTAGAGTTTGTTACAAAGTACATTGTCAACATCTACAACGATTTCAAGCGCCAGTTAAGAGATGAAACAATCTTAGTTCCACAAGGAGTCAAGAAGTTCTTACTTGAGAACATCGATTATTTCGATCCATCATTGTCCATCTATTCACTCATCCGCAATAAGAAAGTCTCCATCTTCGATGCTTACGTCAATGGCACACAAGATTTAATCACTCCAGCCATTCATCTCCTCACTGAAGACAAGACAAAGTTCATCGAGTGGTTCGACAAGATCACATCTGTTATCAGAAAGTACTACGATGAGAACACACCAGTTTCAACATTCCAGATGGATTGGCTTGAAGATGTTGCTTACTTAGCACGTTCTGTCAAGGAATACCCATCCACAATGAAGATCAACGATATCCTTGCTAAGCACGGCATGAACAAGATGAATGCTCAGATTGTTAAGTCTGCTCTCTTGAACATCTCAAGTATCTTCAATGAAATCACAGTCGAAGATTACGCATCAAGAACATTATACACAATCCTCAGAAAGATGGCTGATGCTACAAAGGATGATGCTACAATTGTTGACTACGTCAAGTGCTTACCATTTGGTGAGTCATTAGCTATGTACTACAAGGGCTTAGACAACTACAACCAAGGAAAGTCTCTTAAGGATGCTTTCTGGGACTGGGAGTTCGAAGGAATGTACGTCATGAGAACATTCGAAGCATGGAAGACTGTTAAGGTTCCAAGCATCAAGAACTTAGCTAAGGCTATTGTTACAGTCAATGCTACTGGTGTCCAGTTCGTCAATGGCACAATGAACCTCTACACAAAGCTCATCAAGAACGGCATCACAATTTCTAGAAATGAAATCAGCAACATCACAGGAGGCTTTGTCAAGAGAATCTTAGATTACGCTGTTCCAATTGCTGCTTACAATACATACAACGTTTCTGCTTACTTCCAGAAGCTCACAGATGTTAACATCACAAATTTCGCTTATACTGTTCAGAAGCTCGCTAAGCAGGCTTCAACAGGTGGCATCACTTGGGAACAATTCACTGATTTCAACAAGAAGGTCGATGAAGAATTACTTCAGCCAATCTCTGCCCAGTATGATGAGGAAACAAAGCAGAAGCTTGCTGCAGCTGCCAGAAGGAAGAAGTTGATCATCATCATTTGCGCATCAGTTGGTGGCGCTTTAGTCATCGGTGCTGCTGTTCTCGCTTTCGTTCTTTACAGAAATAAGTCAAACAAGTCCCAGGATACCACACCAGTTAACACAGCTGCTACACTGATCTAAAAAAACGGTCCTTCCTATATTGGAAGTTTCAAGAAATTAAACTGCTTTTTTATTATTGAAATGTATATCTCTTTTATTGGTTCTCTATTTTTTGGTCTGAAATAGGAATAAATAAAGGATGATATGCCTTGTTATTTTTGTATCGGAATTTTGTATTGTGTTTTATCAAAATTCTATCAACATGTATTAAGTATATCTATTCCTTTCTATTTTTATTCGTACAGTAGAATAAATCTGTTGGAAATTTTATTCCAAAACAACTTGAAAGGGATAATTATGACATTTTGCTATAAAATTGAAATGAGCCTGTACTTGCTAAGAGGATGAACTATCAATACTTTCATAAACTCTAATTTTTTGAAAAAAATGTAATTTTTTTATGATTTTTGGTGTGGTTTTTAACCACAAAACAAAGTTGATACCAGCAGAAAAGGTAGATCCTTTTGGAAAATTTCCGTTCGTTAAAACCCCCATGATGCTCAATAACATTATGGTCTCGAGACTTCAAATATCTTCGATTTTCTTAATCAAGTTCCAATAGATAACTATTATCCACACTTTCGTTTTAATTTTATAGGAATGAAGCTAAAGATTGAAAAATTGAATGCTTTATGTTTTTCACTTTTTATTTTTTTATGTTTACAAATTGAAATTTATTCAAAACTTCAATTGAGTTGACAATTTATTTTGATGAAATTTAGCTAAGGAATAAGCATATGCAAATATTTTTTCTCAAGCAAGATAAACTTTATTCTCAATTTTTTTACATATTTTTTATGAGCAGTCGTGGAGGGATTCCAATAATTCCTGGCACGATGCGGGTACAAGATCTGAGAATAAATAAATCGCAAAATAGTAAGATGAATGAATCGGGTCAGAACTCCCAAATTGTGGAGGATGATGAGGTCCCGGCTCAACTTGTTGACGATTCTCAACTAAATATCAGCAACATAGAAGCTCCAAATACTAATGATACTTCAGGTTTTGACCAGCGCCTCAAATTAAGCCAAGGTACAAGAAGAACCGTCAGATCAGCTTCTCAAATCCTTAATCAATCACCACAGATTGAAGAGAGTATCACCCTTGCTGATTCAAGAGATCTTTCTGCAATTATGTCATCAAAAGAAATATTTGACGAATTAAACGCTATCAGAAACCAATTTACTGATATTGATGATTTCTACTCATCAGATAATCAAAAACTTAGGAACCTGGTTAACGCATTGGAGTCCCTTAAAAATAATCTCACTAACGAATCTATCATTACCCATGAAATCAGCCAAAATGATGGCGATACATTAATAAGCCGTAATGTTATTAATACCAATGCATCATTTGCTGCTGAACTCCTTAATGAGAACGAAAAATTATATCTCGAAAACCGTTCTCTTCTTCAGCTCAAAAATGAGCTAAGAGCTAAAAATCTTAAAATTATTCAAATTGAGAATGACTTTAGGAACCGTTTACGAAAGTACAAACATAAATTAGATGAATTATCAAATAATGAGATACTTGATAATATTCTTCGCGAAAAATTACAAACAAGAGACATGGTACAATCAGTTGCTCAAGAACAATATGCCATTTTACACAATTTCGAAGTATCCAAAAGTCTAACTCGTCCCAACGGTAATAATTCATCGAATTTGCATGAACTTGATAATAACCAGCTCCAAGGCGAACTAATAAAGCTTCGTGAGCAGATTTTAGAACTATCGAAACAAAAATCGGAAACTGAAAGCAAATTAGAGTGGGTGGAGCAAAGCAACAAATTACTTCAATCTAAACCATCCGAAAATCAACAAATTCTTGATCAACTCAACACTTTACGACAAAAGGAGATTGATGAACAACAAAAACATGTCGAAGAACTTACAAACCAAGAGAAATTGGCTGAATCAGAATACCAAAAGCAGATTGATCATCTTAAAAAGCTTCTTGAGTCGTCAAATGCTGCTGAAACTGAAAATCTCAGAAAAGAAAATAACAACCTACGTGATCAGCTTGCTGCTATTGCATCTAATAAGAATATTCTGGAAAACGAAGAGATTTTGACTTCCAATTTTGATTTATCCGACAAAGTTGATGAATTGAAGTCAATAATCAGGAATAAAGACAAGCAAATTATAGAATTAGAATCAGAAATTGATAACCAAAAGGCAACAATCGAAGATTTGAAGATCGATGTTGATTTCAAAGAACGTACAATTTCAGATCTCGAAAATAAGATTAATGTATCGGCGAACCCTGACAAAGGCATTGAATTATTAAAAGAAGAGAAAGATAAGGCCATTAGCAAGCTTCAAAAGCAGATCGAACGACAAAATACAATTATTCAGCAAAATGAGGAGAAAATTGATCAGTTATCCAAGGATATTGAAGCCAAGGACCAAAAGATAGATGAAATGATCCAGAAATCTCTGACTGCTGAAGTTCCTAGTGGTGATGGAGCCGCATTAGAGCTGAAATTACAGAATTTGAACTCATACATTGCAATTCAGAACGAAAAGATGGGTCAAAAGGATGCAAAGATTGAGCAGCTCGAAGACGAGCGACAAAAGAATGATACAAAGATTTCGGAATTAACAAGTACTCTAACTCAGCTCAAGCTAACGAACAATGAGAACACCCTTAAGATTGCTGAATTAGAAAATACTATTGCTAAGAGCAATATTCCTAAGAAAGAAGGAGAATTGTATTTATCTGAAGTTCCTCAAGAGGTTTCCTTCTTAAAGAACAAAAATAACATGCTTAATAACATTAATAAGAGCCAAGCAGAGAAGATAAAGCACCTTGAACAAGAAATTGTAAAGAAGAATAAACAAATTGGTTCAATTGATGAGATGCATAAGAAGAGCCGCGAGCTTCAAAGGCAGATCCAAGATTATGAAAATAAATTGAACGCCCAGCAACTTGAATCCGGCGGAGAAAATTCTGCTGAATTATTAAGTCTCAAACAACAATCTAATTTGCTTAATCAGCTTGTTGCTGATCTTAAGAAGCAAAATATCGAACTTAAGAAGACTCTAGAAACGAAAGACAAGCAACTTTCTAGCATGATGTCTGATTCTTTGCTAGTTAAAGATAATTTGAGCGAAATAACCGCAGAATTAGCCTCAAAGAACAAGATCATCCACGATTATGAGCTTAGACTTAATGCTTTGAGCGGATCTGGAAATCAATTCGAAAATCTTCTTCAAGAAAAGCTTACTAAGATAGCTACAATGGAGAAGAGAATTAATACAATGAAATCAGACATCGAAAAGCAGAAGATTGAGATTGCAACTCTTAATCAAGATGTTTCTGATAAAAATAAGACAATTCAGCAGTTACAGAATAAGTTAAAGAACAAAGAAAATAGTGTTCAACGCTTAAATGGTGAAATTACTGACCTCAGAAGCAGAATATCTGAATATGAAATCTTAAATGAGAGACAAGCCAAAGAAAACGCATTATTGAACAACAAACTCAAGCAAAAGGATGTTCAAATCGAAAATATTAAAGAACAACCTAAAGAAGAGGAAGAAAAACCGAAACAAGTTGGATTTGCGAAACCATCTTTGCCACCAAAGGAAAGTGATCAAAGAGAATTCATTAAAGGATCAAGGAGTAGTGGTCAGCTTAAATTCAGCCCTATCGCTACACCTCCTGAAGAAAATAATAATTCATTGAGCCAACTCGAACAATTCAAGAAATTAAACACAACAATCAAGGAACAGTCACAAAGATTACTTGCAAAAGACAGAAAAATTGATTTGTTGAAACAAAGATTAAATGATTCAAACAATCAATTGAAAGAAATCATGGAAACACCTGAGAACAAACGTATTGCAGCCAAAGAGAAAGAACTAGAAGATTTCCAGCAGCAATTACGTTCTCAAATCATCAGTCAATCGTCATCTTTCATTACTTATGAAAATGAAAGCGATGCAATGAAACAAATCAAAGAAGAAAACTACAGAAGAGTTGTAGAAAACACCCACAAGGACAATGAAATCATCAGATTAACTAAGCTTCTTGCAACAGATAAAACATTGAAGGAAGACAAGATTTTGCAAGAAAAAATCATGCAGTTAGAAGCGAAAGTTCAACAAATGAAAGATTTCAATAAAGAAACAGCTGCTAATTTAGAATCTAAGAACTTAGAGAACTACAATCTCCAAGACAATATCAATTCTCTCAAGGAACAAATACAGAAACAAAATGATGAACAGGCAAACCATCAAAAAGAATTAGATGAAAGAGATGAACAAATTGCTGTTCTCCAGAAAGAAATTGAAAAGTATGAAAACAGATATTTGGAACAACAAGAAGTTATCAGCCAAGAGAAATTAAATAACTCCAATTTGAAGTTGAAACTTAATGAAGCTGAAAATGAAATCGAAAAATCCCATATTGTTAAACAGCCAGGAGAATTGTATCTAAGTGAAGTTCCTCAACAAATCAGTTACTTCGAAAACAAAGTTAAAATCATGAACGGAATGATCACGCAATCTAATGCGAAAATCAAAGAACTCGAGAGCCAGATCGAGAAGAAGAACAAACAGATTGAGTCGACCGAAGCTTTGCAGAAGAAATCTCGTGAATTGTACAGACAAATCAGAGATTACGAGCAAAGATTGTCAAGCTTAGGTTTAACTGTTGAACAAATCAGGGAAATGGAAATGACAATCAAGAATCAAGCAAATATCATCAAAGCCAAAGATGATGATCTTAAACAGACAAAGGAAATCTTGGAATACAGAGAAGAACAAATCGAAAAGTTCATTGCAGAAAGTGTATCAATAAGAGATGCAATTGAAACATTGAAGCAAAGAATCAGCGAATTAGAAATGCTGTTAGAGAAGAAAGATAAAGAAAACAATGATAAGATTGCTGAAATTCAAGAAGAAAATAGACAAACATTGGAACAATTAGCTAAACAATTACAAGAAGCTGAAGAAGATATCAATGTTTTAGAAGGAAATTGCCAAGTTTATGAACAAGAAATTGCTGAAAAAGACAAACAAATAGAACAAATGACAAATGATATTAAATCTCTTGAAGAAGTAATCAATGAACAAAGCAACACAATTGATTCTCTCAAACAAGATGTTGCTACTAAAGAAGAAGAAATCAAGCAATTGAAGCAAACAGTCAGTGAAAATGAAGAAGTAATTAAACAATTGCAAACTGATATTGAACAAAAAGATGCAGAAATACAAAAGAATAAAGAAGAAATTGAACAACACAAACAAACAATTTCACAAAGAGATGAAACAATTAAACAATTGCAATCAGAAATTGAGCAGCACAAACAAACAATTGCTGATAAGAATAATGAAATCGAACAGTTGAAGAATACAATTAGTGAAAGAGAAGAAACAATTAAACAGCTGCAAAATGAAATTGAACAACACAAACAAACCATGGCCGAAAGAGATGCAGAGATTCAGAAGAATAAAGAAGAAATAGAACAACAAAAGCAAACAATTTCTAATAATAACAACGAAATCGAACAACTCAAGAAGACAATTTCTGAGCGAGATGCTGAAATTGAACAATTGAAGAAGACAATTGCTGAAAGAGATGAATCAATTAAACAATTACAAAATGAAATTGAACAACACAAACAAACAATTTCACAAAGAGATGCAGAAATCGAACAATTGAAGCAAACAGTTCAACAAAGAGATCAAACAATAGCTGAGAAAGAAGATTTGATCAAACAACTTCAATCTGAAATTGAACAACACAAACAAACAATTTCAGATAAGAACAATGAAATTGAACAATTAAAGCAGACAGTTAATGCAAGAGACGAAGCGATCAAACAATTGCAATCTGAAATTGAACAACACAAGCAGACAATTGCTGAAAGAGATGCAGAAATACAGAAGAATAAAGAAGAAATTGAACAACAAAAACAAACAATTTCTCAAAGAGATGAAACAATTAAACAATTACAAAATGAAATTGAACAACACAAACAAACAATTTCACAAAGAGATGCAGAAATCGAACAATTGAAGCAAACAGTTCAACAAAGCGATCAAACAATAGCTGAGAAAGAAGATTTGATCAAACAATTGCAATCTGAAATTGAACAACACAAGCAGACAATTGCTGAAAGAGATGCAGAAATACAGAAGAATAAAGAAGAAATTGAACAACAAAAACAAACAATTTCTCAAAGAGATGAATCAATTAAACAAATGCAATCTGAGATCGAACAAAACAAGCAAACAATTGCCGATAGAGAGAAAGAAATCGAACAACATAAACAAACAATTGCAGAAAGAGATAATTCTATTAAACAACTTCAAGAAGAAATCGAACAACATAAGCAAACAATTGCTGAGCGAGATGCTGAGATTCAGAAGAACAAAGAAGAAATACAGCAAAAGAATGAAGCAATTAATGCATTGACAAATGAAGGAGAAGAAAAGAGATTAAAGATTCTTGAATTAGAAGCGAACAACGAAAACTTGATAAATAAAGTTAAAGAATTAAATGACAGCGTAAGTGACTTGAATTTGTCCACAGAGAATCAAAACTCTGTTGTCAAACAAATGACTGACGAAATCAAGGATTTGAACAAACAAATTCACGAATTAGAAGTGAAATCTGAAAATCAACAGAAGCAAATCGAAGAAAAGGATAAAGAAATTCAATCATTAACTAACACAAAGGCTCAAAATGAAGAATTAATTAAGAAATTACAGGAAGAAGTTGAAAACTTGACAAATACAAAGAACCAAAATGAGGAAACAATCAAGAACTTGCAAGAACAAGTTCAGTCTTTGACAGAAACAAAGAATCAAAATGAAGATTTGATCAAGAAACAACAAGAACAAATCCAATCTTTGACAAATACAAAGAATGAAAATGAGGAAACAATTAAGAACTTGCAAGAACAAGTTCAGTCTTTGACAGAAACAAAGGCTACAAATGAAGAAACAATTAAGAAACTCCAAGGAGAAGTTCAATCTTTGACAGAAACAAAGGCTACAAATGAAGAGCAAATCAAGAAGCAACAAGAAGAGATTCAATCTTTGTCAAACACAAAGAATGAAAATGAAGAATTAATCAAGAAATTACAAGAAGAAATCCAAAACTTGACTAATACTAAGACACAAAACGAAGAACAAATCAAGAAGTTGCAGGAAGAGATACAAAATCTTCAGAAGCAAAATGCAGAGAAAGATGATAAAATCAACGAATTCAATGCTAAATTATCAACTCTTTCTTCCTCAAGTGATGAACTGACAACCAAATTCATCAATGCTCAAAATGAAATCAATCAACTCACCAAACAGAACAATGAAAAGGATAATCTCATTAGTCAACTCAATCAAAAGATTTCTGATTTAGAAAATGCTAAATCTCAACTCGAAAACGAGAAATCTCAGCTTATTCAAGAAAAGACAAATCTTGAGCAAGAAAAGGCCCAATTATTGGAGCAAAAGAAGAATCTCGAAGAAGAAAAACAGAAATTAGAAACTGAAAAGACAAATCTCGAACAAGAAAAAGCCAAACTCATTGAAGAAAAGACAAATCTTGAACAAGAAAAGGCCAAACTCATTGAAGAAAAGACAAATCTTGAACAAGAAAAAGCCAAACTCATTGAAGAAAAGACAAATCTTGAACAAGAAAAGGCCAAACTCATTGAAGAAAAGACAAATCTCGAACAAGAAAAAGCCAAACTCATTGAAGAAAAGACAAATCTTGAACAAGAAAAAGCCAAACCCATTGAAGAAAAGACAAATCTTGAACAAGAAAAGGCCAAACTCATTGAAGAAAAGACAAATCTTGAACAAGAAAAGGCCAAACTCATTGAAGAAAAGACAAATCTCGAACAAGAAAAAGCCAAACTCATTGAAGAAAAGACAAATCTTGAACAAGAAAAGGCCAAACTCATTGAAGAAAAGACAAATCTCGAACAAGAAAAGGCCAAACTCATTGAAGAAAAGACAAATCTCGAACAAGAAAAAGCCAAACTCATTGAAGAAAAGACAAATCTTGAACAAGAAAAGGCCAAACTCATTGAAGAAAAGACAAATCTTGAACAAGAAAAGGCCAAACTCATTGAAGAAAAGACAAATCTCGAACAAGAGAAGTCTCAGTTACTCGACCAAAAGAAGAACTTGGAAGAAGAAAAGCAGAGATTAGAAACTGAAAAGGCCAAACTTATTGAAGATAAGACTAATCTCGAGCAAGAAAAGGCTCAGTTGTTAGAACAGAAGAAGAATTTGGAAGAAGAAAAGGCCAAACTCGAAGAAGAGAAAGCTCAAGCACAAAAGACAATTGAAGAGAAAGACCAAGAAATTGAAGATTTGACATCTCAAATCAATGTAAAGACAAAAGATTTATCACTTCTTGAATCAGATTTCAATAACATGAGTTTTACAAATGCTGACCAATCAACAATGATTTCCAACTATGAGAAAGAACTTTCTGATAAGAACAAAGAAATCAATGATCTCCAGAATCAGTTGAAACAAATGACACAAAATAGAGATGAATTACAGTCTAAGTCTGATAAACTCAATGAAGAAATTGAGGAAAAGAAGAATATTCAGAACTTAGAATCATCTCTAGAGCAAAAGAACAAAGAAAACGAAGATCTCAAGCAACAACTTAACAAGACACAAGGAGAACTATCAGCTCAGTTGCAACAAAAGACACAAGAACTTGAGAATCTCACAAAAGAGTTCAATGATCTCAAACAGAAATCAGAGCAAACGATTGCTCAAAACAATGAAGAAATTGCAAACTTGAAGAAGAATGTTGCAGAACGAGACAAAAAGATTTCTCAATTATTAGAAAACGAAGTCAATGAATTAAAGAAGAAATTGTCTGATAAAGAAAATGAGAATACATCATTAAAGAATACAATATCAGAAAGAGAAAATGAAATCAATAATCTCAAGAAGAACGTTTCAGATAAAGAGAACGAAATCAATCAACTTAAGAACAACTTGACAATGAGAGAAACCGAGTTGAATAAGATGAAGGACGAGGAAGTTAAAAATGCTAAACAAATCATTGCTCAAAAGGATAAAGACTTAGAGGAATTGAATGGCAAATTTAATGATACAAATAACAATTTATCTAAAGCAAATGATGAATTGAAACAACTTAAAGAACAAATCGAGTCTCTGAACAAGCAAATCGAACAAATGAAATGCAGCAATAACCTTAAAGAAAGTGAAATTAAACAACTCACTTCGAACCTACAAAAGTACAAACAAGCTTTGAAAGAACTCAATGATCAGAACAAACAAAAAGACAGTCAAATCAATCAACTCAACAATGAAATGAAAGAGTTGCAGCAAACTTTGAAGCAAACACAAGAACAACTCAAAGAAACGCAAGATCAGCTTAAACAAACACAAGAAACACTGGCTACAAAAGAAAAAGAATTTGCTAAGTCAGCGGAAGATCTCAACAATGAGTTGAAGAAGAAACAACAAGCAATCGATGACCTTCAAAACAATCTCAAGCAAAAAGACGCTGAATTAACTGATACTAAGCAGAAATTAGAAGCCAAAACTAATGAATTCAATGACTTGAAACAAAAGGCTGAAAATGAAATCGCTTCACTTCGCAAAGAAATAGAACAACTCAAAGCTAAATTAGCCAACACAAGTAAAGAATTAGAAGCATCTAAATCAGAATCAGATCTTCAAAAGAAAGAAAATGACAAATTGAAGGTTAATTTGGCTAAAATAGCAGAAATGTATAAGACTTTGAAGTCAGAATCAGAAAATAATTCAGCTAAATCAAATGATAAGATCAAACAAATGCAAGAAAAGATACAAAATCTCGAAATTCAAGTCGAAAAGATGAAATTAGCGAATGAAAATCTCACAAACGAGAACAAATTGCAGAAAGAAACAATTGAAATGTTGAACAAGAAACTTCTTGAATCTAATAAGTCATTGACAGCATCTATTAAGGAATACGAAACTCTCAAACGTGAAAACAATTTACAGAAAGATCAAATTACTAAATTAACTTCACAAGTTCAAAAATTAACACAAGATTTCACTCAATTGAAGAAAGAAAAGGCAGAAGTTGACAGTAAACTTAATGAATTGTTAGATTTACTTGCACAGAAGGATAAAGAGATCGAAAGACTCAAATCAGAGAACCAGAAGTTGAATGAATTATATCAACAAATCACTAAAGATTTAGAAGAAAAAGAATTTTTGATCCAATCACAGAACAACCGATGCATTGATTTGCTTAACCTCACAGAAAAGAAGAACAAAGAGATTGAAACTCTACAGATCTCTAATGATTCATTGAATAACTCTTTGACTAAATCTCAAATGGAATTGAGAGAAAAATCAACATTACTTGAAAATGCAAAAGACAAAATTACTGAATCGAACAGAAAATTGGCATTATTTGATAGATTGAGTGCAAACAGCTCCGAATTGAACTTAACAAGTTCAGGAAGAGGCATCAAGAAGTCAAGTTCGATGAATTTGTCAACAGATATGGATAGCAAGAATAAGATCATCAACCAACAAGAACAAACAATTATTGGCTTGGAACAATCTCTTAAAGTTTCGAAGAATGAAGTTGATGCAACAAAGAGAGAACTCCAGAAACAATTGCAAAATAATAAAGAACTTCAGAACCAGATCAAAATGACTAAAGAACAGTTTGCCAAGTTAGAAGCCAAATTGCAAAGTGTTGTTAAGAAACTGAATGACAAAGATCAAAGAATTGATTCATTAATGTCTTCAGATCCAAACAACAAACAAACAAATCAGTTGAACAAACAAATTTCTGACCTGAATCTTGAAAATGAGAAACTCAAGACAAGAGTTGACATTATAACAAGAGAAAATCAGAGTTTGAAGGATGATTTGGAAAGCCAGAAATCACAGAAATCTAAATTAGATGAATCATGCAATGCTTTGAAGACAGAATTGATTAACAAGAAGAGCATAATGGATCAATACAAGGAGAAGCTGAAAGAATTGATGGAACAAATCAATCTAAAGAACAAACAGATTTCAGAACTCAAAGCTGAATTCAATGGCTCTGATGACGAAGATAGGAAATCTTATGTCAAAGTAATAGAACAAGAAGGAGAAATAACAGAACTCAAAGTCATCATTGACAGACAAAAGAAGTTTGTCGGACAGCAGAAAATGAAAATTGCTGATTTAGAAAAGAACTTGAAAGAATCAAATGATGAAGCACAGAAGATGACAAAGAATTTGCAGACAACAATTTATGAATTAGAAGACAGATGCCAGAACTTGAATCAAACAATTGAGATGAAGAACTTCCGATTGAGAGAAAACGAGAAAACAATTGAAGATTTGAACAAAGAGATTGAATTCTTGAAAGGAAAAATCGATATTTTAAGCAGAGAAATCTCGATGTATAGTGACAATTCATCTAAGGATAACTTGATTTCTAAGATTGTCTCATTACAAAAGACAGTTTCAGAGAAAGATGAACAATTGAATGATGCAAAGATTAATTCAAACAATTCTCTTGAAATTGAAGACAAGATGCAACAAGAGATCGATCAGAAGAACAGCAGAATACATCATCTCGAGAACCAAATGAGAGTTCTTTTGAATAAGGCTTCTCATGAAAATGCAAAGGAAGAAAGTAAAGTAAAGATTGACCTAAAGAAAGCTAATGTTAAATTGTCAAACTTGGAGAATGATTTCAGTAGTTTACAAGAAGAAAATGCCGCCCTCAAGAGCAAGGTTTCTAAACTAGAATTGGTTATTAAAGAGAAACAAAGCGAAATAAATATAATGGCCCAGAAGAACAATAACGATATTAATGAGATTTCTGAATTGAAGTCAAAACTCAGGAAACAAAATGAAGATTTCACACAAGAGAAATCGAGTGCAGAAAAACAAAGATCAGAGATTGATCAATTAACAAATGATTTGAAGGCCAAGAACAATGAGTTAGATGACTCAAAGAGCGAAATAAGAATCCTCAAATCCAAGATCAATCAGTTACAGCAAGATTTCGATGCTAAAAACCATAGCTTACAAAAAGAAAGCGAAAAACTTAGCCAATTAGAAGAAAAGATGAAAGAGAAAGAGCTTGAGTTATTGAACAAATCATTAGATAACGACAAGGCAGCTAAAGAAATCATTGAAAAACTTCAAAACGAAAACCTCGAACAAAGCAAACAACTGAAGAAGAAAGAGAAAGACATTGAGCAAATGAAGCAAATTCTCAATGATTTGAACAACGAACAAGGAGAACTTAAAGGAAAGATTATGACTCTTCAAAATGACAATGAACAAATAACAAAGACATCACAAGAAAAGTTCAAATTAAACGAAAAGAAATCAGAAGAATTGGTTTCAATGATCAATAAGTTGAACGATGAAATTGCGGAGAAGAACAAAACAATTAATGGAACTTTGTTACAGAAAGAAAAGGAAATCACAAAGTTAAAGAATGATTTGGAACAATCTCAAATTACAAATGAAAGAATTACAAATTTGGAATCAGAAATGATGAAGATGAAGCAATTAAATGATGATTTAATGAATGACATCAATAGATACAATGAGGAACTCATAGAAAAAGAAAATGAGTTGCAAGAATTAAGAGAAAAATTGATACAAAGCGGAAATAATTTGCAAAAAGTAACTCCAGAACAAAGTTACTTCGATTTACAGATGAAGATAACCGAACTTGAAGATATCATTAAAGACAAGAATAGTCAATTAGAGAACAAGACTAACGAGATTACCAATTTGTATTCCAAGTTGTACAATACATCTCCTCCTTCTAATTCTAAGAAGCCAAGAAATACAAAACTTGAAGTTGAAAAAATGAGAATTAAAATGGCAGAATTAGAGAACAAGAACAAAGATTTAATTGATCAGAACACAAGAATGAATAGTGATTTGCAGGCACAAATCAACCAGAACAATAAGTTGAAACGTCACATGAAAGATAATGAAAACAATTTCAATTCCCAAATTAATCAATTGAATTTGAAGCTTCAAAAAGTTGTTAGTGATTATGAAGCGAGATTATTGATTTTAGACAACTCAAAGAACCAAACACAGAGAGTAAACGAACTCAGAGAAAGAATCAAACAAAAGAATGAAGAAATTCTTAGCAAAGAAAAGCAAATCAATGAAAATAAATTGGAAAATGACAAACTCAAGAACGAAATTGAATTATCAAAGAAACAAAATGAAGATTTATCAAATTATTTATCCCAAAAAGAAGCAAAGATCAAAGAATTGGAAAGAAGAATCCAATCCTTAGATGAACAAAATGCAAAAATTGAGGATGAATTGAACAAATCAATCAATAAGAACGAAGAAATTAATAAATCAAGTATTATTGAACGTACTGATTTATCCGAGCAACTAAACAATGCTTTGAAAGAAAATTCAAGATTGAAAGTTCAAATTGATGAAACAGTTTCTAAAATCAAAGAATTATGTGATAAAGACAGTGATATCGCTAGAGTTAAATTAGTTTCTGATCAATTAATTGACTTAAGCGAGTACTGCAAGCTTCTTAAAGATCAGAATGAAGAACTTAAGAATATGATATCTCAGAAATAACTTTATAATTTATTTGTTTTATTTATTATTAAACATATTTTTTTATTTAAACTACTTTTTTTAGCCAGTATAAAGATCAAGTTTGGAGAAAATTCCTCTCCAACTCTAGTTTCGTTAAAGACATTTCACTTTTGTGAATTGTAAAAAATATCAGATGATTTTGATTTTCAAAGAAATGGCGAATTATATAACAATTTCCATATTTTCGGTATGGAATATGAAGTCACTTTTTGATTGAATTTTTGAAAGGTTTAACCCGATATTGAATTACCCATAACTTCAATTTTTTGGTCCTTTTTTCAATGAAATCATAATGCCCAAAACAATTTGAAATGATTGGTATTCCAATATACTCCAAACAATTTTTCTGAACAAAGCCATGAAAAAGTTCAGAGTGTATTTCTATTAATAATGGATAATGTGATGGAACATTTATTGATTACATATGGTAATTTTAGGCTTATTACATGGCTGAGTGAATATATAAATGAAACAACTATTGATATAATGAGAAAATCTCAAATTCCAATTTAAAGATAGGAACAGAAGCATTTTAATAATAGAATTACTCCATCCTTAATAGCTATAAGAAGCCATTCATGTCCATTTACTATTCTCATTTAAAACAAGAAAATTGAAATAATATATACAAACTAATATTTACAAAATAAAAACAAAAAGCCATGCAATACAGACAATGTGCACAACAAAAAATTAAATGTTCTGTATCAGTTTTGGGAAATTGTCAAATTTCCTTCAAGGTTCAGTTCAGAGTCATCAACTTTCGTTCCACAGACCTTCTCTATATACCACTTTGACTGTTTCCTCATTTCCTCGTTCAAATACATTCCATCAAATAATTCATAAATTGTTTTTTCTTCAGAAAACAAGTTTGCTCCAAGTGCCAGCTTATTACCATTTATCTGGACCCCGGATGCAGCAAGTAAAGTCGGATATACATCGAACATCAGTGCTTTTGGTCTAATCCTTGTTTTTGGCTGTACAACAGAGTTAATTATCGTCAAAATCGGTTTTCTACGAACATAACCGAGATTATCGCAGTGACCATTTACGTAATCGTTCATAATTAAGTGGTCACCCACAATTAAGATCGTAGTTTCATTATAATAGCTCTGTTGTTTGAGCCACTCAAGGAATTCATATATTTGGCGGTCATTGCACCTATTTGTGTCCTTAATTGCGTTAGATGTGACATTACAATATTTACATCTCAAACCAGGTGAATGAGTATCCATTGTAGTGTACACGTAGAAGAAAGGACTTCCAGATTGACCAAGTTTCGTCAGATGTTTCTTCACATTTTGGATTTGTACGTAATCATGCACCCATTTCCACGCGAAAGGGTCTGTTTCTGACTTGGAATAGACATCCTTCCTGTCAAAGCCATGAGCGGTGTACACGTACCCGTGATTCAAGTCTCCAAAGTGTGTTCCGAACGTTGCCATGTTGACATAACCGTTTTTCTTTGTTATGTCTCCAAGACATTTCATTTGCGGGTAAAACATGAGTTCTCTGTAAGAAACAGATGGATTGTGTGGTTTCCCTGTAGGAGCACCACATAACATTGCGAATGTAGCACCAAGTGAATACGTTGTTGGCCTCAAAACATTGATTCCGCCGAGTTTTCCTTCGATATCAGTGAAATGAATGTTTTTCGGGTCTAAAGAGATGTTTTCTAAGTGCGGAATAAGGGATTCATCGAATGCGCCACCGTTCTGCTTCGATCCGAACGTGTTCTCGACAGATTCTAACATGATTATCAACATGTTTCGCTTCTTTTTTGGAAAAGTAATGATGTTGTCAGAAAAAACGTAATTTTCTTTGTAGAAATTGGAATCTGTGTACTCCGATGGCTCATAGATCATGTAGCCAAATGATAGGAATGATAGTAACAGTAGGAATGTTAATTTGGTCGATGTAAAGTCAAATGAAAAAGATAATTTAGAATTTTCTGGGAAAAGTGTGATTCTGACTACTGTCCCGTTGTATACGTAATACGCAATATATATGAATATAGAAAATGACGGAATTATATTCTTGTAGAGTAACATTAAAATAATGTCGATTTTTTCACCGATATTTTGTTTTCCTTCGAACTGTGTTGCCATCAGCATTAGATGTTCTTCACCAATCGGCCCGAATTGCATGAAAGTGAACTTTAGAATACATGTTCCGACCAAAAAAAGTAAAGAAAAAACTAGTTTCTCGATTTTGTAGAGCAATTGTATTCTGTTGTATCTACCAGATGAATATCTTTTGGAGACAAGACTCGAAGAATCTTGTAGAACTGCGAAGTTTGTTGAAGATAATAAACGAGCTAAAATTGATGCAGTGATAATCTGTGCGACAGTTGCTTTCCTCGAAAAGAATACAAACTGCCTTAATGCAAAGAGAATAATGATAACTTTTGATATTTTAAAAAAATATTGTTTTTTATCGATTTGCTCATTATCTCGTGTTGATAGTATGTACACTATGGTCGGATATATGTAATACGTCAGTGGATTGATCAATATCTTCAATATTTTCATACTTTGGCTTTGATCAATTCGAAAGACGATTAAAAATCTCAAAAATCATCAGGGGAGAAAAAAAAATTTTTTTTGAATATAAATCAGAGATATTTGAGACGGTGGACTTAGTTTTGAAGAAAATCATCGATCGAGTGTACCTCTTTTATTTTATTACTTGATACGATTTTTGACTCAATTAAAAAAAAATTGAATGGAAATCACATTCAATTCATGATCGCACATTTTAATTTCTTTTATTAAATTTAATACTATGTACATAAATCTAAATAGTTGAAAAGTATAAAGTTGAACTGCTCCGAACATTTTCTAAGCTTTTCCGATATTTATAAAAATATGCGATTTATTCAATAATATGCGGTTTTAATCTGTTTTTGAATTTTTGGTTCTTTGTTCTCTCAAATATGAATGTTAATGGATTACTCAATTTAGCAATAAATTTCATTGCGCCCATCCTTCCTTTACTAATATACTACATAATCAAAGGAACTCTCACATGGAAAGGCATTTGTTTAAACATATTGAAGATATTTCTTCTTATATACTGGATAATGACGTTCATATTTCTTCACAATGTATCAGAGCTTCTTAATGACATATACTACGATCCAAAGTTTGCAGTTGCCTCGCTTATCGTTATTTTCATATATAATACCCAAACAGAATACAGAGAGCTTGCAAAAGAAGAAACAAACTTCTTCAAGATATTCTTTTACGTAACATTTATAATTTATCTTTCAATTCTTACGATCATCGTCGGAATTTTAAAAGAAACTTATGCAACCATTGGATATTTGTACGAGGATGAAATATTATCAATGATGAAGCAAGCAGATGGCTATACTTCTAATCTCGACGTTGTTCTACCATTTATTTTCAAGTATTCGATTCCGATTTTCGCAGCTACAGGACTTTTGATGTATATTTATTACAAAACTACACAAAATGAAATAACAATCTTCAAGATCTTCTCATTTCGTCTAAGTATAAGTTACGTCCTCATAATTTATTTAATTTCATGTTATTTACATTTCGTTAAAATACTACGTCCTGATGTTCATCCCATTGGCAACTTCCTTAAGGACAATGCTTATTTGGTCAAGAACCAATCGATCATTTTCCCAGATAAGAAGAAAAATCTTTTGATTTTTGCGCTCGAAGGATTTGAAATAACATTTGCTTCGAAGAAGAATGGAGGAGCTTTCGATACCTCCTACATGCCATACCTTGAAAGTCTTGCTGCTGATAAGAACAATATCCACTTCACTCAGCACAAAGATGGGAAGTTTGGCGGACCACAGTATTGTGGAAGAATTCGATTGACATCGCAAGCACATTTTGCAATGACATGTGGCTATCCATTGATTGACAATTTCGAGAGATTCAAAGTCAGTGGCGGAAAGATTTACATGTCAAAAGTTACATGTCTTGGAGATGTAATGAGTCAAAATGGATATGAAACATCTGTTGTCATTCCTTCATGGTGGTATGATTGGGGCCTTGGAGGAATATTCGAATACCATGGATTTAAGAGGAAATTCCAAAACACAGATATAAAGAAGACAGCAATAAAATGGGTGAAAGACAAATACACATTTGATTTCATTAAGAAGGAATTGACAGAGTTGTATAAGATAGGAAAGCCATTCTATTTACATACAATGAATATGGATACACATGAAAAAGGAATACTTTGTGATCTCTGTCCTGATGCCGAAAAAGGAGAAAATAATTATCATAGAGTTTATAAATGTTTTGATAAACAATTTGAGAGTTTCCATAAATGGCTTCAACAACAGCCTTTCTACAATGACACAGTCATCATATTGATTGGAGATCATTTATCAAGAGATCCATATCATCCGAGAGCTGCTGCAAAAGCAGGAGTTGATAGAAGAACATATAATTTAATCATTAATTCAGATTTTGTTCCACTAAATAGAACAGGAAGAAGTTTCACAAACTTAGATATATATCCAACAGCATTAGGTGCTCTTGGTGCTAAGGTGTATGGAGAACAAATTGGTCTTGGAACAAACATGTTCTCAAATAGAGAAACAATGGAAGAAGAGTTCGGACTTGGCCCACTTGAAAATGAGTTCGGAGGACTTATTTCTTTCTATCACACTGTTGTTGAAGGCGGTCAAGCTGCCTCTAGTTCATGTGATAGTTCTGAACCATGCGTCATGGCAAACATGACACAATTGTAATAGATATATAAAGAATGTTTTTTTTTGTGTAATTATATAAAATTTATCTTTCCAATAATTAAAAATAATATCAACTCAATGACACATCATGCATATATTGAATAATATACAAATATTGCCTAAATCTGAGGTTGACGAACATGATTAAATTTCATATTTAATTTTTCATTTTCTCAGTATATGAGAGATATCATACAGTCAAAATTTATAGATCATAGATATGTACATATTAGATTATATTCATAATACCAAAATAGAAAAAAACTTTTTTAACTAAATAATATAACAAGATATATATGACTCACTGATAAAATGCTGTCATTTTCTTATTTGATCTATAAAGAAGCTTTCTAGTTAGATTTTTTAGAAAACTACCAAAATGAGATATAATATTTAATAAAAGTTTTATATTTGAATTTCCTATGAAAACATCTTATATTTAGTACCAATATAAATACATCAATATCTAATCAATGAGATGTTAAGGTGAAGACAATGAATTTGAAAGATTAACAAATTTTGTAAATTGGGATTAACATAATTATGATATATAAGGAATTTTAGCATATATTGAATAGATATGAATTTCTTGAGGTACAAAACTACGCAATCAGAATAAATTTGTGGAAATATGTGTCTTTCCGGTATAAATGCACAGACAATGCCCCTGAAATGACACACAGCTATATAAGAGCATATGACCCTATTGTCGTTCATTGTTCCACATTCATAACTTAATTATTCAAAATAAAAAAGTGACAATTCAAAATGAATATTTTAAATTTTTTTGCTTCAAAACAAGGACGTTTTACAAATTTTAGAAGCTCAATACCATTAATTCCATTTGCCCTTTCATTTCTAATTGCATTTCTCACTATATTTTTCCGCAAATTTTATTATAATTCACAAATTTGGTCTTTATATCCAGAATTTGATGGTGTTGATGAAAAATTGTCGATTATAATAGTTACTCATGCACCAAGAAAGAAATTTATTCGTACTCAACTTAAAAGAATTGCATTTGGCCAAGTTCCACACTTAAAAGAAATATTTATTTATTGGGCAGATCGCAAAAATCCATTACCCGATCTCAGCTTTTTTGGTTTTAAGCTTAATGATGGACATATTCCCGTAAATATTCTTCCAACAACAAAAGAATTTGTTTCAGAACGTTTTAAACCGCCGCAAAATCTCACTACACAAACAATTTTAGCAATGGATGATGATTTACTCATTTCTGGCTCAGAATTAGATCGTGCATTCGTTGTTTATATAAAAAATAATTTTACAAACAGAATATTTGGTTTAAGAACGCGTTCTTGTCCCAGTGGACACTACAGAATCTTCGAATACAACAAACCTTATACAATGGCTTTAACAAACTTCGCATTTTTAAATGTGAAGATGTTAGAAGCATTTAATAAACCAGAATACTCAAAAATGGTTGATTATATTACAGAAAATAGAAATGGAGAAGATATTTTAATGAATTTTATTATTGCAAAAGAATTTCAACTTCCACCAATTGTGATGAAACTAGATGTTCTTCACCTTGGTATTTTCGACGGATTTAGCGCAAAATCCGGTCATTTGGATAAGAGAAGCAATTGCTGCAAGAAATTCAGCGAATTCTTCGGTGAAAACCTTGTGGAAAAGTATGAAATGAACTCTTTCCTCCCAAAAACATGGTAAATTGTATTGTTTGAGAATTTTTTTAGATAATTTTTTTATTTACTCATTATATGTTTAATAAAATCACTTTGATATGTATATTAGGTGTGAGAGACCATAAGATATGTGATTAAAATGATATTTGTTGTTTACATCATGAATGATTTGATAATTTTTTTATTAACAAACGATCGATCAGAATGCATAGCACTACAAATGGATGTAGTGCTAATTTGAATCATTAAATTATGATATATCAGTTGTAATTTCAAATGATTTTGAAAAGTTTTATGTTTTAAGTTATTGGCATGAATAGAAAAAGATTTTAAATAAGAAACAAGTTTATTCCTCTATTTCTTTAAAAAAACAAGGCAAGAAAATAAATAATTAATATCTAGAAGTATAATTCTCGAAAAGGAGAGGAGAAGTCTTCTCTTCATTAGTAGGCTCTCTATCAACAGGTATGAAATGCTCCATATCTTCATTCGTCAGCTGATTTGATAATTCAATCAAATCATCTGTTACATCGTTACGCCACATCACACTTTTAAGACTTAGTATCTGTTGGAACGACTCTTCATCAACTATTTCGTTCCTTTCTTCAATAACTTGGTCAATGTTATTTGTGTACTTAAAAGTGACATCTGAACAATCATAGGGTCCTACAGCAACTACGTGGGCGACTTGGATACCGCGACCAACGAAAATAAGAGGGTTTTCTATACTTCCAAAATCTAAATTGCAAGGAATGAATCTTTTCTCTTCAGGATCGAATACTTCGAGCCATACTCTTGAATGGGATATGAGCTTGCAGAATCTGACATGGTAATCAAGACATCTTAAAATTGTTCCGAATAATATGCATTGTTCGATCAAACTACCGGTTCTTACTCTGTTAATTAGCTCTGGATTCTCATATTCGGGTATTCTGATCGCTGCTTTACAGTGGTGACAGAGAAATCTTTTGACACCAATTGCTCCTTGCTCTTTTTCTGTTCTAGTGGGTGGACGATCTTCTTGGAAGACTACTGTTGACTGTCTGCAGTTAAGGCATTTTGGTTTAGCGTATTTTTTCATATATGTTCTAGTAAACCATGTAATTAACTGTAATAGTCTCTGTTTTGATGGATTTACTGACAAAATTTCGTTTGGTACTAGTTCTCTATAGTTCATTGTTGGTGGAGAGTAAACCTTTAAAATTTTACGATGTAATAAGTTTAAATCCTGATGAACTTTAAATCCAGCGTCATTCATCATGACTGCTTCATATTTTACTGCATGAAAACAGTCTTTGCAAAATTTTTCCATAATTTTTGAATCTGATTTTGTCGAAATATAAATCTCTATTGGATCAGTAGATATCGGAGGAGTATTGTTGAATACTACAGATGCTAATGTGGCATTTATTTCTTGTTTTTGAGGGCAATACATAATAAAATCTGAAGCAGGCTGAGAAATTCCTAAAAAGGGAGCATAATCAGCAAAGCATTTTGCTAATGTAACATCCCTTGTAATGTCTGTTTGATATGACTTTCCACAATACCAAAATCGAACTCGAAGCATAAATTTTTTTTTGGATTTTTTTTATAAAATTGTTCAATTTGGCTGTTACTTCATATTATGGATAGCATTGATATGAAGAATATTTTTCTCAAGTTTTGGCTAGGGTATTCTCCAAGATGAACATTCATCTCATATTTCGAAAGGAATTTGAACACTTTTGATAGAAAATAAGAAGACAATATACATACTTTAAGAACATTCGAGTTCCATTCATCTAAATAAGCGAATATTTGAAGAAAATTCAATCACAGATCTTAGATTGAAAGACAAGCATAAGTAAGCATGTCTCATTTGATAAGTGCATTGCTTGAATGCCCATAAAAATCATATTTGCAATTCTTTGTTATTGAATAGACATTAAATACAATCCAACAAACTTTATGTTATCAAAATATTCAACGATGATAAGTCTGTTTCCAAAGTGGTTAAATTCTGAAAAAGGATGAATTTTATATGATAATAAATAACATTTTTAGTAATATTTGAACAAAAAGCCAAAATATTGTGTAGGCGACTGCATGTACTCATAATAGAATGGAGAAAGTATGTGTTATAAAGGAAATAAGTTGAGTAAAATTAATGATGTGAGTATTCGATAATTTTTGTCTAGTTTTGTACTTATTCCTGAACTTCCTCAATTTTAACAACTCCGAGTCCATCTTTTGCTGTAGAAAGCTGAGCATAGAAGCCTGATCTACCAAGTGCAACAACTTGGGCTTTAACTAAATCTCCAGGCTTAGCAAAATCAGATGCGATAACATTATCTACATCATGTTCTTGTATATCGACTGATCTTAACTCAGCCAATAATGGAGATTGTAAAGGCTCGTCGTTACACGAGAGCAAAACTAAGTGTAATTCTTTTCTCTTAGCTCTAATAACACGAGCAATAACAATATCGTCGATCTTTGGAACAATTGCTCCACGAATGGGAATAAATTCGTCGTTATCCATTTTTCCCCAAACAGTGGTAAATTTGGAGCCATCCTTCTTTACCATAAAGCTTTCATCACGCTTTGAGTTTAAAGGAAGGGTATCACCTGGTAACAAAATAGTCATTTGAATTTTTTTTTTGTCTCACAAAAATACCGACACGAGTTGTGCATTTGAAGACTGTAGTCGACAATCAGATGTTGATTGTTGACTTTGTTCCTCATCTGATGTACAATGCCTTAACAAGTACCTCAGATGAGGAACGAAGACTGCAATCAGATGTTGATTGTCGTCAAAAGACTTAAAAGATCTTTCTTAAGAGCCTTTTAAATCTTTGTTCCTCATCTGATGTACAATGCCTTAACAAGTACCTCAGATGAGGAACGAAGACTGCAATCAGATGTTGATTGTCGTCAAAAGACTTAAAAGATCTTTCTTAAGAGCCTTTTAAATCTTTGTTCCTCATCTGATGTACAATGCCTTAACAAGTACCTCAGATGAGGAACAAAATCAGCAATCAACATCTGATTGTCGACTAAAGTATTCGAAGATAGTTTAGAACAATCTTCGAAGTCTTTGTCTCTCATCTGAGGTACAATACCTTAACAATGACCTCAGATGAGGAACAAAGTTAACAATCAACATCTGATTGAAGAAGAAAGACATTGTAAACTCTCTCAAGCAGCCATTAAAGTCTTTGTGCCTCATCTGAATTACATAATCTCAACAAGTACACCAGATGAGGAATAAAAACCTTAATCAAATTGAAAAATAACTTCATCATAAGTTTCTTGTTATTTGAATATGACTTAGGCAAACTATTTAATCTTTTTAATGGTAGAAAAGTTACATTATTCATAGAATAGTCGTAATTTCCTTTGAGCGCTTCTCTTATTAATGAAAATGGACAAGTTGTCAAAACACAACATTACTAACGTGTGGAAATGCAGAGAATGCTTTCAAAACATATGTATATCATATAAAAAAACAAAATTGCTTTTTGGAGTTATGGTGGTTTAGATTTTTTTAGATGGTTTCATAAGTAACATAAGTATATATTTGATTTTTGTATATATCAGCCTCCATGCATTTGATTTTTTTAGACATTTGAGTAGGTTCAACTTTTAAAATGCGAAATCCATATTGTATACATAGCAGGACATATTGTTGTACATGAAATTTCTCTGCTCAAAAATTGAAAAGATAAATCAAAAAAAAATGACGTCGTCAATGGGAGAAGCATTTCGTTGGTGGAACGGCGTCGTAAGCACTCTTCCCCCACAAAACAGACCACCTAAATGTACTGTTCCACAGGCCACAACCTGTGTTTTTACAAAAATCTTACCGATTTTAGCAAAAAATGTTATTCCAAAAAATTCTGATCAGGAATACTGGAATTCACTTCGAGTATTTGTTGCAACATTCCTTTGCACAGATAATGTCCCAGATCCGCTTACTGAATTTTCTGATTTTCTTGCTTTTCTTTACGATCACAGAAAAATTCTTCGACCGGAAAGTAGTTCTGATTGCCTTCAATTCTTTACTCACATGACTCTTATGTTTAGCCCTCATTCTTTAGTTTACGACGCTCCTTATTTATGTGGTGATCCAAACATTTATTTGCAATCAATATTATATCTTAAAGATACATCTCATCCATTTTGGACGCAGATATTAACAGGAACGTACGAAATTGACACTTTATTTAATATGTATCAGTCATTTCATGTTCCTTCAGGCAATACAAGCGGAAAAGGATCATGGGAGTTCAGACTAAAAGTCGCCGAGATAGTTTACGAGCTTACTCTAGCAAGTTTATGCGGAAATCCAAATGCCGAAGAATATCTTCAAACTTTCAACACAAATACTATAGCAATCATCAAAGAAGCTCCACAGGATGTTGCTTTGTGCATGTCTAGATTGTATATTGGCATGATGAAACGACTCATGTTTACGGTTCAAGAAACAGAGCTAGAAGAGTTCGCTTTCCAGCTTCTCAATGCAGTTGTCAAGAAAGAAATCACATACAACTACGTCATTAGGTTTTTCTTGACAATTCGACCGAAGATTTTGCGAGGATTCAAAATGATCAAAGTTGTTTCAATGGTTGGTGTTAATTCCACCCACGATATCGAGAACTTATGTGATTTAGCCACCGTGGCCGGTCCTGCTCCCGTAATTGTCTGTCTTGGCTGGAATATGTTCCAATCAAAAGTTTGGCATCGCTCCTGCTTCTCAGCCATACTTCAACTGGCCAACCAATACGACTCCGACACAGATCTCCGCGAATGGCTGATCCATTTCATCAAACTGCTCTTCATGTTCGTTTCTTTGACAGTTTTGAGAGGAAAATACGAGCAAAGAGCTGTTTTGATCTGCGAAAGCCTTGCGAGACTAATGCACGGAGGATTGCCGTGGGTCAGAAGAACTGTGATGGTTTCTGCTGCTTCTGCTTGGGCTTCTGGAAGTACTCCGCCTTATTTCGAACAATTTTTTACAATTGTGAGAGAAACTGACCCAAAATACGCTGAAGAGTACAATATGCTGCTAATGATGGATATAGATATGAAGTTCTTCCCATTCGATGGTAACACTTTGAAGTTGGTAAATATTTTACCTCAAAAACAAAAAGTGACAAAACTTGTAAAAATTCCAAAAACATCCACTCGCGCAAAGACACTGAAGGGAGGGACGAAGGCAAAGAAAGGAAAGAAGAAAGGTGGTACAAAGAGTGGAAAGACACTTACAAATGGTGTTGCTGCTCCAAAGAAATTTAGCGGTCCAAAAACTATTGCGTAATTTTATTTATGTTCTTGTTGTTTATGTAAAATGTTTTGATTATATATATATCAATTTTGTTTCTCATTATATATCAATTATAGTTCTATTCTGTTGTAAATACAAGGATACACTGATGCTCATATGACACATCTGTCTTCAATTCAAATTTTTGACAACCGGCGTGAAGCGCCATTGAAAATTAACCATAAATATCTGAATTGAAGGCCCTGTCATAGGGGCGTAAGTGTACCCTTAAAAAATCAACATAAAATGATAAAGGAACAAACAAATCTAGTTAGATAGTATTTTAGTTTAATATATTTTTGGCAGTTGTAAATTTAGGGTTGAATATCTTCTTTTATATAAGTTCATAACAATCGATAAGCAGATTATAATACAATTAAAAATATTAAGGAAATTGCTTAACTTATTTTCTCAAGTTGTGCAAATATCATTTAAGGGTGCACTTACCACTTTCTGACATTCTCTCAATTTTTTTGACACCCAAGCTTTATATCCCAATTTTCTAAGATCAAAAGTTAATATTTTTGATCGGGAAAAAGTAATTATAAATCATTATATAGTACCTAATATGGCTGCTATACTTTTATGCTATTAAAATAAAGATATATCAATTTTTTAAGAGCATGTCAGAAAGTTGTAAGGAGCTCCTTTAAAAGATATTTAAGGAAAAACAACGCATCATATTGCACTGTGAAATTAAATTGAAGATATGGTTGAACTTCTTCTTTCATATAGAACTAGCAATTGATAAACATTTTATCATATTGAACTGTGAAATTATTATAAAGAAATAGTTGGACTTTTTCCTTTATTCTGTGTAAATATCCATATACTAGGAGAAACAGTTCTTCATTAGGCAGAAATAAATTAATCGAATTTCTGTTATCACACTGGTTCAAAAATTTCATTCAGTAAACTTTGATATTGATTCTCTAGGGCTTCCATTTCACTTTCTGGAGTAACATTTATTAGTTTAGCTCTATGATTCTTTTCAGATTTTGTTTCTTCAATTTGGGAATAATTTGGTCTGTCATTAAGGGCAAATTCAGATGATAACTTCGGGTTTATTGTTTTTACAGAATATGAAACTGGAGAAATCAAAAAAGCATTATGATTGATGAGGAAATTTAATATTTTTTGAACTAATTCATTAAAGTCTGATTTTTTGATCAAAATTGCATATTCTTGAGAATTTATTATAATGGGTTCTGAATATTGGAGATTTTGAGTTCGATAAGTGAGATATAATCCAAAATAGCCGGCCATAAGTTCATTTTCTTGACTCTTATATATTACTAAGCCTAAGAATGTTGAATATGCAGCTTGACAACGGCCAAATACTAAAGGGCGTGGAGAATCATATGAATGAATATTTGAACCATTCATTTTCCTCCAGCAAGCAACAAAATCCTCAAATGTTGATCCAGAAGAATCCAAAAATTCTTTTACAATCTGCCTTGCAAAAAAGGTCTGGGAAAATCTTTGCGATTCCAAAAGGAAAAATGAATATATTTAAAGGAATTTACGTTAAATTTCTTCTTTATCCTTGCTGAGAAGCACTTTTGTCATTGGTTCCAATTGTCTAATCATTGATTTATAAATTGCGTAAACTATTCAATTTCAAATATAAAAAATTACTCTTCATTATGTTAGCAACATATTTGCACGTATTTACTGGTTCTAAAAATCAATTTTAAAGAGCATAATGTTTAAAGCAAGGAGGATTCGAAAACCAGGAAGGCTTACATACTCAATATTCTTTCTTTGGTTTTTAGTATATCCTCTAAAGAATCTCTTTCCAACCGAATTAAGAGCTACACTGACACAAAAACCATCAATTTTCTTCGGATTTGTGTCAACAGGAAATTTAAAGCGAGTTAATTTCGTTTATAACAACTGGATCCATAAATTACAATATCCGCATGATTATGCTTTTATTTGCAAAAGGCCAAATAACTCAAATTTAAAATACATCGAACCATACCATAAATATATGGTCTATGCTGGTAGATCATACAGCTGGCCAGAACAAAACAAAGATCGTGCTGCTAGAAGAATGACCGGATTAGAATATTTTTTATATAACACTACAAATGACTATTATTGGTCCCTAACAGATGATGTTCCTATTGATGTCGATAACATGGATAAAATTCTTCGCCATTTACAGAATAATTATCTCCCTTTAAATGAATCAGTATTTATTGGTCATAGTCTTAAAGGATGGTTTATCCAGGGAGGAACTGGATTCTTACTCTCAAGATATGGAGCAAAAATGATCATTGAACACGCTGTTGACTGGGTTAGAGATATTCCATACGAAGATGATAAAGCAACACTTGATTTTAGAATATGGATGGGACTTTCTAAAAGAGATACATACTCCAGTCTGATGTTTGGCGAAGAACCTCGAGTTTTTAATCAATCTGAATTTTGGAAGCAAAAACTACCTCGTTGTCATTCATTCCACAGAAGCAGGTGCAGTGATAATTATAAAATAACCGATCTTCACGCTCTCCACACAAGAAAAATGAATGCATCACTTGCAATGGAAAGATTGAAGCAAGCAAAGAGGGAATCAACAGATCTTTACTTCTACTATTGTTATATGGACCTATATTTATGTAGAGGAGAGAAATATAATCCTAATTTTGATTGTCCTGTAAAAGGACTTTATGTTTAATAATATATTATGTTTTGTATTCTTGTTTTAAAATGTTGTTTTCTATTTATATAATTCTTTACATTAAATCAAAAATTAAATCAAATAACAAGATATCCATACAATTTCGTTTAAAAATTATTAGATCAGTTTTTGAAAGCGTTTAGTGTTCAAGGATACTATTGTAGAGTTAAATGTGTACAAATTTTTTATCATAAATATAGATAATTCAATTCTTTTCAACTCCAGCGAGTTCATTAAAATGGATATATTTCATAGTACCGCAAAAATTCTTTTTTACAAAACTTCATTCAGCAAATTTTAAAATTTACCCACAATTCCGAACTTTTGCAACTCTTTTTCAAAAACAAACACACAGGATGAGTCCTAGAAGCCGAAAATCTTATTTTCATCGACATTGCTATAGCTATTGTGGCTTTTCATATCGATGAACTTAATCAAAATTCAAAAATTAAATTCAAAAACTTCAAGATCATTGTTTTCCACTTGTTTAAGATTAGTTTATCATGCTGATGAATTTAAAAGATATTTCATATTTATATCTTGCCAAACTCATATCTGATGATTATCATATCAAAGAGGTCAACAATGTTGTGCTTATTTCAATCTTTCTGTTCTATAAAGAATACGGAATTAATTTAAACAAATCAGCTGATGTCAAAAAATATAATTTCGACAATCTCGATATTCTCACAGAAAATACAATTTACAGGGCAATCATGCATAATGACTTAGAAAATTTCGTTGCATTTACGGAACGAGATGAGTTTGATAAAGATCAAACACTTCCGTGCGATTTATATCCATCTTCTTACATCGCATTTTCATTACTTGAATTATGCTGTTATCATGGGGCAGTTAATTGTTTCAAGTTTTTAAGAACAAAATTTAATTCTGAAATAACTCGAAAATGTCTACAATTTTCATTTTTATGAGGGAATCCAGAGATCATAAGTGAATGTTTGAAATATCAAAAACCAGCTGATGATTGCATGTTATTTGCAATTATTTCACACAACATTGATTTTGTTACATTCTTGATGAATGAATTTAATATTACAATCGATTTAAAATTTTGCGCAGATTTTAATAATCTTGATTCATTTTTGGTTTATTTCGATCAAACAAATGAAATTAATATTAGCTTTATTTATTCTACGATATTTTCTATATCATCTCTTTCCGAATATTTCCTATTAAATGGTGCAAATATCAATGAAAAAAATATAAATGGAAAAACAGCTCTTCATATCGCAGTAGAATTTAATTATAAAGAAATAGTCGAACTTCTTATTTCACACGGTGCAAATATTAATAAGAAAGATAATAATGGAAGAACCGCTCTTCATATTGCTACACAATATGGTTATAAAGAAATAATCAAACTTCTAATTTCACACGGTGCAAATATTAATGAAAAAGATAAAAATGGAAGAACCGCTCTTCATATTACTACACAATATAATTATAAAGAAATGGCCGAATTTCTTATTTCACATGGTGTAAAAATTAATGAAAAAGATAGATTTGGACAAACCGCTCTTCATGTTGCAGCGGAATTTCATAGTAAAGAAATAGCCGAACTTCTTATTTCAAATGGTTCAAAAATAAATGCAAAAAATATATATGGCAAAACAGCTCTTTATTGTGCAGTTGAATATCATAGTAAGGAAATAGTCGAACTTCTTCTTTCACATGGTGCAATAATCAATGAAAAAGATAAAAATGGAGAAATTGCCCTTCATGCTGCAGCGAGAAATAATAGTAAAGAAATAGCCGAACTTCTTATTTCACATGGTGCAAAAATAAATGAAAAAAATATAAATGGAAAAACAACTCTTCATATTGCAGTAGAACTTAATTATAAAGAAATAGTGGAACTTCTTATTTCACATGATGCAAATATTAATGAGAAAGATATAAATGGAAAAACAGCTCTTCATGCTGCAGCAAGAATTAATAGCAAAGAAATAGTGGAACTTCTTATTTCACATGGTGCAATAAATAACGCTCTTTCAAGGCCGTCAATGAACCCGTATGTAATAACAGATTGATTTTAAATGAATTTTCATAAAATAATATATTCAGCAAAGGCGCTACGCGCATTTTAGCATTCTGGGCACGTAAATGCCCAGAATGAAATATGCAGAAATTTGAAACTTCGTTTCTTGGCCTGGACAATTTTTTATGTGATCTAAAAGCTTTACATAAATATCAGTATGATTTATCGCCAAACATGTATCATTAATTATATAATAAATTTCGTCATGACATAGTCATAATGAATATATAAAAGATAAATCCTAAAATCAATCCATAATGACATCCCATACAATTTAGCTCTTTGAGTCCTTTATTATCATCAGATTTTTATCGTATCTTTACCGAGTGCAGCATGTTTTTTTGATAAGGATGTAGCTCGCACTAGAAACATCTAATTTATATTTACTACGAACTTCTGGCTGTGCTCTTCTTTCTGGTTAATTCAAACTATATTTTTATAAAATATAGGGTGTCCAAAGGTGCGTTTAGCACAGCGCTCTATATGAGACTATTAAAGGAGATATATGCTGATTATAAATATATAATAAAAAATATGAATATATGTATATGATGAGTAAGTTGTATTTTGGCGCCATGCCGGGATATAAAATGAATTTTGAGACAAGAGGCGGTTTCGCGGGAAATTTTGGCGGGATTTTTTTCATTTTTTTAATGAATCATAAAGAAAACATCCTCGCTCTTGCAAAAAAATGCAAAGACTGTAAAAAAATCTACGAGACATTGGTAAAATGCTTCGGTATGGATGCTCCTAGCTATTCCACTGTAACGTATCATGTTAGGATGTATCACTTCATGAACAAAAAGGCGCCCATCATAAAAATTGACAAAAAATCGCCGGATCAAAGAAAAATCAAAGCAATTCTTCAAGCGCTAGATGAAGACCCAAGAGCATCACTCAGAAGGATAGAGGAGATGACAAAGATACCACGTACAACAGTCAGTTATTATCTGCACAATTATTTGAACTACAAACTAGCGTATACACGTTGGGTTCCGCACAACCTTAATTCAGTTCAAAAAAAATCTAGAGTCCAATCTTCGAAAGAGCTCCTCTCTATATTGGGTGCGTATCAATCCAAGAAGTTTCGCTTTTTAGTAACAGGGGACGAGTCTTGGTTTCAATATGCAACAGAAGCCAAAATCATGTGGATCCCGAAGGATGAAAATCTGCAAACATTCCCGAAGAAAAAAATTGACACACCAATGATGATGTTGTCGGTTTTTTGGGGCGTGAATGGCATCATCGCAATTGATATTCTTCAAAAACCTAATACGATGAATGCTCAGTATCTAATTGACAATGTTCTTACTCAAATTATCAATTCTGATGAGTTTGAGAAATCCAAACAACAAAAACAAAAGTTTGCAATTCATTTTGATAATTCAAGAGTTCACAAAAGTCATAAGGTAATGAATTACTTGGTGGAAAACAATGTCAAAGTTGTTCCAAACCCAATTTATTCACCTGATATTGCACCCTCTGACTTTTATTTATTCGGCACGCTAAAAAAGAGAGCTGAAGGACGCGAATTCGCGAGTCCAGATGATCTTGAAAATTTTGTAAGAGAGCAATTTGAGCAATTTTCTCATGATGATTTAAAGCGTGTCTTTCAAGCCTGGATCGATCGCTGCGAACGCGTGATTGAATCCAATGGTGATTATATTTAAATAAACTTTATATATATGTAACTTGTTTATTTCTATTCGCAGTATTCAGGTTTGTGCTAAACACACCTTTGGACACCCTATATTAATTATGATAATTTTCATTCCCAAAATTGTGATAGTGCTATAATTATAAACAACAGTTCTAAGTATTATTTTTACAGAGTTTGTGAGTTCTAAGGCTCGTGGAAAGCAGAATAGGCACAGAATATTTTAATTCTCTTGAAATAATTGTGAAAGTAAAAATAAGTCACTTTAAATCTCTGATTTTCACATTCAGATGTTATATATTTATAAAAATAACAAGAAGTCACGTGTTCAAAGGAGAGGAGAAGTCAACCACTCTATGGCTGAGTCGTCATCAGTTTACCCAAGGATGAGCCAACGCTCAAAATTGGATTTCTTTAACCAAGAAGCTCTAAAAATTCGATTCAACATGAAGTCGATAACGATAATTCTCATTTTAGAATTCAATTTTTGAATAGAACTGAAATGAATTTTTTTATTTTATTATTATTTTTTTGGACTTGAAAGAAAACCATTCATAAAGATTTTAGATAATTTTTTACATTATCTTTTGCAAGATCCATTGCTGTTTGTCCATTATTATTCTTTGCTTCTTTATCAGCTCCATTAGAGATAAGATATTTAACAACTTCAAGATGACCATTCTTTGATGCAGAAATGAGTGGAGTATCTCCATCATTATCCTTTGCTTCTTTATCAGCTCCATTAGAGATAAGATATTTAACAGCTTCAAGATGACCATTTATTGATGCACAAATGAGTGGAGTATCTCCATTAATATTCTTTGCTTCTTTATCAGCTCCATTAGAGATAAGATATTTAACAGCTTCAAGATGACCATACTGATGCAAATGAGTGGAGTAGATCCAAGACTATTATCCTTTGATTCTTTATCAGCTCCATTAGAGATAAGATATTTAACAGCTTCAAGATGACCATTTATTGATGCACAAATGAGTGGAGTATCTCCAAGATTATTCTTTGCTTCTTTATCAGCTCCATTAGAGATAAGATATTTAACAGCTTCAAGATGACCATTCTTTGATGCAGAAATGAGTGGAGTATCTCCATCATTATCCTTTGCTTCTTTATCAGCTCCATTAGAGATAAGATATTTAACAACTTCAAGATGACCATTCTTTGATGCAGAAATGAGTGGAGTATCTCCATCATTATCCTTTGCTTCTTTATCAGCTCCATTAGAGATAAGATATTTAACAGCTTCAAGATGACCATTTATTGATGCACAAATGAGTGGAGTATCTCCATTAATATTCTTTGCTTCTTTATCAGCTCCATTAGAGATAAGATATTTAACAGCTTCAAGATGACCATAACATGATGCATAAATGAGTGGAGTAGATCCAAGACTATTATCCTTTGATTCTTTATCAGCTCCATTAGAGATAAGATATTTAACAACTTCAAGATGACCATAACATGATGCATAAATGAGTGGAGTAGATCCAAGACTATTATCCTTTGATTCTTTATCAGCTCCATTAGAGATAAGATATTTAACAGCTTCAAGATGACCATTTATTGATGCATAAATGAGTGGAGTATATCCATATTATTCCTTTGATTCTTTATCAGCTCCATTAGAGATAAGATATTTAACAACTTCAAGATGACCATTTAAGATGATAAATGAGCGGAGTCTGATTATTTTTGTTTTTAACTTCTTTATCGCAGCCATGCTCAATCAGAGATTTAACGAGTGTAAGATTTCCTTTTTCACATGATTCGAATAAGATATTATTACGAATTTCATCATCATTTTTATTTAGAATGTCTTCACATACTGTTTCAAATAAAGTTTGATCAACTTTTCTTGAAAGATCATCAAGATATTTGTAAACGCCTTGATAATCGCTTGGAATAAAATAACGAGTATGATCGTATTTGTTATTTCTTGATCTAAGTAATGAATCATGAAGAGATTTGATAATATTGAAATAGTTGTTTTCATCACTAATGACAAGATTTTTATTGATGACTTGTTCACTGCAAAGGTCGAAATGAATGTATTCAACGAGTGGTGAGAAAATTTCACTTTCGTTAATGAGAGAGAATATGAAATTTGCTATCGAATCCTCATCTTTGATTAATAGTTTATCATTATTAAAAATACTTTGAATGATATTAAATCCGAGTTTCTTCGAAATTGATTTTAGATCATCTTGATCAATCTCGTAGAAATGAGAAGAAATGAAATCAACACATTCTGATATTTTACTCTCAGAACAAATATCAAAATAAATCTCGAGTAATTGAACACAGTTATTTTTATCGAGAACCATTTTGTCGAGATCCTGTGTTTTATATGGATCAATCAGTTCTTGTATTCCGAGTTTATTTCCGATGTAGAAAAGATCTTTCGATATTGTATCATTGCATTCAAATTCTGTTTTATTATATTGTAATATCTCTTTCAACACTTCATATGTTTCTTGTGATTCTACTTTCGTTTTGAGATCGATCTTTAGTGTGTTGTTATCTAATACATAAGTATTGTAAATCATTTGAGAAATTGCAACAGCGAAATATTTATTTATTTGTATTTCTACATTGTTTACAGTTAATATAACGCTTTCATTCATTTTGAAACCATGAACCCGTTCCAACATATGATTCTTTAGTTGGATTATTACCATTTTTGTTTTTGTTTTATTCAAAAAAATTGTTGGAATATTTATGGGTCCCGGCCAGGCCAAATAGAACCTATCGTCGTTCCAAAAATAGTGGTCGAGATGGTGTTTTACTAAGACGAAAACGAAGAATTTAATTGTTAAAATTAACATCATATTCCTTGAATTCCAAAATGATAATTATTCGTTATCATCAAAGGTAACTAAACTACTTTCGCCGATCCGATTTGCTCCATATTTAAAATATAGCTTGCATATGTAGAAGAAAAGCTAATTTTGAAGTACGCCCGAAATCCACCAACAGGATTTCGAGCTACTAAAAAGATACTTTTAAATGTGATTTTTTTTATAAAAAATTAAATTTATTTTAAGATCAGACTAAAAACCAATTTTATGGAAAATCTATATCGACAAATTTATTACTTATTGGGTATATAGATTTTTTGATTATGGCGATTATGTCTGATATGCTTCCAATAAGCCAAAACACATTTCATACTGATTTCTATAAAAGGTATCTTTATTATAGAAGTGTAAGCTATATCTGTTTGTTTTTTTATTACAACAAATTCAAAATTCTCTTATAAGGACTAGATGAAATCTGTATTATTAAATCATTAGCTAAATGAAGGTTCAAATAGAAAGTAAATATCAATTTATATGATACTGAAACCAAATAGTTCTTTTAATAAAAGATAACACGCTGAAAATTATTGAGTATTTGCAAATCTCAAAAATCTATTGGTGAATTTGGCTCAACTTTTAAAATTATAACATCCATATCAAATCATAAAAGCAGACAAAATTAAAGCCAAACCTATCGGCCAATTTTTTTTGATATTTTGATTTTTGAGGTATACTTTTAAAAGTGGATTTAAAGCACTTATGAAAAAACATTAACTTCTGTCGTTATAATTATTGATTTAGACAATAATGATTTTAATCTTTGATTATCAAAACACTAAAGTCATCTTTTTAACATTTGCTTGGTAGCATTAACTCAAGTCTAAAGTACTATTTTATGTGGCACTCTTAGAATTTTTGTATTCATTGTACACGCTGAAATAGTACCATTAAAGTTATGGCGGACTTTCAAAAAATAGTTTGGTCACCTTTTTATCATCAAAATTATCGGGACCGATAATTTTCTCGCTTGAGCTAAAAAGAGATAATTTGCTCGAAAGCCACCCTTAAGGCTGCACATAAAGCCCAATTGGGTTTAATTCAATATTTTTATATATAAAGTTAAAAATTTTTAACCCCTGATGAACCCGGTCTACGTATTTTCTTGACTACAAGAAAATTTTGTCATGACTACATTTTTATAAAAGATGGAAGAGCTAAACGTCGATGAGATTATTCATAATATCCAAAACGCCATTCCTATTAGCCAAGACCAGATCATTAGCCTAATAAAGAAATCTATGGACATTATTTTGGCAGAAAGTAACTTATTAGAACTTAAGTCTCCAATCATTTTCTGCGGTGATATTCATGGCCAGCTAGAAGATCTTTTTGAATTATTCAGAGTAGCAGGAGGTGAAGAAAACAACCAATTTCTTTTTATGGGCGATTACGTTGACCGAGGTTATTATTCAATTGACACAATATGCTACTTGTTAGCTTGGAAGATTAAAACAGGCAGAATTTATCTTCTTAGAGGCAACCACGAAGATAAAAACATTAATTCAGTTTATGGCTTTTTTGATGAATGCCAGAAGCACTTCTTTGGAAATCAGATATATGAGATGTTTAATATGTTATTTAATTGCTTACCTCTTGCAGCTTTAACTGATGGAAAAGTTTTAAGTATCCACGGTGGATTGTCGCCCGAGCTTGTTTACATCAGAAAAATTAATACAATAGATCGAGTCTGCGATATACCAAAAACCGGATGAATGGCCGACATTACTTGGAGCGACCCATCAGATATAGAAAATTTCAAAGGATACGAAAAATCATTCAGAGGTCAAGGTTATATTTTTGGTCAAGATATGGTAGAAAAGTTTGTCGAAGATAACAATTTAGATTTTATCACAAGATCCCATCAATTGGTTAATGAAGGAATTAAATGGTATTATGACAATAAGCTTGTTAATGTATGGTCGGCTCCAAACTATGGATATGTTAGTAATAATAAGGCAGCAATTTTAAAGTATGGATATACTGGCCCTGGAAGCAAAGAAGAAATCATTTTTGAAGCTGTACCTCAAGAAAGACGTAGACCTGCACAGACAGGTACACCACCATTATATTTTTCTTAATTATTTTTCTTAATTCGATATATAAATGATAATGTTTCTATAATAATAAATACCTATCTCATGTAATTGAAAGTTACTGCTGTTAACATGAAACAAAAGTTGTTCATTGAAAATATCCAGCAGATTATATTTTATTATTATATACGGTGACATATTGGATTAGAACATTAACCATCCAAAACCATGTGAATTTGTTAAAGATTCATCGAAATAATTCGAATGATTATTATAATATGAGAAAATCACTTTAGGTGAATAACCAAAGTACAATAGAAATGAAGTAACTTAATAAAAAATTATAAATAAAGATACATATATTTACAAATAGAGAGAAAAAGAATAAATAACAAAAATTAATCAGAAATTAAATGTATTTTTCAAATATTCCGCTACCAAATACGTCACTGAAGGACATCCTTTCATAAGGATTCATAGAAAGGCATCCAAGGATGACGCTCTTGGTCAATTCATCAAGACATTGAAATTCAGCGCAATCAACGTTAACCTGGAATTTTAAGTATTCAGTGATATAGTCATTTGATTCGCTATCATAGAATTCTTCACTAAGTAAAGCATATTTCTGAGTCAACAATTGGTAAAGCAATACGCCCCATGAGAAGATATCAGACTTGTAAGAAGCTTTATAGTAAAGTATTACTTCTGGTGCAGCGTAAAGTGGAGTGCATATTGTTTTGTTTTTATCAATATCTTGGAGTTCGTTTGAATTGTCAACTTTAGAAGCATTGCCAATATCTGTAAATTGAGGAATCATATTATCGCCCATGAGAATGTTTCTTGGGTTGCAATCCAACCAAATGTAACCATGACTGTAAAGCTGATACAACCCGCAGAGTATATGTTTTGCGATGTGCAAAGCATCTCTAATAGAAATTCCTTCGTTAATTAATGTTTCGAGATTGTAAGGGAAAAACTTCATTGTTAAGCCGAATGAATCGTTTATGTACAAGACATCATATGATGGAATGATATAGCAGATTTCTTCCTTTGAAAGTTCGTCATATATTGTTTTTTGAGTTTCGAGTGTTATTTGGTCTGGTTTTTTTAATATTTTAATAGCATTGTCTTCATCGATGCGATATACAGATCCCTCAGAGCCATTGCCAATGAAGGAAAAGTCGTCAATGTATGCTTCAAAGTCCATTTTAGAATAAGTATATTTCAATTATATTCAAAGCATTCACAATATTTTGAATATATTTGTAGCAAATTTTCAGAGGTGATGGTTTGATTCTTCATTGGAAAATTTATCCAGATTCGCAATTGGAAAAAATTGACCATTTTAATCATATTAGCAATTTTCAGAATAACTTTTAATAATGTGAACATGTTTCTAATAGAAGTCAGAAAGAGAGAGGGTCAAAGTTGCTATTTGTCACTTTTCCACAAGAATATAATGGGGAAAAAGTTATCATATAGTTGATCTCATTCACTGAGGTGAGAGATGCATGTAGTGTAATTTGATAAACAGTGGGATTGCTGCTCTAAGTCCTAGGTTCGAGACACATTGGCTTCATTTTTCTCTTTTTTATTGACGTAAACTATTCAATTTTTGTGTTCTCCATTCAAATTTCAGAATTTTTTTTGCAGATTTCACGCTACATTCGAAGTTACCTTTTGTAACAACCACCACTGCCTACGAAAGACGAAAGTGTGTCACGATTTCACCCGGAAATCCGACGGTTGTTTAAGAGTATGCACTTTTGTCACCTACTCAAGTCAGAAATCTTGCGAATTCGCAATTTACCAAACTCCAAATTCTCATTAAAACAGTGAGTTTATTGTTATATTTCATGAATCGAGTCACCACACAAAAAATGAACTAAAAACTAGTGATATTTATTTTGGTAAATTTATTAAATTATTGATATAGGTTTATTCGCATTTTCAGGATTATGAATCTGCTTGTATATATTAATGAATCTCCGTAGAGATAAGACAGCATTTCTACCAGCTTCACTATTAAAAATATGAAGAACATTTTTGGAATCCATAAGATCCATTGAAAATTTCCAATGAATTGAATATTGAGTAACACCTATTGGCCATACATTATTTCCAATGGCTAAATCATTGTATGCACCGTAGGCTTTACTAAAATCTGTTTTCTTCAATGCATCAACGATTCTTTCAATATTAACTGTTAATTCTGTGCTTAATGTTCTATTGTTTAGACCATCAAACACTGGCTGTAATGCAAATAAACAATACCACATATTGCATAACTCATCTCTTTTCTGAGCTAGTTCTTCATCTGGAAGTTCATTCAATCTATAACGCCATTCTTTGAATATTCCTTTCAAGAACTTTACGCGATGATCATCATTTTCTTGTTCTTCGTAAACTTCTGGTCCTGCAAGATCAATTCTAAGATCTTTTGATTCTTCGAACTGTCTTTGGAATCTTGTAACGACTAATGACCAGCTATCTGTTAATTGCTTATTAATTTTTTCATCAATTTCGGCATCATTTTCAACTGCGATAACTTCTTGGGCTTTTTTAAATTCAAGAACCTTTTGCCTCTTTTCAAATTCTTCTTGTTCCTTTAATTCTCGATTCTTTTGTTCAATACTTTGTTGCTGGATATTAGATACGAATTTGCCATGTGTTTCATTCATGGTTTTCTCTATATTTTTTCTGTTTCGATCTGCAAGAGCTTTTAGTCGTGAATTCAAAATGGTGTTCCAAAAAGTGACATTTTTTAAATATTGCTCAAAATTCATGAAATAAGCATTATTACACAATAATTATGACTTAAATCAGGCCAAATCATCATTTTTATTCTAAAAGGGACTGCACCTTCGTCCAAAAGATTCCCCATTTTGATGTTTGTTAGACACAAAACAAACGGTTTGACAGAGCCATAATAGGTTAAAGTATGTATCTTTAAACGCGCTGATGAAATCTTTCTTTCCCCGTCTGAATTTGATGACTAAAGATTTCTGAGCGCACCAATTTTAAAATATACTAACACACAGAATTTAATTAGATATCAAACTTCATTTTAAAAAATTTTAACCAAATTATTAAAGATCTACTAGTTCATTAGTAACCCAGTGAAATTCAAATTACTAAAACTTTCTTCTTTACATATATTTTTTTATGAATATTTTATTCTAAAAATACACTACAATCTTCTGACTAAATTATTTACTTTCACATGGAAAACATTTAAGTCAATGATATCTTTTCATTTTGAATAATGTTTTCTTTGATATGGATTTTGATTTTTTTTCCTTAATTGCTATTTGTAATTAAAAAACAAATACATTTCAAATCGAAGATAAATCTGTAAAATTTATTATAAACGAAGCAATTTACTCCTTACCAGCCTTCTTTGGACGGATGGACTTGCAATGGCCGCATTGTTTGTGGCGGCATTGTTGAGCACGCTCGGAAAGGCGGGCATAGCACTTGCGGCAGACAGAACGCTTAACGTTTGTCTTTTCGGCAAGAATACGAAGAGATGGCTCATAAGCTTCCTTGCCACCACCACGAAGACGAAGAACGAGGTGGAGTGTAGAATCCTTCTGGATGGAGTAATCCTGGAGTGTGTTGCCATCTTCGAGTTGCTTGCCGGCGAAAATGAGACGCTGCTGGTCCGGTGGGATACCTTCCTTGTCCTGGATCTTAGCCTTGACGTCCTCGATACGGTCTGTTGGCTCAACTTCGAGGGTAATGTGCTTGCCGGTCAGAGTCTTAACGAAGATCTGCATTGCAAAAGGCTTGACCAAAACGATAAAAACCGTCTTAGAACTATCTTTTTGTAAATTTTGGAGTTTTAATGATAAAAATAGACACCTTATATGATAACTCATTGAATTATTAATTGCATTACGGAATTAATTTTAATCTCGAAAGCAATTCTTTTTGCAAAGTATGATTTGTGAGATATCCCATTCAGCAATTTATAGTATGAAGAATAAGTATTTGTGTTGTTCAAGAAATCTGATCATGTTTCGATTTCAGATGAACAAAATTTAAACAGTAAAACTTTAAATGCTTTTAAAAAGAATAGCTTTTGATAGAAATTATTTTTAAACAAACAATATATTTTGCATTAAACGTAAAACTTATTGAAATATATAATGAAATAACAGTGGTAATTCTGCTTGCTAATCATAAAGTATCTTTGTGAATAGTAGCATTCAATTTTCCAATGTCGAAAAGTTCCTAATATCAAAAGAAAGTTCTGAAATGATATTAGATTCCGTTTCCTTGCAAGTAATCTGCAAGAACTGTAACGATTTTCAGTAGTAATCCTGCATCAATAGTTCCATCCGTATATGCAGCTACGAAAGCCGAATTTGTGCGATGTAGGGCTATTGCATTCTTCCCGTGAATGGCTAAGACTTTCATCGAAGACATCATGTTAACAAAATATTTAACGTCATTTGCAAAAAGAAGAGGATGGTGTTCAGCGTCATTTGCAAAGAAATATGTGTAAGAATGGTTTTCTTCGGGTAAGGATGGCCAAGAGCCTTCTGTAGCATACGTTATTCCATTGAGTCCAATTATAGCACATCCCGTGCAGAAGTCTTTGATGCATTCCAATTGTGATTGCCAACTCATATTCAAATGAAAACTGACAAATAAAAAGGTGTCAAAATCGAGTCAGATTTTATGATAAATTATTATTCACATTGTTGAGATATGAAAAATTTTGGAGAACATTCAATTTGTAAATTCTAAAAAAGTGTCAACATGCTGCGCGAAAGGAGAAAGTGGTTTCATGTTAAACGGCTATTATTAAGACATCCATCACTCATATTTTCGTTTATTTTAGGCATTAGTTGCTTAATTTACGGGATTGCATCACTTGCTTATGCAAAAAATTTTGCTCGTGTAAGAGATTTGACGAAAAAGAATAAATGGCTTGAAATTACAATCCCATCAACCAAAAAATCTCCTGATAGTGCAAAATTTATTTACAAAAAACTAAAAAGAGATGAAGATAACTGCATTGATAGAAAATTTTATCATCACGAAGTTCGCCGCATATTTGATTACGAATCATCGAAAGATGACTATGATTCAAAGCGAATGCTGATAATTGGATCACACACATCCATCGGAGCAGCGCTTGTTCGCAAATATCAAAGGAAAAACATCCCGTATACGGCTGTTAAGAGCATCATTGATTTTGATATATATGGGCATAGTAGCGACGACTATTTTGCAAACCTATCATTCAAAAGCGCCTTCATTGTTTATCAACCTGAGATTAAACGTCATTCAGTAGTAAATCAGAAATTAGAAATGGTCAAAGCAGTTCACAAATACTTCGATTCTTTACTCCAATACTTAATGAACAAAGGAATTCCTTTTGTTATCGCATTACCTCAAGCAAACTCTCCGCAAATACTCAAAGTTGTCATGCAATATGGTGGATTATACGTTGATGTACCTTATACAGTTGATAGCAAAGCTGTTGATGATTTAGATAATCCATTAATGCGAGCAGCAAGAGAATGTGATGCAGTTGGCCACACAAAGGTATTTATCAAAAAAGGATCAGAAGTACATAGCATGGATGCAGATATTGCTGCAAAATTTTTGAGAAAACAGATGAAAGAAGGAAAACAAGGCCATTTCTCAATTCATGGTGCAACAAATATCTCTATGAAGGAAGCTATTCTTACTGTTGTTCCTCAAACGTGTAATGTAACTTTTCTCGAATATCCAATGGTAAATGAAACTTCTCCGCTTTCAGAACAGACTGCATTAGTAGGAGATCCGAACGCTGATGTCAAGGAAATGCTTAAAGAAGAATTTAAACACTTCCAAAACGTTTGGGATAAAAAACCATACCTTTCCTTAGTCGTAGTTGGCCGAAACGATAATTTTAGTAACGGTTTCCTAGCGCGTACGAACAATTTCGTCAAAGCTCTTGAATATAATTTACTTGCAGGGCCATTAGCGAATTTTGAAGTTGTTTTCGTAGATTACGCGCCACCAGGAAACAAGCCAAAGCTTCAAGATGTTGTCGATATACCTATTGCCCTTCAAAACAGGTTCAGATTCATAACAGTTCCTGTATTAACTCATTATCATCTGGCCAGAAAGCTCAATACTACAATGCAATTCCTGGAATATATCGCTAAGAATATAGGAATCAGGAGAGCATCAGGAAAAATGATTGCTGCTTTAAATCCAGATGATATTATTTCTCCAGAGATATTTGAAGCGGCCGCTGGTAAGCAATTCAACAGAGGAACTTTATATAGAGTGTTCAGATGGGATCTAAGAGAGAATTGGGAAAGTAATTTAACAATAGATGAAATTATGCCGAAAATGGGATCTCAATCCGACGTTAGAACGATTCCGAACATAAAAGAAAGGTGTGGAACCCTTGTTGTCCATACCCAAATCATTGATGATCAACCTTCATTCAAAGAATACGCAATTCTCTGCGGATCCGGTGATTTTATAATGCTTTCTAAGGATCTCTGGGGTGCGATCGGTGGTTTCCATGAATATCCTGGCAATCCAAACGTTGATGCTGCATTTAATGGAAAAATGATGCGTTTGCTAAACGGATACGTATCATATACACTTGATGCACCACTTCTGCACCAACATCATATTAGAAAGAACGTTCAAAGACCTTGTATGCAAGATCATGAGCAAATTATCAATGATTACATATGTAATGGCTCATCCCCACTACTTGTTAACTATCCTGATATGCCTGATTGGGGTCTTGCTAACGAACAATTTGAAGAAGTTAGAAGATAAGTAATTTTCATATAATATTTTTATTTTGTGTTATTATATAAAATCTTGTATGTTATATCTATACAAATTTCCTGCTTGGTTTATCTGAAACAGCAAATATCAAATGGATAATTTAACAAAATACTTTTTTATCGTGTATATCTATGAATCATAATTATCTTTATTAATGTGCCGATTTACAGAACAACTAAATGCGAAATATTTAAATCAATCAAAAATGTTTTCAAATAAATTATTTGAATCCTATATTTAATGACTCAAAATAATTAGCATAGAGTTCTATGTTCTCATAAAAAAGTTGGATTGCCAAAAAATCATGGTATTTAATTATAAAAAATCAAACAGACATTTATATTATTATTGAGTAAGTAAAAAGTGCTGATCTAACTCAAAGGATATGTTGGCATCTCCTTTTTGATTTTTGATGAAATTAGCAACATCATCTTGTAAATCTTTTCGACTTAATATATACTGGGCAAGAGCAGTGGCTCCTATGAGAAACAGGTTATTGGTTGCTTCATTTTCGAACTGTTGCTGTTGATTGACTTCATGAAAATCGTAATACATGTTTGTCATTGCCATTTTCTTATTTCTTTTGGATGGCTGTTTTTCAGAATTCTTTTCGTAGTGCCAATTTGGATTTTCTCGACGAAACTGTTCTCGAATTTCATTAGCTTTTTCAATATAAGGTCGTTTTTGCTCTTCTGTCATCGCACCCCACTGTTGACCTATCAATTTTGATACTTCGTTACCTCCTAAAAGCGGGTGTTCGGCTTTTGCTTTAGGTTGCATTTCAATATAGTACAAATTGTACGCATTCGGAGGTCTTTTTGGTTTGGGAGGTGAGTTTTGCTGCTGGATTTGTACCGGCATTAGAGAACGCATCGGCTCTTCCAATGTCGGAGGATCAAAATCCATTTTTTTATGACTTTGATATGAAATAAATAAATAAATAAATAAAAAAAAAAAACGAGGATAGGTTTCCACCATATCCTTCTTGAAATAAGTCTGGGTATTTCGATATACATATGTCCACATTCTTAATTTATCAAGTATATGTTGTTCGTGTATCTTTTTCCTCCGATTTTTGGAAGATATGCTGTGAATTGATTAGAAAATTTAGTAACAGAGGTACACTCACTTATGAATAGTAGATGTACTAAACATCATCAAATCACTAGGGAAACCAAATTTTCTGCTCATTCAAAAAATAAAAATCAAAAAATAAAAATTATTATCATAGTAAACATATTTTATTACATTTGGGAACATTTACTAGTACTTTTAATTAAAGATTTGATAATTTTTTCTATCGCTTTGTAGTTTTCTTCGACCATCGACATGTAACAACATGAAGTTTTTTAAAACCATATTTTTCTAACATAAATTCGCCAACCCATTTATACTCACCTGTTTTATAATCTATTGTTACGGTAGGTCTAAATGTTCCGACTGCTGGTGTCCCAATTTCTATAAATGTGAAATCTTCTGTGAATTTTGTGTATTTTGCAAATTCTTTAATCAAATCAATGATTTTTTGATCTGCCTGATGTAACTCAGCGTAATCTGAGAAGATTCCTTCAAATATGCAGCCTACTTTATTAATAAATGAATAATCTATTCCATCAAAATGATTATGATCATAACGAAATAGAAAGTCTCTCATGCCAAACTTACCTAAAGGAGTAACATCTTCGTCACTTAATGTATAGAATCTGTTATATAACAATAAATCTTGGAAATCAATCAGCTTTCTACCTTGAAAAACTTGATGACGTGAGAAATCTTTTGTCTCATTTCGAAAATATTCTATGATTTCCTTGTTGATAGTGATATTAATTGTCTGATATGGCTTATAATATTTCTCCCAGAAATAGTTAATCTTTATCCATTTTGGAAACTTTTTTGGAATTCCTGGAAACTTGATTAGTTTGGTTCCATATATGCACAACTTGATATAGTGGTATATGTTGTAATAAGATATGAAAATCATGAAAAAAGTTTGCAACAATACGCCGAGAATTTTAAGAATAACTTTAGTTATCTTCATTTGTAATGTAAATTAAAATTTTGGTTAAGGGTGCACTTACGCCCGTATGGTATTAATTTTCAATTATACTTCACGCCTGTGATTGAAAATTTCGGGAAAAAGGAAGAAACTTCAAAAATTCTCGGATATTCAAAAATATGATTAGAGCTGTCCCTACAGGAATCCAGAGTAGATTGTTGTGAGAACTATGCGGTGAAAAATACTTAAGAAATTTCGAAATAGAAAATGTACCAAATTAATTTCGTTTCGTCCAAGTCTATATCTGATTTTGCTCAATCTTAATGTTGTGCATTCAATTTATTATCAGAATACATATCTTTAAGCATCAAATAAAATCGAATATAAATTTTGATAATATCATCTTCAAAATGCTATTCCAATTTTCTTCATTACTTAATCTATCAATTTGTCTCTATGTGTTTGATATCTATCCATCATCAAAATCAAAAAAATCATCGTCTTGAAAATTTGGAACCAACTTGCAAATGTTCTTTAATGCCACAACCATGAGAATCTAATTATCATGTTTAATTGATGATTGCAAAAATAGAGGATGCAATTTTGAATGAAAACTAACGCTGTCATTGATTTTTTAACGATGGATTTCACAATGAATTCAATTCAATAGGTTAGATATTCTCATAGCCATACGAATAACAATCACATATATCACTATGGATAACATCGGTTATATCATTTAGAAATTAGAAACCTTTTGAATCAATGGCATTCAATTTTATAAGAATTCAAAGTCAATAATTGATAAGATTTTTATCGTCAAAACCGTAAAATTCTGAAGTATTAAGAATTAATTTGCAAGAAATATAAAAATTATGGCTATTTGCATGCAATCAACTCTCTACCAAAATATCAGTAAGCCTTTGGCTCTTCCAAGTATCTTATCTCTTCCTTTCCCAACATATCATTCTCCACTTGAAATCAATTTGAATCCAATTTTTGAACATCTATCCGATGATGAAACATCCATGAAGAATGATGAAGAACATCCTCAAAAAGTTTACACAAAAGGATCATGGTCACAGGAAGAGGACAACTTGTTAAAGAAAGCTGTTCAAAGCCAATCACCAATTTTATGGGATTTAGTTGCAGAGAAAGTTCCAGGAAGAACACCAATACAGTGCAAGGAAAGATGGCTCTATAGACTGCATCCTGAAGTCAAAAAGACACGGTTTGAAAAGTGGGAAGATGAATTGATTATTTCTGAAAGAAAGAAGCATGGAAACCATTGGACACTTATCGCAACAAAGCTCCCTGGTCGTACATCATGCGCAGTGAAGAATCGTTGGTATTCAGTGCTTAGGAATAAGAATCCTATTTCTGAATAATCTTATTAAATGTTAGATATTATAGAGTATCGTTTTGATTATCTATTCTTTTGTATTTAAACTGTTTGTTTTATATGTTCATAATTTTAGAAAATATTTTGAAATTAATATTAACATATGCATTTAGACAAGCAAACACCAGATCTTACTGAAATATATGTGATCTAAATTAAAATGATTCGAATCTATGGAGTGATGGAGAGATTTTAAATTGTCAATATCGAATTTTAATGTGAAACTTGGTGTAATCGCATCAAAAATAACTATACATCATGAATATTCTAATTATGGTCAAACTCTTTTTATAATTTTTGAAATTTATTTTGAATTCAAGTTAAATTTCAATAGAATTAGAAAAAATAAAACTAAAAATAGTTAACCAATATACCAATTATGGTTTATAATTCCTCGTTAATATTAACTTCTTCATCATCAGAGTATTCTTCATCTTCAGGCATTTCAGGCATTGGCGGCATCTTCTTTGTGAGTTCGTTAATATAATTTTCGAGTAATTCTCTGTCCTTTCCGCCGTATTGGTTGAGATTCTTGGAATAGATACGGATAAGACTCCATCCATCCTCATTCTCCATCTTTGGTGCTTCAATATTCAATTCTGGAAGGTTTTCGGCCAAAAATCTGATGAAACCGTTTCTATTTAATATATCAAGCATTGGAACTGACTTATTCTTACCAGCAATGAACAATTCGACATGAGGAACTCTTAAAAGACGTGGCATTGATTCGGCAGCGTTTGTCAAAATGTTGAAGAAACCGAATTTAATTTTATCTGTTCCATTCTTATTAAATTCGTTTGCAATCTCTTCAAAGACATCAGAGAAACCATCCATTTTATTGCCATTGATGAACATGATGCAAGAACTCTTTTCATTATCCGAAATGAACTCATCAAAGTTCTTTCCGACCACTTTGACGAAGTTTGGATTCTCCTGGGTCTGTGGGATATCTTCTGACAACAACATCTTCTTGACTGTTCCGTTCAAGATTCCATTCAAAAGATCAACCACTTTTTCTGTCCATTCTGGACCGATTGTGATGTTCTGGAGGAATCCTGTTGAATAGTAGTAGCCTTGCTCGAAGTTAAAAATGGCTAATGCTGGGAATTTTTCGGGAATATAATCTATCATTCGATAAGCATAGTTCATTTGTTGATCTGTGATGATGCCGACCTTGACTTCAGGGAATTTCGTGGAAATTTCGAACAATGCGTCACTTATTTCTTGATTTTCGACCATATCTGGGTTCATTAAGCCGACAACGATTGTTTCTGGGTCTGCAAAGTCTTCGTCACTGAAAATAGCATAATATGGAATTGATGCATTCAAAAGTGACTCTGTTGAATTCTCAATTGGCGCAATAACTAAATCATCTCTTCTGAATATAGCAAATGGGTAGTCAGCAGCACCAATAGTCTCAAACATCTTTGTAGAACCAAGAATTATACCACATGTTCCGAGTTGTGGTAAGCTTATTTCTAAAAGATACATTGCATCGTCAATATTGTTAGCGCGTGCGATGATTGTGTAGTCAAGGTTAGTAAGATACTTGTTGCAATCTTCTGGTGATTCTAACATATCCATTGGTCCGTAGAAAATTGAATCAAGTTGTTTAAGAATGTAAGTTTCCTGGCTAGGTAGCTCGAATGAGGTAAACACCTGACCGTTACTGATACACATTACAATTGGAAGCTGTCCTTCAAAGCTTTCCATTATCTCTTGGATTTCTGATGGATATGTGTAGCCAATTACAATATCCTTAGAAACCAGACTGCCTGCTGATGCAAATGATGCTAAAGCTCCATAAGTATTGTCTGGGTCATTTGGATTTACAACTAATAACGCAAAATTAGGGATATTTGCGGAATAATTATTGATAGTTTCGTTATCCCAAAACTGAATAGCAATGCGCTCGGTATCCGAATAAGGTAGATATATTGAGAGACCTAATGAAATGAGGAAGGAAAACATTTCTGACAGAAATGTGACACAATTGTTGTCAATCTGACAAAAAAAATTAGAAAAAGTTTAGAGAAAGAAACTTCCTACCACAGCTCCAGCCACGGCTTTCCACCATCCACCAGAACGTTTATTAATTATGATTGGTTCGTTTTTGATAAAATTAACCTTTCTTGTACCTGAAATTTCTTGAAACTCTCCAAAACTTGGTTCACCATCTGGGCTAATCTTGACGATACGTTTGAAAGAGGCAGTAATCTGATTAAATCCTCCTTCAACAATTTCTACCCAGTTTTTCTCTGTTATTTCTTCATTTGTCTTTGTTTCTCCGACGAGAACTTTGTTTTCTTTTGCAATTGACCAGTTGCCTTCCTTCCTTTCATTAGTCCTAAAGTAAAATTTGACCTCTCTAACTAAATCATGTCTGACTTCGTATTTATTGCCATTCTCGTAAACATATCCAGACAAAACATTATTCTGCTTTTCTTCTGTAACTTCTTCGATCTTTTCAAGGTATTCTTTGGTAGTTTCCCAGTTTGTGTAGTGAATAGCATTCTTATTGTTATTGGGAATAATCTTGCTTCTAACACGGTCAATGAACTTTTCATATGTGATTTTGCCTTCTGTGAAAGTATCAACCTTGACCCTTTCCTCTGTTTCTGTTTCTGTATAGTAGCCGAATGTTGCTTCATTGATCTGAGAGGAGCTGAATTTCTGGCGACTTACTGCCCAGCCATGGAACTGAGTCATGCTTTGAACACAAAATTCCTTATCTGGCTTTTGGGTGTCTACATAATAGAATGGAATGTTAGGAAGGGTTTTAGCACCTGAAATTTCTTGCAAATATTTTGCAAGCATTGGTTTATATTGTTGCTCCCTAATTTGTCTATCTGGAAAGTCTTTCTTGCTGAAAGTCCAAAAGACACAGAGATGAGAGAGGATCACATCTCCAAAAGCGTCATACACAAACTTAATGACATCCTTTACGCCCCTTGTTAATCTCATTAATTGAGCTTGTATAACAATTCCAATTGCATTAATTCCGACTTCGAAATTCTTTAGATACTGAGCAAGTTTTTGAATCTGCTCTTCTGTGATATGATCGCCATCATCGAAACCTTCTGTGTCAATGACAACCCTCTCCATACCATTTACAAAATTTGCATGTCTGGTAGGGTCTAAAGTACATGCAGATGGCTTTTGACTTGTTTCAAATACTGTTTCTTTTAAGTATAGGTTTCCTAGGGAACTTTTTCCTGATCCTGTGTCCCCAATAAACATCACAACAACATTATTTTGGTTTTGCATGTGAAAAAATGAAGTGAAAATTGAAAATTGTTAGTTTTAAATCCCATTCAATTCTTATAACCTATAATTATTACTTATTTGAATTCTCTATATCAATGATATTATTTTTGGAACACATCATGGTTTTTTATTTGTATTTCATTTCACTTTGAAATTTTTACCACCTTATTGAATTTTTTTTTTTTGCGTGTGTGATTGTGAGATAGAGAGATTATGATATGATCAGGTATTGAGTATATTAGCCCTTTAAATAACAAGCACCGAATCAATGAATTTGTGATAGAAATTGAAAAGTGAAAAAAGTTTCAATGATAATAAGCTAAATAAAAGAAATTCAGTGACCTAGTTTTTTATGGTTTTATTCGTATTTGGTAAATGAAAAGAAAATTTATTGGATTTTTTTTCACAGAAAGAACTATATATGAAAAAGATGATTACATTATAAAAACTATATTTATTTAGTTGAGCAATTTGTAAATTAAAATAAAACATTAAAATTATTTTTCAAATCCCCAAAGTTTTCTTGTTCTAGTCCAAATCGTTCTTTGTGCAATTTGCTTTAATGAAAGTTGCAGCCCATACAACCATGGCATGTAGTAAGCAAATGCAGCAATTGCCAAAACAATTGTTAAACAAGTCAAACAATACATCATTGGCTTACTAAGTTTTCCTAACACAAACGCGTAGCAACAGATTCCGAACATCAAAGCAACTTCGTAATGATATGTCCAAGTTACTCTTGTGACGAGAATAAACGGCAAATAAGAGAATAAATATGAAAGTGTCCATTCGTACTTCCAAACAAAGACTGCGAGGATTCCTCCAACGCAAGATACAAATGCAGAGACGGGATTGTTGAAAATACAGATAATTCTGGTAAACATGGAATTACTATATATCAGAGTTGGCGTTGCTGCGAATATTGGCCACTCATACCACTTTGATGAATATGGATGAGTAAATTCAAGGTCTCTGTTATAAACATACATCAGTCTAAGCATCTCTATAATTTGTTTGAGCATTGGTAAGCTTCTGAAATCTGGAGCAGCATATTGATCACCAAATCCAACAATTGGAGTTAATTTAAGGTGTAAATAGATTGTTCCGAAGAGCATTGCAATTAATACTGATACACAAAAGATTCCACGAATAACTAATGCAACAAATCCAAACTTTCTTCGAATACAAAGATTGAAATTTGAAAATCCAACTAAAATCAAGCAGCTTCCTGCAGCAAACTTAGAACAAAATGCTGCAGATCCGAAAAGGATCTGGAAGAATATAACTGTCCATGATTCACGATGATATAATAAACATGAAAAGAAAATTGTCATTGAAACAAAGAAATAAACAATTGCATCTGTTAATATGAACCTACTCTGAGTAATCGATGTGAAATCAAGAGCAAACAAAACACCAACCATGAAAGAAACTGGTAAATTTTGGAATCTTAAAATACATGAAGCAGTAAGGATAGGAGCAACTAACATTCCGCATGTAGCTGGTAAGTATCTGAGTTTAACGTAAAAATCTGATGTGTATGTTGCTGGATCACCGTCATTAACAGCAGAAAAGTTGAAATCTCCGTTGTATCCGACCATTTTGGCGTATTTTGCATATAAAAGCTTGGTAAGCGGTGGATGTATATCAAAAAACCTAACTTTATTAATATAATCTGTAATAAATCCTCCAAAATGAACTTCATCAAAGCAAACTTCGTTAGGAAATTCTAAATTTGGAATGTGCGTAAGGAAAGATATAATTGCTACTAATAATATGATTAATATCTGTTTTAGGGAAAATAATGACCAGCTATAATTGCTGATTGTCTTCAATTTATCATGAACTTTAAGATAAACTCTAATGGTCAATACATCCATTTGGATGCAATCGTACTCGCAAGCATCTTTTGCTTGATTTGAATTTTCAAATTCGATTGAATAGTGACCTTTTGAATGTGAAATAGTAGTGATACGTTTTATCTCTCCAAAACGAGAGAACTTAGCTAGAACTTTATCTTCACTCATAGTTTTTGGTACACCAAAGATTTCAATCGTTCTAGACATTCAAACAAAATGATTTCATTTTGAAAAATGGATATCAAATTCACTCTAAGCAACGAGATATTGTGAAGTTTCTTATCAATTTCTTTTCATTATAAGAGAATTTCAATTGAATCTCATCAATCGCATTATTGGAATGATAGAAGCTTGTTCAATATATCAGATCATTCAGATGTCTTAACATATCAAATATTACTATCGAAAGCAGTAAAATATTTTCTATCAAACTAAATTTTACTATTTCATCCATTTATTCATGTTAAAGATGATTTTTACAAGTAAATATTGCTTTTATTGAAAGATATATTGTTTGATTCATATGAGATAATCATTGATATGGTATGATTATGAGGATTTATCTTTTCAATGATATATTTGGAAGAGATACATGATTGGTATTATCTTTTTATCCAACTTTAAATATAAAAAAGAGTTTTAAATCTTATATCTTTTAATCATAAAAATACTCTAAGGAAATAATAGTTTTATACTTTTATTTTGTAGTCATATCAAACTTAGAAATAACTGATGGTGAAATAACAGTAGAAATCTGGGAGTTCATCTTCAAAACTTGTTGTACATGATCAACAGTAATATGATTGTGGCCATTAGTTGGTCCTTCACTTGCTGCTAACTCTAAACTCTTATATAAGATCTGGCAAACGAACTTCTTCAGTTCGGTTAAAATTTCATTAACTGCTTTACTATCGATTTGGAATTTTGGGTCGGAAATAATAACACAGACTCTCTTAGTTAATTGGTTGATGGATGGTAAGTGGTGAAGATCTGCTGCTGTATAAGTCATAAACGTATGATTTTTAACTTGTTGAACAGAAATTGGTGGCTTGGAAGCTCTGACTGTAGCTTTAGCATGTGGAATATCTACGTTTGGTGGTGGTATCATTGAAAAGTGGGCATTATAAATAATAGATCTGATTAATTCGTTATGCATTATTTTTGCTTCGTTTGATTGAAGACATTTCTCCATAATTTCATCAAATCTTGTTTTAGAGCATTGCCCATGAATAAAACTGGCTAATGTAGACCAGTAGTCTGATTGTAGTTCTTTTGCAATCAGCTGCAGCAATTGTGCCTTGATTGCTTGGGAATCTTTTCTCAAAGAATAGATTGATGCTGAATTTTTGACACGTTCAGCAAGTTGCTCCGGGCATTCTCCGACCTGAATGCCTGCATCTTCAAGCTCCCCACTCATTCGAATCCTAAATTGAGAACTTTACAAAAATGGAAAATATTCACTCTGGCTTTTAGACAGTGGAACAATCCATTGCATTATGTATGATCTGGATATCATGTAATCTTACTCCATTTTAAAAAATTGAATGAAATTTGATCGTTATTTTCATGAATTATCCATAATAATATATTGTTTATTTGTTATTTGTATTTTAAACTATAGTTTGTTATTTTTCTTTATTTTCACATATTTGACACGCATACTTAAGTTTGACATAAAATTGACAGAAATTCGAGCTTATTTTAAAGGTGCACTTACGCCCGTTTGACACTTCATTTTTGGTGTTTAATGTTAATTTTCAATGATACTTCACACCAGTTATCAGGATTTTGAATGAAAGTCAGATGGACGCAAGTGTACTCTGACTCAAAAAACCCCATTATTTAAGGTTCTTATTAAATACGAAAAAAGTAACTAAAAATCGAATGTAAGTTATTTATAAATATAACAAGAGTTAAAAATCGTCAAAAACGTACAATGGAGATGGCAAACCCAAATTTTAGCTAAAAGTGACAGGGGAAAAAGACCGATGAGAGCTTCGTTCGAAATATAGAGAGAACTGAGAATGCGCAACCATTCTCAGGGAATATTGGATGCTATTCCCGTTCCCTCTGTATGTAAAATTGAGGTTTTCAAAGGGAGTTAAAATAATATCAAATTTATACTAATTTACTTCAAAATACAAAAGTATTTGACAGCTAAACTTAGTTACTTTAGCAAGCCTATCAATACCCTTTTACGATTATTGCTACTTTTTCGAAATAAAAGTAAAAACAAATTTATACTAATTTACTTCAAAATACAAAAGTATTTGACAGCTAAACTTAGTTACTTTAGCAAGCCTATCAATACCCTTTTACGATTATTGCTACTTTTTCGAAATAAAAGTAAAAACAAAATATTACTAATTTACTTCAAAATACAAAAGTATTTGACAGCTAAAATTAGTTACTTTAGCAAGCCTATCAATACCCTTTTACGATTATTGCTACTTTTTCGAAATAAAATAAATTTATTATCAAAAACCTTTTTTTCTAGTAAAAATAAAAATGTTATTTTATATCAAGTTTTTATTCATAAATATTTATAATGTTGTAAAATTTGAAGGTGGAAATCTGTAATAATTTTATCTTGAAAAGACTTGGCATTCTCAACAATGAATTGAGGGGTATTGCATCCAAATTCTGTAATTTGCGTGAGAATACTAAGCTTGATTTCCATTGGGATACTTAATTTCGAAAAATACTGGGTCATTCGGTTTTGAACCTTTGCTGCCTTGACAACTTTATCAAGTAGGTCATCTAAACCCAATTGAAGCGTATTTAAGTTTGCTGATGAGTTAACTATTAACGATTTAATTTTATCAGTGAGCATTATACATTTTTCTGTATCCAGTCTGATTGTAGACTTTTTGGCTTTTTTTCAGATGGCAACGGATTTGGAATTTTGTCTTGAGCCTATATCTTAGAATTCTGTAATAAAATGAAGGAACGTAAAATCGATTAATTTCATCACAAATCGATCAAATCTCATGAAAATTGTTCCGCCAAAGTAGTAATATTTAATTTTTTTGTTAATCGATTCTGAAATGTTATTTGTGAGAGCTAAATTTTCATCTCTTCAGCGGCTGTCCATCTTTCTTGGTTTGATATCCATTGATTTGTATGTATTTTGAAAATTCTGGGAATTTTTCGGCTATTTCCAGAATTTTTTTGAAAGTTGGTTCAATCCATTCTTTCTTGCCATTTCTGCCGTATGCAAGATAGTTCATTTTTGTATCTAATATCAAATTGTCTGAACTCTCAAATGCATAATCTTTCAAATTTTTTCTGAACGCCCTCATTACATGAACTGCACACCAATGAAGGATAACTTCTGGAAAAGAGTTGATAATCGCATTTTCGATTTCTTGTGCACAACCTGACATAAAATATTCTGGTTTTACTTTTGCCCAGTTAAAAAATGCCTTGAGACAGAATGCAATATTTTCTGAAGTGTTTGGATAAACGACAAATTGAAAAATTGGGAATGCATGTGTATTTGGAAATTTGGCTGATATCATGTAAAACAACATTTTAAATTCAAGTAATGAATGGGTTGCATCAATAAAATGCTCTTTCACAATTTTGATTATGTCCAGAAATTTGAAAGAAGCATAATAAAAGATTAATTTCTTTGGTTTGTTGTAATTATCGACATCGAAATAAATTAAATTTTTGGTGACTCTTGTTCTTTGATACCCTTAAATAATTGAGTTGACTTGAATTGATTATCATCGTACTTTTGAATACCTTTGATCTTTTTATTTCCTTTTTCCTGAATTGTTTTCATTTGATCTGAAGATGCATTCAAAAAAGATGGCCTGTTAAGTGGATCATCCAGATCAAGTTTTTTGTCGCATTCAATTTGAGCCATTTTCGGATCACCCCCTGTTTTATAAAATTAATAAGTACCCGACGATAGCATTGTGATAATGTGTGGTATTTCTTTGTCTCATCTTTGATTTGATTGTGATTATGTGTTCCATTATATTCTGTTAGGATATATTCTTCATCATCCTTTAGAAATGAGATACATGCTTCACATTTATCTGCACTGCACCTGAATTTTAATTTTGTTCCCCCTAAATTTGGATTTTTTTTAATTGATATGGACAACCTGCATGGCATTCGTTATCAATGACCGCTTTCATAGCATCTATATAAGATAGCCTTTCTTTAAGTTCGCATGGTGCATCGATATGCATCAAAAAAATGAAATGAAATTTCAATATCAAAAAAAGCACAAAATTTGAAAAAATTCACAAATCTCGGTTTCTGAAAGAAAATGGCCTCTTAAACTTTGTGCATATATTCATCTATAAGACACATTGTATCCATATATTATTTAGCCAACACAACTTATCTGGTATCGAGAAAATTCAAAAAAAGCACAAAATTTGAAAATTGCTCGGTTCTACATTCAAAATAAATTTCATTACCCAGATTTTCCTTACTTTTACCACTCCCCATGTAATTTCTGGGGAAAACGATAATTCATTTTTTTATGGATGAATAGATCGTTTTCCTAGAAAGGACCTCATATCTCTGGCTAAAAAGAGTGTCAGATCCTAAATAGATTATTGATCTAGTGTACAAATCCAATAAAAAGCCTATTTTTTTGGCTTTTTTGGTGCTCATTTTTTCGAAGATCTACATGAATATGGGGAAACCATCGGATTTTTTTGGTTAACCCACATCTTCATGTAGTCTGGACTATCTTTCCTCGAAGGACCTCTTTACGGGTGTAAAAACTCATAAAGTTCTCAAAAGATTCATTCTCGATCTCCATGCTGAAAGAATTTACAATAAAAAAGAGATCTACGCATCAAACTACAGCCATAAATGAACTGAACCCCTAAAGCTCAGCTCTTAGTTTATCAAAAACGTCGAAATCCTTCTCATTGCAAACAAATTTTCTCAATAACTCATAAGAAAAATCGAATTTTGATTAAGCCGATGTTATAGTATCACAAATACTACAAACTTGAGCAATATCGAAATTGCCAGCAAAAGTTTGAATTGCATTGCTCATATTTGTTTTGTAAACTAAAAATCTGCTTATATTATTCATTAATTTTTTATATATTATTCATATACTTTAATAAAAACAATACTATTTCACCTTAAAAATGAATTTCATAAGTCAATATTATTTTTTTGAAAATGTATCAATTTTCGATTAAAACAACATGAGAATAAAATTTACGCAAAATTATTTTAAAAAATGGTTTTAAAAATTTACAATTGATTAAGAATAAGATTGCAAGAAGTTGTGAAGTTTAATTTTAAGAAAAAAAATTCGGATATTATTTGACGGGAATCTAAAGTGATTTTTTTCTGCATCGCGAAATCTAATGCAATCTCAAAATCATGAAGAAACTGCGAATCGGAGCGCAATTTTTTAATATGTTAATATATAAAGGTACCCCTACTACTGCAAATGCTTCAAATGAAAATCTAAGAAATCAGATTAATTTGATCACATTAGTATAGTATTGGTCAAACCAAAAACTCATATGTTGATATATAGCCTATGAATATTCATAATTATCACTTTTCATTGAATTACATAAGATTTAATAATCTCATAAATATTCTTTTTAATTTTCCGAATTCCTGTGCATTTAGATTGCCCATACCTGTATATAATAATTCTAGAATGGTTTGGTTAGATATTAAGTTTTTTAGATTAATATTTTAACATTTTGATAAAACAAGCATTGTTCCATTTTAGAATCGCCATTGAACTCTGGTTGACTAACATGATGTTGTATGATCAAATAAATTCTAACTTCATGAGATAAATTTTGAAATTAGAAAATGCGATATCTGACTCAAATATTTATATGAACACATTTAACATTCAATGATAAACTAAAGTACTATACAGCAGATTCGATTTGGCTTATATTTTATATAAATCAACTAATAATCCTATAAAATTGTGCTATTTCACGTTGCTCAAAGATGTAATTGAACATTCACACTTGTGTATGATTAAAATTAGATAGATTCTAATGTAATCGATATTTTGAAAATTATAATATATTTTGTCTTGGTTTGGCATTTGATCGTGTTGAAACCGGAATTGCAATATATATCATCTAAATATATAACTAATCAAAAATATGAGCTATAGATTTTTAAATTATTTCCTGAAATATGAGTGACTAAACATATTATATTGAATTGAGTAGTAAGAACACTAAATATTAGAATCTTGACGATAAATTTATATATAACTGTATAAAAGGAACAAGACTATAAAATGATGATGAAAATAAGATTAAAATTTAAATCCGAAAATTTTGAAAAACATTAAGTGGTATTGTGCACTCTTGTCGGTCACAGTGTCTCATTCCGGAGACATTGCCTGCTGATGTCTCCCAGAATGATATAATCTTCTCCATTCATAACTTGAATGCGGAACTTTGACCGACAAGAGTGTATTGTGCACTCTTGTCGGTCACAGTGTTCATTCCGGGAGACATTGTCACTGCATGTCTCCCAGAATGATATCAAGTTCCCCATTCATAACTTGAATGCGGAACTTTGACCGACAAGAGTGTATTGTGCACTCTTGTCGGTCACAGTGTCTCATTCCGGGAGACATTGTCACTGCATGTCTCCCAGAATGATATCAAGTTCCCCATTCATAACTTGAATGCGGAACTTTGACCGACAAGAGTGTATTGTGCACTCTTGTCGGTCACAGTGTCTCATTCCGGGAGACATTGCCTCGAATGTCTCCAGAATGAGACAATCTTCTGCAATCAGAATGTGATTGCAAAACTTTGACCGACAAGAGTGTGTTATCCACACTATTTGTTTATATACTATATTTTTAGATCAAACCCTTTACATACAATTGTTCAAATATAATTTTCTCCATTTAATATTTATTTTATATTTTTTGTGCTTTATATAACTTATGGCGTCTACCGAACTATTTTACAGACTCTTCTGAGCTCTTCCCACATATAAACATGTGACAATAACACATACATACTCCCTTCATATTCTGATCTCATGACATATTACCCCAAAAACTATATTTATACAACACACCTAATAAAGTCTCATTTTACACCTATCTAAGCGTTCAAAACCTATTTTTCCCGCGTAATCTGATTCTTCAGGTTCCGCTGATTCGATTTCTGCTGTCAGATCGTGAAAATATGCATCACATAACAAGATAAACACAATTCAAAATTCATTATTTTTTCTTCAAATTACCTATTCATCGATATGAAAACATTTATTATATCTTCCGTTTTTCCCCACAAATATATTTAATTTTCTGAATAATACGTATAGTAAAATGAATATCTCAAAAACTAAAATACAAAATTAATATTGGGTAATGACTAGATATGATCTAAACTTTTAAATTCATTCATTTTTTGAAAAATTTAAATTTTTGAAAAATGATGTTTTTAGAGGATGAACTTCAAGGATCTAAACTATTCTGTTGCACATGTGGCAGCTAATTTAGAAGATCTAGAATAAGGAGATTGAATAATTCCAACATTATATATAATAAACATTATGCGTCCCAGAAAAATTTAATATATCAGTAAATTTATATATAAAAGAACAAATTAAGATATATTTTTACAACATCTTTTTATAGTACAATATATGTTATTATATGAATAATATATGCTTTTGAGTAGTATTTTGATGTTTTGAATAAGATATAATTCAAAATTTCATTTGAGATATTATCACAACTTGACGTATTACAGTTGATTTTCAAATATCATATTTATAGTGAAACATTTGATTTATTGTATAGAATGTTAAAAATCAATACAAACATAGTAAACATTATCAAGGAATAAGAAATGATTCATAAAACATTCAAATAAGAAAACAAATGATCTATAAAACATTTAAACAAGAAAACAAACGATCTATAAAACATTTAAACAAGAAAACAAACGATCTATAAAACATTTAAACAAGAAAACAAACGATCTATAAAACATTTAAACAAGAATACAAATGATCTATAAAACATTTAAACAAGAATACAAATGATCTATAAAACATTTAAACAAGAAAACAAACGATCTATAAAACATTTAAACAAGAATACAAATGATCTATAAAACATCTAAACAAGAAAACAAATGATATAAAAGTATAAACAAGAAAATGAATGATCTATAAAAGTATAAATAAGTTTTATTTACAAAAAAATAATATAAAATATATATATATAAAGTTAGAAATCCTTAGCAGATGAATAAGAAAAGAAGTCACTTCCAAAGAAAGGAATCAAGTTGTTGTACATTTGCGCAGTTTCAGCAGGAAGATTTGGAGATCCAGTCTGTTTAATTGCCTCTTCAGTGTCGTAATGGAATGAATCACCGCAAATCTTCAAAAGAATGCTCTTGAATTTGAAGAACTGAATCTTTGTTTCTGCAGGAAGTTTCTGTTCATCCAAACTATTCATAATCCTTGGAAACTGTGGAATAATTACTTTCCTAACAACATGGCTGCCAATAACAGAAAGACCAATCGCAGCTCCGAGTTTTACTTGGAAATTGCCGTTCTTCCTGTCAATGAATGTCTTCACTAAGTGGTCAGTAATCCTCGTGCGAAGTGTTGGATAAATTTGGGAGTATTTGTTGATAACTAATGATAACAACTCGGCTGAGTTCTCTCGCAAGGAAAAACTCTCGACAACGGGATCGTTGAAGGACATAAGTAATGATGTAATGCTCAAATTGATGATTTGGATTAAATACATGTCTAATTTGAGATTATCATTTAATATTAAGGCGCGAGCAAGGTTTATTCGATCATCGAAGGCAGCAGTAATGTTGGAATTGTTGGATGAGTAATGCGATGATAAATAATGGAAGAAATATGGAAGTAATGGGATAATTGCGGCATCTGACTGTAATTCTTTCAATAACGGTATTTTCTTGCGTGGATTTACGTTTGGTGCGATCAAATGATAGTAATGGGTATATAATTCTTGTGAAACTTCGTTTCTTGTCGATGTTATTTGAACTGATTGATCTGAGAGTTTCATTTGAGGCGGTGGTGCGTAGATATTGTTATGTGTTGAGCCAGGAACTGTTGTATCACTGTGTGTTAGTATATTTTGTTTAAATTTTGGCAAAATATTTCAATTTTTTAAAAATTAAAAAAAGAAATACTTTGCCTAAAAATACGTACTTCAAATTTTCAGGTATTAAAGGTTGCTGACCACGAATGACAGCCAACCAATGAAATGAAAAAAACTTTTCTGTTGGAGTTTCTTTTAATGGCGTATTTACGATTTCTGATAGATCAAGCTGCTTGTCGACTGGAATACTAATCACAGTATCTCCAACTTGACCAACAGTTTCGTATTTGATTGCTTTTCTGTTTCTGTAGCCGAGAAATGGATTAAATCCGCGAGCATTGAATGCTTCTGAGACATCTTCTACTGAAAGCTTCTTATGATTCGACTGAATTTGAAATGATTTTGCGAGATTTAAAACTGCTTGAGCACTAAGACTAAATTTTGCTAAGATTTCATCCACACACTCATCAGATGAGAAATCTATGCTGTAACGCTCAAATATATTTCTTGTAGTGATGAGAATAATTGGTGGGGAATGTTTCATATTAAAAAAGTGACAAAGGTCAATAATTTTAAAATCCTAAACATCAGAAAAAATTATAATTACATGTTTTATTGATGTATTATAAGTTACAATATGAATACATTTGAGATATTGATATTGTGAAGAAGATATAATTCCAAATGTCAAAAATTAATGTAATTTAGGAAATATCAAGCCGTACAGTTGATGGTGCACCATATTTCGCATAGGTTCATATTATCATAGACCGAAATATGCAGAACTTCTTATATCAAACGGTATTCATATTCATATATTGATGGTGCAATTTTTCTTCATTATGCAAGATAAATTTTAAGCCAATTGCTGAACTTCTCATCCCAAAAGGAGCATAAATCAATGTAGAAGATAACAACGTTCGCACACTTCTCCATAGTGTATCATATTAATATTAAAATGATCTCGCAAACTTTCACATTGCTCAAGCTGCAGATATCAATGCACAACATTGTGGTGGTGTCATTGTTCTAAAACCATTCATTTTAACTTATAATATTAACTTAAAATCGCTAAAATCGAATAAATCAAATTCAAAAAATACAGAATTAATACCAAGACTAACATAGCTTTCCAATAAATGATTCTCATTGGCATTTAGCTTGTTAATATATTAATTTTGTATCATATATAATAGTTGATATGTTCAAATCCGAATAATTAGAATATTTTAAAAAAAAATAAGTGAAGAAATAGAAAAAATCATGATCGATCATATTACCTCTTTATAATTCCAATAATTTAGTTAGCTGGGGCTGGCTGTGGAGCTGCTGGTGTGATGGATGTGTCTGGATACTTAGCAGCGAGTGTGCTGAGGTTGTAGTTCTGGCCATCGATGATGAGTCTCTGGTGGGCAGCAGCGAAGGCAGCGTTGTAGTACTGATAAGCCTCGAAGATTGTAGCATAAGCAGATGGGGCCTTGGCGATGTAAGCGTTAGCCTTCTCCATGAACTCCTGATCGTACTTGATGAACTCCTTGCGGTGTTCTTCAGCCTTTGTCTCGTATTCAGCTGTTGGCTTGCCCTTCTCCTGGCGAGACTTGACTTCCTTCTCAGCGTTGATGAGGAGGACGTGGAACTTGTTTCTGTTGTCCTCTGTCTGGTTGATAAGGCGGATCTCTTCGAGTAAGGCCTTGACTTGTTCGATAACATGCTGGACAAGGTATGTATCGGCAAGGTTTGTAGCCTCTGTAGCAAGGTTTGTGTTGCACTGAAGATTTGTAGCAGAAGCTGTCTGATTGGCTTCACCCATTGGGAAGAGAACAGCAACCTTCATTGAAACGTTCTTGCTAGCCTCACCGTACTTTTTGATGTGCTTGCCATATGCCTTAAGGTCAGTCATAAGGGCTTCAAGGCGCTCCTTGTGTGACTTGATTGTGTTGAATGTGTTTGTGAAGATTTCTGTCTCTTCTGTCTTGGCTGTGCCTGTTGCACGTTCAAGAGAGTTGAATCCAAGTTGAACTTGTTCCTTTGTCTTCTCCCAGAAAGCCTTCATGAGAAAATTTGAGATTGAGTGTTCATTTCACTTTTTGTGTAAATTTTTATAAAATTTATTTTACGGAGACTATTTTTCTGCTTATCGGGGATAATTATTGTTTAAAATGCGTCGATCATAAAGTTGAATGGTGGCAGAAAACTTGCCTTTCGAATAAAAAATCCATATTAGTTAAACAATTTATATCATGTGTATTTTTATGTAAATATCAGAAATTCTGAACCATTCAAAAGAGTGGCCTGCTATCTCCTCGGGAACCTACACAAATTCCAACATTAACAATATAATCTGAGACATAAGTCGTATGCTAGTCTAATGATAATTATTTGAATTGTGAAATGCAAAAAGTCTGTCTTCGTGCTGAATAAGAGAATTCGTAATGATCGTATAAGTATAGTGTATTATTTTAAACTGCCATTGCAATGAAGATAACTTCTGTAAGCACTGTAATCCTTTGACATTCTTCAAGGCAATCCTTCTAAAAATGATATTATATTTTCACAGGCATATTAATCTATAGTTATTGTTGGACTGTTGGGCCATATCGATTATGGACATACTAATATCATGTGTTTATATGGTAGTTAATCAGATCAAAATGTGCTTTTCCCTAGAGGACAACGTTGAACAACTCAATCAAGAAATACTTAAGATTTACCTTATTGTTAGTCAACGTAGTAATTTCTAAGTTCAACTCTGAGCTTTATATCAAAATTATATTTGCTATCTTATATTATATATTTCTCAGAGTATATAAGTTCATAAATATACAATGCTTTAATTTGCCAAAATCATACTGAACGTAGTTCAATTTGGTAAAATATTTTCAAAATAGATTTTGTATATTCATAATTTGACTTGAAATATCTTTACCTAATGTGGTGTTATAATTTAGCATAACCAAATTCTTTAAATTAAAAGAAAATAATGATATTATAAATTTTTTATGTTTATTTACACTTAATTATAATGGTTTGAATGTTCTTATTGGCATTTGTTATAAAGCTTGTTATAGAATTTCTCTAATTTCGTATTATTTGGTAAACCTTCGAAACCAATCTTTAAGTTGTTAACATCTTGTTCGGTTAATTTGTAATCGTTTGTAGAGTTGAGGAATTTGAGTGTGAGGTCGATCTTCTTTTCTAAATCTTTCTTTGGTTCAGAATCAGCAGTATAATGGCTGAGAGCGATACCCCATGCTTTGCAATCGACTAGATTTGAAATAATGTTAAGTTGTTCATCTGATTCAGCGCATGATGGCAAATAATGTGCGAGATGTTTAGCAACAATGAAGAGAGTATTTTCATACTTTGTTCCATCAGGATATCTTTTATCGTATGTTGCATTGATGAAATCTGTAATACTTTCAAGCGGTGCTTCAAATAATTTCGATAAATAATTTTCAAGAAGATCAAGAAGAGCATTAACTCCATATATCTTAGCAACTTCTATGATAGCATGAATCTTTTCCTTAGGAAATTGGAGGTTTCCTGTATACATCCAACGAAGAACTAAAGAAAATACGTTTTCTGGATTTTTAATAATCTCAACTTTCTTAGTAATATCTTCTGTCATACCACTAGTGAAAATGTTATTGAAATAACTTGAACTATTTGCAAGAATTACTCTATGTGCATGAATTTCTTGTCCATCAATGACAAGAACACAATCTGTGATGAGATTTTGATCGAGGAACTCGTGGTAATCAAATTTAGTATCAAGTTTTAATTCAATTTGTCTTTCTTGCTGGTCATCAGCCATCTTATTTTTTTTTTATTGTGATGTCAAATTCTCAATGGAAAATATTAGGAAAAAAATTTACCAAACTCTATAATTATCAAAATATGAATATACAGATGGAATGTAATATATTGATCAAATTTGGAAATTCCATTCTCACGATTTAGCAAATTCCAAATTTTAGTGAAAATATTATTTCTCTCTGTATTTTAAAAGTCTTTAAGCATATAAACAAATGTGTCAAATCTTGCTATCAGAATCAATAATAAAATAACATATCTTAGGAAAAATACCCTACTTTTCCAACATTTAGAAAACATGCATGACCCCTACCCAGGGTCCAAAAATTGGTATTTTCTGCGCTCAGGCAACATGAGTTTTTGGGCCGCCAAATGAATAGCTCAAATAGTTTCCTCATATAGAGACATGCTTATGCTTAGAGTTTGAAGGGAAACTAAAGTGATTTTTTTCTGCATTTCGAAATCTAATGCAATCTTAAAATCATGATTAAACTGCGAATCTGGGCGCAATTTTTTAATATGTTAATATATGAAGGTACTCCTACTACTGCGAATGCTTCAAATGAAAATTCAAGAAATCAGATTAATTTGATCACATTAGTATAGTAGTGGTCAATCCAAAAACTCATATGTGATATATAACCTATAGAGATGATAATTATCGACTCTTCATTGAAATGCATAAGATTTAATAATCTCATAAATATTCTTTTTAATTTTCAGTATTTCGTGTGCATTTAGATTGCATATACCTGTATATGATATTTCTAGAATGTTTTGGTTAGATATTAAGTTTTTTAGATTAATATTTTAACATTTTGATAAAACAAGCAATTGTTCCATTTTGGAATCGCGATTGAACTCTAGTTTGACTAATATGATGTTGTATGATCAAATGAATTCTAACTTCATGAGATAAATTTGAAATTAGAAAATGCGATATCTGACTCAAATATTTATCTGAGCACATTTAACATTCAATTATAAACTAAAGTAATATACAGCAGATTCGATTTGGCTTATATTTTAAATATTCAACAAATAATCTTATAAAATTGTGCTATTCACGTTTCTCAAAGATGAATTAAGCATTTACAACTTGTGCATTGATGGAATTAGATATGGATTCTAATGTTAATCGATATTTTGTAAATTGATATATATTTATCATGGTTTGACATTTGATCGTGTTGAAACCGGAATTGCAATATGCATCATCTATATATATAATTGTCAAAAATGAGCTAGATTTTTAAATTATGCTCCTGATTATGAGTGACTTATATGATTATATTGAATTGAGTAGTAAAATCAATAAATATTAGAATATTACGATAATGTATTATAACTTATAGAAGCTTAAGGCTAAAAAGATGATGAAAATGTAGCTCAAATTAAGTCTAAAAAATTTGAAAAAATTAAGTGCTTATGATAGTATGACGATATTGGTGTTTGAATGTAAGAAATTAGAGATGTATTAGAAGCATTATGAGAAAATAATAAGATATAAAAACAAATTTTATGAAATAATTTAAGTTATAAGAGGTGTTAACATTGGTAATGTGTGAAAAGATAGTAGAATTGTATTGGAACTTTGATTAGTATTTTATAACAATTTATTAATGTAGATGTGATTAGAATGTTGGATTTCAAAGGAAAGCGATTGTTCACTCTTGTTGGTCTGCATGTGTCATTCCGGGAGACATTGCCTGTGCATGTCTCCCAGAACGAGACAATTATTGCAATCAGAATACGATTGCAAAACTTTGACCGACAAGAGTGCATTGTGCACTCTTGTTTGTCATCCACTATGATACTTAGAGAAAATACTTTACTTACATTATTTAAAATATTAATTTCCCTATTTAATATTTATTTATTATTTTTGTGCTTTATATTCCTATGGCATGTACTGAACTATTTTATAGACTCTACCGAGCTATCTCCACATATAAACATTTGACAATAACACATATATACTCTCTTCATATTCTAGTCTCATGACATATTATTGCAAAAGCTATATTTAACAGCATACCTCATAAAGTCTCATTATATCCCTATCTAAGCTTCAAAACCTATTTTCCCCCGTAATCTGATTCTTCAGGCTCCGCTGATTCGATTTCTGCTGTCAGATCGTGAAAATATGAATCACATAACAAGATAAACACAAATCCAAAATAATAATGTTTTCTTCAAATTGACTCTTCCACGATATTCATATTATTGTTATTAATTCCGTTTTCCCTTACAAATGTATTTAATTTTCTGAATATACGTATTATAAAAATGAATATCTCAAAAACTAAATTAAAAAATTAATACTGGGTAATAACTAGATATATTGTGACTTTTTGAATTCACACACTTTTGGAAAAAATTGAATTTTTCTAAAATGATGTTGAACATGAACTTATACGGAAAATATCAAGTTGGGTAACTTGTGTTTATCTTGTTATGTGATTCATATTTTCACGATCTGACAGCAGAAACGAATCAGCGGAGCCTGAAGAATCAGATTACGTGGGGAAAATAGTTTTGAACGCTTAGATAGGGATATAATGAGACTTTATGAGGTATGCTGTATAAATATAGCTTTTGCAATAATATGTCATGAGACTAGAATATGAAGAGAGTATATATGTGTTATTGTCAAATGTTTATATGTGGAGATAGCTCGGTAGAGTCTATAAAATAGTTCAGTACATGCCATAGGGAATATAAAGCACAAAAAATAATAAATAAATATTAAATAGGGAAATTAATATTTTAAATAATGTAAGTAAAGTATTTTCTCTAAGTATCATAGTGGATGACAAACAAGAGTGCACAATGCACTCTTGTCGGTCAAAGTCCGCATTCAAGTTATGAATGCGGAACAGTATGCCATTCTGGGAGACATGCACAGGCAATGTCTCCCGGAATGACACATGCAGACCAACAAGTGAACAATGCACTCTTGTCGGTCAAAGTTCCGCATTCAAGTTATGAATGCGGAACAGTATGCCATTCTGGGAGACATGCACAGGCAATGTCTCCCGGAATGACACATGCAGACCAACAAGAGTGAACAATGCACTCTTGTCGGTCAAAGTTCCGCATTCAAGTTATGAATGCGGAACAGTATGCCATTCTGGGAGACATGCACAGGCAATGTCTCCCGGAATGACACATGCAGACCAACAAGAGTGCATATTATCATCAAAAATTCAAAAAAAAAACATTTTTCTTTTTTCTTTGGCGAAAAATGTACTTATTTTTTTCGAAATTTTCGAAATATGATTTTTTCGGGAGACTTTTTCAAAATTTTAATATGATAAATATGAGTTATTTTATGTTCTCTATTTGAGAGTCTGCTTATTTTTGAGTATTGAGCAAGATTGAAAAATGAGAATATTTAGGAACATAATAAATCGATTTATCTCGTCATGTAGTTCATATTTTCGCGTTCTGAGAGCGGAAAACGCATTTTTTGAATGCGTAGATTCCGAATCACACGGAAAAAATAGGTTTTAATAAGAAAAATAGACAATTTATGAAGTAACAAAGCACATAGTATTATAAAAAAGAAAAACATTTTTCTCATATGAAAGAAAATATAACGTATTTTTTACAGAGCGTAGGTATATATCGAGCCAATTCACACCATAAATTCTTTTCTCGTTCTCGGGCCTATAAACAACCTGAGGTGCACAACAATATTAACTTATACTGCTGTTATCTGGATTTGAATCCTCAATTGAGAGAATTCCAGATAACTTCAGTATAAACAAACCATATACATGTTTCCTCCTTGCTTCTAGGCCAAGCATAACAAGTACATTACCTTAGAGCAAATCTCATTCGGAGTTTCTCATTTAATGAGAGACTTCGAATGAAATTTGCCTATTTGATTAATATCGTGCTTTATGAGATGCAAATTCTGATGATAAATATTGATCTAGAGCTTATATAAGATGCGAAGAAACTTCAAAAAAAGCTAACCGGTAAAGACAGCAACTTGCAACACCAAGTTGCTCACGTAGTGATTACAAGCATATCTGCAAGGCAAAGTCCTCAGGATGCAGAACTTTGCCTGCAATCAGAAAAGAGATTGCAGCAGAGTAACCGGTAAAGACAGCAACTTGCAACACCAAGTTGCTCACGTAGTGATTACAAGCATATCTGCAAGGCAATGTCCTCAGGATGCAGAACTCTGCCTGCAATCAGAAAAGAGATTGCAGCAGAGTAACCGGTAAAGACAGCAACTTGCAAAGTCAAGCAGTTTCTGAGATTTTGATTTATAAATCATAAACCTTCATGCTTGATGATTTTGTAGAATTGTTAACTCATGTCATCAGTTAATGCTCACCTAAGGGAGGTGTTTTGCGGGAGCTGGGGGTATCTTGGTGAGTACTCAGGAGGCCAAGAAGGGCACCCCAACCGACATTTTGCTGATGGATTGAGTTCGCAACCATTTTTATAACCGTAAAAACCGTCGGGACAAAACAACTTGAATAATTGAATTTTTTAATGATAATGATTGTGAAATAACATGTAACTATAATTTAAGAATGCCATATTTTTGTTAAAAAAAATTTCGAAAAGTGAGAGATTTTCCGTTCTAATAAATATATTTGATAACCGGGGCGTCCCCCGGAATCAAATAAATTATCATATCGAGAATCGGAGATCCTTGCAGTTTCGATTTTTTCGAAAAGTGAGAGATTTTCCGTTCTAATAAATATATTTGATAACCGGGGTCCCCCGGAATCAAATAAATTATCATATCGAGAATCGGAGATCCTTGCAGTTTCGATTTTTTCGAAAAGTGAGAGATTTTCCGTTCTAATAAATATATTTGATAACCGGGGCGTCCCCCGGAATCAAATAAATTATCATATCGAGAATCGGAGATCCTTGCAGTTTCGATTTTTTCGAAAAGTGAGAGATTTTCCATTTAATAAATATATTTGATAACCGGGGTCCCCCGGAATCAAATAAATTAGCATTACTAACATTCCTTTTTTATTTAAAATTTTCAATTCTTAAAACAAAGTTTTACTTCTATTTAATTATTTGCCATGAAAGTATAGAACATTAAAAATTTATCCTACTACCTCCACCATTATAATACCTTCAAAAAAATTATATCTCAATTTATTTTCTATCTTTATATTGATGTGCTTATTCAAAAACACTAAATCATAAGTCTTCAGTTCTCAAAATACTCTCAAATTATCTCATTGCGCATATTTTGAAATTTGATAATTTTAAATTGTTAAAAAATTCATTAATCACAGTAAAATATCTATATACAACAATTAACTAACTGATTTCACATCTTGAACATTCGCATTTATTTAATATATTTGAATATCATTTACATCTTATTGAATTAGATCATAAATCACAGTTCCTTAATATACTATCTAGCTAATCATTATTGTTGCACAACTTACATTTGATTAAACACACGTGTATAATTCTGTACAACTCATCTCTCTATCAATACTTTATTTATAATCAAAACAAAGGTTAAAATTGTATACCCTGTCACTGTAGAGTATTCTCCCAACTTTAAAGTGAAAATCAAAATTTGATATTTTAGTAATTTCATGTGAGATCGTTATTTTATAGGAAAACATACTGAAAATGTTTATAAGATGTTTCTCTATCATATGCCAAAATATCATGGTTTAAATGCTCTCCTAAGTGTCTATAACTGAATTTTAGGGCAATAACCTTATTCTAAATGTTGGGAAAGTAGGGTACTGTGAAAAAACAATATCATTGTAGGAACTCATATTTGTTAATACGTTAGGATGTGTTCCCTGTTTATGAATCAAAGCATTGATTGTTGGCTAAAAAAAGATATTTGGTCGATTTAGATCCAATGATTTGAAGCGTTTTTCTGAAATCATATCAAAAAGAAGTATGTGTACATACTGGCTATTATTCCCATTATAATTATTTCCAGATAATTAACCTTTTTTTACGAGATTTTTTTTCAAATTTTTTTTTCAATTTGACAATGTCCAAATCTTCCGGTTTTCAGACACTTTCCAAAGACAGCGGATATCGCTGCATTGCAGGATTTCTGTCTGAGTTAACCGCGGAGGTAGATGTTGATCTAATTTTCATCAAAATCAAGTCATTAATTGAAAATATGGATATTTCCTTGCTATCACCAACAATCAAAAACATACTCGAAACCCTCTCCAAGCAAGGATTACCAGATATTCAAAAACAACAACTTTTATATTGCGTAAATAAATTAATCGAATATTTTGTTAATTTTCCGCAATTCCATTCCACAATTTCCGCATTATTCAGTACTGCAAAAAGCATTCCGACCGCAATTTCGATGTTAGATCTCACTACTGCTTTATCAATTTTAGTTTTTACCGATTCAACACCAATATTTGGCGATGCTAAAGCATTTATTTCAAAGAACATCATTCCTAAATTAGCACCCGAAGCGTATGAGAAGTTACCTGAAGTTGTTTTGTTCGAACTTTCAAATCTTTTCTTGCCAGAGTTCTCAATTCCTGAAATTATGACACCGAATATTCCTCCTTCACTTTCATTACTCTCGGAAACATTACCTTATGACAATAAACTCTCTTTGGCGCTTTCTAATCCTTCATTATACGATGCAGTTGTCGAAAGTGAACCAAGGAGTCTAATTGCCAAAGTCCCTCTTGATCGTCTTTTCGGTTTCTTCCCTGATTTCAACGAATCCCACGCTGCTTCTTATTTAACTGCGATTTCATCTTCAGCATGTTCGTTCCGTCCTTACTTTGATACACTAGAAGATATGCAGAAAGAAAGAGTCGTTAAAGTTACAATGGAAGCCTTCGTTTCAAGAGGTGTTGACCTTTCTTCGATTGTAAATTATCTTGATCAGCCGAATCTCAAGCCTCTCGACAAAGATGGATGCGCTATGCTTTTCTCTACTGTATCGTCTATCTCTCAGAACCAGAAAATTGACGCTTATCCATTTGTTATTCCTTGGTCGAATACAAGATCGCAATTAGAGTATTTAATATACATAGCAACAATGCCTACAAACATTACTTTCGGAAGCAAGTGCAGAATGATACCTCAGGAGATTTTAACGAACATAAAATACGATATTTCTCCAATTCCAAACGGCTGTTGGATTTGCATCGATTTTGTTGAAAGATTCCTCGAATTAGCGAGTATATACCCTAAGGAAGTCAACCCGTTTTACCAAGCTTCCGTTCAAAAATTCGGTCATGTGATTTTATTTGCACTTTCTCAAGCAAAAGAGCAGCAAACAAAGGAATATATCGATTTTATTAACTACATATTCAACATTGTCCTGTATTCTCAGCTCGGAGGCCGCGATTATTTCGAAGAATTATGGAAATATTCTCCAAAGTTCTGTGTTCGGGCCATCTTCTTATTTGCGAAGAGCTCACCCCAGAAACTTACTAAAATCGCAGAAACATTTACCGCGCATCTTAAGGAACTCCTTGATTCAGATAATCTTGAATTTTCCATTGACCTTGCGTTTAATGTTACAATCAAGGACTCCATTAACATTGACGAGTTCATAGATTCACTTGTTGCTAAGCATGGCCAGGAAATCCTCGTAACTTTCCTTCAATTAGTAAAATCTCGCGCATTAGAAAGCCAACCAACATCCATGCAAGTATTCATTACTACATTAAATGCCATATTCAAATGGCTCTCAAACCACTTCAAAACATTAAATCCAGGCACTCAATTAATTGCAAACGCTTTATACTCAATTTGCGAAAACATTGGCAACGGATTACAGAAATTCAACTTCGCAGAATCATTACCGCCAGTTAATCCTCCAGATTTAAAGCACGCATCTTCAGAATATTTCACAAATTACTTTGATTCGAAGACAACACTAAACGATTTCTTACTTATACTACATCACGTCAAAGTAGTCAATAACCAACTCTTTGACGCCATGATACATTATCCAATTTACGAATTAAATTATTTATCGAATTATGATACTAAATTTACCTCTAAGCTCGGCCAGCTTGTCGGCAACATGGTCCTTGAGAACCTCTTTGGCGAATCCGAGCTCAACTCCATCTTCCAGGCCTTCCACAAAACGTATTCCGAAGAATCCGACCAATCAACCATGGTTTTCACCTCCACAGCCTTGAATATCTGTTATTTCAAGCTTACACGTATCCCCATCTATGCGTTTAACCTATTAAAACAGCCTCAATTCAAGCAAAAAGAGCCAATTTTATATCAAAACTTGAAGAAGATTTCTATGTCACTTTCTGCACCAATACAACTTTCCCAATCAACTAAACTAAACATTCATCCAAAAATCAGAAGGTTTGAGAAGTTGCAGCAGCCTCCTCCACGTCTTCGGAAAGTTTTGCAACAGTTAAATACAGATAACACACAACTATCACAAACGATACAATCCTTCAGTGGATTTGTTGATTGGCTAGCTCTTCATTTAGTAGAAGACATTGAAGATCATCCTGCTCTATTGCAAGACTTCCTTCCACAGTTCTTAGAGAACAGGGAATTCACGGAAATCATCATCCAAGCAGCATCATTTGAAGTCTACAATTTAGTAGAAAAATCAAATGACATTGCTACATACGAAGGTGGATTTAAACGCAGGAGATTATCTATTTTAGGAAGATTGATAGGTAATCTAACATTTGCTTTGAACAGACCATTGTTATCGAAATACATTGATATCAAGAGATTGTTATTATATGCTTTAGCTCATGGAAAATTATTTGGTGTTTTACCTTTCGTTGGTGCAATATTGAGATGTGCAACACCATTCTTTAATCCACCAAATCCTTACATGAGTGCTATATTACAAGTTTTAGCCAGTATTAATTCTATTGACTTATTGAAACTGAGTATTAAAAATCAAATCAGTTTAATAATGTCACATTTTGAAGTAACTAGTTCTCAATTCATGGTCATTCCTTTGATACCGAATATTAATGAGACAAACTTTGATTTCATCACTGCTCCTTTCAGTTTGTTGTATGTATCAAGCCAAACAGAGATTGACAAGATCATTTCCTTCGAAGATTCCGCTTTTTACACTTTAGCAAGTCAACATTTCATTGTTCCTGATTACGAAGGTGAAAATGCTGAAGAAAAACAAAGTAAGTTTAGATCAGCATTGACACAAGCAACTCTTGCTTTTCTTAAGACTGAAGGAAAGTCATTGAGTTTAGTTGTAAGTTCTACAGCATCGGAACTCATCATGAAAGACTTTGTTTTGTGTAATAACATGAGTTTGATTTATCAAACAGCTGAAACATTGACGAAACAATTGAGCGCAAGTCTCGCAATGTTCACTGTTTTCCAGAAACAGCAAATATACCTCCATCACAATGTATTGCATGAACTAAGTCAGGAAGACAGCGATTGGGCTTTGCAAGGCGTACAAGCAAATCATAATTGGATCGGCCAATTATTGAAAGACGTTGTTTATTTGAAAGCTTGGAAAATTGTTCAACAAAAATTGGAAGTTTTCGAACAACAGAAGAAAGAAAACACTCATTCACACAGACACCAAGATCCGATACCTCAAAAGATACAACACTTAATACCTCCTTCTATTCTGCCAACGGAACAAGGCTTGTTACCACAACATAATTTGATTTACCAAGATTTGGCAGAACTCGCATTGAATCCAGCACAAATTGCTGTGTTCGATAAACCTGGAGAGAAAGTGAATAAGTCTTTTGAACAGTACGAAACATTCTTCCAATGGGTGTCTAAGAGAATTGCAAGCGAAACTGAGTTAAATGAACAAATTAATTCTCTTTTGCAACTGATTTACGACAAAATACCCGATGTCGGACCGAATTTCGAGAGTTTCATGTGCTTGATAAGAACAATGATGAAATACATGTACAAGAATAACCACAAGATCAATGATATCGTGTTCTCAAAGATCTTGGAAAAGGTTGTAAGCGATGCACAGCCTGGATACATCGTGAGAATGCAGCCATTGATTGTTTCGTGGTTGAGAAACTTCATTCCAAGTGTTTCTTTACTTTGCGAATTTCTCAAAACTGAATTATTGACAACAAAACTGTTGGATAGATTCTTCTTCGATAATTTGAATAGACAACCATTGAATGGTAAACTGTTCTTGTTTGCTGTAAGATTCTTGCATCAAACACTTGTAGAAAAACCAACTTTGAAGCCAGGTGACATGATCGATTCAATTTCTTTTGTTGTGACCACTCCTTATTCATTAATTGAATCAGTAACGACTTCACCACAAAACTACACAATTGACGAACTCCAGAAAGTGTTAGATAACATGGATGTACCTCTCAACGTTCTAAGCACGAACTCCAAACTCCAGAGCGTCTCCATTTTCGATCCGGTTGAAGATCTACAGGATCTGGACAAGATACAAGCAAACTTTACTGAATGGAAGGAAATTGCTGAAAACGTGACAATTTTGACAAATTCTGACAGATCAGAAATCATTGAGAAAACACTTGAATGCATTGAATTCGGCAAGAGCTTCTTTATCTATTTGTTCTTCAGCGAAACAGAGGAGATCATTACGAAGTTTTTGATGGTTATTTTCCATTCAAACAACTTAGAAAACTGTTTCTTAGTTATTTTAGAAGCTTTGGAAGTTTTGATACAAGGAAACTCTCATGTCATTTCCTTTGATTTCAGGAAATACTATGATATAATCATTAGATTAATCACGCATTCATTAAACACTTCCAAACTTCTAAATATCGCAAGTTTGTTACATAACTTGAGACTTCTTTGTGCTCCAACATTTACACCATGTTGGACACAGTTAATTACTCATAACCACTTCGTTTCTTTCTTGGTGAAACACGCTCCTGAAGTAATGAAACTGTTACTTGAAGATTACACGTATTCCATTACTTATTTGCAAGGAGCACACGCGAAAGAAACATTCGATATCTATTACAGATCATTGTTAAGATTCGTGTTGATAATGGTACACGATTTCCCTGATTTCATGGATTCTATTTCCCTTGAGATCTGCTCAATGTTTGGTTCACATTTCACTCAGTTGAGAAATATCTTTTTGAGTGTAACAAACAATATTTTGCCGCCAATAACAAATGATCCATTTAAATTTGACACTTTTGTTTCATTGAATCAACCAATGCCGGAATTGACGAAAGAATTGGCTTTCGATGAAATTGATGACGAGGAATCAATAAAGAAATTCGTTTCTCAGTTGGAAAAGAGAAGCGGAACAACAGCTTTGGCAAGTTACGTCGTTTATTTGATCAATAAATCTGAATGCAAAGATATTCAACAAAAATTGGAGAAATTAATTGAGTTCACTTCACCTGAGACAACTATCAATATTCTCCATGTTTGTTTCGACCAGTTGAGGTATCCAGGAAGAGTTACATCAGTGTTTATTAAATTCTTAGTTTCGTTGATGAAGAAACCGAAATTAGATGAATTAATTGTCACAATTGCACTCGAAAGATACTCAACTCCTGCTCCTCAACCATGGGGAATTAGATGTTTCGTCATGTATCTCGTGACTGATAAAGAAATAGATTTGGAAAATAGAAAGTTTGTCAGTGATTCCCCTGAAGTACAGACTTTCATTAAAGCAATCAAAGCTTCTGTTGTACAACAATCTCAATAAATATAAATTATAAAGTAAATAATCATTTTTATATATTATTTATCTTTTTTTCTGAAGTTGATATTAATTTATTTAGCTCGTAACTCAACTTATTCAATTGTTTAATAACCAAATATTGTCCTAGAAGAAAATCTGGTGCTAATTAAATGTTGAAAGTATGTAAACTATCCTTTTTGAAGACCACTTTAATTAATTACCTTAGATTAATAGTCTTAATGTCAAGAATATTCTATAATTGTAGCTATTATTGGAGAATGTAAGGATAATAATGAAGATCATCATGATGTAGTTCATAAGATAATCGATAATTGGGTAATAATTAGGGAAAACCGCAACCACTTTTTTTAATCACGATTTAAATATATAAGTCGCGATTTTTTAGAAAAATCGCGACTTTTTTAAAATCGCGTTTTTTAATGAATTGCGATTTTATTGTGGTCGCGATTTTTATGGAAAATTGTGATCAAAATTAAACGCGATTTTCTTTATCAATCGCGAACATAGAACAAATCGGAACCATGATTTTGGACCTCATTAAGCGAAAAGGTCGCAATTAAATTCAATAACAAAGCAATTCACAAAGATTTTTTGAATCTAGAATGGCTGTTTATCCATTTTAGACTGCTCACAATATGGTTTTTCTGCATACTTGCCGAAATCAGAGATCTAAAATCAAACAATCTCGATAACAAATACCTCAATCCCACTTTACTGGTCAAAATTCTTGAAGTCTTACTTTACTGCACTAATTAATCATAATTTACCTTTAACTAAAAAATATTACATAAATCTAACAAAAAAACCTTTAGCAATAAAAATACATTTGCTCAAGCCTATCGGCAACTCAAATCTAAAAAACTTTTTATAACATTCTTATTACAATTTTTATTTTATTCTTATATTTATATTTTTTAGTTCACTTTTTAAATAATGATCTTTAGATTGAACCAATAACGCGATTTTCCATATAAATCGCGATTTTTTTGAAAAATCGCGACCACAATAAAATCGCAATTCATTAAAAAACGCGATTTTAAAAAAGTCGCGATTTTTCTAAAAAATCGCGATTTATATATTTAAATCGTGATTAAAAAAAGTGGTTGCGGTTTTCCCTATTATCATAATATACTGAATTTCCGATTTTAGCTACAAAAAAGAAATAACGATTCCAATGATAGCTTAATATCAATCAATAATTAATTTTTCAAGAAGGACGACTTTTGATTGAATTTGTAATTTGTAAAGTGACGAATTCTCATTGGAATGAGTCAAGGTATTATTCAGAATTTCGAATACATTGCAGCTCATATATGCGATTACATTAAGGAAAATAATTTCTTTGATGTATTTGAAATAGAAGACATCAAAAAGATCTTGAAAATTTCAAATTTAACAACTAATGACTTCATTGCCCTTGTTCAGCAGTCTCATCAAACTATCAAAGCAAATGAATTATATATTTGTATTCGAAATACCAATATTTCTATCCAAAACATGGAAGATGTTATTTCAGTTCTGAAATCTTTAAAAAAGTATATGAAACTGGAGATGCTTAATGGAGTTATTGATTTTTTAGATCACAAAGAGAAAGAAACATCTGATCAAAATGAGATTAATGAAGAAAACGCTAGATTAAGAGCTGAAATAGATGAAGATGACAACAAACAGAAAGAAATTATATCAAAAATTGCAGAACTGAAAAATTCCGATGATTTTGAACGTGTCTACAATTTCCTCGATGAACTTTCTTCTCAAGAAAATCAAAAAATGATGTTAAGAGCTTGTGAAGAAGGACTTTGGAAAAAGAAAATTTCAAGTGGATCATTAAACAGGGCTGAACGAAATATACTTCTTATGGCATGCCAAAGAGGAAATCTCAAACTCGTTAAATCTCTCATTGAATATGGATGTGATAAAGACATGCAAGATAAATATAAAGCAACTCCAATTATCTTGGCGTCATGGAATCCTAATCCTGAAATTGTTAAATTTCTTATATCTGTTGGAGCTAATAAAGAAGCTAAGGATAATATGGGGCGTACTGCACTCATTTGGGCGTCATTTTTTGATAATCTTGAAGTTGTAAAATATCTTATTTCCGTTGGTTGCAATAAAGGAGCAATAGATAATAAAGGAACAACTGTTCTCACTGCTGCAAAAACCAAAGTAAGAAATTATCTGATTTCTGAGTTAGGTATGAAATCTGATTAAAAGCAAAATAATCATTTTAAAACTCTTGACTTATATGTAGCTATCAGATTTATCTAAAGAGTTTAGCTCCTACAGTAATCAATGTTAAAATATTTAAAAATATTAAAGTGTACAAAAAATATTCACTTTATTATAACAAGAAACAGCCTAAATAACATCAAAAGTTCTTTTAATTTCATATAAAATGTCAATACTTTCAAACAAATCTTATTTTCCTTTCTTCTTCTTCTCTTTCTTGATCCATTGTCCGTCAGCAGTTTTTCCTGATCTTACAACAAAAGATATCTTTGTTCCTTCCATTAATCCAAAAGACTGCGCAAGTTCTTCTGTATTGATGTTATTTGGATTGAAAACATTTTTCATTGAGTTTTGATGGTAAAAAGTTAAATATGCTGAAAATGCCTCTTTTGCAAGACTTTGAAGTCGATCACTGCTCATAACTTCTTTGAGAGTTGCATCTAGTTCTGTCACTTTATATTTTGAAATAGGAGTTTCTTTGATATTAACTTTAGAACCTTTGAGAACATCAACGAAGTTTGATATGATCACAAAGTCTGCCAGGTGTAGCAATTATCATATTCAGCCCTTGTTTGTACTGTTCTATATCGGTTTTAATATTGGACCCGCCACAAAATAGACCAACTGAAATATCTAAATCTAAAATTAGAGAAGAAACTACATCAAATATTTGGGATGCTAATTCATGTGTTGGTACTAGAATCAAAACCGCAATTCCTTCTGATTTTGAAATATTTTTCGATATTAGCAAATTAATTGCTGGAATTACAAATGCAAGTGTCTTGCCACTGCCGGTTTTAGCAGCTCCTACAACATCTGCACCTTCTAGTAAGAGTGGTATAGCTTTTTTCTGTATAGGAAACATTTTTTCGAATGGTAATTTTGTTAAAACACCCTTTGCTCCTTCACAGACTTTCAGAGATGTGAAGGTATCATCGTGATTTTCGTTTTCAACTACTTCTGTTGAAGTTGCTTCCATGGAAAATTTTTGAAAAGAAATTTTGTATGATTTGAATTAAATATTTGTCTCCTGCAGAAATATTATTAAAATGAAGATGGTATTCTATGTTGCAATTTAATTAACCAATTTAATAAGAAATGTAACAAGTAAAGAATATTGATTCATATCTCGCATATATTAAGAAGATATAAAACAATAGAAGGGCGTTATCTACTGTTTTGAATTTGATATTGTATAACCAATCAGGGTAGCCCGCATCATATCTATTATACTGCTTTCATCCATTGAAGAATTAACAAAGGGGGAAAAATACCATTTATTATTACAAGTTTTAAAACGTAGATACGCCCATCTGACTTTATATCAAATGAAATGACATGAACGCCGTATCATATGGTCTTAAGTGCCAATTAAAATACAATCCATAATTGATTAGGAATCAATCATATTCGGAAAAAAAAATAACAACCAATAATTAGATTCTTGACAGCAACAAAATATAATGATATAAATCTAAGTTTTAAAGACTTGAAAATTTTTAGTGAAATCTTAATGATTCTTATTTTTGGTAGTTCTAGCAATCTCTTGAGGATAAGGCGGATTTGGATAAGCTTTATCGACAAGCTTTTCCTTGATTTTGTCAATTGGATCATCATCAAGTTTGTTGTTAAAAATCAAGTTTTCTAAATAAACTGGGTCAGTATTGACTCCAAACTTTCTATAACTCTTAAAGTTCTCATATTTTTCTTCAAGAACCCAATAAAGATAAATCAATAAGTTTCCGTACTTATGCAATATTCGAGGCCAATTTTCATCAGTAATTCTTCTAACTTTCGATCCTACTTTTGTATATTCAAATTTAATCTGAAAAACCCAAGAAATAAGTTTGAGATGTTCGCACAAACCTGATCCTGATTGTATCAGGTTCAAATAATCATAATATGATGTTAACTCTACTAAATTTCTGATATTTTTCAGGCTTGTAATTTGTATAAAACTAGTCCAAATATCATCTTGTACTGCAGATGGACCAAAATCAGTTTTTCCAGGAATTATGACTTTGTAATTTGGATTTTGAAGGATTTGTTCAATTTTCGGTGGAAAATGGATAATTTTTAATGATGATTTGAAAGTTTCACGAATATCATAAATAAGAGTTAACAATGGAACTGAAAATGAAACTGCGCAAAATCCAGGTTCTTGGTTATCATATAAAAGAAATACGGAAATTACTTTATATTTCTGGGCAATAAGATCAAATTCATTAATTCTTGGATCATTTACATCTTTCATTCGCATAACTTCTGGTCTTCCAGGAAGCCATAATAAATTTGGAACAAGATTGTTGAGAGTTTTTAAATTCGTAAAAATTGAAAGCTGCTTTGATTTAGGCTTTCTGTTTTCTGGGCCAAAAGGAACTGGTGGTTTAATTAAATTAAATTTTTGTAAGAATTCCTCACTTTCTGCTAATATCTGTCTGTATTCATCATTCATATTGACTTGATCTAAAAATGCATTAGGATCATTGATGAGAAACATGCAACTTTAACTAAAATGACCAAAAAAAAATTTAAAAAAAAGTAACTTGTACAAAATATTCTATGAGATCTTCTCAATTTCATATCACTTGGCTAAAACAGAACAAAAAACTATCATATCATTACCTTCAGTGAGATCCCATCTATGCTGTGCATACAATGAATGGCATAAGAACTATTAGCTATGATTTTGATTAATGAAATAAAAGGTTGACCCTAATATAAATTCATAGAAATAATTATAGGTATACGTAATAACGATTTCAAATAAGTAAGTAATATCATAACAGGTTCATCCTATCAAGAAATTCCGAATAATTCGATTCACATAATCAAATTTTTAAAATTCTTATTATATAACAAATAATAATGGAAGATATTTATGTAGACTATAATTCCATTGTGCAAATATCAATATTATCAAACAAATATTTAAATAAACAAAATAATATAAAAATATTAAACAACACCAAACTTATTTTGCCATTGTTCGTACATTTTGAGGTCGTATGTTGCACTAGCAGATGTTCTCTTGAGAGCGCACTCTACATCTGATTCTGAAATCAAATCAAGTTTGAGTTCCTCTTGTAATTGTTCATCCAAATAAGCATCGCCGTATTTTTCCTGTAGATCAGCCATAAGTCTTCTCAGTGGCTCCATGGCCGCTTCTTTGCAAAGGAGATGGATATCTGATCCAGAATAACCTTCTGTTTTCTCTGCGAACGCTTTAAAGTTAATATCTGGTGAAGCAATATCAGGTGTAAGGAATTTCCTAAACATATCCTCTCTTGCTTCGACGTCTGGCAAAGGAACTAAAATTCTTTTTTCAAGTCTTCTCAAAAGAGCCGGATCTAGGTCGAATGGGAAGTTAGAAGCAGCAAGAACAAAGACTAACGCATCAGATTGAACCAAACCGTCCATTTGAGTCAACATTTCTGTTTTCATTCTTCTAGAAGCTTCGTGTTCGTCTTCGCTTGATCTTTTACTCATTATACTATCCAATTCATCAATGAATATGGTGGATGGAGCATGATATCTCGCAAGTTCGAAGAGAACACGAATTAATTTTTCGGAATCACCTCTCCATTTTGAAACAAGAGTAGACGCAGAGACATTAAAGAATGTAGTTCCTTCACCTGCAACAGCTTTGGCAAGCAAAGTCTTACCTGTTCCAGGTGGTCCGTGTAAAAGAACTCCTTTCCATGGAGTAAGTAGTTTTTTGCCTGCAAATAGTTGAGGATAGCGTAGTGGCATTACAACAGCTTCACGTAAAACTCGTTTGGCTCCGCTTAAACCGACAATATCTGACCATTTAACTCCAGGATTATCAATGAAGATATCGCGTGCGATAACACTTGTAAGATCGCCAAAATCTGCACGTAGTTGTGGTGGAATAGGTTTCATGAGGCGGACATCTGCTGGTAAACTTTCTTCTTCCTTCTTTTTAGCTGGAGGTGCTGCTGCAGCAGATGATGAAGTTGGTATTGGTCGTGGAGCAGGTGTGCTCTCATTTTCAAGTGGGTCTGTCCTTTTTGATGTATTTGGAGTTGTGATTTGTGGTTTTCCTGTATTTAGCTTTTTAACTACGCGTGATGATTTTTGCTCACCTGGAGTTAATGGTGGGAGATTTTGTGCTTTCTTAGGAGTATCTGCTTTTTTAGATGGTTTGCAAATTTTTGCTTTTTGACCGTATTTAAGTTCTTGGAATGCTTCAAAGTCGATTAGTGTTTGCATTAATGATACATTATCGCAAAGTTCATATTTGTCTGAAGGAATTCCTGATTCTTGAGCTAATCTTTCTGCAGAATCAACAAAACCATTTGAAATCATGTGATTCATGCATAAGACTACGCAATCGCGTGCTCTCCTCTTGCGCTCTTCCTCTTCTTCATCTCTAGATAATGATTTTAAGTTTGTTTTCATTTTTTTGATAAAATTGAGACAAAGATAAAAATAAAAAACGTGCATTCAAGTCCTTCAGTAAAACACCAAAAGGTATCAGTTGCAAGATATTTCTGAGTTGATACTACGACCGGTTTCAATTATTTTGTCAAATCCAAAGCAATACAAACCGAAGCCATATCTATGAAGTACCTATGAAGATATTATTAGTTGTCTAGACATTTTGGCTGTAATATATAGATGAGATACAAAGAATCAAGAAGAAATTACTAAGATATGAATGATATCAAAAGATTAGTTCTTTCTGCGATTTGAGATGTAATCATAATCTCTATAGCATTGTTTAAATAACACCAAATACTTTATAGCAAAGCATAGAGGTAAAATTTCAAAGAAAGATAAAATCTTACAAATTATTTATAAAGAAAGAAAACAAATGCATTTATATTACTGAAGCTGATTTTTAACGAGATCAGCATATAATCCGCCTTTTTGCAAAAGCTCATCATGTTTTCCTTCCTCAATAATCTTGCCTTCTTTAAATACGAATATCTTATCTGCATTGATAACAGTTGCAAGCCTGTGCGCAACAACGATTGATGTTTTTCCTTTTCTTGCCTCTTCAAGAGACTGTTGAACGATCTTTTCTGATTCAGTATCAAGAGATGCTGTTGCTTCATCAAGCAATAATATCGGAGCACCAACCAAAAGAGCTCTTGATATACATATTCTTTGCTTTTGACCTCCTGATAATGATGTTTTCTCTAACATTGTATTATATTGATCTGGGAGAGTCATAATGAATTGATGTGCGTTACCAACTGTTGCTGCTTCTGTGATGGCTTTATCGCTTGCATTTGTAACTGCATATCTGATATTATCTTTAATTGACATTGTGAAAAGAACAGGCTCTTGTGGAACAACAGAAATATTCTTCCTCAAGTATTGTGGATTTAATTCATTAATGTTTTCTCCATCAACTAAAATCTCTCCGCTCTCAATTTCATAGAACCTCTGTAATAATTGAAGTGTTGTTGTTTTTCCACAACCTGACTCTCCTACTAATGCAACAGTTTCTCCTGGTTGAACTGTGAAAGTGAGATCTTTTACAGCATAAGAATCTTTTCCTGGATACTTAAAGGATACATTCTTAAACTCAACTTTTCCGGTAATTTGTCCATTTGGAACTTTTCCTTCTCTTTGGTTGTTTTGAGCTGGAGCTTCTAATATTTCAAGAACACAAAACCTCCACGCAAACCGAGCGAAATAGATGCGGCTAATGAAGCAAAGAAGAGACTTAATATCAATACCATCAAATCGCCATTCTCCAGTCCCCAATTTGGTCGATTTATTATAATCCATGATGAAAAATACATGAATCCAATAACCATTCCTTGAAGAATTATATGATTGACAAATTCATTAGCAAATTGAATATTAGATCCCTTATGGGTGCAATTATTAATTGAATCTAATGCTTCTTTATATTGGTCACACTCATAAAGTTCATTGTCAAAGGACTTCACTGTTCTAAATGATGTGATAACTTCTTCTGCCTTTTGCATCGAATTTGATTCGCTTTGGCCCAATAAACCAAAAATAGCACCAAGTTTCTTTTGGCTGTAAACGAACACAATACCGCAAAGCGGATATGCAATGAATACAGCAAGCGTAACTCTCCAAGATATAATGAAGCTTAAAATAACACCAGCAACAGCTTGTGCAAGGCATTGTATGGATATCAGAAACTGACTAATATAAACATCATGCATTGTTGTGCAATCATTTGTGAATCTTCCAAGAAGAACGCCTGATTCGTTTTTTTCGTAAAAAGAAATATCTAATTCCATTAATTTTCTGAAGAAATGCTTTCTTATATCAGATATAAAGTATGGACCTGCATATGCAGTCAACGTACTGAATATGCAAAAGCAAAGGATGTAGCAAACTGCATAAATTATAAAACTATAAATTAAATTTGTAACTTTTCCCATGAAATCATCTGATGTCGTCATTGCTGTGGCCATACCACCCAAAATAAGGCAGATTACTACTGGCATTACTCCATATAAAATGTGAAATAGGATTGCCAAAAAATAAACAAACTTCCGATCATAGTACTTTAATATGCGAAAGAATGTGGGGCCACTTCTCGCATTTTTCTGCTCTTCGTGTGTCTGTGGTGCCATTTATTATAAATGCTAAAAAAATTGATAGAGTTTTCAATTCATTGAAAAAATGTTGATGAATAACTTTTCTGAAGAAAACATGTATCAAAAAATCAATTTATGTTCATTTGAGCCTGTAATAAAATAAACATGGATTATCAGTAGCCTTCGATGGGTTTGTAAACTTTTTAATTTTGGGCCAATCATTTCAATTTGAAAAAAAAATTTTGATATCATCAAACTTTTATCAAAAGAAATTAAAACATTGGGAGTTCGTGTATGAGTGAGTATTCATCAGATATATCACACGATAAAGCATCAATCTGTTCAGAACAGGAAATCAAAGAAGTAGAGAAAACTCAAGCAAAAAGAAAATTATATAAAATGGTGTTCTCTGATCCTTGCGCTTATCTTGGTATCATAACATCAGTTATTGGAGGATCGACATCAATATTAAATTATCTAATCCTTGGTTTCATACTCAATGTCTTGAGAGAATATTCATTAGGAACAAACAAAAACCCGATGCACAAAATAGGTATTCTTTTAGCCATCTTAGCAGGAATATCGGTTGTAACTGGTATTTGCAAAGGCCTTTCTGCAATGTTTTGGTTCAGCTCATCTTCGCATATTTCGACAAAAATAAGGAATGAAGTCTTTTCAAACATCATGAAATATGATACTACATTTTTCGACAAGCATGGAATTGGTGAACTTTTGACAATTCTTGGAGAAGATGCAACAATAATTAAAAATGCATTTGGACCGCAAAAAGGAAGTCAATTTGAAGAAGGTGGTGAGTTTATGATTGGAACAATTCTTATCTTCATTTATAATTGGAAACTTGGATTGATAACACTCGCCCTTTTGCCTGTAATGTTCCTTGTTATATTACCATTTAATTCCGTAATGGTAAAGCAAAATGATAATAGATTTGATAATACTGCAAAATCAATGACAATTGCAGAAGAGGCGATAACATCAATAAGGACAGTCAGAAGTTTCAACAGAGAGGAAGAAGAAATCAAAAGATATAATGATAAAACCGAGACAGCGGGGTACTTTGCAGCATGTGGTTCAAACTATACAACATTGATGCAAGTAATTATTAGTACAAGCACATGGACTACTGCTATTGGCGAGATGTATTATGGAGCAACTTTGGTTGATAACAGTGAAGGATCGAGATTTAAATCAGGTCAACTATTTTCATGTTTCGCTTACATCACTTACGGTGCATTCAATTTAATTTTATGCATAGGCAATATTAATACTGAACAAAAAGCAATTAATGCTGCTGCAAGAATATTTAAGTTGATAAGCTATGTTCCGAGTGTTAACTTTGATGGAGGATCAACATATGAACCATTTGTTGGAGAAATCAAATTCGAAAATGTTTCATTCAAATATCCAACAAGATCTGTTATGGTGCTGAAAAACGTTTCATTTGAGGTCAAACCAGGACAAAGCATTGCATTAGTTGGACACTCAGGAAGTGGTAAATCTACTTGTGTACAGCTGATTCAGAGATATTATGACACAACTGAAGGTAGGATTTTAATTGATGGCCATGATATTAAAGATTTGGATCCACATTGGCTTCACAGGAAAATGGCACTTGTTTCTCAAGAGCCAGTTCTATTTCGTGGCACCATTAAAAAGAATGTTTTATATGGTGTTGAGAAGGACAAAGCTGAAGAAGAAATTTGGTCTGCACTTGATGTTGCAAATGCAAAGAAATTCGTCCTCAAATTTGAAAAGCAACTTGAAGAAATTGTTGGTGATCGAGGAAGTACATTATCAGGAGGGCAAAAACAAAGAATTGCAATTGCAAGAGCTGTTATTAAAGATCCAACAATCTTAATTTGTGATGAAGCAACATCAGCACTTGATTCAGAATCAGAAAAGAAAGTTCAAAATGCTCTTGATAAAGTTCTTGAAAAGAGAACAGGAATTGTTATAGCACACAGACTTTCTGCAATTAAAAATGCAGATGTGATTTATTGCTTTGATGCTGGTGAAATCAAAGAACAAGGTAATCACCAATCGCTTTTGGAAAAGAAAGGAATTTACTACAATCTCGTAAATAGGCAACTCCAAAGTAAAGAAGAAACAAACGAGAATCAGGAATAAACATTTACATAATTTTACTTAATTATGCAGATATTTTATTGAAAAAAAAACTAGCCTAAGAAGAGCAGAATTCGATTTAAGAAAGCAAATTATTGGGTTATTGATTAGGCTGTCTTCAAGAATAGATATATCAGGATTATATGAATTTATGCTGTGTTTAGATATTGTACATCGGATTAATGAGATAAGAATCTAATTTATATTAAAATTAGTCAAATTAGTTGTTGGTCTTTATATACTGAGGAAAATTTGGCAGGAATCCCGATATTGAGAGTGAAGCACCTCTTTTTAAAAGAATTACTATTAATAACGAAGATCCTTTATATAATAGTAATTCATTTATCAATATTATCAATCCCCATTTTCAACATTTTTGCTGAATGGCATTATTATTCAATATAGCATTTCTATCTTTTTAGAAAGATCACATTCGCTGATTAAGTTAGAATTAGTATATGTCACTGATGAGCAAACTGAAAATCAAGATGGAGATAATGAATCAAGTAAAATTACATGGGTTCGAAATCAAATCTCGTCTGAACAGTTATCCTTCATCTAAATTCTGATGAAAATAAAATGAGATTATACAGAGTTTTGTCCGTGCACCAAGATCTGTCACTTTTCCAAATCCAAATGGAATTGACTGAATTTATTTCTACATATATTTACGCTATTGAGATCATTGTGTTATGTCTTGTTCAAGAACTTGCATCCAGGTACCAAAGCCATACTGCAGAAAAGACAAGCAGCACAAGCGAAAAGAAAGCTTTAGCAAATCCAAAGAAAATCAATCACTACACTGAAAAAAAGAACAGATTTAACCCAGATGCAATAAATATCAGACAGTCATGGAGTATTCGTGAATCAAAACTCCCTCCACCACCACCAAATCCAGGAAATATTGTCGCTAAATCAACAGAAAAGATTCTTGGCATTCTCACTGGCCCAGCTATTTCTTTCATTACTTGGATGTTCGTCGGTGACAAGCCAGGACTTAAATTACCTTTCGATTTACCTTCATTTTTAGTTCCATTGTTTACAATCGGTCTTCCTGAAGGAACATACACATCCAGAGATATGTCGGCATACGGCCTGTCTTTCATTTTCATGTTGTGCTCTTCTGTTTTTACAAATCTCTTCCCAGTTGTTCATCCTCACATTTACGCCAACAACAAGGGACCACTAGTGAACTACGCTGAAGACTTTATTCTTCAGGATTACAAGTGGGATCTCGAAAACGCTGAAGAAGATCTCGATAAATTCTTACAAAAAAAATTAAAATCTGAATAGAGTATTGGAAGATAATGTCTTCAATTCTTGTTGAAAAGTTCTGGGAAACGTATCCCAATATAATAAAATATGGTTTTTTCTTATAATAAAGTTAAAATTCATGATCTTCTTTCTTTTTATAAATATTAGAGTGTTCTAGTGCAAATACATAGGAGTTAAAAGACTGTATGGATTGCCAATTAGTTCTTATTTAACTTAGCATTCAAAGCAACCTCCTCCGACTTATAATTAACTTGAAATTACTGAAAAAGCAATTCATATAGTCAAATTTTGAATGTTTTGTTAAGTTTCAGTTGCATCTTTCCGTATTTAAATCATATTTAATACAATTTGAATTTAATTTTAGACTTGATAAGAGCTCTAGCCAAAGTTGTAAATTCCCATCATGAAATCAGTCATATTTAAATATATCTACTTGACTTTTTGTATAAAAATCTAATAAAATTTGCTTATAACGACGTCTCTTAGGAAAGCAATGATATTTAGTTTTAAAAATTGTTATATTTAAATATTATATATCAACTTTGCTTTTAAATAAAAAAAAATAAAATAAAATAAAAAAAATTATTTCCTCTTGAACATCTTTCTTGCTTTTTCAGCATTATCTAATGTTTCCTGGTATTGCTTTAACTCGTTCATAGCGTTCATCTTCTGAACCATCTTTGCGCCCTTCTTTATTGGGTTTGCTGCAATCCATTTCTGCTTTGCTATTGCCTCCAATTTCTGGTTGATCTTCAAACAGTAAAATCTAACTGTTCTTGTCTTCTTCATCATCTGCTCGCTGTCGCCACCAGACTGAAGAACCTGAGCGACAATAGAAGCGATTGCTGTCTTAACCATGTTCGAAGCAGCGATTGCGACAAACTCTGGGTCAGGATCAGATCCGTTGACAGCGATTTCAGCTGCAATAATCAGTAACTGTGCAGCTTCTGTGACATCGTGAGCGCATTTAATGATGAATGCTTCGTTGTGGATTTTACCACGCATTTCACGACAGATCTGTTGGCTTCTCTCTAGAATTTCTCCAGCAGTTATCATGATTGGTGTTGCGCATGCAATGATGTGTGCTGCCATTGATCCTTCCTCAGCTTTGATGTCGATTTCGACCTGGTTTCCTTCATCTTTGTCCTGATCTCCTTCATCTTCTTCCATGTAGATGTCGTCAGGAATTTCTTCGTCAATGACAACTGAAGCTCCAATTTGGTTGCTGAACATCGCAAGTCTGTTTGACATATCAGAAATTGCTGATGCTGTCGCTTGCAATTCAGCAGAAACTTCATCGTCGGGTGCAGCTGATGCAGAACCACCTGAAACATCTGGTAAATCTGCATCTGGATCTGGAGGAACATACGCTGCTCCTTGTGTTGCAAGTTCCTGCTGTCTGTCGATTGAATCTTTCAGCTGGGATTGGGCTTCTGTCATCTGTTCTTTGAAGTCTTTTTCACGAAGTAATCGACTGCGAACTGCTGTCATAATTGCTGCAACAGATCCTGCAATTGCGTGGGCATTTGTCTGTTGTGCAACTTGGAGACCTTTCTCTTGTGTTGCCTGCGCCATGATCATGCAGTTCTTGATGTAGTTGTCGCAGGAAATCTTGAATTTCTCAGCTTGGTCAAGTAATTCTTCGCTCGTCGCTTGTTCGTTCGAATAAACTTGGTTGAATTTCTGTAATGCCTCATTATAAGCTTTGAGAGCTGCTGATTGGTCGGCCAAAGCGTCGGTTGGCGCGATTTCGGATGTCAAAGTTGGAACAGTTATGTTTGTGTTGAATTCTGGGACACGGGAAGCGGCAACTGGATCAGGATCGATGATCAAAACATCTGTTGCAAGAGCTGCTGTAGGTAAGAATTTCGATACTTGCTGAACAAGCTTTGTTATGGCCTCAATGATAGGTAATGGAGGAAACTGTAAGGAATAGTCCATCTGTGTGGATGAAAAGATCTCAATTGTTGAAGTTAATTGCTTGAATGAGTCAATAAATGGTTTCTTGGTCTTTCCGATCGCGTGATCCCTGCAAATATTAAATGCTTCGTTCATCTTGTTGTAAGCAACTGTTAACATTGGAGTTGTGTCTTGGAATGTATCTTTATGCAAGCAAATTAAAGAAGCAGAAACACGTCTTACGCATTCGATCAATACCTTTATCAACGTGATGTAAAAGTTGTTCATTTCGAGCTTAAATCCTTCCAAATGCGTTGTTTCTGGATTTGGACTTTCCATCATGTTGATTGTTGTATCGATTTGGCGGGAAACGATTCTGTTGCCTCTTCTGAAATCAAGGGATTTCGATTCGTCGCCTCCTTTGGAAATGGCCGCAAAGGATAATAAACAATTTACTGTTTCAATGATTCTCTGGAGGACATAATCAGGCCTATTGATACCCTTAGATACCAATAACATGTAAGAACTGCAGGAAATCATGAATTGCCTCAATGTAGAATTGAGATATTCTTCAGTATCCCCTGGATTTGAGATGCATTTGATAAGGACGTTGGCGCTGAATCTAAGTTCTTCGAAATGTTCGTATAACAAGTCAATAATCAAAGATTTGTTATTTTCATCGATTTCGGAACTGAAAGCGTTCTTTGAGTCATTGGCAAATATCTCTGCGACCTGTTTGATCAATGATAAAACAGCATCCGGCCTTGTTATCGTTGACAAAATTTCATTTACATGAATAAACTCGACAATGTCATTAGTTTTGTCTGGGAATAGCATGGCCAGAGCTATATAGCAGGACGATGCTCCTAAGGCCGAACAAAGCATATCAACGTTAAATTGAGATTGTAATTTTGCCAGATTCATAACTACGTTAGCTATTGAAGCATGAACGAATGGTGGGGCATCAATCTCTTTAACTGTGATGTATTTGGCCATGTAAGTGACTTGTCTGGCCTTTGCGTAAATTAATCTGACATTTTGGGACGCTTTCTCTTTTTCTGTGGTGAATGAGACCAAAGCGTTAAGAAGGAAGTCGAAAACTTCATGTGTGTGTTTAGATAAATCTTCGATATTTGGAACTGCGCAAGAAACCATCAAACGAAGGATCGACATCAACAATTCCGGAGCGCTCTTTCCAGATATCATCGAATAAGTGTAGTCCGCAACACTTTTAGCCACTTTCAAGATCGCATATGGTTGTTCCGACGCGACTTGGAAGAAAGGAGTGAGAATAGGAAGAGCAGTGGGTGTAACAACAGCTCTAGAGATGATTTTCTCACCGAATGGTCGGAGATTTTGTGACAATTGCTGGTTTTGTGCTTGCATTGCTCTGATTGCCTTCAATTCCTCACTAATTTCGTATGTTTTAGATGGCTGTGGCATTGCGAGGATGGCTGTTTGCATTTCCTGGGCAGATTTAAGTACACCGGCGATGTAAACTTTGAGATTTCCGACATCTTTTGTATTTGTTGGACTAAGAGCTATAGATGCTGGATAAATAACATCGTTATAGCCCTTGATTGTCGCTGGGAATGTCGAAATACTGCCCATTATTTGTGGAGCGACTTCTACAGCTGAACTAGAATATTGGGAATATGACAAAGCAAAGGAATAGTTGAACAAAAAGCCTCCAATGTTTTTGTCCAATGACTCCTGAGAGAGTTTGAGGGATCCAATAAGGCGCTGTGCGACCATAAACAAGAGACCTGAAAAATTGTTGGTATCGTCAGTATAAACAAGCTCTAGAACTGATGCTGGTGGCTTTGCTTGGTCGAATAATACCTTAACTGGCTCCGAAATGATTTGTGCGTCCGTTTGTTGAGATATTGCTTTCACGGTTTGTTCCAAATCGTTGAAAGACTTATCTAATCTGTACGAGGATGATATATCTAGGAAGATATAATGGGGAGCTCCTTGTAACAAAGTAACTAATGAAGTTGCCGGATTTTGAACTTGGGCTGCTGAAGAAATGTAGGCAAGGAGGTTGACGAGGATATCGGCCTTGTTAATAATCATGGCAGAGATCGTCAATCCTGTAATGATAAGCCAATGAGAAATCGTAGCTCCAAGAGTTTTCATGGCCGCGACGCAATCGGCGAACTTCTCTTTGGTCTCTGTTCCTTCGCTGATATTTTCGATTTGGGCTGGAAGCGCAGAAACCGAAATGAAAATTGGTTGAAGGGATTTGATCGTTGGAACATCAACAATCTTCGCTGAAAGGCATGAATTAAGGTAATAGTTCATAAGAGCGAGCTTCTTTGTATCGAAAACGGCTTCGTTTGCACTAATAATTGTAGATGCGGTTGCAGCAAGTTGTCTGAAGGCCGAGCATTTAACAGAAAGTAGTTTGACGCATTGTGTGATCGCCTGTGATAACAATTTGTAAGAAAATTCAGCCTGTCCGCATGTAACTGCGTATAACGTCAAAATAATCGTAGAAGTAATGCAGAACATGTCTGGATCCGAATCGTTGACCTGAAGAACTGAGTTTATGAAGGAAATGAGTTCAGGATGGACTGGTCCATAAATTAATAATTCAGGACGAAGCGATAAAGGATAAGAAATCTGCTTGATAGCAGCCTGTATTGATTCTATTTCCTTTGCAGATACAGATTGGGCGATAATATTTGAAGCTTTGTCAGCAATTGCGTTTGTAGAGAAAAATTGAACTTCCGATAAAATTTGAATGAAAGTCATGAGATGTGATGATGCATCTGTGAAGCATGAGCAGTGAGGAGATAGTGATAGCACTGAGTTGAACGTATCTACGATGGATGTATGAGGATTTGTAATTTCTGAACAAGCCTTGAATAAATCTACAGAGTTGTTGCCCATTAACGAGACTAATGTATTTGCGAATGTATTGACTTTCAAAAGCCAGACATCGATGTTCTTTTTCATAGTTTCATTCGTATTTATTACAGGATCGTTCTTAAACTTGACAAGATCAACAAAAATATTTTCATTAAGCTGGATCAAAGCAGCAATTCTATGGATTTGCTTGTCGTTCGTATCAACTGGTGCTGCATTTTGAGAAACAACGCCTGGAACTGACTGAACGACAGGTAAAACTTGCGAAATAATATTGGTTATTTGCTGGAATGTCTCTTGGAATTGCGGGATGTACTGAGCATATGTTGTAGCTGTAGGTGAAGTAAGTTGTGGGATATATTGAGAGAATTGTTGGATGTTCGAAAAGGCCTCTTGCATGAAGCCAGAACACTTATAGCCTTCCGGCATAAAATTATCGATTATTTCAACAGCTTGGATAGCTGTAGGATAAAGATCTGAAATAATTGCGTAATTATTGGAAAGCAATTGCTGAGGACCGTTAGATATTAATTTAACAAGCTCTGAAAACTGATTGACGCAATCATTGATGGTATTTATTTGAAAATTAGCTCTAACAGCAGCAAGTCCTGCTGGAGTTGTTAAAGCTGCAATATCACTAGTTTTAACTAATGAATCAGGATCAGTTATATGAAACCTTGAAAGATTAGTTATAAAATTAGAAAAAGCAGTCATTTAATTTTTGATGAATTTTTTCAAAAAAAAAGTTATCATTTATTCGATGGATGTTATAATTTATAATGTCAACATTAATAATTTAGTTATATTTTGAACTTTTCTCTGTTTGCGAAAAAGTGATGTGAACTCATTTCATTTTTGCTATATTATTATTTAAATGGTTACAAATATAAATTTAAGCTTTTAGAGTATTTTATGTCAAAAGGTTATTCTTATCAATTTTCCGAAATAAAAATAATTTTGGATTGCAATAACATGAACAGGGTTAATTTTCAAATAAAAAAAGTCAACCAATTATTATTTTTCAATAATTGAATTAGACATTTATTATGATCAGAAAGCAAATGCTATTCTCATTTAATAACAATAAATTAAATTGAACTGTCAAAAAAAGGCTTCTTACGGAGTTGGTTACCAAAAATGTTAATTTCTTAAATTCTATAATATATACTAATGTGCTGGATGTTTTTTGGAAATTAATTGGATATAATTGTCACTTTTATTACTACGCTATATGCCAAGCGAAACAGGTGTTTTTGAGGGAAATCATAAAGGAGAATTTTCGGGGAAAATTGTTGGTGAATTTAATGGGTCTTTCAAAGGGAAAATGACTGGAAAGCTGTTAATTGAAAATTTTGAGGTTTTTAATGGGACATTAGATGGCGAAATGACAGGTCATTTTATTGGAGAGCTTGATGGATTTGGGTATGGAGAATTTAATGGCACTCTTACAGGCAAGTTAGATGAATCAAGAACATAATTTAATTAATCAAGTTTAATTTGAAGATATCTCGTTTTGTTTTCCCTAATACTTCGAGACATTGTTGTTTCGAACTCCAAAATTTATACTTGAAGTCTTTTATGAAAATAATTAGTTTTCTTATCAAACAGCAAATACAAGCATATTCACTAACATAATTATGTTACAGTATGAAAGGTAAATCATTAAGAATGTGATTCCAAAAATCTCATATAAATTAATCCGAAGCACAGCCCGCTCTTATTCTATATGTATATTACTAATAAAGAATTAACTTGATTAAGGCTTAATTTTTTTAACTCCTTAAATTACAAAATCTCGAAACTAAAATCACTTTAGAGGCGAGATGGAATGGTTGCATGCATATGTTCATTAAAATTACTATCTCGTTCATCTCCTTATAATTCTTAGATATCTAGTAAATATCACTCAAAAAAAAAAACGAATAGAATCATTCTATTCTATGAACTAATTACATATTCATGCTGAGCAAGTCAATACTTATTGTATTAAAAATATCGATATGTAAGTTAATTTTTCGATCATCAACGAAAACAATGCAAAATTGAGTCTTATGAATATAAAAAAAAACATTATATCTATGATAAGAGTGAACCATAAAGGTGTTAATATCAAAGGTTTAGAAATAGAAATAAAAATTGAGTGTCGATGGAAAAAATGCCAAAGATTCTTCACATATAGGTTCCAATATATGTTATATGATGAATCGAAATGTCGTTCTAATACAATCCTTGATTGAGAGGTTACCCTCAATTTTTGACTTTTGCAACTTTTTCATGACCCCCTACCCAGGTATCTAAAATACCATTTATCGCCTGAAAAGCACCCTTAATTTATGCCAATTGACAAAATAAAGATATGTTTAGAATGCTGATATGATGGAGAATCATGCTGCATCATTATTGGCCAGCAATATATAATATTTAAGAAATCTACGAGATTATCTGATTTCATGAAACTCAATGTATACTAAGTTTCAGACTTTGAAATTTTAACATGTTGATATGGGTACATAGGGTTTATGATTCCAGTCATTTATTTAAAAAATTACAAAAATGAATTAATATGATGTGAGTAACAATGGTAATAAACGCTTAATTACTAATATATTATTTCTTGGTAGGAATGAAATGTTTTGGTGACATTTATAGAAGTTAAGCTGAGAATCAAAAATGCAAAAATTATTTTAAATATTACAAGCATTATTTGATGTCATTGAGTTTAGAGTCGTGTAGATATATGAGTACAATATGTTATTGATGTATATATGCAATAATTGTGAAAATGAAATGTGAATCTCAAGATGAGTTGCATGTTACTGCGCTATAATTTGAATTCAATACGTACATAACATTACTAAATGTATTTTAAGATAATACAAAAAATTAAGCTTGCAAAAAGATATCGAAATGTAATTTTCATTAGATTCAAAGTTCTGAATAGATTTTGATTTTAACTATTGATGAGTTTGTCAAACCTCTATAATAATAGAATGTAGAACTAATTAAATATAATTAATAAAAAAATACAAATTTAAGTGATATTATAAGAGATATATGTGATGTTACCAATATGATATGATATTGGAGAACTGATAGAATTGTGATGTGAGACTAAATATGATTTTATTATGAATAGGAGAATAATATTAGAAGAATTTCTTGAATTTAATGTATCTGAATATGTAATTGGGCATATATTCTATATATATATTGGTAGGTTAACTAGAAATAAGAAGATGAAAGATTGTTAATGAATAATATGAGATTAAGCGAAAATATATTGTTCTAATAGATGAGTGTTGAGATCCAATATATATGAAGAGGGATATGTGAGAGGAAATATGTATATTTAATAAAATAAGCGATGAGAGAAAAAATAACAAAGATTTATATGAAATTTTGAGTATTGAAAAAGCTCGATTAGTGATTTTATGTCTGTTAAAGGAATAGATATTCTAGGAGAAAGATAAATTGAATTAAAGAAGAATAAAAAAAGTTGATTAAGATTGATAAAAATATTGAATTGTATGACAATGGAAAGAAGGAATAAATTGGTGTTGGTATGACGGTATCATTTCGGGAGACATTGCCTCTGCATGTCTCCCAGAATGAGACAATCTTCTGCAATCAGAATGTGATTGCAAAACTTTGACCGACAAGAGTGTATTGTGCACTCCTGTCGGTCGCAGTGTCTCATTCTGGGAGACATTGCCTCTGCATGTCTCCCAGAATGGAACAATGTTCCGCATTGATAACTTGAACGCGGAAGTTTGACCGACAAGAGTGTATTGTGCACTCCTGTCGGTCGCAGTGTCTCATTCTGGGAGACATTGCCTCTGCATGTCTCCCAGAATGGAACAATGTTCCGCATTGATAACTTGAACGCGGAAGTTTGACCGACAAGAGTGCATTATCCAATCTTTTTTGTCATATACCTCAACCCACAAAGACAAAACCTTACATAAAATAGGTAAACTTTGGTTTTCACTTAATAATGTTTATTTTTAATTTTTTGTTCTTTATATAACTTTTTCTTCAACTAAACTATTTTACAGACTCTACTGAGCTATCCTCACATATATACCTGTGACAATAACACATATATACTCCCTTCATATTCTGATCTCATGACATATTACAGCACAAACTATAATTATATAACATACCTCATAAAGTCTGATTTTACCCCTATCTAAGCGTTCAAAACCTATTTTCCCCGCGTAATCTGATTCTTCAGGTTCCGCTGATTCGATTTCTGCTGTCAGATCGTGAAAGGAAAATATTAAGTTGTGTATTTTGTGTTTATCTCATTGTTCAAAACCTATTTTATTGTTTTTGAAGCCCAGAATTAGATGCCAATCGAGGATAATTAATTGAATAGGCAAAATAATATTTGCAAAGTTTTAAATTTAAAAATATGGTTTATGATAAAATAAAGTAGTATATGAGTGCGGGTTGTGTGACTTTTTTTGTAAACGTAAGAATTCATACAATATTGAACGATTTTGTATCATTTTTTTTTACATATGAAGTAAAAAATGTATGATTCTTACGGTTTTTATTCTTACGTTTTTGAATAAATCAAGATTTAAAAATTTTCAAAATTGTAAGACATTTACACTCAACCCATACATAATGAAATAAAAAATAAAAAATAAAAATTTTAAAAAATAAACTTTAAAAATTCATGTCTTACATTTTTTGAATCATATATTTTTTATTTTGTATGAAATGAGCGTCAAAACTAACAGCGTTAAAAAATTGGGATTCACAAATGAGGAAATAAAGGAAATATTAGAGGAAGCGGGTTATGAAGTTGATAAATATTATTTAAGAAATTGTCAAAAATTTGCCGAGTTTTTAAATGAGTTTGATTATGATGGAAAAATGAATAAAAATGATGTTATAAATTTCTTATATCCCACATCTAAAGAAGAAAAACCTAAAGAACCTGATGTTTTCCCTGAATATTATGAAGAACGAATTAAAGATGATGAATATGATGAAATTGAAAGACTGGAAAAAATAAGAGATGAAATAGATGAAAAAATTAAGGAATTAAGAGAAGTTGAAAAATATAATGAAAATGAAGTAGAGGGTTTAATGAATATCCCAGCTTCAGAATCAGAAGTTCAGAAATCTCATGAAGAAAGATATAAAAATTATGTCTTAGAATCAACACAAAATTTATTAGATGGTGAAATAGATGAAACACTTTCAGAAGAAGGAACTAAATTTATTCGTAAACATAAGTTACAATTTATTGATAATGAAGAATACCCTTGTATATTACTTTCACCACCTTTAGATTCTGAGAAATTCAAAAAAGCTCTTAAAAACGTGACATATGCAACTAATACAATTAAGAAAGAAGATCATGATATTTACACAAATTATTATTTAAATAAATGCACAGGTGTTGATAAAGTTTTTGATTTATTAGATAAAATATCAAAAGAAACCATTGGAACCTATAAAATTTTGTGTGATTGTGGTTTCATTATTGAAGATACCAATAATGTTTTATATGAAAGAACAGCACCGAAGGAAGATGAAGTTGAAAGGTCTATACCATTCGTTATTAAGAACATAAAAGATATGAAAACATATAAACATTATATTTATTCATTTATTTCAGAAAAAATGGAAGCAACCCATAAAACATCTTCTCATCATTTTATAGCTATTCATACATTCCTTTTCAAAGTTGTGAAATTAAATAAGACAGGAATTAGATTTAATGTATCAGGGTATGCATTCTTGAGTAAATTAAAATGTATTCGTCACGTCGCCGATGATAAAAATTTATGTATTCTTAATTCATTTTATGGACTTTAATAAATAAACATTATTTTTATTTATTTTTTTTAATTTTTTTCTTACATAAATGAACAAAAACGGAACAGCTAAAATGAATGATAATCAAATTAGAGCAGAAGGTAGAAGGTTATTTAAACGCTTCTATAACATTCCTGATGGTGTTAATCCTAAAACTCGTAGAAGCTATTTAAATGAAGCAATAGATGCATATGAAGGGTTTGACATTTCATCAGAAAGTGAGAGATTAGCGAGAATGTTAAATGTTAATATTGATTTCTATTATTGTGATCCTCAACCAGAAGACGTGGACATAAATAAGGTAGACTTTCCATTAGTGGAATCAATAATGATAGATCCAGAATTTGAAACAGTAAATATTTTATTAACACAGAGTCCATGTGGAAAACTTCACGCTGACAGAATAACAGACGTTGAAGCACTCACCGGCTATAAAGTTTGTCCATATTGTAAAGAAGAAGTTTATTCTATTCGCGATGATCCAGAAAGGAAAAACCAAAGAAGATTTTTAAAGCATTGTGAGAAATGTAAAGAAAATAATGGAAGATTAATTCAAGACGTTCAATTGCAAAAGACACAGCAACCATATGCACCACATATTACGAAACAGAAGATATATCAGTGGTTATTAGCTCACAATTTGCAGGAATATTAATCAACCGACAAGATATTATATTACTTTTGACTTTGAAACATTAGAGACTAAAGAAGAATTACAACTTTCTGAGTGTGCAACTTTGAACGCTTACTTAAAACCATTCATGGTATCATCAACGGTTAAATTAAATGATAAAACATATACGAGGAATTTTTGCTTAACTTCGAGTGATTCTTTTATTTCTGATTGGATTGAGTTTTTATTTTCAACCTGTTCATTAGTTGCTAAATCAAATATTGAACAATATGAAGAATTATTGAAGCCGCAAACGGTGGGGACTTTGTCTCATACATTAAATGAAAAACAGAAGGAAGCATTTAAAGAACTTCTAGATGAGGAATTTAATAAAGTGAATATCATAGGTTTTAATTCGGGAAAGTTTGATTTAAATTTAATTCTTCATGATTTAAACACTGCAAAATGGAAATAAAATCAATGCTGGGTTCATCTTCACAATTTAAGCAAATCATTGTAAAGAAAACAAACGTTCCATATGAATTGAGATTTATTGACATCAGAAATTATATAGCGGGTGGGACATTAGACCAATTCACTCAAGATTTCGGAAACAATATATCACGTGTTAAATCCTTTTTCCCTATATCAATTCATCACATGGGAAAATTACGAAGAAGAATTATATAAAGTGGAACCATTCACGAAAGATTCATTTTATTCAGCATTAACTCAAGAAACTATATCAGATAGTGATTATCAAATATATCTCAATGATGCTAAAAAACTTTAAGAATAGATTAGAATATTTTATTCATTATTGCAATAAAGATGTTGAAATTATGATTGACCCAATTGATAAAATTATTGAAGAAACATTTGTTTATAAAATTGATATGCTTCATAATCTTTCTTTATCATCGAATGCTTCAATGATTCGTTACGCTTTAGCATATAAAGACTTTAATCCTAATAAAAAATATCCTGAGGAAGAGATAGAATCATGTTTTGAATTAACGAAAAAGTATTGGAAATATAAAATTGAATCATATAAGAAACAAGATGAAAAAGCAGAAAGGGATAGTAAAAATAATGTTTCAATGGATGATTTTCAATACTATCACGATTTAATTCTTTCATCTAAATGCAAAATGTGTGGTAAAGCGTTTACATATGCAAATAAACCAACATTGGATAGAATCGATAATGAAAAACCACATACCAAAGAAAATTGTCAGTTAATGTGTTGTTATTGCAATGTCGTAAAATCATAAAGATGAAGGATGATTTCAACGTTTAAGATAATCATTTAAGAAAATTATGCATTAAAATATAATTTACCAATGACTTTAGATTCAGTTGAAGCTTATCACATTCTCCGTAATGGAATTACTGGTGGTCTATCAAATGTTCAACATAGAGTAAATCTTAAAGGAATCACGCACATTAATAAACTTTCATATAATCCAGAAACTAAAACTGTATCAAATGAGGACACTTCCAACATTATGACTCATTTCGTTGGTGTTGATTTTAATTCATTATATCCTTCATCATTTTCATCTAATCCTCATGATTTCATTCAATATACTGACCATAAAATGTATATGCTGGGAAGATTGAATGGTGTTATCATTTGTGATACAGCAACAAAGAAAGCAAAAGCATTGGGAATTATTAGAAAGAAAAATACTTTATTCGTGGCTGAAGTAAAGGGTCACATTGATGAAAAATACATTAATGATTACATAAACTTTTTACCGATAATAAGAAACTTAGATATTATCACAGATGAAAAAACAATTGGTAGTTTTATGTATAATTACATGAAATCAAACAATCTACCAGTTGACCAGAAACAGAGGAAATTAACTCAGTTAGCATCAACACACAACCAATATCAACCATTTTCTTCTTATTATCTTTGGTATCTAATCGACAGATTTCATTTTATCATTGATGACATTCAATCAATTTTAACATTTACTAAAAACACTTGTTTTAATGAATTTGCGAACAAATTTATGAACGAAAGACAAAAGGCTGAATTAGAAGGAAATAAAGGAAAAATTTTATTTTGCAAGATTTCACTTAATGGATCATATGGTTACGATGCAATGAATACACAAAATTACGCAAAGACTAAAATAATGAATGCACAGAAGGCACGCATTGCATGTATGTCAAATAAGTTTAAAAACATAAGAGAAATAGGTGAGGATACATATCAAGTGATGCTCAAAGATAGATTTTATAGATGTGAAACATGTTTACAAGAGGCATTCTTTACTTTAGATAATGCTAAATACTGGTATTTGGTTTTCATTTATGATTTTATGTATAAATGTATGAATGTTAATCGTTTTCATTTCATTGAAGGTGATACTGATTCATCTTATTGGGCAATCGCTGGCGATCCAAGTCTTCCTAACACTCAAGCATTTCAAGCAATTGTTACCGATAAACAATTTTATGAAAAAAACATTTTCAAATTCGCACCATTTGATTTCTTCTGTTTTGATGAGAAATTTAAACCTAAATTAAAGAATAAAGTTGAAGAAAAAGCACATGAGAAGAAGTTATTGGGTTTAGCAATTGAGAAACAAGGTGATAACATGGTTGCTTTATGCCCCAAGTGTTATACATCATTCAACGGTTCAATTGATGGAAGTGATTTTAAAAAGATTGCACAAAAAATGAAAGGTGTTAGTTTAAGGCAAAATAAACAATTAACACCTAAAAATTATTTGGATATAATAAATGATAAAGTGATATTTGATGGTCAGAATATTAATTTACAACTTAAAAACGGGTCAATGACTCGCTTAACAATCGGTAAGACTGCATTAACAGGAGCACACACTAAGGCTGTATGTTGTGAAAATGGATGTTGTATGCCATTTATTTAATACAATTTGAAATTTTATTTTTAAAAAAAATGGGATTCACAAATGAGACAAAAGGAACCGTTAATGATGGTTTTGATTCTTGATCAAAGAGGTGGACACCCTTAAAACACTTATTTTATTTTTATATAAATGAATAGCGTAGATTTAAAAAATTTAATTGATGATTTAGTATTTAATCAAAATTTTCTTGATTATTACGATTTAAAAGCATATCTCCAAAAATATGATGAAAATATAATGGGTGATGATATGGAATATTATTATCCATATTATAAAAATGAAATTTTGAAATATCATGATAAAATAATTTCTAAAATTAAAGACAAAATTAAAAATAATGAATATATAAAGGGAAAAACTAAATCACAACTTAAACAATTGAAAGATTTCAAAAATAAAGTATTAACAGAAGAAGATATTGATGAATTATATAATTTATATAATCCCGAGCCGCAAAAAACAAAGATGCAAAACACCCAAGTCCTTCAGACCATAAGTGATGCACAAGCTTTAATTTATGATTCATTAGTTAAACCACACTCAGCCCGACTTTTAAATGAAGATCAACTTTTGGAATTCATCCTTCAACATAGACGCGAAGCAGGAAAGTATATCAAACCTTTATATACAGCATATTTAAAACAAATGAATAGAATACATCCGGAATTAATGAAAGGAGGAATGAAATCCAAAATCAAAGCAGATAAAATTAAACCACTTGCAACACCAAAACCTCCAACAGTAGTACCTCCTCCTTCAGTTAATCCTTCATCATTCACTTTATTATATCCATTTCAAACATTAAAGAAGCAAAAAGATTTTAAAAGGGATTTCAAGATATTAAATAAACCAACTGACCCAAAAATTCAACCGTTAAAGGAAAAATTTAGTCGCCCCTCATTTGCACCATATCCATATTCATACGAAATCGATCATTTAGAATATTCAAAAGGAAACGTTACTTATTTATTTGCCATTAACATTAACACCAGATATTTATATTGCATTCCAGTGAAAGGGAAAACAGAACAGGAAACAAGAAGAGCTATTCAATACTTACTAGATCATGAAAGAGTAGATAATATCAGGGTGATGGTGATAAAGGATTTCAGGCAGCTATGGCTCATTATTTCCCACAAATTAATTTTTACTTTTCATCCTCTCCATATACGTTTCATAATAAAATAGTTGATGCAGTAATGAGAACTCTTAGAGATGCGTTAGGGGTTAACGGTCAGATATACTGGGATGGAAATCATGACTCTATCATACAGCAGTTAGTATATTATTACAATAATACATGGCATAGAACTATAAACATGAAACCAGTGGAAATGAAAAATGATATCTCAAAAGAATGGGAATATATTAGAAAGCAAATGGAAAGGTTAAATGATGTTAAACGTGAACAAATTAATTCGGGGCTCATGAATTTTAAACAAGGAGATAAAGTTTTGATTCATCTCGATTATGGAAAAACTGATAAATCAATGACAAAAAGAAGACGAAGATTTGACACAATAGCTGAATTTGTTAGATATATTAACGGCAATGCATTAGTTGAGGTTAACAATAAATTAATAGAAATTCCGATTTATTTTATTACTCCATTATATTTAAATAATATTTAATTTTTTTTATTTCGTAAGAAATGAGTGACAACGAAGCAACCAAGAGTCCGGACGATGAATATAAAAAGAAACTAAACAGAATTAAATCAAAAATATGCTATTATAAAAAGAAGCCGCAATGTGGTGGGGTTGAAAACGATCAAGAGAGGAAAGAAATAATCGAAAAATTAGAAACTTATCGTTCAATCATTAAACTGAGTGAAGCAAAAATAAAAGAATTTAATAGAATAAATAAATTGATTAGAAGAGATGAATTTAATAAAGATGAATTTTTAAACTCAATCCAAATTTAATTTTTATTCCTCATCTTCTTGGTTTTTGTGGTTTGTTGTTTTTTAATTTGTTCTTGCATCATTTTTATCATTTCCTCCCTTGTTATGATTCGTGGTAAATTTTGAGCTTGTGTGTGGGGGGGGTATCCATTTATATAAAATTTGATGTTATCAGTTAATGAAAACATTAACGAAACCATTAACGATAAAAATATATTTCCATGACTGTTGTCAAAATGTCATGTTGTCTCATTTTTTCAGAGAAGTTAATTGTCATGGTAGCAGTGAAATAAAATTTTGTTATCAGTTATTTTATCATCATTTTATTAACTTCATCTTTAGTTAATAATTTGAATGGATTCGCTAATGTTCCACCTTGAGTCACAACACTTGCCCCGGCTAATTGTGAAGAACCTGGGATAAGTACTCCATGAAATGATTTCATTGGTAACATTAATTTAGAAATAGTTGGCTTAATTAATTTTGTCATTTATGATAAAAATAAAATTACATAATTTAAATTTTTTTCTTTCTCATTTTCTCATCCTGTTTTGGTTTCAGCAACTTTTCAAGTTGTTGTCTTGTCAGTAACTTGAATTTTAACTTTGGATCAAATATTGGGTTTCCATCTTTATCTCTTCCAATAACACCATATGGTAGAATCTTCATTTATACTAAAATAAAAATTTAAATTATACCGTTTGCTCTTTTGGAGCTCAGGACTTTCAGTCCGTTCTAAAGTTTGTTTCACAAACATTGAGCGTTCATTGAACTCTATACCATGCGTAAACTGTCATGTAAGGTGGCATGTATTCTTTACTTTGTCCTGTTGTTTGTGTATATCCTGAAACGAAATGTGTATGGTTTCCTTCTCCCTGAGTGTCACTCCAGTAACAATTTATAGCAAACTTAACGTCATCTTTAACATCATATCCTTTACCTTTTGTCATTCCTGACCAATCCCAATATCTATGCTTATGCCAACCCGCTTGAGATGTACTTAAATCTATGTAGTGACTGTGTGCAGGTAAATTTTCACCTGTAATCGTTTTACTTCCCCCTGTTTCCTTTGATGAGTTTGCACAATACAAAAACCTGTCGACTATTTGTTCCCATGCACCAACACCAAACATTACTTGAGGACCTCTTGCATCCATAGATGTATAAATAGAACCTACTGGGTTCATTAAATCAAACATATGAGATATTATAGGATTGTCTCTTTTGAACTTAAAATATAGTGCAACTATTTCAGGTTTCTTTTGGTTTGTGTCAGAATATTTTTTATAATATAATCTTATGTTTTCAGGGTGGGTAAAATCTTGACTATAATATTTATTTCTGTCATCTGTATAATAATATACTATTCTCGTTTTTTCTATTGCATTATATCTTTTATATCTATAATAATCTAAATATAATGTTAACTTTTGTTCATCTACATGTGGTGTTCTGACATCATCTCCATAGTCATAATAATATGGTGCTGGAGCTGGGTCAGCAATGTCATATCCACCATTTCATAAACTCTTAAATATTTCTTTTGTTCGTCTCCATATAAGTTTAAGTAACAGTTGTTGTCTAATGGAACTTTAACTTGTGTGCCATCATTCTTTTTATAACTTACATACATTTCATTGTTATTTTTCGGAATGAGTTTACACCGTGTACCATTTTTTAAGGACTGTACAAACTGCCATCTAAAATATTTATTTTCTTCATTGACAGAAAAGTCACCAACAATAGTTTCAATATTTTTTGTTGTTCCTATCAAACTTTGGTATATTTCGTTAACATATTCCTTATCCGCTTTCTTCTCTAACTCATCATTAACATAAGTTTTATCCGCTTTAAGGTCTAAACATCCTGAAACCCATCCTGTATCAGCTTTAGTTTTAAAAATCTTCGATGTCCATTCATGATACCATTCAACCCTTTCTTTAATTTCATTATCTTTTTCATCAACATAAACCAAATTTGCCTTCTTATTTAATTCACTAGCCACATATTCCTTATCCGCTTTCTTCTCTAACTCATCATTAACATAAGTTTTATCCGCTTTAAGGTCTAAACATCCTGAAACCCATCCTGTATCAGCTTTAGTTTTAAAAATCTTCGATGTCCATTCATGATACCATTCAACCCTTTCTTTAATTTCATTATCTTTTTCATCAACATAAACCAAATTTGCCTTCTTATTTAATTCACTAGCCACATATTCCTTATCGCTTTCTTCATTATGTCATTTAGGAAACCTTTTATGAATTCTTCATTTAAATTAAATCTTCCAATCTTCAAAACTTTGGGAAATGCATTTAATGCGTAATATCTTTGTTCTTCTGGTGGAATTGATGTTATATCATCCGTTATACCTTTAATTTTAGAATTCATAAATAAAATTTCTTTTATATTTGATATCACTGCACCACCTTTGCAAACGAATTCGAAACGTCATTTTTCAATACTATCTCCAAATCTCCATATTTCAACCTTTGTGTTTGTTCTGCCGTCTTTGAATTATATGCATATATGGCGTATGTAATGGTTGAAGGACCTGGGTGCTTTGTGCCTTAAGTTGTTGTGGTTGCTGTTGTTTAATCATTTATTACGATTTAAAAATAAATATTTAATCCGTTATCTCATCAGCTATTTTTTCTATTTGAAATTGCCATAATATTTCATTCATAAATTCTAAATCACAATCAAATAGGTCAGTTATTCTAAATTTAATATTTGATAAATCTTTTGAATGAAGAATAAATGAATTCCCGGATAATTGAAACGGATATGATAAAGAAAATGTGTTTAAGTTGATGGATAAAATGTTTTGTATTGATGGGTAAGAGTTAGGGTCTAATGTTTGATGTGAAAATCTCATTGGGGTATTAACTTTATCACATTTGATTAAAATGAAATTGGAACCAGTGTCAGAATACAAAACATCCCCAACATCTTTTTCAAAATTTAATATCCCCAACAATGAACGAATGAGGAGTACAAAATTTAATTTTCAGCGGGAATTTAATAAGGTTATTTATTTCATCAAGTTCAAAAAGTTTTCAGGTTTTGATTTAAAATTTTCTTCATACCATACGATAAATGATTCATTTAAATAACTTAAAATCATGTTAATATCCCATTTCGCTATCACATTATTTATATACATATCATACGTTTTTTCATGGTCATCTTTAATAAATGATATATAATCTGAAGGGTCTAAAAGAATGGGATTAAATTTACCACTCACAGAAACGAGAGTAACATTATAAATTCCACTAACTGTTAAATTTAATTCACAACTATTATTCGAAATAATATTGATAATTGACATTTTTTATTACGATTAAAAATATGGTAAAGCGTTATTTTCCAGTGATAAATAAAACTAAATAAGATTACCTCAAGAATTCATAAATTCAACGAATAAAAATTCATTCATGTTATAAATTTTAGTGTTTTCAGAAAATATGAGTCGATGTCATATTCATCATCGGGTTATATTTCACTTCATTCAAATTTAGTTCAATCAAACCCATATAATGACCATTTCATAAGATTTTCAGATGGTATTAAAAATGTAATTGATAGATTAAAATATGAACAGATTGACAATATCGAATTTTTGGAATTTTGGTTTAAATATCCTGATGGAAAAAAGATTGAAGTTAAAGATAAAGCTGATACTATAACAAAAACAATTACAATGACTGATCCAGATAGTGGGGAACAAAAAGAAATAAAACAAACGATAGAAACTGGTGAAAGGTCAATTATTATTGATTATGATTCAAAGGATTATTATTCGATAATGTTAATGCTTGAATATTAAATAGCCTTAACAAAGAATTTTTCAAGTGATATTTTATATTCATCAACTATTTTATTATAAATATCATTATATGTTAAATGAAGTTCAGTTGTTGTTCCGTTCTTTGATATCTTAATTGTGCTAATATCCTTTATAGGATTTATTTTTGCAACTATTCCGCAGCATGAAACCTCATCATCTATGAAAAATTGAATCTTAACGTCTGAATCTTGAACATCACAAAGAATGGCGATAATGTGAATTAATGATTCATAAGGTAAAATAATTAAACCGGATTGGTCAATTAAATTTATTATTGAATCATAATTATTAATTATTATATCACGGTAAATTTTCATTAATTCAAAATTAATGTCTATTTTATATGGGTTCTCGATGTTTGATGAAAGAGGTGGGGTATGTTGGATAAGTGGGAATTTCAACGGGTTCTTTACCAGGTTCAGATAAAATGATTGGGTCTCCATTCTCATGGTTTTCTTCATTCTCCTCATTCTTCGGTAAGTCACGAGTTAATAAATTTGGTTGAGTTGCTGACCTTGTTAATTCAGGGCTAACATTAACTTTAACATTTTGAATAATTCGTGATTTATCATCATTTACGTTATAACCAACCGTAATCTCTGCTTTTGCGTTAGTGTTCTTTTGACTAGTGAAACGTCTTCTCATTTATATTCGAATAAAAAAAATATATTTAAACTTTTATTTTGCTGGAACTTTTGAATCTATTATTCCCTGTATTTGTTCATGAAGTTGATTTTTAGCTGTTTCATCGAAATTAATAGACCGAATATATTCATTAATTGCATTCTTATAATCAACTGATTTCTCAAATTTTCTTTTATCTGATTCCTTAACTAAATCATAAGTTAAACCTCGTTGCTGATATAATGGTTTCTTAATTAAATCTTTGAATGCTTGAGATAAAGCACCTGATGCAATTCTTGCTACTATAATTGGTTGGAATTGCTGTTTAAGTTCATCTTTAACATTTGCGAAAACTGGATCGAATAAAGCAACTTTAAAGAATTTCTTAGCTGAAATTTCAGGTCTAATATTTGCATATTGACCATCAAACTGGTTAGAATATCGTGGTAATCCATCCGGTCCCTCTTCAATAGCATTTAATTCTTCATTGAAATAAGAATATGGATTATGACGGTATGAATTAATTGGACCATTTTCACCTTCTCCAATGTATTGTTTAACAGCTTTTCCATTTTCATCAAATTGCATAGGATAATGTTCATTATATGCTTTACGTTTAGGATAATCAGATACAGTTAATTTATAACCATTTATGACTTTAATATTACCTTGACCATCAGTAACGAAAACTTCATTTATACCATCAGGTTTTCCATTTGGACCCGTAATGTCTGCTTCGTGTGCTTCCCAATTTGGACCATGACGTTTGGCATATGCTTGAGCTTCTGGTAATGTTAAAACGTTTCTCATTTGTTTAACATCTTTTTGAAGACCAGCAACAATATGAACTAATTCTTTCATTCCATCGGGAACTTTCATAGTTCTATTATATGCACCCCTTTTGTTTGTCCCTTGTTTTAATGGAACTTGTAAAAGATTTGCTATTTCTGTCATGTTTAATTATAAATAAAAAATAAAAATTAATTATAAAAAGTTAATCAAATTTAACACCCCTTTATTTAAATCAACTATTATTTTTCCATGTTCACCTAATTGCTGATATTGTGTGTAAAGTTCATTAATGCTCATTGGTAAATTCACTTGATAAAGCATAACGTTCAACTGTTGACGACTAAACCCACTGAAAATGAAAAGTGTTGATAGATTTGATTTAATGTTTGTGCTTAATGCTTTGAAATATTGAACAGCCATAAAAAATGAACACTGAATGTGTCGACATTGAGTTAATAACTGATTAAAATATGATTTCTCATTTGTTATTAGTTTTGATTTCACTGCATCATCTAGAAAAATGAGTGAATGCAAAAATTCTTTATCAAAATTTGAAATGGAAAGTGTTTCAAATAATTCATCCGTTGTTTATCAATAATTTTATCCTCTAATCCTTGCTTCTTGATTGTATTATATAATTCTTTATACATTAAAAAGTTTTTTAAATAATCTTCTGCTTCTTCTTGTGATAAATAAATAATTGGAATTTTGATTAAATGCTTTAAAGATTCAAATGTATCATCTGAAGGTGAACCTGAACGGTTGATATAAATTAACACATGTGAATGGGGGGAAGTGTTAGCAATAATGATAATTTGTTTTAATATCGTTAATGTTTTACCTTTATTTTGTTTACCAATTGCTGCAGTGATTGAATTTAAGTAACATTCAGAATATGGAATTTTCATTAATTTTTCCTTAGATAGAGCATTTCTATTATCACTCAATGCTTCATTAATCATATCATCTACGTATGTATTATATACTCCTGCTAATTCTTCATAAGGGGTGGATGAATTTAAATCCATTTAATCAAAAATAAATTTATAATTTTAAACATTTCTATTCATCAATATTTCATCATATGAACTTCTATACTGTGGTGGTGTACCTGTTGATGATATTTCAAACCTTCATCCGGTGTCCATGTCCAATATGTAGTCCTAGTAAACCAAACCTGAGGAGGATTTGTCACCTTTGAACAGTAAGTGTCATTTTCACCCTGAATGATTGGATAAGCTTTCACTTGTACTGTAACTTGTGAGTTGAAAGTTTCTAATCCATCAAAGAATATACCCGCTCCATCACGTTGAACTGGAATAGTGCATAAGAATGAAGTTTGGTCTTTCCATGTTCTAGCTAATGGCGTGCCATCATCTGCATTCAGTGGTCTAGTTAATGAGTCCTCGTATTCTTCCGTGCATTCATTCACTCCATCTAAATCAGAAGCTTGAAGCATACGTGTAAAGAATATGTCACCCACTGTGGTCATCGCTTGATCGGGGAAGTTTCTGAATCTATAGTGACCTGAAGACCTCGAAGCATTGGATTTTCTAAAACTGTTCTTTGCATTGCATTTTTCGGAAATGTTAACACAACATCTGTAACATTATGAAGAGCGTATGAGAAATCTGAGCTAATACCTTCAGGAGTGATGCAACCTCCATTTAGTGAACGAACGTCAATATGTTGAGCTGGAATCATGAATGGATCTTCCTTACTGAATAAACGTGGTATTGCTTTAACTGATTCTTCAATTAAACCATATCCTGGTGTAATACATTTATCCTCTAAAACTTCCATCTTTGTGCATGAAATAATAACGTCATCAACTGTTGCGTCAGCAGATGTAGCGGCTAAGCTTGTAATTAATTTGGCAGGAAGTCCGATTTGT